ACTCTATTTGATTGCGCACATGCAAGCAATGCAGAGATGCAGAGAGCGTCATGAATTCTGCACACCTGCCCTATGGATATTGTCCCACGACGATAGCGTGAGACGTATCGAGTAGCACAGTACAAATGCTACAGTACCACGGCCTCTAGGCGCCTTTTGGAATAGGCCATGCGGGAGATGGCAGTGACGGCGCGCCTGTCAGTATGCATCCATATGCAAGGACCCAAGATTTCAAGAAGTCATGTTTGATCGCCTCTTTGTTAAGTCCCAGTACTCTATTACAACGAAAAAAGGTCTCGGGGCCATTCAGCGTACTACAATTGCGTATTAGGGTCCGTCCCGACTCCAGATTACCACTCGGTTTCCACTCTGCGCATCGTTCAAGCAGGATTTGGATCCACCTTTTCTTCATGCAGGGAGTTTTGACCACAGCAAGACCGGTCAAAGTCAGCGACGGCCCTGGAATCGCTCATCACCAACCACTCGATTTACCACCTTGATCTCTGCCGGTATTTCGTTGTCTATGTACCGTGCAAGAACAGACACTACAGCTTGATTGTTCAAGTGGAGTGAGGACTCAATGTGGCGGTGTCTGGATCATAATGTCCTTTACACTGCCCTGTTTTTGATATCCTCCTCGTGGCCTAGCTTGCTGAATGTCAAGACGATGACAACAAGGATATCAGTTCATGACTTTCTGCACTTTCAGACCTTCATGCGGCGGATCTCGAATGACATCCAGACAGCGTCTCTGGCGGCAATGCTGGATGGATATCCTTGCGGTGGCTCTGCATGCATGATGGTGCAGCATATATGACCACACACTAACATATATGTTCTGGACACGGTATCTAGGCCCTTGTCGCTATTTCCAGCATATCAATTCCTAATGTCTTCCCTCGTCGATGGTGCTGCCCTGCGATCCCGCCATCCTTCAGTCGACGATTAATAACGTCTCGTCGATAGCCAAATGTCTGTTGAATGCCGCTCTCATCCGGGGGATGACACAAGATGGTCAACAATAATCCTTCAGCTGTCAGTCATGATACCCACTGGGACCATATGCACGGATAAAAGGCCTAGTCCTCGTGGTTTATAACTCGTGGATGACGATTCTCTGCACTGAAGACTTACATGACTGTCTCAGGAGGGATTTTAATGAGGTGCTCGGGTATACGACTATGTCTGGCAGATTCAACAGTTGTTTTACAATCTGCAAACATAACACCTCATGTCCATGCAACGTGGTCCAATTTCCTCTCGTGAACCGCGTAGTCTCTCGGTCCCATGTTGTCCGTGACTCCATGCCAAAAGATACAGTCTGAAATCACACTGCTCGAGCAGCAAAGACGGCATGATACATCAGACCTAGGCCATGTACATTTTCCGGCGGGGCAACATCATGTATACCTGCGGCCACTCATGAGCGACGAAAGCATGCATTTCTCCATTCTTTACAATGAACGTACCTGCATTCACTCGATTCGGATTCTGAACGTTGTAGACCTGCGAGTTTGAACAGCCCTCAAGAACACTTAATCTGACCTGCATGAGGCAAAAGTCCAATCTACTAGCCAAGTCAAGCTTCTCCAAGAAAAAAAAGAATCCCGTGAGATTGTCTACCATCTTCGACCCTGATGCCGCTTGCTTACGTCCTCTACATGCATCCGTCGGGTCATCACACCAAGATATCATCACTTGCCGTCTGAAGCCTTCTGCAACCGCGAGTTACAGTGGCCAGGTTTTGCATCTCCTTATGCACACATATATCAATGCCGCGTTCTGTTGTCTGTATGATGTGGCGGGTTCTAGCCTTCTCACAAACGACACTGTCGCCCGTGGATACATGTGTCGGGCCGACTTTACTGCAACATGGCTGTCGGTTGATTGGCTGTATGCATCTATTCAGTGCATTGCGGTTATCAAAGAGCAACCATACACCATTGCCATTATTGCCCTTGAGCCGCGTTGGATGGCAGGTTGTTTCCAAACATACATATCATGCATGTATTCTCATCTATTAAGCTTCCGGACATTTTCTGATGCTACCATCATGTTGCTGGGTTCATCTGATCCATTGCATGTCCAGCCGTGAGGAACCGTCAGTTGGACTTGCCCAATTCATGACTTCTATTCGTGGGTTCACTTGGCATTACCATAGCAGATACCAATGTGCCAAAACCTGAGACAGAGGAAGCACGACGTGTTTTGGAATCCATTTGTCGGGTCTCCGACACAATGATGTCTAAGGGAGTTGTTCGTCTAGCCGCAATATGCGAGCAGGGCAATCAAATAAACTTTTGATGCTCGTCTTACGTGCCTCTCGAATCACACCTTCATCTCTACACCACACGCTCACGCAACAATCCTGCATGCAATGTGCTTTCTTTGCAAGTAATTCGCATGGAAAAGATGCCTCAGCCCCAATCATGTTCCCCTCTCCACCTTGCAAAGTGCGCTTTTTCCCAGTCAGGGTCATTGATCCTTGCAACGTCCCTTCGACCACACATTTATGATGCAGGACGTGGCTCCTCAATATCGCGCGGAGTAGGTTTCCGACTGTCTCATACGCTTCGAAACACCCCACGAGTCTTTGTATTCTCTGCAGTGAGAAGCATGCAACCACCCTCATTCTGTCTTGAATGTCTTCGCATTGCATCTGCTTTCCCCCGCTTGGCTTTGCAGACATGATCCCAAACTCACGCCACCAGTCTTGTCTACCTTCCCAATGTATACTCATGCCCCGATGAGGTGTCTGAAGGATACGAACATCGCATGTATGATGTCTCACTTTTGCGGCCGTAAATGAACGGGAATCCAATGGTTATCGGGTTGCGTGGTTGCATGCTTCTTCTCTCTGCACATCGTCATCACATGCGCTCTCTGCACATCCCGCTTAAACCTGACCCGGACAAACCCGGAAAGGACTCCATATCCCTTCGTTCCTTCCCGCTTACCCCATCCATCCATCCTTGCCCTTTTAGCCCTTCTATCCTACGCACGTAGCAAGCATCCTTCTCACCTAAACGAAACTTGTTACCTGGGTGCTTTTTCTCGCCTTCGTCCTCTTTGCCGAGACCGTGGACGCATATGATCGAGAGCAAGCAAAAAAAGACTGCAACGCTTGCCGACAACGAAACAGCAAACGAGGTGCCTGGTTCCGTGAGGGAGCGAGAGAATGTGAACCGAACCACATCGGAGAATTAAATTGCATGACTTCTGCCAAACCCTGCTTTGCAGATATATACAAACTCTAATTCTTGCTACGTTGCTGATGCTTTTTCCCTTTTCCGCAAGTCTCTTTTGTTCTAGCTTTCTTGTTTCGTTTGCACTGCGATGGGATCGATTCGCGGTTCGGCGTTCTTGGTTCCACGGTTCGTATTGTTCCATGGTTGCCATTTCTGGATAATTGCCTTGCGTTGTTCACGCAACAAAAAAGGAAAAAAAGGTGCATGATGTGTGTCGAGTTGCAGGTGATGGAGGATGATGCGATGCACACACAGTTGCTTTGCTCAAAACTCTATCCTCCACATCTGTTGCCCAGCTTATCCACTTAGGAGGCCTTTGGCGATGGGCACATCATTGGAGTTGCGTCCAACACGTATCGTGTTCCTGTCGTATGTGACCTATCACCTTTTGTCATCACTTATCGCTGATTGTTTGTCGCGATGGGTAGAGTGGTTCGAGATACAGTATGTTCCACATCGAGGGTCTCTTGTGTAGGCCGACCTATCATGGTTGGAGAGTAACAGTCATGACGAGAAAGCGGCTTGTCAGATGGGTACGCGTAGGTGGGCATGGATTCAATAGACGACGAGGGCCTACACGTGGTGTATGCTGCTCCATCTGTCTTCAGCGCATGGCATAAAGATAGAACATTATACTCCGTACAGTGGCATAAGATACATTGTGCCCCACGTCTTCTTGTATACGGCCGCCGGCCCAGTGCTCTATAGCGAACCACTATGCTTTGCTTCAAGATATGGGTGGAGTAGTAGTTACCACCTGTCTATTTTTCTCTGCTGTCTGACCTATTGCCAAGATTATTGTGTCAGTCAACCGTATTAGTGGTCATTCTCATGCTTTTAATCATTCAAGTCGTGAGGTGTTTATGGAGAGGGATACTGAGGTCAGGGTGATATATTCAACAACTATGCATCACCCTCAAACGTGCCAATGGGGGCAACGACGATCCTATGGTTCTACCAAAGACAAGTCAAGGGGTCTTTGCGAGTAGAATAATGATTTGGAGGAGCCTGAAAGCGGATTGACCCATGGTCGTTGATTTATGCCACACAACTCATTACAATATGAAGTCACCTTAACGATACATGAGATAGATAACAAACCTATTAGACAAGTAGAAAACCTCAATGAAAAACTACAGACAGAAGGGTGTATACTGCCATCATAAGAACTATGTTGAGCCAGAAAAGCGTCCAGATCATGTCAACTCTACATGACTTATCACACTCTTGAGCAAACCAGCCGAGCGACACCAGTCCGATTTCACATGTATGATGTTGGTTGGTCTGCTTTGATGCAACAATCAGCTCAATACGACTTCGTGACCCGGCATTTGATCTGAACATCCAGTATACTGTTCGTTCATATCCATGTGGTCGCTGGCAGTGATATATTCTGCAATTGAAGGTACCAAGACGAGTACGTGAGAGCGAGACCTGTCCACATGACAAAGCTCCAGAATGGCACAGAATGACAGAAACATTTCATGTAAGATTTGTATTCTTCTAATCAATGAATGATCAATGGAATACATAATGGCTAGCAACGCAATCTAAACCGTAGGCTCAAGCACCCCTAAACTCGTCGTGAAAACTCCATGCCCGCCATGATTAGCATGCAGCAGTGAATGAAAAAGACCAAAGACTATAAACCACAATTCTTTCTTTTGGGTTGGCTCCATACCAGGATAACCATGAAACGCCGAAGACCAGAAAGAGGCATAAAACGAAAAGCACGAAAAAGGGTATCATCATCTACCAGCGAGAGTCACGACCAAGGGGAGCGTTGTTGGAGCTGGTGAAGCCGCCACCACGGCCGCGGCCACCGCCACCACGTCCACGACCACCGCCCCAGCGACCGTGGCCACCGCCGCCACCACCGTAGCGGACCATCTCAGCGAGACGGGGGTCGATGTTCTGCTTAGCCTCGGCCAAGACGTTAACAAGGTCGCGAGCCTGCTTGGAGTCTGGGGGAAACATGTCAGTACAAGCTTCGTGATGCAATCAAGGATAGGCAAAAACATACTCTCAGTGGTGAAGAAGGTGATGGCAGTACCCATGGCACCTGCACGACCGGTACGGCCGATTCTGTGGATGTAGTCCTCAGAGTTGTTGGGGTAGTCGTAGTTGAGGACGTGGGTAATGTTGCGAACATCTTTTAGAAGTAAGGGTTAGCATGTCTGTTGGGAGAACAGTGTGTATCAAAAGCGAGCCTTATGTCGGTCGCGTAATCTGATGAAGAGGTGTGCAATAGTGATATTGACAACACTCTGTGCGCTCCATAGGAGTCGAAGCTTTTGTAGAAAAGCAGAAAGCAATCATAGCAATCACATGTCACAGGCCGTAGAAGATATCATGCAGGATATCTTCGAGGTCCTACCGTCTCGGATGCCTTGGAAGCGCGTAACAAAACTACAATGCAGCGCTGCGCGGCGAAAACACCTGCATCTCACTCTCTACTGGGCAAAAAGGCGCACGAAGCGCAAAGTAGAGGGCGAGAGGTACGATGCGAAGCCAAAATGAAAAGACAAAGGCCTCGAATCGAGCAAGTTTCTCCCAAGGATCCGGAGTAAGGAACCAGTAAACTGGACGGCCTATAAGGAACATGGTTACGTATGCAAAGGCGCACGAGTGCTCGGCGTAGAGCACCACTTTCAGATCACGCAAGTGCGAGCAATGGGGGAGGGGAGAACTGGCAGTGTAGTGGAGGATAGGAAAAGGGAAGGTGCTGTGAGTGATGGTGGAGAGGGGGTGTTCAATCATACCGATACCACGCGAAGCCACATCAGTGGCAACCATGATGGGGCTCTTGCCCTGCTTGAACTCGTTGAGAACCCAGTCACGTTCCTGCTGTTGCTTGTCACCGTGGATAGACAGAGCTGGCCAGCCGTCTTGTCTGAGGAAGCGGGTGATTTCGTCGGCGACACGCTTGGTGCCGGTGAAGATGAGGCACTTGTTGTCCTTGTCCTCCATAATCTTCTCGAGATGCTTGATCATCTTGTCACGCTTCTCGAACTCGGAAACGACCTCGACGACCTGAGTGATGCGGTGATTGGCGGAAAGGTCCATGGAACCAACGTTGACCTGGATGAAGTCGTGCTGGAAGTCCTGGGCGAGGGCGCGAACCTCCTTGGGCCAGGTAGCAGACCACATGCAAGTCTGACGGTCAGGGCGAATCTGGCCAATGATCTTGCGGATCTGAGGCTCGAAACCCATGTCGAGCATGCGATCAGCCTCATCCAGAACGAGGTAGGTGACGCGGCGAAGGTTGGTCTTTCCAGACTCGAGCATGTCGATCAGACGACCGGGAGTGGCAATGCACACCTCGACACCGCGAGCAAGATCTCTGATTTGCTGACCCTTGGGGACACCACCGTAGACACAGGTGTTGCGGATGCGCGACGATTTGCCGAACTTGTTAACTTCGGCCTGGATCTGGACAGCAAGCTCACGAGTGGGAGCGAGAATAAGGACGATGGGACCATCACCAGGAGAAAGGAGAGGCTGGGCGTTGATGTGGACGATCGAAGGAAGGCAGTAGGTGAGGGTCTTTCCGGAACCAGTCTCGGCAATACCGGTCACGTCGCGACCAGAGAGAGCCATGGGCCAACCTTGGCACTGAATGGGAGTGGGGTTGGCAAAGCCCTGGGCCTTGACCTCGTTGATGACATAGCCGGGGAAACCAGCCTCGTCGAAGGTCTCGACGGGCTTAGGGACGTTCTTTCCCTGGACGGCGATTTGGTGAGTCTTGCGGAACTCGTCGACGTCGGCCTGGGAGCGCTCGGCTACGGTAGGCGCCTCCTTGTAGAAGGACTTCTCGAACTTGGGGAGGGTGCTCATGTCTGTGATATGGTTAGTACGTGATGTAGACGATGGAACGGATAGACATACCCCACTGCTGGCTCTTGAGGCCGGCACCGAGCTGACCCATTCTGTCGCCGCCTTGGCCGCCGCCATAGCTGCCACCACCGTAGCCGCCCTGGCTGCCACCGCCGTAGCCACCCTGACCACCGCCAGAGTAACCACCTTGGCTGCCACCGCCGTAACCGCCAGATCTGCCACTGTTACACGTTAGCATTTGATGAAGAAGTGATGGATGGATAGAGATAGATGGGAGCAAGCAGAGCTGAGCAGAAACTTATTCAAGAATCGTACCCGTCGTAAGAGCGACTGGTTGAATAGTCGCCATGAGAGCTTTGTCCATAGGATCTCGAGATGTCGTACCCGCCAGAGTAGCCATTGCTACCACCGCCGTAGCTGCCGCCGCCGCTGCCGCCACCACGCGAGCCGCCGTAACCACCACCGCCGTAAGACATGATGATGTGTGTGGGAGTGAGGGGGTTGTCGAAGTGTTTGGAAAGTGAACTTTGCGCTTGTGTAATGCGGCAAGTCCAAATGGAAGAGAGAGATGTAGATAGAAGAAGGGGGGTTGATGAAAAGAGAGAGTGTAGAGGATGAAGGAGAGAAAAGTGAGGAAAGCGCGCGCAGAGGCTTGATAAAAGTGGTTGGCTGCTGCGTTTTTGCGACAGGGCGGCGACTTTCTGCCGCGCTAGCAAACGCTAGAAGAACTTTGATTGCCAAGCCTCGACTTTCTCGTCTTTTCGATGGGACGCTGACCCGGACGTTGGACCCTGTCGTCTTTCAAACTTCTCAACATATAGGAGGTCTTTTTTCTTGCAAGAGGTGAATAATACTGTACAGTGAACAAGTCATGTTACATGGCAAACATCAGACTGCCTTCTTCATCCCTCGAACGGCAAGTCTTGCAAAGGCCTCTGCCCTAGCTCCTTCTTGTCCTTCACCCATGTGCCGTTTTCCTTCTTTTGCCTCTTCACCACGTTCTGGCGAAGATGCCTCAGTTGCCTGGTGTCTCTCCTCAACTCGACAAGCTTCTCCTTGGGAATGATATTCCTCCCCTCCATTCTGTCCATCAGCCTCGTGACGAAGGCATTTAATCTTGATCGTTTCTGAGACCATGCCTGCATCTGATCCTGGGGAACCAATTGCTTGTTCATCAATTGATCTATCGCACCAATGACCGTCCTCATCAAGGTCACAACGTCATGATTGTCCATGGTCTTCATCCTGCCCGAACTGCCAGAGTTGAACTTTCCAAAAGAGAGCATCGATTTGAACTTCGTGATAGAGTCTGACAGACGGTCAATCGTCTGGGCGATGACTTCTCCATCTTGTTTTGAAATGGCCAACTCTAGGTATTGATTCAACATCTTCGGATCGGGCTCAATCTGATAGTGCTCGCTCAACTCTACAAGCTTGTTGGCATGCGCCATTGCTTGGGGGTTCTTCTTATCGCGACTGCAAGTACTCATAGCAATACGGAAGGTCTTGCGATGGGGGTNCCAGCCATAGGTGGGTATCGTGTCATTTACCAAGCCGAGAGCACGACCAGACGCACGCGATTGTCGAAGAATACGCATGAAGGTATGAATGTTATCCATGTCGGGCTTGAGAGCATAGGTGGACTTGTTGGTCAGCAAATCCCAGTATGCATATGACTCTCTATAAGCAAATGTCGCTCTGCAAGCCTCGAGGATGAGGGATAGGGAATTGTTGCCTGCTTTGACCAGTGTGACTGATTGCTTGCCTCGGTTGTCAAGCAAGTGTGCCCGGTCGAATTCACTCTCGGGCTCCTCGCCTTCGGTATCATTCATCCTATCCTTCTTCGCCTCGTAATGCATACGATTAGGCAGATGCTCAGTCTTTCTCATCTTGCTACCCAACTTGGGAACCAGCCGAGGAATACCCATGGTTTGTTCAATCAGAGAGAGGACATCATCACAGTCTCTTGGCTGCAGACCAATGAGCAAGAGGCGACCCATAGCGCCAACCATTTCTTCGTTGACGGCGATGTCTCCCGACCGCCATCTTCCAACGATATCTCCCCAGATCCTTCGGCCCTGCTGGATGGCTGTTGCCCTCAACACAGCAATCTCGCTGTCGTCTGTCCTGTTGCCGCCTTCTAGCAGTGCGTGCTCTCTAATGGCGTTCAAGATTGTAGTGTACGTGTAAGGGTCAGCGGCGCCAGGGCCCTTTTCTGGGATTTTTGAGGCTATGCCCCAGAGAGAGTCCATGTCGTTTGCGCGTGCGCATACTCGCAGTGCAGCATTGGTGTGTATGGTTGTTGGCTTTACTTTTGAATTCTCGGCGCCGAGGGAATGATAGATGGCAAGGGCTCTGCCGAGGGTGTCTGCGGCGACTGGGGGCTCGGATAGGCCACGAAGGAGGATTACATAGGTGTGCGAGTCGGGAAACTGTGCGCGCTTCTTCATCTATGCGGTTGTCAGCTCATGATTATGGTTCGAGTTCAAGACCCATCCTACCTCGTTATAAATCTTCAAGGCGGCATTGACCTGCTTCTCGGACAACAAGTGGCCGATGATGTGGTTCCAACTGACGATACACTCCATGTCCTTGCTAGCAATACGAGTGAGACCAAGAGCCTTCTCGACGTCGCCCTTTTGGAGAACACCGCGGACATGATCGGCAAGCTTGAGCGGGTCTGGTAGGTATTGTAGTTCTTTCCTGATCTTCTTCTCTAGAGCCAAGTTCATGTTGGGCACTTTGGCATCTTCCTGGTCTTCGCTGGGTGTGCGCACTTTGCGATGTGCATTGTTGGCGATCCAGCTCTTTTTCGAGTCATACGTCTTGGGCGGCACTCCATTGACCAGATTCGTGCATCTGCTCTTTGGGCCACCAGATATAGTCTCGTCCAACTCTCCGGTTCGTGTGCTGTCATTTCGGGAGTTGGCGTCTCCCTTAGACTCTGTGGTATACTGTCGGGCGATTTGAGATGATCGCGCATGTGGCGCAATGCGATTCTGAAGATACGGTCGTGGTCCTGTGCTGGCCTCGGCAGCGATGGCACGAATGCATCTGAGCAAGCTGTTTCTGCACTCTGACATTGAAGTATGCGAGGATGCTCAATTCTGGAAAAGAAGGCGAAATGTCCCGGGTGCCATCTCTTCTTGTCGAACTTTTGATGCACAGACCATCAGTTCGCGCGTCTGGACTTGTGTGAACATGTCCTCCATTCCTGCGCCAAACTTTGTCTCTCCCACTCCCTTCCGCAAAGCCATATGCTAGAGTGAAATGTAGGCTGCGGCAATGCATGACACTTTACAGAAACAGCCCAGTGCTCACCGAGAGCATCAACCTGCCTACTCTCTCTAGATTGGTCTTTCGTCCGGAAAATACGTGCCTCTGTACAGGCTGCTCGGAACTCGTAGCTGGGATTGATATTTATTGTAATGTCATATCGAGCGTGAATATACATTATGCAATCGTTTGGCAGGAACATCCGCCTACCACACATATACCAAGCCAGTACCAAAGGTCAAGACTGGTCGACCATTTACACCATCTTCCCTTGGTCCTCAAAGTTGGCGTCTTTTGGGAGCGACTCGGGAGCTGTCGAGAGCTGAGAAATCTCGTCCAAGAGTGCAACTGTCTCTGCAGGGCTAGCAATCCATGCCGTCGTACACGCAAGCCTNNATTGTTTGTCAGCATGTACCGAGAAATAGTGCTGAGAGTTTACAAACCTGGCCTTGAAATCATTTGCTCCAATTGACAAGAATTGGTCGCCGACGTGGAGAGACTTGTTTCCTTCTATTCCACCAAAGTATCTCTGACAACTCAGAACACCCCAGGACTTGTCGCCAATGTCAATGAAGACGTCGCTTCCGCNCTGTGAGTGTGTCAGTATCTGTACCATCGAGCGCGTACATCAATTCTTACCGTTAAAGGCGCAGAATGGCAGCCGCTTGCCGACAGGAGTCATTTNCCTAGTCTATGTAAGCAAACGTCGAGCGAAGCGTGCCGAATTAACACGTACCAGTGTCTTCTGGCAGACAAGGACAGTCTCCTCCAGCTGTTCTCGCGAGAGCTTGAATCCTTCGACTGGAATTATGCCGACTGCTCTTTCTTTTCGAAGAAGGTCAGCCTTGAGCCTCATGGCGTCGACACAACTGCGGAGGGACTTTTCTGCAATATCCAGCAGCTCTGTAACATCCTCTTGCGTCCAAGATTGCATCTCCTGGAGCGACCACTGCTTGCGCGGGATTGCAACGAGTCTATCCGGGCTTTCACTAGCGAACTGGAACAGGTAACTTGCCTCTCCTCCAAGAACAATGAGATTCTTCTTGACGTGATCTGGGAGGTCGGACGTAGCTATGGCATCGAGCAGACCGTGTAGTCTACCATAGTACTTGGATGCTTCGGTGTAGCCAGCTGCAGTCACGATGCCGATGCGAGTGCCATTTCTCATCAGTTCCAAGATGCGAGGAATGGCTGGGTTGTCATCTGTCAGAGACTGGCCATCATCATAAAGTGTAACATCGCCATCAAATGTGACAAGGTCCAGACGGCTGTGTTTGACCAAAGACATGACTTGGGCAGTATTTAGAATCAGACGAATATCGTTGAAACTGGGAGCCACAAATCTCCTTGAACTTATGTATCGTCTTGAATCTTGCCATTCAAATGCATCCCTAAGCATGAGAGGAGTGAAGAAGACACCAACAGTTGGAACTAGCAGTTTGAGCTTAGAGTGCGTATGTGTGCCTTCTTTTTGGCGAGAGATGTGGTCGTTGATGAGCCCTTCAACATCACTCATGATCTGAGCATACCGCTCGTGGGCATTGCGAGCCATCTCGTCTGTGCCATGTATGCCATCTTGCCCAAACAATGCGGTAGGCTGAGATAGAAGTACGAACGGGACAGCAAGGAGCCCCTTGATCCATTCGATNNCTGACACTGGGTTAGTAAGGCCAAGTGAGCAGAGTTGATCGGTCCATAAGCCTACCAATTGATCACGGCGATGAGTCTTGAAGAAAGTGTCAGTAAGTTTCATGATGTTGACACAACGGAACACGAACCTTGAGGGCATCTAGGTATAGTCAGTGTCGAGTCGCAGCATGTGACAGGCAATAGTAAACATACACTCGACACGATATCTAGTGGTCATGTTGGCGTTTTATGGCAGGTTTGTTGATGACAAGGATCAGGGAGTCACAGAGTGCAAGGTAGAAGAAAGTGAAGGAGAAGACAGCGAGGTATGACAGAGTCACAGAGAGTCGGAGCTGGCCGACAAGACTGGCAGCACTTGTTGATTGGTGATAGGCATGTGATGCTGCACCCCACAGCGCTAAACAGCGGGTAGAAGCGGTGGCGCCGATCTCTTGCTCAGGAACCGCTGACGCTTGTGCCGGCGCCGAAGCTTTCCTGATTCCAATCCATCATGGCCGACATCACTCTGCCCTCGTCCCTGCTGCAACCGCGCGACGACAACGAGGCAGATTCACTACTGTCTATCCTCGGACGTATTCACGATGAGCGAGGCCACTTCCGACACATCACCGAGCAAGGCTTGCAGGCCGAAATAGCTGCCAACGAGAATGACGAAGAAAGCTCCGAGACAGACGACGAGGAAGACGGTGCAGAGGTGGACGGAGTAGAGGAAAGAGATCGTCGGGAGCAACTATGGGCAGCAAGAGCCGAGATGAGGCAGCATGTCGAGTGAGTTCCTTTGGACGGAGCATCGGTTGCTTAGCACGTCGACTTACTGACCCTTCCCAGCTCCGCGCGCAACGAAGTACTCATCGCTCTAGACTTTGTCTCCCTCTTGATCTCCAAAGACGCCCCAAAACAGGCCGACCTCACCATGTCACCCCATCTTAAGCAGTTCATCAAGCCTGGGACTCTCGCTATGGATGTATGGCAGAATGTGCCTCCCAACAAAGAGCAAGAGAAGGTGGACGACACAATCGCTCGTGGCTGGAGAATGCAATCGCTTCAAGCATCCGCTGATTCTTTGTTGGGTGCTGCGACCCGCTTGGAGAACGATGTTAGGAGAGAGACACATTATTGGGAACAAGTCTTGTCTGTCAGTGACAAAGGCTGGTCAATTTCTCGCTTGCCTCGCGAGAAACACAATCTGGGTGTTCGATTCGGCTTCTTGGAAGCTCTCGGAGAGTTCAGAGACCGTGGGCTCGCTGCACTGAGGTCTGATGATGATGGCAATGTTCTTCTTGACAAGGGTTTCGGAAACAACAGCAAAGTCCTGAGGGTGCGCATCCAGAAGGGCCACAATATTGTTGGCGTCTCACAGATGCCAGACGTTTCAGCCGAGTCAGAGGCCATTCTCGAAGCTCGCATTCGTCACGCTAGAGACTCGTTATATGAGGAGGAGTTGTTCCATGAGATCATTCGGGAATCGCGAAGTCTGGCATCATACGGCGTTGATATGCGCGAGTCGACCGTTCGTCTTCCGACCAAATTGTCCTCGACTGCGGCGTCACTCACATCAGATGCGCAAGAAGTCTTGATTGACCTATTGCCATTGACTGAGATTGGAACAAAGTCACAGGAAAAGCAGACGGAAGACGAATGGGCTCAGACTATCGCACTGGCTCTTCGCCTGTTCCTTTCATACACCCACCGCGAGAGGCTTACACGCCGATCTGAATTGCCTCCACCAATGTCCAGCGCCAGAAAGGACACACCAGTGGCAAGCATTATGAAGCCTGTGCTAACCTTACTGCAACACCGCTCCATGCTTGATGACATTGGCGCTTATCTTGAGCGCATCAAGAAGCTTCTCGATGCTGCATCTATCGACACGACAATCGAGACCGCCGCATTCGATCCAGCACTTTTGAGATCTGCAGAAACAATAGATACTCTCATGCAGAGAGGTTTGACGCCTCTACACTCGCGCATGAAGATATCACTGAAGATAGCGCATCTGTCAGAGGCCCTCGAGTTTGGTATCGAAATGCGTACATCCATCTCGCCGCCCGCGTTCGGCAGTGCCATGTTGGTGACTTCACCAATAGGACTATCGCGAGTCGAGATACCGGAGATGGCAGAGCTTAAGGACTACTTGAACACAGTGATCGCAAACGCTTTGGGTTATGGAATCGCGGACAAGCTGGCCGATTGGAGCCTTAATGATAGGTGTGGCATTCTCACCAGAACCAACAGCAACGATAAGATCAGCATTGAGGTCTACGGAGATGAAAACGCAGCACAGGACAGTCTTGTGTTACGCACGCCCAGAGAGAGATTCGAGTGGAAGGGCGAGGATGAGATGAAACGAAACGGCTTCTGGGAGATGGTCAAACAGCACGTCTGGGACGGAGCATGATTCCGAGAATGCAGTGAATTTAGCTGCCGCGACTTTCAGGGTCCAGCGACTTTTTTCTTTCGCGCCTGCATGGAGGGGCAGAAGTGATAGATAGCCAGATAATTAGAGCAGCATGGCAGTGAAAGAACGACGAGTTCTCTGTGAGCTGACATGGAATGTCTTCTGGGCGGTGTCACAAACAAGTGGTGAGATTCTTGAGCTGTAGGACCGCAGTCGGACCGTGATGTTGACTGGCACTGGCCAATGTGTTGAGAGTGACGTATCACGCTGCCCGCGGTATGAGCGAGCGAGCGAGCGGATTCTTGGGGCTCTCAAGATTTCACCTCGCGGTCTGGCTGAGGCCTCTTTTTCTTGCATTCACTACCATCTCTCCACCACGTGTCTCGACGACTCTACAAATACAGCTGACCAAGCTCTCTGTCTGGTACAGCTTCTCACGCCCTCGAATTAATACAAGCCTCCTCACATCCGCATCAAAAACACAACGCAACCGGCCTCTATCATGGCCCAGGTCAACCTCGCTCCCGCCGCAATGCCCGCGGGCAAGAAGCGCATTGCCGTCATGACATCCGGAGGTGACTCGCAGGGAATGTCTGGTGCTGTGCGTGCCGTCGTCCGTCAAACCATCGCCTCGGGCTGCGATGCATTCGCCGTCTACGAAGGTTACGAAGGTCTCGTCCAGGGCGGAGACATGATCAAGCAGATGCGCTGGGAGGACGTCCGTGGATGGCTCTCAGAAGGCGGTACCCTCATTGGAACAGCAAGATGCATGTCCTTCAAGGAACGCCCCGGCAGACTGCAAGCGGCCAAGAACATGATCGACAAGGGCATTGATGCCTTGGTTGTCTGTGGTGGTGACGGCAGCTTGACTGGTGCAGACCGTTTCAGAGGCGAGTGGCCCAGTCTGGTCGAGGAGCTGGTGTCCAATGGCACTTTCAAGAAGGAGGCAGTCGAGCCGTTCAAGCACCTCAACATTGTTGGTCTGGTCGGCTCCATCGACAACGACTTGGCCGGAACCGATGCCACCATTGGATGCTACTCATCGCTGCAACGTATCTGCCAGGCTGTCGACTACATTGATGCTACCGCCTTCTCTCACCAGCGTGCCTTCGTCGTCGAGGTCATGGGCAGACACTGTGGTTGGCTCGCCCTGATGGCTGGTGTCTCAACTGGTGCCGACTTTGTCTTCCTTCCCGAGAACCCACCGTCAGAGAACTGGGAGACTGAGATGTGCGACGTCGTGCAGCGTCACCGCAAGCTCGGAAAGAGAAAGACCATCGTCATCGTTGCTGAGGGAGCCCACGACCGTCAGCTCAACGCCATCTCGCCCGACAAGGTGAAGGACCTGCTTGCTGGCAAGCTCGGTCTCGATACCAGAGTCACCACTCTTGGCCACGTCCAGCGTGGTGGTACTGCCGTTGCCTACGACCGCATGTTGGCTACTCTGCAGGGTGTTGAGGCGGTCAAGGCCGTCCTCGACTCAACCCCGGAGACACCCAGTCCCGTCATTTGCATGGTCGAAAACAAGATTGTGCGCAAGTCATTGATGGAGGCTGTCAAGTTGACCCAGTCGGTCGCCGAGGCCATCGAACGCAAGGACTTCCAGTCGGCCATGAAGCTCAGAGGTGCCGAATTCGACGAGTACTGGACCGCATACACGACCACTGTCTCGACCGACAAGCAGGAGTTGCTTCTGCCCCAGGAGAAGGTAAGAATCTACTTCGTGTTACTTGCAGAGAGTTCAGCTAACACAGACATANNGCGCATGCGTGTTGGTATCATCCACGTCGGAGCCCCCGCTGGTGGCATGAACGCTGCCACCCGCGCCGCCACCGCCTACTGTCTCACCCGCGGCCACACTCCCATCGCCCTCCACAACGGTTTCCCCGGTCTCGCTCGCCATTACAAGGACGAGGAAAGCTCTGTTCGCGAGATCAAGTGGCTCGACGCCGAGAACTGGGCCAGCAAGGGTGGTTCTGAAATCGGAACCAACCGTGCTACTCCTTCTGAGGACTACGACGGTGTCTCTGATGCCCTGAAGTACCACAAGATTGACGCTCTCTTCGTTGTTGGTGGTTTCGAGGCCTTCACTGCCGTGTCCGAGCTTCGCAAGGCCAGACGCGACTACGATGCCTTCAAGATCCCCATCGTCGTTCTTCCCGCAACCGTCTCCAACAACGTCCCTGGTACCGAGTACTCTATCGGTAGCGACACTTGTTTGAACGCCCTTATCGACTACTGCGATGCCATCAAGCAATCCGCCGCCGCCTCTCGTCGTCGTGTCTTCGTCGTTGAGACACAGGGTGGTGCTTCTGGTTACATTGCCACCATCGCCGGTCTCTCCATCGGTGCCGTTGCCGTCTACACACCCGAAGAGGGCATTCACCTCAAGATGATCGCCTCCGACATTGAGCACTTGAAAGAGCAATTCGCCAAAGACAAGGGCCAAAACCGCAGTGGAAAGATTATCCTCCGCAACGAAAAGGCTTCCAAGACCTACACCACCGAGATCATCGCCAACATCATCCGCGAGGAGAGCGGCGGCAAGTTCGACTCGCGTTTCGCTGTTCCCGGACACGTGCAGCAGGGTGGTATCCCCTCGCCCATGGACCGTGTTCGTGCCGTCCGTTTCGGTGTCAAGAGTATGCAGCACATCGAGTCCTTTGCCGGCAAATCCAAGGACGAGATCGCCCAGGACCCTCTGTCGTGCTCGATTATCGGAATCACCGGTGCCCAAGTGCAATTCTCCGGCATGGAGAAGGTCGAGAAGGAGGAGACCGACTGGAAGGACCGCCGTCCCAAGAACGAGTTCTGGATGGACTTGGTGAGCATTGTGGATACGCTTTCGGGCCGTCCTCGTCCCAAGAAGGAGGATGCTATTGCTGCCGGTCTGCCTGCTTAGATGAGCTCCTGACTTGTTTTCTGCTTTGGCGTTTTCAATCATGATTGCAATGATTTCCTTCTTGTTGTTTCTCATTTCATGTTTCTTGTGGCTAGAAGCCCGGGACATGGCCATCATCATTACAGAGCCTTTCTATCTGACAAAATATACTTCATCTTTCATTTCAAGAGCCGAAAAGCCAAAGAGGTCATGTGTATGTCTAACAAAGTTTCCAAGCCGAAGAAGCAAGGGGTGCAAGCAAGGAAGACATGTGCTCTAGTAGTATAAAAACCTTTCCGATTCTGCAAAAGGTTGTTATCTTTAATCCTTCAACATCCTCTTTCATATAGGATTGCCTCGAGAACAACCTGGACATTGTCTGTCTGCTGTGTGCCACCGGTAGTCTACTCTGCACCGACACCCCAAGTCGCCGACCCATCCGTCGTCTACGAGGTCACGATCGCCGAGGGACAGGTAAGTAGTATCTCTAGCTTGCGACAAACTGTTTCCAGAGGGTCATGAAGAAGGACACAAGGTTGTCCCATCTACGGGACGGAGATGTAAACGTAGATTTCCAAACCAATAAGACATAAAGTAGGTAGTTATCGAGACAAGGAGTCGGCAAAAGCACTATAGCTGATCCCAAACACGGGAAAGCCATAGGATCAACATTCTGTCCGTATGCACAGTGCTATCAACTCGTGGCTGGTGCTATGAGATGATAAGTGTTAGATTAAGGGTCATGGACGTTGTTTCTTTCTTCGCTCTCCTCGACATTGCTATGCTCAGAAGAGATATGCTCAGTGTTGAGGTCGTCCTTCTCATGTCGTCTGATGATGGTAGGGTGAATGCGTTCGACAATCTTGTCAACAAGAAGATCGAGCATCGGCGAAGAATGTGTTCCTCGTGGCGTATGGAGCCGTTATATACTTGGACGAGTATAAGAAAAGTCCCTTGCATGTATGGGTCCATGAAATTCGACTGGAGAGGCGTGGTGGTATGTACAGCAAAAGGCTCTTTTCATCATCAACAATAATATCCTTGTATTCATGAGATTCATTCTTTTAGGTCTTGCCAAAGACAAAGACACCCTTGCCAGATCTAAAGCCTTGCAATGTGCCTTGAACGGCCTTGATCAGATCATCGCCCTTGGTCTCCCATTCCCATTTCACCTCGTCAAAAGGTGTATCCTTGAATTCGCCTTCTCGTACAAGATCCAGCACATGTTCGACCGTCTTCTTCTTATCTTGTGGGTTCGCGTCTGACCACCTGCTGACCCAAAAGCCGTCGTATGAGATGTTTTTGAAGATCTGGAGGCCGGCGGGCACGGTGACAGGTTCGCGCGACATGGCGCCGTAAGTGACGATGTGTGAGTTGTCGGCCAGGATCTTGGCCATGCTATTGACGAGTTTACCGCCTACACAGTTCAAGGCCAGGGAGACTTGTTCGCGACCTCCATTTGTGGCTTCCTTGATGACGTTGCGGAAGGACTTGTCCATTGCTTCTGTGTCTGTAAGGACAATGTCTGCGCCCAGGTCTTTCAACTCTTGCTTCATTTCTTCGGTTGCAGAGGCGTCAGAGCGGTCGCGGATGATGTTGATACTGCGGTAGCCCCAGAGTTTTGCGAGTTGGATTGCTGCTCTGCCCACACCCGAATTGGCGCCGTTCTGGATGAACCAGTCGCCTTCCTTGAGTGGTACAAAGTCTTTGAGCATGCGATAGGCGGTGCAGGGGTTGACGCTCACGGTGCCGGCCTGGAGAGGAGTGAGGCCTGACTTGTCTTGAATCTTGAGGAGGTTCTCGGTGGTGGCTTGGGCGTGGGTGCGCCATGTGCCGAAGCCGGGGCTGCGCATGATGACCCAGTCGCCTCTCTGGAAGCCCTTGACGCTTCCTCCGGCAGAGATGATCTCGGCGACGCCTTCATTGCCTCCTACGGCAGTGGGTTCTGGGGCTCCGAGAGTGGTGCTGAAGGTGGGCTTGGAGGGGTAGACGCCTTGGATCTGGTTGACGTCTGCTGGGTTGATGGGCGAGGCGAGGAAGCGGAGGGTGACGAGGTCTTTGTGGGCGGGAGAGATGCTATGGCCGTGGAGTCGCAGGACGTCTTTTGGCTCGCCATAGTTGGTGAAGGCTAGTGCTTTGGCTTGCTCGTAGCCGTAGGCGCTGAGGTGACGGCGTGGGATGCATGTCGCCGGGAAACGGGCGAAGGACACCCGTAGGCTTGTGCNTGCGTGTGCTCAGGCGGAGTGACATGATGTGTGTTGTCGTGTAGAGCGAGAGAAATGCTGAGAGCTTTCTGCTCGCTGGAGCTGCACGTCAACAGTGACGTCGAGGCTTTGGCCATGGCTGCCGAAAACACCGACCATCTTCCGCTCCATCCATCCACATCTCCATCTTGACTTGTTGTCATCATCAAAACATTCTGTCAGTCCAGCATGAAAACATCAGCATACATGGTGCCATCGTCTTCATAACTGTCTGAGGGAGACGACTTCCTCGACGAATGGCCATACGAGGCGAGTCGACCATCACCACAATCTGTTCCATGCCCTCCTTAGGACCTTGGTGACTTTCTTGATGCACCTCTTTTTCTCGCCTTGATTTCTCGGTACTTCCGCTCTCAATGGACTAGAATCGCAGTCGCACGTCGTTTGGCCTCCCGATCCAACACATGGTCCGCCGCTCACACAGCCGCACTCCACGAATCTGGCCGCTCGAGTCTGTTGCGGTGCCTGTCTCAAGACGAGATGCACCACACTTGATTGTGGTGTGTCGAATGCCGACTGGAAGGTATTTCCTGCTGCCTGTGACACTTCGTCCACAGCCTCCTGTGCAGATTCCATACTCGGCTTCGTGACGCTCGAGTCTGCGATACTTTGACCTGAGATGGGCTCCAAGTTCGACATTATGGATGTTTCCGACTGGGTTGGTAATGTGGAAAGGGCGACAGGAATCTCTGAGTCTTGTGATAGTCTTCACGCCGAGTTCTGAAGGCAGTCACCATATTATGGTCGTGAGAAGATATCTGAGACATTCTCGACACAGCGAATAGGAGAGTCGTGATCCAGGCACCCACATACATTTGAGGTATTTCGCGACAGTTCCTTCAAGTCGGTAGTAGACACATGGACGAACTCACAAAGCAGACCATCGAATGCCATCGAGTATTCGAGCCAACGCCCTCGAATAAGAGGCAAGTCAACCCTGTTGCCTATACCAGACCTCCTATCATGATTTGTTACCGTCGTGGGCTTCGCCATGAGTTTGTTCGTGTTTCATTGGTCACGAGCTACTGCCTGAGTGCAGAAGTTTTATATACCTCGATTCCACTCGCGTACCGCTCAGCTATGGGGATCCAGGCTCCGCACTGGTCAAATCAGAGGCCAACATATCGAATGAACAAAATCTGTCTCACACAACAGGCATGTGATTGTTTCGGCTTTTGTGACTGAATGCAGATACAAAAAGAGCCCATCTTAACCCTCCGTCTCTCCTTCTCTCATCCCACAGCGATTCTTCGCAACTGCTACAAGTCGAAAAAACGCACGTAAAAAGCCCAGGTATATCGAAGCTAGGTTCACCAGCATCCCCTTTCGTATACCGTACACTGTCATCTACCTCTCCTATCCCACAAACAAAATGGCAAGTGTCAACCCTCTCCTCCTCAAGGGCAAGAAAGTCTGCCGCTTCACGAAGTGGCTTCTGAACACACAAACAAAGCTGCGTACCGCCATCAACAGGTCCAGCATCACAACTATCGCCGCCGCCACCACCACCACCAACAACCACAACAAATCCTGCTCTCACGACTGCAGCAAAGCCAAACAACAACGTCGCGTCCACAATGAAATCTTTGGTTGGACAAGCGACGCCTGGGATGAGATGAGCATGAACACCACCTCCACAACCACCTCCCTCTACTCGCCGGCACCCACCACCCCATCAATAGGGTGCATGAGTAGAGAAGAAGCTCTCAGATGCGCCGATGACTATACAATCCGCCGTATTGAGAAAGCTTCCATGCACAACACTACCCGCCACCCCCGTGGCAGAAGACCATATATCAGAGTTGAAGGATACTGACCTTGTCATCTTTAAAGATGCCTGTGTCTCGCGACGTGGTTTCTTGTAACTCTTTTCCCCGCTGGATGACATCGAATTCCCAGTGGGTATTTAATGAGGCAAGATTACTTTGTGCGCATTAGTTGATAAGTTGATAGGGTTTACGAACCCGTCTTTTGTTTCATTGCAGTTAGGAGTACTTGGCAGTTACAGTACCTGCGCATCATCAGAGCGTTGACTTGATAATGAAGAATACGGTTGAAGCAAATGGATTTCCCCTTGACCTGGTGTGTGAATATGTAGTGACCTGTGATTTGATTGTGCCTGTGCCCGTGTAGTCATCCGTGCTCTTGATTTCGATATGCAATCCCAACACGACACTGTACGATTGTCACCATTGTAAAAATGCACGATATTATTACAATGACAACCTCGTCCATCGAGAGTCGCTCAACAACCTATCATGCCTAGCATAGTTCAGCAACTGGAAAAGTATATCAAAGTCAATTGTCATAATTCATTCATTACTGACACTATTTCAAGCGGACTCGATTCATAGCCTCGACGCCCATACAATATCTCGCACTCTCTGCTATCAAGGCAAGCTCAAGAACAGAGCCAGCATCTTGGGGAACGATGGTGTGCCAAGACCAGTAACTGGATCCCAGCCCTTGCTGGCCGTGAAACCAGCAGTACCACAGCCCTGGTTGCCTCCCTGCGTGACATCATTCAACACCTCGGGATGGGCATAGAGCGTGGGGTTGATGAAGCCAATACTGCTCTTGCCAGCCTGGAGACGTCTCTCATTGATGATGGTAAGGACAGAGCCAAAGGTGGGCGACGATGCAGAGGTTCCGTAGACCAGAGCGAATGTGCCATCAATGGCAACGACGTAGTTGGCACCATTGGCACTGACATCGGGGAAACCGCGAGTCTTTTGAGTGTTGTTGAAGCGGTCGGCACCGTATGGTGGAGGGAAGTTCTTGAACCACGACTTTACGGCCGAAGACTGGTAGCTGGGGAGGTCAAAGACATTGCTGAAACCACCACCAGAGTAGATGACAGTCTCGCAGGCTTCCTCGGGTTGGGTGCCGCTAGCAAGCGCGGTGATGATGTTGGTACCCGGAATAACCTGAGTGGCACCGACAGCTGTCACATAAGGACAGGTAGCAGGGAACGAGGGATTGAAACGACCGCTCTTGCCAGAGTTGTAGGTGCCGTTAGCATTCAAGCACTGGCCGCCATTGCCGGCAACACCATAATCACCCGAGCTGTAAAGGACGGAGGTACCCATCAGACCAAGCTTCATATACTCATCACATTGACGCTTCTCGTAGAATGGGGTGAGATCAGCCTCGTTGTAGCCATAAGACGTGCTGATGACCTTGGCAGGTGCGAACGTTCCGCAGTTCTCTTTGCCCTTGTAGCCGCCTGCAGCTGTATCGGGGTAGATGGCATCTTGCGTGGGGTCATCACCACCTTCGTATGTGCAATAAGAGGCATCAATGGCGTCAAGGAAGTTGTTGAACGATGCACCCTCAATCTAGAGCAAAAGGTCAGCGTTTTTCCAGGAATGGCATACAAAGGGATCTCATACCAAATCACCAACTTGGTATAGAGTGACCTTCTCGGGGTAGACCAGAGTCATGGCGTACTCCAAATCAAGGTTGCTCTCGCCATTGAAGTTGAAGCTCATATTGGTCTGTTGAACAACAGCTCCATCGATCAAATCGGTGATGGGTCTGTCTCCGACTTGCTTCTCCGAGAAGTTGGCAAAGAAGAGATCAAGATCAGATGGAACGTAGGCCTGAGGAGTGTATTCGACGATTCCATAACTGTTCTTGACACTTTTGCCGGTGCTCTTGCCAATACTGTAAAGAGCCTTGAGACAGTTGGGNNGAGTAATCTGCTCATCACACTGTTCGAGCTCCTTGATGAATTGTGACTTGTTGATGTACTTGCCCAGATGGGGCGTGCTCCAGCTACCGGGTTGGCCAATCTCCTTGCCAGTATCGGNGGTTACATCACGCTTCTCAACCTTGTCAGATCGGTCTGTGACTCTGGTATCGAAGTGCAGGGAAGGAGTGACAAAGTCGATGTGGTCCTTGAGATGCTTGGGAAGACTATATTCGTCACAACCAATATGGGGATGACCAGTAGTATCGTGCTCATAAACGTGATACTTTGTGTTAAACAAGGACTCTGCTTGGTCGACCGAGGCTTCGAGGTTGATCCAGCCTTTGCCCTGACTCAACTTGACACTATCTGAAGAGATTCCAGAAGCAATAAGCCAATCCATGACCGAAGAGACAGTCTCATCACTAGGTGCGAAGTGATCTGCCACTTCTTGTGCAGTCCAGTGCTGGCCATACTTGGAAGACTCGGGATGGCTGACTTCATGCAGGTACACCGCACCCTGATCGAGGTTGCGTTGCGTCAGTGCAATCTTCATGGGGATCAAAGCACGACGATCGAGACGCTCGCCCTTGCTCCAACCCATGGGAGCAGCATCACGCTTCTCATGGACGACATAGTTTCCCGTAGGTGAGGCGAGGACGCAAGACACCAACACACTCAGGCTGAGCAAAGAGAGATGCATGATAACGGAAGAACGACAAGGCAGGATATGCCTTCCAAAGAATCAAACAAGAAAGAGGATGGAAGATGGGACAAACCTTGACTATGCAGCGGTTGTGATCAGTTCTTATAGACCATACTCTTACTCCTCCTTCCTCTTCAGAGATAGTAAAGTTCAGGGGTCGTCGCCAGGGACCACACGATAAGTTACGGCTGTGCTGCGCGCCATATTGCCCTGGAAGCATGATGTGTCCGGTTGATATGGAAGCTGTACAGCCCTTGGAAGACGGATATGGAGTAATACTAGCTAGTGCCCAGTTGGGAAGGAGGATAGAATGATCATAGACGCCATCGAACGACTAGCTGGCGGCATCTTAGAGGTACCTAGACAAGCTCCCGCGTTGAAAGCTTTCTCCATGCTTGTGTGGGCAGTCAAGCGGTCACTTGAGATGCACGAATTAAGAAGGTCGATAGCATGTGTGGGAAACAAGGCAGGTGGGCGCGAAAGCACGCGAGCAGACGTCGCCGATTGTGCCGCGGTCGGAGGTCCTCACCCCGCCTCGAGGAGCCAGCTGGTACATTTACCCACAGCTGGCTCGTACAGTGGTTGCTCTTGCTAGACACGTTTCTGATCGTCGAAAGAAGCTTATTTAGTCATGTTCATCTTTGAAGGAGATCAGCTGGAGGTCCTGACCGTGGTCACTTTGATATGTAAGATAACGAGACACTCATAAGTTTGATTGCATATCAAGGATGTTGTACGTTTGAAATGCATGCATGTTCATGTGGGGGCTCTCGACGGTGGGGGTGCGACTATTGATAAGCCTATCTACTGCATAATATAGATAAAAGTGCGGGAGCCAGTGGGCTTGACATTTGACACCGATGCTTCTCTGTGTGATAACGCTTTCGTTAAGCTTCTGCAGAAGGCTTGTCCTAATAATTGTCTCGGTAGTCAGTGGCACGATAAGAAATTGCTCCGTCAGAGTCCAGACTGAAATTAAGCAAGCTTGTAAATTCAGATCGATATTGGTCCTTCAAGCAGACTAGATAGGCGAGGGACGATCAGTGTTTATAAGCTCAATGAAGACTCGTATTGTGGAAACACGGATATCTCTCTCTTGAATATATGTACATTGAGGTCTGATAACTGCGGTACCCTTCCTTATCTGTTTAGCCGTCTCGAGCGCGAGAAAAAAGCCGGATAAAAGAGAAGGCACATTCAATTTTAGATGAAATGTCCTTGGTACCTCTCAGGTGGCGATTTGCTCGCAGTCGAATCTCTTGAGCTGTTCATCATGGGACTTACATCAGGAGAGCCGATCCTGGGAGACATGGTCATGGATGAAGGTGGTGAAATCACACTTCTGTCATCGTAATTGTTCCAGCTCATGATGTGTCGACTGTGCTGTCTTCTGCGCACTTCTTCTGCAAGACTGCTCTGCCCATGACTATCGTAGGCGTTCGAAGCAGATCTTCCTAGGACGGGTGATTCGTCAACTTGTGGCGACATTGGTGTCTTTGGTGCCATTATAGGACTTGCATCCAGTTCGACTGGAGCAGGGCCGACACTCGCTAAAGGATATACGGGCCTGCCTTCCACTTCTGCTGGACCAGTAGAATTGTAGGTAGCTGTTGTCGGCGCAGGCTTATCGTACTTGGCTGCGAAAAATCCGTTTGCAGAATCTTCTCTGGTGAGCCGAGACTCGTCGAGTGGTACTTGCTTCGGCGCTGTCGTATGTCCTTGATAGAACCNCTGTATCTATTTTAGCGATGGTCATGAAAAAGTTCGATCCAACTTACCTCCGAGTGCTGCAAACAGTGAGTCACCCTTCATATGAGACTCTGTTGGACCTCGTGGAACGCTCTGGTGGCTTCTCTTCTCTCTTCTCTCTTTCTGCGCCGGCTGCGCAGGCAGAAGAATACGAGCAGAGCAAGAAGGATGAGAAGAGCCAAGCCACCAATCACACCTCCAACNAATAGCCCCGATAGGTATGCCCTTGGAGTCATGCGACGGGTGAGAGGAGTTTGTCGGTAGGGCATCTGCTGGTGGAACGACTTGAGCGTTGCGGTTCAGCAAAGCGACTGTCACATAGTTGCTTCCTGAAGTACTCGAATAGCCATCTGCTGGGAGATTGGATTTCAGATAGCAAATCCCCGAATCAGTTCCTACAAACGTGAACCCTGCGCAGGCTGCAAAGTTGTCGCATGCTGAAAAGCATCTGCCGAATCCTCCTGTGCTGACAGTTGTGGAGTTGAAAGAATCGTAGGAATTGTCGGCATTGCAACGAATCGAGTATTGGACTTTGTTGGGGTCAACGTACGCTGTCATGTTTGCGGCTGGACATGTCAAGCTCGTTGCAGTGGGTATCGCGCTAGTTGAGGTAGTACTAGCTGAGGAAGAGGACATGGTTGCTGGGGAGGACATTTGAGTCTGAGTCGAGGCAGTTGTTATCGTAAAAGGCGGGCTCGGTTTGCGTGTAGTGGCTGAAGAGGTAGACAGAGTGCTGCTGGAGTCTGGACATGTGGCGCCAGGGTTGCAAGGATCGATGAAACAACAGCCTCTAAAACCATTCTGACAGACGTAGTAAGCGCCTCCGGGACAGCTTTGCCGATAATGAAGACCCTTTGGTTGCATTGTGCCGGATTGGGGATCAAGACGTCTCAATAGTGGTTGTTTCTTTGGAGCAGTATTTGGGATTCAATGTTGTGCGAGAAAATTGGGCATAGTGAGTGACGAGGCCGCGCGAAGTAATGAAAGAAGAGAAGTGACGACTGTGGCCGGAATTGTGAATTGGAAAGACAAAGAAGGAGATTGAGCGACGGCCAAAGAGACGCAAACGACAGTTCTCTCCATGAGGGTCAAACTGAGAGACCACCTACAAACACGGTCACCAGATGCGGCTTTCCGCGCAAGGCTTTGAAGCGGCCTAATAAGAGTACAAGGAATGTATCACCTGAAGCATTCAATCGGTTCCATGCCTCTTGTAACATCTGACACCAGCACAATGACTATGTCTCTGGCTGTTGCATCAGACGCATGATGATTGGACAGGACTAGTGTCGCATCACAGCAGTGCACATGCTTGCAAGACAGATACCTGAGGACTCATCCCAAATAGAGATGAATCTCATCAAAGAATCGATGGACGTTGGAGGAGTTGCTGGCGGCATCGGGCAAGAAGCGCAACATGTGGGCGCTCGGACCAACCGAAGAACCGAAGCATCCAGAATTGTGTCTGGTAACCTCGGACGAGCTCTTGGGCCCTGTCGTATATTTTTCCACACGACGTCGCCGTCTTACTCACTCTCATCTCGTCTGCCATTTGCTTTGTGGAGTAACAGGAGCAAACGGGTTCATATTCAATCTTTGCATTTTTGTTCATTTGCCTCCAACATGCAGCGCGCTTTCACCTCTCGTGCCAGGGCCTCTGCCCTTTCGGCCTCCAAGCTGCGTTCGGTTTCCCTGCAACAGCAGCGTTTCGCACACAAGGTACTACATGCCCGCAGTCATGCCTACACCACACGCTGACCACCGCCTCTANNGGAGCTCAAGTTCGGCGTCGAGGGCAGACAGGCTCTGCTCAACGGTATCGACACCCTCGCCAGAGCCGTCGCCACTACCCTGGGTCCCAAGGGTCGCAACGTCCTCATCGAGTCCAGCTACGGCTCGCCCAAGATTACCAAGGGTATGCGCAACTCCACCCTGAAGAAGCTTCGTGCGACCCATTCATGGCTAACACCATTCCANGACGGTGTCACTGTCGCCAAGGCTATTGTCCTCAAGGACAAGTTCGAAAACCTCGGTGCCCGCCTCCTCCAGGATGTTGCCAGCAAGACCAACGAGGTTGCTGGTGACGGTACCACCACCGCCACTGTCCTCGCTCGCGCCATCTTCTCCGAGACCGTCAAGAACGTCGCCGCTGGATGCAACCCCATGGACCTGAGACGCGGTATTCAGGCCGCTACCGAGGCCGTCATCCAATACCTCCAGGCCCACAAGCGCGATGTCACCACCAGCACTGAGATCGCCCAGGTCGCCACCATTTCCGCCAACGGCGACACCCACATTGGTGCTCTCCTCTCCAGCGCCATGGAGAAGGTCGGCAAGGAGGGTGTCATCACCGTCAAGGAGGGCAAGACCATTGAGGACGAGCTTGAGATCACCGAGGGTATGAAGTTCGACCGCGGTTTCATCTCGCCTTACTTCATCACCGACACCAAGTCGCAGAAGGTGGAGTTCGAGAAGCCCCTCATTCTCCTCTCCGAGAAGAAGATCTCCGCCGTCCAGGACATTGTCCCCGCTCTCGAGGCTTCCCAGCAGCTCCGTCGTCCTCTCGTCATCATCGCCGAGGACATTGACGGCGAGGCTCTTGCCGTCTGCATTCTCAACAAGCTCCGTGGCCAGCTCCAGGTCGCCGCTGTCAAGGCTCCCGGCTTCGGTGACAACCGCAAGTCCATCCTCGGCGATCTTGCCGTTCTGACCAACGGTACCGTCTTCACCGACGAGCTCGACATCAAGCTCGACAAGGCCACNCCCGAGATGCTCGGTTCCACCGGTTCTATCACCATCACCAAGGAAGACACCGTCTTCCTTAACGGCGAGGGCAGCAAGGACCAGGTTGCTCAGCGTTGTGAGCAGATCCGCGGCGTCATTGCCGACCCCACCACTTCCGACTACGAGAAGGAGAAGCTCCAGGAGCGTCTCGCCAAGCTTTCTGGTGGTGTTGCCGTCATCAAGGTCGGTGGCTCTTCCGAGGTTGAGGTCGGTGAGAAGAAGGACCGTCTCGTTGACGCTCTCAACGCCACTCGCGCTGCCGTCGAGGAGGGTATCCTTCCCGGTGGTGGTACTGCCATGATTAAGGCTGCCGCCAACGCTCTGAACGACCTCAAGCCCGCCAACTTCGACCAGCAGCTCGGTATCAGCATTGTCAAGAACGCCATCACCCGTCCCGCTCGCGCCATTGTCGAGAACGCTGGTGCCGAGGGCAGCGTGATCGTTGGCAAGATCATGGATGAGTTCGGTCAGGACTTCAACAAGGGTTTCGACAGCGCCAAGGGCGAGTACGTCGACATGATCGCTGCCGGTATCCTCGACCCCTTCAAGGTCGTCCGCACCGGTCTCAGAGACGCTTCCGGTGTTGCCTCGCTCCTCGGTACCACTGAGGTTGCCATTGTCGAGGCAGCCGAAGAGAAGGGTGCTGGCGGCATGCCTCCTATGGGTGGCATGGGCGGCGGCATGGGCGGTATGGGCGGCGGCATGTTCTAAGCCAACCGCACCTTGGAAGAGTCGATGATACCCCAAATTTCCTTTAGCCTCTGATGGGCACTCACGTTTTTATGTATTGTAGCTAAAAGCCCTGTGGCATTTCTGCCGTGTCGTTAATGTACAAACATTTCTCCTCTCCTAGATTGCATAGCAGAGGGTGGGTCAGCGATATATATCTGTACGAATAGATGTTCTTTCTTCAATCTCTGCTCGACCAGTCGTGGTAAAGTGCATAGAATGTCGCTCTTCTGAGATGTTCAAGCATGTGAAGGGCAGGTCGAGTGAAATGAGGCTGAATCGGCGTCGTCATGTTCTGGTGTCACGTGCGTGGACCAGGAGAGGAAGTCGCGGAGAGGACGGGGGCCACGGCGCACGGGAGGGGCAGCAAGCTCACACGCCAGCACCACAAGTTGTTGTCTACCACAACACCTGCACCTGCACCGACCTACGCTCCTATCCGGTACGTTGCCGCCCTCGCCTGTACACGCGTACAATGGCAGCCTGTCTTGCCAATGTGCCCTTGCTACAATCCTGTTGCCTCCACCTGGCCCTACTTAACACCGACGGCTGACACCGCTCCGACAGCCATCATCGTGTCTTAGACCTGCTAGACAGATAATCACAATGGTATGACCCTCCGCAGCTACTCGATCGAACTGCACGCTAACATGACCATCTCTAGGCCCAATCAGGGTATGTCCACCTCGACCCTCACCTCCCGCCCTGACTGCGGCCCAAGCACGAACCATGGCGCTGATAACCCACCGACAGCGTTTCCGTTGCACCCGAATGCATCACCGCATTCAACGACCTCAAGCTCGGCAAGTCGACCAAGTGGATCATCTACAAGATCTCGGACGACTGGAAGGAGATTGTCGTCGANGACTCATCCACCGAGGCCAACTACTCCGTCTTCCGCGAGAAGCTTCTCAACGCAAAGAGCAAGGACCGAAGAGGCAACGAGGGCATTGGTGGCAGATACGCCGTCTACGATGTCGAGTACGACACTGCTGGCGAGGGCAAGAGGTGCGCAATCCTCAACTTGTCGTGCCCGCCGCATACTGACGCCCACTGCAGAAGCAAGATTACCTTCATCGCCTGGGTCCCTGATGATGCATCGCAATACGTGAGCCCATGCCTCGTCCGACCATCTACAGCCACACGTACTGACTGCTCCAACTCTAGNCCCCGTATGATGTACTCGTCCTCCAAGGAAGCCATCAAGCGCTCCCTCAACGGCCTCGCCGCCGACATTCAGGCCAACGACCCCGATGACATTGAGTACGAGAGCATCGTCTCCAGAGTCGCCAAGGGCCGCTAAACGTCTCACCTTTCCGAATCCCTTAATATACGCTTCATCCGGCAAAAGAGCAGCAGTGTTTGCTTGACACATGGAGCAGGTTTCTTTTACAAAGCAAGAAGCGCATACAGACGACGTTGGAGAGTGATGACGAGTGCTGCCCCAGAAACAGCCCATGTTGATCGAGGCTTCCCATAGAAATACTTATGAAAGCACTGCTTCATGCATTGCAATGGCCGCGTCGCCAGCGTGTATAGTCGCATATGAGCATGTTGTCTTTTTTACCCCCTACTGTTCCACGTCCAGTGACTTGATCTTCCACTACTCAATTGCTTCGTATGACTCTGCTTCTAATGTTCCATGTACAAGTCAGAGTGCACATCACATGCACAAGTTGGTCATAACTTGTGCTACGTCATCTTGTGAAGCAGCAAACAACCTATCCACGTGTGCAAGAAGCCAGACTTCTTGGAGGCCCTCGAAGCACTCTTCCATACCTACTTACCTCTCGATCGCTCTGTCTCGTATTGTGGAGGTCTATTTGCACTGATCTCACCGAGCAAGCTTTACGATGTTGCCCTACATCAACGCCCGTGAGTGCTACGTGAACCCTGGCTCCGGATGGGCAAAAGCATAGCTTTACTGACTTGAGCTTATAGCGTTTGTCTACGTGGCTGGCAAACTGGGCGCAGCACCCGATGAGTGTATGTACTGGTGAATTGAGCTTAACATCAGGCCGACTGACAGTGCATANGTGAAACTCATCTGCTCCTTTCTGTTGTCATATCCTTTGGCTGGAGTACTCAAACGCATTCCCGACTCGAGACCTGCACAGAAAAATGCTTTCATCATTGCGTATGTATCGACTTGTGACCCTTTTCACTCTACTCTACTAACTTTGACAGTNGTTTCCATGTTCTACCTCGTCGGCCTCTTCGACTTGTGGGCCGGTCTACGTACCATCCTGATCAGCTCTGTGGGTGCATACTCGATTGCGGCGTACATCCAAGGACCTTATATGCCATGGGTTGGCTTCGTCTTCCTCATGGGACACATGTCTGTCAACCACATCTATCGCCAGATTCTCAACGACCCCAGCACTGTCGACATCACCGGTGCCCAGATGGTCTTGGTTATGAAACTGACGGCCTTCTGCTGGAACGTCTACGATGGCACACTACCTGAAGCCTCTCTAACTGATCACCAAAAAGACCGCGCACTGAAGAAGCTGCCTAGTCTGCTTGATTATGCCGGTTTCGTGTTCTTCTTCCCGTCGCTGTTCGCAGGTCCTGCTTTCGATTATGTGGACTATAGAAGATGGATCGAGACCACCATGTTTGAGCTTCCTGATGGTGTTGATCCTTCCAAGGCACCACCGACTCGCAAGCAACGCAAGATNCCGCGCAGCGGCACACCTGCAGCATGGAAAGCAGCCTTTGGTCTTCTCTGGATCTTTGCTTTCCTCCAATTCTCTGGCTACTACTACACTGATTTCTTGCTCTCCGACGTTTACAAGGAATATGGTGTTCTTCGTCGTGTCTGGATCTTGCATATGCTAGGTATCACTACTCGCATGAAGTACTATGGTGTCTGGTCTCTTACCGAGGGCGCTTGCATCCTCTCTGGCATTGGGTACAAGGGCATTGACCCCAAGACCGGCAAGGCCGACTGGAACAGACTGCAAAACGTGAAGCCTCTTGCTATTGAGCTGGCTCAGAACAGCCATGCTTACCTCGGCAACTGGAACATCAACACAAACTTGTGGTTGAGGAACTACATGTACCTGCGAGTCACGCCCAAGGGCAAGAAACCCGGTTTCAGAGCTAGTATGGCTACTTTTGTCACCAGTGCATTCTGGCATNNGGATTCTACCCTGGCTACTACCTTGCATTTGTGCTTGCGAGCTTTATCCAGAATTCTGCAAAGAGTCAGTCCTGATTTTCCAATCTTCGAGAGAGAGAGAGAGAGAGAGAGCTGTGATCACTGACTTCTACGAACAGACTCGCGCCGTTTGATCCGTCCCTTCTTCATGAGCCCAGACGGCACAAAAGCCCTGCCCTCGAAACGCTACTACGACATCTTCACCTGGCTATGTACTCAACTCGCCTTCTCCTTCACCGTCGCCCCATTCATATTCCTCGGCTTCGGTGACTCTCTCTTGGTCTGGCAGCGCGTCTACTTCTACACCATAATCGGTGTCACTGTTTCTTCTCTATTTCTTCTGTCTCCCGGAAAGCAGTTCCTGCAGCAAAAGGTCAAGCAACACTCCAAGCCTAGCGAGGAGCAGGTCAAGAAGGACCTGGAGAAGGAATCTAGAAACCCGACTTTGGGGTTGCCGGATGATCCTGGCCGTGCTTGGGATGAGATGGTCGAGGAGATTACAGCCGAGATCCAAGAGAGAAAGAGAAAGGGATTGCCTATTCCTGCAAAACTGAGACAAGAAGCCGAGGCCGTTGGAAAGAAGGTCACTTAGACTGAGAAGAAAAAAGCAGATTCGAAAGGATACGGTGGGAGGATGCATGAAGAAGAGGAAACAGTAAAAGAGTGGTTCCGACACACATCGTCGAATCCATCATAGGAAAATAGCATGACAAGCATTGCACCAGAACGACAAGCATGGCGATAAGTTGTAAAGTAATTGTGAATTAGAGGAAGAATGTTCAATCGGACAGGGTCAGGATAAAAACATCAAATTAATCAATTTTGATCATCGTCGTTGATTCATGAGCTCTTTTGACAAAGAGTGTCTATATTGAAGCAATGGAATGGTGCTCGGATGGCTCTCAGTTCGTGCTGTTGCTAAAACCAAATGTCTAGAACATCATGACGACGCTCCGAATGTTTCGACAGAGCCTTGTGATACAGGCAAGGCTAGATTTCGTTGAAGTCGTTCTTTCCTTCTAGCCAAAAAGGCACACTGAGCTCAGTGTGCTGTGTGGTGTCTACCAGGAATACACCTCCTTGACCATCCACTTGTAATCTCCATAGGTCAGAGTGTTGCCCTCGATCACTCTCTCGGGGGTAAATGCCAACGAGACGGGTAAATACAGATCACCCAATCTGGCAAGACGTTCCCAACCACCTTTAATGTCCTTTTCTGGCGCTTCGAACTTCCAGCGCTCAACAGTCGTTTGCTCACCGACCTTCAGGATGGCTTGACAATGTTCACCCACGCGAACAACACGGCCTTTAGCTTTGTGCTCAGGCTCGTCGAGATCGATCACGACACTCCAGCGTGTTCCTTCTACAGCAGAGGCAGAGTAGTCGACCCACACTTCTTCGTAGGGTTGCTCTAAGTTTGTGAGAGGGTTGTACATTGCACCGAGTTCAAGAGTTGTGTTGTTGGGTTGGGGGTACATATCGCCCTGATCGGGTCCAGGAGTGTCGGTGCGACTGTCGATCCAGTGGGAGAATGTGGAGTGGCAGACAGATCTTGATGAGCCGTCTGCTGGTGGAGGTGGGTTGGAGGGATGATTTAGTGATGGTCCTTCGATAATGGTGCTCGTTGATATACCAGCAATTCCCCAGTCGAGGAGACTCGATGGGCCGCCTATGAGGTCGTCAGTCAACATTGAAGCAGGCGAGGAGTATGAGAACATGGCGGTGACTGCAAATGCAAACCAGAGATTCTACTCAACGTAGAAGACTCGATCTAGACTGCAAAACTTGAACTCACCTTCATTAGGCAATATCTCTCCTGGTTTGCAGGAGATGCGAACATCGACAAACTGGCCTCGCGAGCTAGTCAGGACCAGCGTGGAAGTTGGTTCTTCGAGTTGGTGATCATCAGGTAGCTGAGAAGACATGTGAGCGTCTGCGCGTCAGTAGGCAATCAAGGTACATACCCATCTGATGCCTCTTCTCTCCGAGATGCCTGGCTCGTTCCTCTGTGGTTCGGCCATGGTTCGCGTCGGAAGGGTGGCTGACAGGTGAAGAGATTGAGGTTGCTTGTTTTGAGCGGCCTTCCTTCTGTTCTTTGGTTTCTTATTGGATTTAGTACTTGTATTGGTGGGTTTGTCATTGTCGTGATTCATGGTGATGTTGCGATAAGGAAGAGTAAAGGAAGGAACAGCGAAAGGCTTGGGCCGTCTTGATCTGTTTTTGGGATTCAGGTGCGAGTGAATGTCGCGAGCAGTATCAATTCCACTGAAGAGCCTGGGCCGCTTTCTCTGGTCAAGATTGGACGTGTTGAAGAATAAAGGGTGTGTGAACGACTGCATGTTGAGACGCAGTCGGAAGATTGTGAGAAGACAACAAGACACGGGCAATATTTGTGCTTTGGACAAAGACAATACGGAAAAGTGGTGTCAAACACTTACTCTGGCCAAAGAGATTGGAAGAGTGGAAAATGGCAGGACCGAGAGGGTGGCAGCTGCCAGCCCAAGAGGGAAGTGTGATGACGGAGCCGACGCGGCCAAGATTGGAACGCGTCTTCCTGGAAGCCGTCGCTACCTGATTCACAGACTGTACATACCACGTAGCCACCATGTCCGACAACGGCGACGAGAACGACCAGGTCTACAACAACAGCCACCGCGCATTCCTACAGTCCTTCCTCTCTCGTGCCACGCTTAGCTTCGAACAAGCTCGCCCCATTGTTGCTGCCATTGAGAAAGCTCAAGGTAGGCAGCCCTCATGTACACTGAATACAACAACTCACACGTANCAAGCACAAGATGGCCGCGATATCCAACCCGCCGACATCACCGAACAAGACGTCTCGACTTACATCAACGTGACCAATGCCGCCATCTCTCGCTTCGACCTGGAAATCAGAGACACCCTCTCCCAGCACGACCGCACCCGCATCTACGCGCTCGTAAACGTCTCTTCTGACTCGATTACTCAACTTGCAACCACCCATACTCCTGACGAAATTGCTTTCGTCAAACGCTGTCTCGACGCCATGTTTGAGTCCAACAACACATATCGCAGCGAGGTGCTTGCCGTTAGGTCTACCGAGGCCTTGAGACTGGCAAAAGCCCCGCCCGCCCACTCTCAGGACGCTGACACTACTCAAGGTGCTACCTCTCAGAGTCTGACCATGATGCAAGCTCAAAGAATGCTGCAGGCCATGGTCGATGAGGGCTGGTTCGAGGTCAGCAAGAAGGACTTTTATACCCTGACTCCGCGTGCTCTGATGGAGTTACGCGGCTGGCTAGTCGAAACATACAACGACGACGAGGATGAGAGGATCAAGAACTGCTCCGCTTGCAAGGCCATAATCACAATGGTATCTTTTGCTCTTCCTGTCTCGACTCTGCAAGACTGCTGACGACCCATGTAGGGGGAAAGATGTCCCGATCTCGACTGCTCTGGTAGACTGCATCACCATTGCAAACGTGTGGCCTTCAGAGCACAAAACAACAACGAGCGCTGTCCGGTCTGCAAGAAGGAATGGGAGCATGCCCCGCCAGTAGGCGAGAAAGCGGCAGTCCAGAACAGAACGAGTACAAATGGCACTGGTGCCTCGAGACGCTCTACTACGGCCCAGACCGACGGTGCAGACGATTCACCAAACGACTCGACAGGCGATGAAGGCTGAACAAGAGGCTTACTCGGAATGCCACTTCCACATCAAAGACTGCGACACACCTTCAGTCTTGCAGAAGCTTGGCGCCCTTACCTAGGGAAGCATGCCCAACCTCATCTACAGCATCGGGATGACAGAGAAATTCAGGCGAGACTTTACGACCTCTACGCTGCTGCCCAGCACTCTACGATAGCGTTTGTCTGACAGCCATATACGTGGGTCAAGACAGAAGACATGACGGAAGTAGATGATATCGACGACCAAAACAAGGGTCGGAGAGCGGAGCAGTCATAAAGATACATTGATGGCCGTGTCAAATAACGGCGCCAGAAGAATTCTGTGGAGAGAGCAAGTGCTGGCCACCTCTTTGCGGTAGTTCAATAAGTCACGTCAAATAGCTGTAGCATCAGACGAGTGGACATGTTTCCACAAGGCGCATTCTCGCATGAAAATAAAAAGGTCTTTGTCTCGTTTTTGGTTTGCTTGCTTTTTCGACAACACAACAGCGATTTTCGTTTCTTCTTGTCTGGCTCGCTAACGACGTGGACAGCTGCATCGTGCGCAGGGATGATGGGGGTGTTGTTGAAGCTGGACAACAGCAAAAGTATCGCTTTTGGAATATTCTTGCCTATGCCATCATGAAAAGTCTTGGATCCCTTTTAACATTTTCCCTTTTCCCCCAGTCACACACGCGCGCCAATGGAAAAGAGGGGGATCATCACAAACCCCCAGCAACCCACGAGTCGAAGGCCACCAATGCGAATGCCACACACCGTAAACAACACCTTCCTCCCCGGCAAAGAGGAGAATTGTTTAACGGTAGGACTTCTGGAAGCGCGAGCGGGCACCCTTACCACCGAACTTCTTGGGCTCGCATCTTCTGTTGTCGGCAACGAGGAGTGTGCGGTCGTAGGCGACAAGAGCCTGCTTCAGCTGGTTCTTGGAGTGCTCATCGACGAACTTCTGGTAGTAGGCGATNNCTTGAATGCGCGTTAGTCTAGGTCCTGACATCGTGTGTTTGAGTTGTGTGCGTGTCGCGCGAGATCATGTCGCAGGGGCCCTTGTGTATTTTCTGCGTTCCTCGAGTCCCTCCTCTTTCCGTTGTGCGATCGGATCGTGATGGGTGTTGGCTGTGATAAAACGTACGATGGACTTGGCAATGGCCTGGCGGATGGCGTAGACCTGGGAAGTGTGACCACCACCAGTAACGCGGACTCTGATGTCAACACCGGCNNTGTAAAGAGAAGAATCTGTCAGCAATTTGTCCGAACAAAGATTCCAAGCTGCGTGCAAGATCTCCAGATCCATTCTTCCATTCACATGTTCCAAGCTCTTTTACATCCGCTGCTCTTTCTGTCTTTCCGGGAGAATAGGTAATCGCATACCGAACTTGTCGAGGCCGAGGATGAGGACAGGCTCGTAGACCTTGAATCTGAGGATCTCGGGCTGAACGAGCGAGATGGGCTGGCCGTTGACCTTGATGAGGCCCTGGCCCTGCTTGCAGTGGGCAACAGCGGTGGCGGTCTTCTTCTTGCCGAAGCACTGGACGCTCTGGGAGGACGACATGTTGGCGGTTGTTGTGTGGAAGTTGTCGAAGGGGTCGGTCTCGTGTCGTCGCGAAGGGCTCAATCGTCTTCAGAAGGCGGCGGATTTGCTGCACGAAATTCGAGTGGCTCGGCTTGGGATTTGCCGCGATTTAGCCGTGCGCCTTCGTGTCTTGGCATCCATCGACCATTCCTCTCTTTCTTCACTAATTATTCGATCAATCGACGACAATGTCTGTCTATGCTCTGGGCTCGAATGGCTCGTGTCAACTTGGGGTCGGTCACGACGAGGATCTCTCTGAGCCGTCACTGGTCGGCGTGGACAAACTCGACGCCTTGATTATATCAATCAAAGCTGGCGGGAACCACACCTTGATTCTTACCAAATCCGGCACCGTCTATGCTACTGGTGAGAATACTGATGGAAGATGTGCGCACCCTATAGATGTAGCCTCTATTACATCCTTCATCCCATCCAGTCTACCTAGGATCGACTTCATCGCGGCTACTTGGGACGCGTCCATNCTTGCATCTGCGCAATCTATCTACGTGTGTGGCAGTGGTGCCAAAGGTGAACTAGGCCTCGGACAGAGCGTAGCAAAAGCAGAATGTCCACAGCAGATTGCAAATTTTCCGCCCACAGGCACACATATCATCGACTTGACCGCCTGCATGGGCCACGTCGTAGCAGTCTTGTCAAATGGACAGGTCTATGGCTGGGGCAACGGACTGCACGGCGAGTTGGGCAACCCTCTTGGCATTGTCTGGCAACCTCGTAGGCTTGATGATATACCATTTTCAGTCACTCGCGCCGCCTGTGGCAAAGACTTTACATGTGTTTTTGGCGATCCTGCTGATGGACAGCTACAATTGCTCGGTTTGGCGAAGCGCGACAGATTCAACATCAAGTCAAACACGCCTCAGACAGTTCGAGATTGGGTCGATGTACAAGCTACGTGGGGTGGCGTTTACGCTCTGCTATCTAACAACATGCTTGTTGCTTGGGGTAGGAATGATCATGGACAGCTCCCGCCTGCAGATCTATCAGTGACTGCTATGGCCGCTGGTAGTGAGCACATGCTTGTTCTGACAGCATCTGGCAAGGTGCTCGCTTGGGGCTGGGGTGAGCACGGCAATTGCGGCTTGCCTACCGATGAGCAACGCGATGTCAAAGGTCGATGGAACGAGCTTGACGTAGGTAAAAACGTCCAGCATATCGGTGCTGGCTGTGCAACGAGCTGGATCGTCACCATATGAAGCAATTCTGAGGCTAGACGGCAACCTCGGCATCAACTCTCGATGCAAAACATCAGTCGAACAGTCCATTCATCTGCGACATGAATTAGCCACAATATTGTGAAGAGCAACATCGGAATTACCTGGGAAAGCCTCTGCGTAGGCGGTAGACCTTGTGTGCTTCTGTTGAGACTCTGACTCAGTGGTGGTGGATCACGGGTAATGGCATCGCGGAAGGTCGGATGGGAACCGCCAGTNNCTTGATAGAGTCAGCATGATTCAGCCAAATGCACGCCATTACTCACGACATTTGCATTGGCGTCCCAGCCCAGCATCTCTTCTTCTTCTGGCTCTGGGTCAAAATCTGCTGGATCGAACCTCCTGTCATCTTGATCGCCATGCGGCATGAACAGGCTTTCAGGGTCGGGGTCCACGTTTGAAGTCGTTGTAGCTTGAGAGGTTTGCCGTCCGAGATTTCCCAGAACCCGTCTCTGCGGACCGACAACAGAAGCAGGTTTTGGTGGAGGTGCCATTTCAGTGTTTCTGCCTTCGACAGTCTGTATCACCGCATGCGAAGACTGCCTTGAAGGCATGCCTGATGCTACAGATGGCTGTCTCGTCGATGCGTCCGGATCTACCGTCGATTGTCTTGACGGTCGCAGTGGTACAGCTGAAGGTTGCCTCGAAGCTTGGCCACCTGGGCGGGTAGATGCCACTTTTGGTGCTGTTGCAGGCGGAACAGCTTGGGCGACACCGGTTGTCATCAGTATGAATTCACAAGTCAGTCCCTTGTCTGTATATCTGAACAGCAATGGCCTTCCAGGACGAGAGAACTGAGCAGACATTGATGTCTTCAAAGTCTCGGCGTGTGTTACGATGGCCTTGAAGTCTTTGACATTGATGACTATGTGGACGTCTTCTTCAGCGTGGAAGTCATCAAAGTCCTGAATGTGTAGAGATATAGCTGTTTCTAGCGGTTGCTTGAGGATTTCTGTAACATGCATCAGTGATATACCTTTCAACATAGTGAGACTTTCATACCTTTNTCCGTCCATGATCTTCTCTGTGAAGCTGGTGAATATGGCTTTTTCCTCTTTGACCAGCAAATCAAGCTGTACTGTTTTCGTTCCGAAGAATTCGATGTATTCGCGGAGTATACGAGAAGAGATCTTCCATCCATTTGGTGCGTTGTATCTGTCGAAAAGAGCGTGCGATACTTCCACGGATTCGTAAGTCAACCGGTAGGTTTTGGTCACGCCTTGAACTCCAGTCAGCTCGCTCTCGAACTTCGTGTGGTCAAGATAGACCTTACCATGCCTGCAAACCATTTTGACAACCAGCCGGCACTGCACCTTGTTCGGCTTGTCTTCCACGCTGACTTCACATCGATCTATCGATGTATCACCACCACGAGGGTCTGACATGCGGCTTTTGAACACGGCAAGCAGAGCCTNTGAGATGTGTTAGTCAACATTCCAGCACTATATCCATTTAATACTGACCTTGTTGTAGAGTTGACATGTGAATCTAGCTCCTTGTCCCAAACCGAAGTCATAGGACAGAAAGAATGACTTTGCATCCAAGGCGAAAGAAGCGTATGAAGTTCTTGATGAATTCAGCGTGGTTAGACTGAGCTGGAAAAAGAATCAGCATACCGAAGCTAGATGCACCGCATAATATCATGAACTTACCATATCGCCACGAGCTTCCATACAAACTGTCTCACTGAATTTCGCTAAACAGACCAAAGCATCGTGCACCTTGGCCGTAGCTTCTGGNNGTGAAAATGCAAAGCTGAGAGTAGACATTTCGGCTTATCTTGTTCAAGGTAAAACCTTGGTCTGAAAGACGAAAGAAAATAGTTTGGGTACGGACTGCCAAGAGCTGGTGCCTTTGGAGGAAGACGCGATCCAGACGCGTTTGTGATGACGTGCCTTACTGTTCCGGCCACGACCAGAATACCTATCTATCTTTCCTATTTTGACCTAGAGTCCTATCGTTACAACAGTGTCGGTCAAATATGTCTGTCGACGACGAAATAGTCACAACCAATGTGAGATTGCCATCTGATGTGTGGCAGCTTCTCTTCGACGAGCTTGCTGCACGCAATGACTTCTCGAGCTTGTACAATTGTGCTGTGGCTAGCAAACATCTGGCTGGCTCTGGAGCCCTGGCAAACCTCTACCGGTACTGGTATCATCTATCATGAATAACGATCGGAATTGCTAATAGAGCTTAGNNCGCGAGTCACAATGCACCAGTCAAGAGTGGAGGTAATGAATCATTGCCATTACAAGAACAGGAGCAAGCTGTTCAAAGATGGTCCATCTTATGGCGGACCATATTGCTCTCATGTACTGAGGAAACACTCTTTCCGTATTGCCATTACTTGAGGGTACTTGATCTACGGGATCTCTACGATCTACTGGACGACGATAAGTTCAGAGGTAAGATCCAGCAGTAAGTCTGAATGCGCCGCTTTTAATAGGACTCCGACTTACACTGATGCAGGAACTTCTACTCCGGTTCTCTTGCAAGATTCAACATTACTAGCCAGACAAGAGGCAAAAACCGTGCCTTGAAATCGAGCAATATGCGTGCGGCAGTTGCTGCGATCGGAGATGGTATGTCGCATATGCGCAACTCTGCAAATGAATACCTGACTGACCAAAGAACAACTCANGCAATCGTGAAGGCTGCACCCATGCTCGAGGAACTCACTGAGCCTATCGTTCATGGCGAATATAACAGTAGGTCCAACTCGCACACACTGATGAGGGGATACTGACATGTCTATAANGTTCTCTCTAATGCATTGCCAAGGTGGGCGCCCGATTTGAGTAGGCTACGATCGCTTGAACTATGGGACGGTAAAACATTGGGCGACGAAACCGTTCAGAAGCTCCTACATAAGCACTGTCCACATCTCAACAGGATCAACATCTATCAGTGGNNTGAGTAAACCTGGCTACCTTCTAAAACCATGCCAACACTGTGCAACAGGGTCGGTGACGATTCTGACCGACAACTTGCACGTTTTCTAAATCGCATGCCAAAGAACACACTACAATATTTTGAGAATATTGGAGAATGCGGCGTTGGTACCGAAACTTGCCAGGCACTAAACACGCATGGAGCGTCTTTGAAGTTCTTAGCACTTGCAATTCCGGACAAAGGAATCGAAGGACTAGGGATGATGCAAGACTGTACAGTGATTGAGACGCTCAAACTGACCGACACGCAAGCACCGCACGATCTCAAGGAAATGCAGAAAGATACCCTGGACGCTATGGTAGAGTGGCTGAAGCAGTGCACAAAACTGCGTGAAGTCACTTTGATTGATTTCATTTCTGCTCCAGACATTCTAGCACCAGTGTTAAGCGAGGAGGGTATTGACCTAGAGGACTTGCAGATTGGTGCAAAAGATGACTGCATGTACGCACTACGAGAGCATCAAGAATTTCATGCGGCCATCGGATTGCAGACGAGACTCCAGAGTCTGCTGCTGAAGGCCGATCCTGACCCTCTAGAACCTGTTGCCCGCAATCAGCTTTGCGAATCTCTGTGCGAGTTGAGAGATTTGCGATACCTCCAGCTTACTCGATCATCTGATTATTTCCAAGATGATCAGCTGCAGCTTCTCGGAGAAAACCTGCTGAACCTGGAGGAACTCCTTGTTAGTGGTTGGCTGTTGAGTGATCGAACGCTGACCACACTGTCCAACCTGGGAAACTTGAAGAGTGTATCCTTCACTGGTTTATCGGTCTTCACGGCGGATGGTCTTCTAGATTTCATTGATAAGCTTGGCCCAGGCAACCGCGGTCTGGCCATCTCGATCGATATGGCTTCACTAGACGCAGCTTTGAGCAGCGAGGAGCAGGACCTGATTCGTGATACTCTAGCCACCAAGGTGCAAGGTCGTTTCGAGTACCAGCTTGTCAGAGGTAAGCCAGCTTCGTCCTCATAAAGTTCAGCTCCAAGCTAATGTCTGAGCNNAGATCCTGATATTCCAGAATTTGACGAGTCGGATTCAGACTGAGAGGCTTGTATAGCATATAAACAACCATCTATTTCATGATTTTCAGAAGCTTGCATTGAATAGGGCTAAATGACAGAGCGTCTCGGAAGCGGCTCGGTGGATTCACCCCGATGACGGCAGCCGCGAGCTCGACATTCAACCAACGCGTTCTTTCCACAATTATTATCAGACAACCCACAAAGATGGCACATGCAAGACGTATTCTTGTTGTCGCAGGGTCTGACAGTTCTGGCGGCGCGTAAGGACATGCCCTCTAGGAATGTGTTGCTGACGACTAATTTTTGTTTATCTGACAGNNAGGCCTCGAGGCTGACCAGAAAGTCATTGCGGCTCACGGCTGTTATGCTATGACTGCAACTACTGCTTTGACCGCGCAGAACACACAGGGCGTCACTGGTATACACGAAACACCATCAGAATTTGTGAAGAAATGTATCGACGCCTGTGCTGAGGATGTTGGTATTGATGTAGTCAAGACTGGTAAATTGATCTCTTTGTTCTTACATATAAAATCGACCTACTCTCAAAGAACCAGATTGTCCACTACCTCTCGACTTTGGCTGATTATGTTANNAGGTATGCTGGCCTCTGCTGGCACCATACAGGTCGTTGCAGACGCATTGAGAAAGTACAAGCCCGCATGCAGTATTGTTGATCCGGTAGGCTCACTTCTTTGAATATCATGCTACTTGACTGATGGATACAAGGTCATGGTAGCGACTAGTGGAGCAAGACTTCTGAAAGAGGAAGCTATCAAGACACTCTGCACAGAGCTCTTACCTGTCACTGGTCTGATCACGCCAAATATTCCAGAAGCACTTCTCCTACTGGAAGAATCTGGCAATAAAGTCAGCGACATCAAGGATCTCGATGGCATGAAGCGCCTGGCTAAAGCGGTTGCTGACCTCGGTCCTAAAAGTGTGCTGATCAAAGGCGGACACATCCCGCTGAAGAAGAACTATGAAGTTGCTTCCAATGATGACGAGAAGGAAGTCCTGGTCAACGTACTCTACACGGATGGGGACTTTTGTGTTTTCGAGTCCAAGTATCAGGTTGCAAGAAATACTCACGGCACTGGATGTTCGCTTGCGTGTATGTTACGTTACGTCTTCGCGTGAACTCGAGGATAGGCTAACATGCATGCAGCTGCAATCGCTTGCAACATCGCCAACGGACTGAGTATGGAGCGAGCAGTACGTGCAGCTGGTCGCTACGTCGGAGCTGGCATTAAGACGAGTGTCGATCTTGGTAAAGGCTCTGGTCCGATCAACCACTTTCATTCTATCAATATCATGCCCTTCCCACCGTAAGTCGAATCGGTCGTAGTGAGTTGCACCCATACTTATGTCAAATGCAGTGGTGGTTTCGTGGACTGGTTGCTAGAACGAGAAGATGTTCAAAAAGTCTGGAAGGAGTTCACCCAGCACGAATTCGTCGAGAAGATGGGCGATGGTACTCTGCCTGTGGAGAGCTTCAAGTTCTACATGGTTCAAGACTACCTATANCTTGGTAAGCTTCAGAATAAATGAGTGAACAATCCAATACTTACTATCAGACAGACGCAATTTGCTCGAGCTAATGCACTTGCTGGTTACAAGGCCAAGACTCTGGAGGGCGTTGCAGCAGTACGTTGTATACAATGACTAACTCGGCTGACTAGACTAACCAGACCACAGTCTGCTGGCATTGTCACGCACATCCATACCGAAACCAAGCTGCACGTGTCTGAGTGTCTAGAGCTGGGCGTTACAATGGACGAGTTACGAAACTCTGAAGAGCACCAAGGTCTGTGTGCTATCATTTCTGCCGCTGTACGAAACCAATCTAATTTAGTCTCCGTAGCCTGCACAGCATACAGCCGCTATATTCTCGATATTGGTGCATCAGAAGACTGGCTCGCCCTCCAAATAGCCATGTTCCCTTGCCTCCTCGGCTATCATCATATCGCAAAGCGTCTTTCCTCGCTCCAAGACCCTTCTGCACCCAAGAATGCAAACCGCTACCGCCAGTGGATTGATAACTACATCGCTGATGATTACACTCAAGCCGTTGGCAAAGGCATGGGTAAGTCGTTCTTTTGGATGAGCTGATGAGGATAAGAATATTGATCTGCGGGCNNAGAATTGGTCGAGGGACACATCTCCAAGCAATCCCCCTCTAGAATTGAAGAACTGGTCAAGATCTTCATCCACGCAACCAAGGCAAGATAATCTAGTCAANNTTTCATGTTTTCATCCGCTGACTCGATTATATAGATGGAGTGTGGGTTCTGGGCGATGGGAATGGGTGTCTAAGATCAAGACAAATATACAAAAGTTCCGTTTGGATGCAAAGCGAGATAAAAGAGGAGTAGTGACAGAATCATCAACCACAGGTTGTCAAACTCGGCCGGTCCTTCTTTCATTGTGAAGATGCAATCTCAAGAGTCACTCTGAGACACGCGGACCATTATATCGTTAACGTTACTTTCCCTTAGCAAACCATTGATGATGTTTATACAGACTGTGAAATGTTTGCCACGAAGCTACCAGAGTCACTGCAATATCTTGTTTTGTTTTGTTTTGTTTTCCCAACGCTTTCACCAACGATCCTGAGTTCAGATATAACCTCGCCTTGATCCATCATCTCTCATCACATCTGGAATAGCCCAAGTTCGATCTCCACAATGGGAACCAGACCGGATCCTAAAAGTCACACCTGGACGGCTGAAGCCATTGGCGATATGCTCACCACAAGTTCCAAGATGCTCAAGTGCAAAACCAACAGCGACGTCTTCAACGTTGCCATTCCTGAAGATCTTCTCTGCTACTTCTCACGCTACTACGCTGCTCTTCTGAGAGGAAACATTGCCGATTCCTATTCAGAGTTCGACAACCACATAAGGGGTACACGTAGCAACTTCCTATGAGTATACCTGTCGTAACACAGGCTGCAGTGTGGCTGCCGATCCCTGCTGTAATGTCCTCTACACTCTTGGATGCGAGGGCACCAATTGCGGTCATCGGGCAAACGTTGTCAAGAGAGGCCAAGCTTGCAGCTACCATGAACATGAATCGCCCGAAGCGTGGAAAGATAAGTTCTCTGCCTTGATGCCGATCGAGGTGAAATATGCTAACCTTGTAGCCTGTGCCGGTGATGACTTCCAACAAAATGTTGACCTGACTTATCTTAAGGGCACCACTGCTACTGATCCTGTGCCTGAAGAAAGGTTCGCCAGGTGCAACCATTTCTAGAGTTCCGATCCCATGACCTGGACACCTTGCAGTTGTTCGTAAAGAAGACGTGGTCTTGCGATTGTAGTAGTCCACGACGGCATCGCGCGCTCTCTCAGTGGACGCATTCCTGTGCAGAAACAATGGTGGCCTTTGATGGCCATGCTTCAAGGAGTGAGAAAGTAGTAATTGAATATTGTACCTTGATCCTGTGCTCTCTTTGCATGCCATCTCGAAAAGATGAAAGGTGTCCTTAGCCCACAAACTCTATGAAGAAAAAGAGAAGCGAGAAGATTAAATTATGTACAATGCATTTGATTCTAAGAGTTCTTTCCTCATTCATCTTGTTTATTCTTCACCGTCGCTGCGCGGTTTATACATGATGGTCGTCAGGAACTGTAGCACCAGAGTTAGTCTTGATGGGTTCGCACATGGGCGGTAGGGAAACAAAGCATACTTNNTTCTCTTATACCTGGTTGTCGCACTCGTGGCCAGCACGCCTTGCTTGATGTTGGTCGTTGCCAGGTGGTTCAGTACGGTGTGATTTGGCATGATCAACACACTGCTGTCATCTTTTGTTGGTGTAGTACCGTTCAAAATGCTCTTGCTGAGGAACATTGGAAGGGACGGGGGTGCTGGCTGAGACTCGGCAGCTGCATTTGCGCGCTCAAATCTGTATCTCGCAGCAGAGCCAGAGGGTGATTGAGCATCGTCTCTTGCCGAGGGCGGTGGGTACCAGGAATCGAGATCTGACAGGTAGGCCGGTATCGTTTGTGTCCATTCTCTGCTCTGTTGTCGGACCANATGGCGGTTGCTGGCGTGGTTTGGGCTCGTCTGCAGGAGGCTGGGCGGGCGTTCCCGTGGTTGACTTGGGTGCAGGTGGCTCATGGCTTGACTTGGNNGAGGAGTGTTTTGTGGTTGTTTGGAGAGCAAAGCATCGTTGTCTGCCTGGGCTGCTGGCTTGGGTCTGATGTCCATGGGTCGCGAAGGCTCTTGTGGCTTGACCGGAGGTGGTCCAGGAAGCACAGGTTTGCCAGGCTGAACTAGAGGTAGCTGATCCAGTGAGACTTCGATGTAGTTGACTAGGATGTTGGTGTAGTCGACGGTTGTGGGCAGATCGTTCGAGGTCATCATGTCGCCATTGGCAATGAACTTGATGTGATGGGTACCGGGTGGTAGTTGAAGCGTGGCCGACAAGGCGTTTTTATGTTTGCTAGGACCACTGTGGTATCGAGTCAGTTCGAAGATTCTCTTGGATCCGCATGCAGTTGGGATCGGTCACGCCACCACTTATAACACTTACTCCTTGTGCAGACGGAATTTGCGTTCCCAGTTTGTGAAAGTGCCTGTCACGTAGACACGGTCACCAGGTTGAGCATTGCGCCATTCTATCAGTGTGGGCACCTTTGGACCACCAGCATCCGTCTCATAGCCCTCGAAGCCATCGGGCTCTTCGTCGTCATCGTCGATAGTACTGCTCACGACGCTCGATCGTCTAGGGAGGTCGACGTGTTCGGGATCATCTTCGGGCAAGACGGCTGAGGTAATTGGAGAGCCAGGAGTGTGGTCTTCTTGCTCAATTGGGAGGGGCAGACGTGGGGGTCGCGAGAAGCTGGCTGGCGGAAGGTGGTAGGCAGCTTCGGTGGCAGGAGAGGCAGAGCGAGGCGGCCGTTGTGATTGGGGAACATTGACAGGCTGTGATGCAGGCGACAGACGGGGCTCTTCTGGCGGACTGGGCGACTTGAGGCTCTTGTAGCGGCGGGGTGCCGAGGGCGAGTGCTGCTTGGGGGTGTTTGTCGTGTTGGAGCGATTGCGCTGGTGGGCAGGGGCAGGGGCAGGGGCGGCGCGCGGCTGCGAGGGCGAGTAGGCCGAGGGGAAGATGGCCTGTCCACTGGCCGACGTCGTGTCGAGCGAGGANNGCGATGCAGCGGCCGTCTTGGACGTCAGGGCCGGGATGGACTCGCGGCGTCGCGGCTCGCGTCGAGGGGGTTCATGATGATGATGATGGTGGTGGAGGGCGTGGGCGGGCGAGGCGGGCTGGCTGCCCTTTTCCGCTTTGTTGGACGACGGAGTGTTGCCCATGGAAAAGTGCTGTGCTGTGGCTGTCGAGGATGATCGTTTGGTCGAGCGTGTGGGAATGGCAGGCATCGGGACGCTCCCGCTCGTGCTTTCTCCGCAAAGACAAGCCCCAAGCACCCACGCAAGCTCCAGAGTCGTCAACAGCGCCCCTCAACACGTCCGCCAGCCCTCCCGCCAATCCATCGTCTCGCACATCGCTTGCGTTGACGTGCTTCGAGTAGCTTTGTCTGAGCTGACATTGACGTCTTGCATTGTGTCGGTCACAGACATCACCCGAGACGTCGGCCTCCAGCATGAATCCATATGTCTCGTGGTCACTCACCGCCCTCTATTACCTCATATATCCTGTCTACTTTCTACTCGCTTTTGTCGCCCTGACCCTCAAGACTCTGCTGTCACCAATCACGAGCCTTCTCCTCTTCTTGCTACAGCCACTGGTCCTCTTCACCCAGCTGCTGGCCTATTGCGCTCTTGTCCCCTANCGCTTCTTGCAGAAATTCGAGGTCATCTACCCCATGCCNTTGCTCGCTAGGTACCCCGCATCCTTTGCTATTTTNAATATGCTAACCATTGCCAAGACAATCTACATTTATCTGGGTGTCGCATCTATCACGGGCATCTCTTGTGGCTTGCTGCTGCACTTCGTCTATTCATTCTTGCACTCGAACCTACACCTTGCTTCTGAGCCTGCTGTGAGGGGCCCTTCGTCAAAACAGTACCGTGCTTCACGAAGACGCAAAGATATGGAAGCTATGCTCTCTCCTACCTTGTCAATGTCCAGTGTGCTCGACACTCCAGGTGCGGGCAGATATGGTTTGCTGGCTCAAACCATTCACGAGGAAGACTCTGATTTCTGAGACCTGATCCATGCTGAACTCATCTGTCCATTCCTACCTTGCCTACCAATTATGCAGTCGTGAGTCATGCCGAGTCCCTTTTCCCATTGCGCCTCGCTAAAACCGCAGGACGTAAAATGCAGGATGCAAAATGCTGCTTCAACCAAGACGAGGTCGCTTACCTCCGCCAGATTGGCGTTCATCCCGCATGCGCTTCCTGTCCATCTCTTCCCTCATGATGCGCTCTGCCGCACTCATTCTCTTGGGCTCCTCGACCACCTGCGCAGGCTTCTTCTCCTTGAGAAGGTTAGACTTGGATTTGGATGCAGCTGCAAAGACGTTGACTCTCTTGGGCTTGGAACCAAGGTCGAGAGAAAGTTTTGGTGCAGTGGGAGCTTCAGTCGGCTTCTCGTCTCCAGTCTTGAACTCCAAAATGGGCTCTGCTTTGGCCTCGGAAGGTTTCTCAGTTGAAGATTGCACCTTCTCGACGGCTGGTTCTGTAGAGTCTGTAGTCGTCGATCTAGATCCCAACCCCAAACTGAATGACAAGGGGCCCTCCTGAGCCTTCTTGGGTTTGGCCTCTTCATCCTGGTTGCTGTGGTTTAGACGATCCTCTTCCTCTTGTTGTCGCTTCTTTTCTTGTGCACGCTTGATCTGGGCTTCGAGCATGCGTGTCTCGCGCTCTTCGTCGCCCTTCTCCATAGCTTCCTTCTTGCGAACCATTTCTCTGCGTCTTAGTGCTTCGGGGCTGTCATCGACCCAAGCGATTTCCAAACCTCTGTCTCCCTCTTCGACTCTGCAAATGCCCTCTCGTCCAAGATACTTGACGAATTCGGTCAAGCTGGGCCATTTCGTAGAGTTCATGTGGATGTGCTCCTTGTCGTGGATGTATTCCTGGTAAAAGTGGTTGGCGTAGACCTTTTTCTCTCCATGCGACGTCCTGAGCAGGGTCAAAAAGTCCTTCTTGAAAGTTTCCGAGTACTGGGCAATGTATTTCTTGGGATCCTCGCCGACCAGCAGCATTGCGCGCACGTGTCCTTCGGATAAAGTGTGTTGCTTGAAACCGTTCTCATCGCGCATTTGACGCTGGCAGACCTGACAGTACCAGCGCAACCTCTGCAGGCCCTTGGACTTCATGTTGTTGGAGAGCCATTTTGTGCTGCCGACTTCTGCCTTGGGCATGATGGGTACGCAGTATGATAGTAGCGGTGTATGCGACAGCTTCTCCGGAAGAGTAGATACTAATAATGGGAGATGTTCGCAGTTAGGGCAGTGGCGGGCGTCGGTCGCGACTGCCTGCTGGCGCGGGATTTGCCGCCAAATTCGGCAAGCGCCAAGGTGACGCACGCACCTGCCACATCGAATTCTACACGAATATTCGAGCGCCTCGTCTTCTGATTTTCACGAAACGACAGCGCGACAACGTCAAGATGCCTGTACGTAGTCTCGCCAGCGCTGTAGACATACGACGACAGTCTCGCTGACAACATGTAACCACACAGTCCCACAAGTCTTTCCGCACCAAGCAGAAGCTGGCCAAGGCCCAGAAGCAGAACCGTCCCATCCCCCAGTGGATCCGTCTGCGCACCAACAACACCATCAGGTACGATTGATCCAGGTCCTGCCCTCGAGAGAACGACACGAAAAGAGCTTGGAAGATTGGTACACGCGATGGGAACCCGCGAAAGAACGCCTCGAGAGTCATCGAACCCTGTCTATCAGTCTGAACACACCGAGGACCGGCCACACAAGCACGCACGAACATGCAGAACACCAAGACTAACGGACTCTTCTTCAGATACAACGCCAAGAGACGTCACTGGCGCAAGACCCGCATCGGTATCTAAGCGACTCGCCCACGATATCAAGCAGCCAACATTTTCCCTCGATGTCGACTTCGTCACTGCAGACCTGCTTCTGAAAGAAGCCGACTGTTTCGCTATTGGGCCCGTGTTCCCTTTCTCAACGGAAGGAGGAAAGGGATTCCCTTTTTCCATCATCGTGGGGCTTGTGAATCACGCAGGGAATGACAATCAAGAATCAAAATATGGCGCTAGTCGTTTGTTGGGGATGCGTATCACAAAACAAAAAACTTCTGGTTGATGGAAATTACATGATGAAATGCCTTGACACCTTTTTGAGTCTGCTCTCTGCGTGTTTGTGATGCCGTGTGGTATTCCACGAGCATTTTATCGTACTTTCGACGTCTACATGCTCCCAGAGCCAACACTGCCTGCATCCGCTTAGATCTGGACTACCGCTACAAACACTCTCCATCACGACACTTTGGCGCGCAACGCAAACTGAGGAGGNNCTGCTTCAAGTTAGCAAAATTGACGTGTCGAGTGTCCAGCCACTAATCAACTCACCTCTGTAGTATCAATCTTCAGCAGCCTTTCCTCAGCCTTTCCCAAGATATCAAAGATCCTGACTTCTCCTTGCTCAACCATCAACACACAGCTTGTTCCGGCATACCCCACAACCTCTTGACCCTCGTCGTCAACACCCTGACTGACTCCTGCTACCATACCAGGTTCAGTGCCACATCTGTTAGCCATGACCACCACAATACCACCCTCTCTTTCACTCTGCACCACTGGTACGAATCTCTCCAACCAGTAACTCAAGGTCTCAAGATCTGGCTGCGAAGCAGTCTCCAGCAGCTGCTGAGGAAGGAGTCTAGTCAACCAAGCCATGGACAACACGACCAAAGGCGTAGCCGAATTCACACAGTGATTTGCAAATTCATATGCCGACCAAGGTGCTTCAAAGCGACGAGGATTGATATCCATGCAGATTCCCAGACAGGCCTGCCCAATTGAACCGAGTGTGCCATTGTAGAAACCAGTGTCGCCCTCGGATGCCCATGTTTCGTCTGTGTAGTAGAGAAAGGTTTTCCTGTAGCTTGCTGCCACTGATCCATCTGGCGATATGCTGACTACTGTGTTGTAACGTTTCCCATCAGGCGTGATTTCTGGGTATCCAACAGCGACCACGCAGTTCAATCGTGCGGCTGTACGTCTTGCCCATTCTGCCGAAGGTCCATTGCTTGTCGGTTCTAGAAAAGGTGTGATGGCTTCCAGGTTAGGGAAATTATAACCTATGTGTAAGGACGAATTTAAGATTTGTGCTTGATGCCAAAATGAACTGGTATGCCACCCACCTGAAAATGTCATTTCTGGTAAGACCAGGAGATCGAGTTCGGAGGGTGAAGTGTCCACCAGCAGAGAGTCTGCTTTGCGGATATTCTCCTTTACCTCACCCAACTTGGGCGCGAGCTGGAGGCAACCGATCTTCATGATTGAGTGTGACGATGATGTACGTGATTAGAAGATGGAAGAGGATGTATAGTGGACGGATGAAGCGAGGGTGAAGAGGACAAGAGCAAAAGACGGAACTCAAGACGATGTGTTTTGACAAACGAAGACAACAGCATCGACACCAGAGGCACTCGGATATATTGTCTATTGCTAATCACTTCAGCAATTCTCTATCAAACCTACTCTTGGACTAAGATTGACCTGTTGGCAATTTTCACATGTTGTTCATGGTCGAGAAACAGTTGCAGGCATGGCCGAAGCTTTGACATCTGCCCGCATTTTAATGACATCGACGTCAGCGACTTGGTTCGCTACAAGAACACACGCGGGCGAGAGACGGTAGAACCTGAGAATGCGCACGTGAGAGTATTGAACAGACGATTGAGACGACACCATGGCGGGCAGACGGCTGTTAGATGCAGCCAGACTCTTCAGCGCGTCCGGATCCATCGCGAAACACCACTTCAACATTCGCTCACAGCAATGGGAGCTCTTTACCCAGACATCGAGTCTGGCAAAGGCTGTCAAGAACCAGACAGATCGCGTCACTCTCACAGCCCGGGCCGCTTATGCTCTCTCGCGGAGGGTCAATGAGACTGGACCTGCCTATACACAGACGAATCGACACGAGGAACCCATACCAAGTCAAGAGACAGTTCAAGGCGCAGACAGGACGAATACACACGAGGAGGGCTTGAGTCAGGATCATCATTGGGACAGGTCGGAGCAGAATGCTGCTGCAGAAGCACCCCCAACAGACGACTTGCACGTCACCCAAGAGAAGGCACGCCGTCACCCTCTGCCGGACGGTACCATTCCTCCCGAAGGCGCAAATCTTGACCCGTCGCCGAGTCGCCAGGGTACAGATACTTTCAGTCAAAGGCCAGTGACAGACACTCCCAAGGACCCTCTTGCAGACCAGCAATCCGTCGTCCAGGACTTGCATCCGACGGAATCCGGCGCGTCCACAATTCCCATCCCAGCTGCCCAGGACAGCCATGCCGACGACACGGTCAAGATGCAGCGTAAGGCTGAGTTCCAGATTCCATCCGTGTCTGGTCACTCTCAGTCAATGCCCACACCAGGACAAGACACTTTCAATCTCAGACCTACAGAGTCATCGGTCGAACTGTCATCACTGCCTCGCACTAAGATCCCCAAGTCTGTTGAAGATACACAGGGTGGCGACGATCATGTCAGGGATGGCCAAATCAACCAGGACGTCTACTACTCATCCAAAGGTCACCCTGCCCAACCACCTATTCCACAGCAAGAAGCTATTCCCGCACAGGATGAAACTCCTGAAGGAATCAATACCGATATTTTCCACAGCCCCAGAGTTGCTTCATTGCTGAGTGGTGGTGCCAGAGAGGACAGAAGAAAGGCCTACGAGCTCAAGATGAAGGCTGCTAGGAAGGGCTCGGCCCAGCCAATTCAGGAGAGCATCAAGGCCGAAGACAAGAACGCCGACACGTTCAGCACAAGGCCAGGTGTGTCAGAAGCCACTTCTTCACCTATGCCCGCTACTGAGTCGACTGCTCCTGCTGTCGAACCGAAGACACAGATCAGCGACAAGGAGACTCAGGAGCTGGCTGATGCTATGGTTGCAGATGCCACTGCTAGCATGTCTTCGGCTGTCGAGTCAGACAAGCCAAGTACTCCTTACCAATTGCGGGAATCTGCTGTACCTTCTTCTCGCTTCGGTAGACTTTGGCAGTATGGAGGTTTGGCCACAAGCATGGCTTTTGGCGCTGTTGGTGAAAGTCTACGACGAGTGACCGGAGGTGCCACTGCGGCTGCGAGTGGTTCATTGTTGCTCAGCCCGGCGAACATGGAACGGCTAGTCGCCAAACTCTCTCGCATGCGTGGTGCAGCGCTCAAGCTCGGTCAGATGATGAGTTTCCAGGACTCTAAGATGCTGCCCCCTGCCATCAATGCTGTGCTTCAGCGTGTACAAGACAGTGCCGACTACATGCCTCCATGGCAGCGCAACAAGCAGCTTGCTGCCAATTTAGGCGCTGACTGGAAAGACCTGTTCTCGAGTTTCGAGGACGTGCCCATGGCTGCTGCATCAATTGGTCAGGTCCATCGTGCTACACTGGCTTCCAATGGTCGTGAGGTCGCTGTCAAGATCCAGTACCCTGGTGTCCGGGGTAGTATTGATTCCGATCTCAACAATCTCTCCCTCCTCCTCACAGCATCACGGCTTCTACCTCCTGGCCTCTTCCTCGACAAGACAATCGCAAACGCGCGTACAGAACTAGGATGGGAATGTGATTACGAGCGTGAAGCCAAGTGCGGTACTCGTTTTGCAGCCCTCCTCGAGGACGAATCTGCAACCTTCCGAGTCCCGCAAGTCTTCCCCGAGGCTTGTGGCCCTGAAGTACTGACTGCTGAACTCATGCACGGCAAAGGCGTTACCAAGATCCCTGATCTCTCGCAGGATGAGAGAGATTGGATAGGCACACAAGTACTGCGTCTCTGTCTACGCGAACTCATGGAGTGGAGGTTCATGCAGACAGATCCCAACTGGACCAACTTCCTCTACAACAGAGGGGATGCTCCATCAGAGCGCAGGCTGGAGTTGCTCGACTTTGGTGCTTCGAGAGAGTTCCCAGAAAGTTTCGTCGCGCCGTACGTTCAGCTGCTTATCGCGGCTTCCACCCACGATCGCAATGCCTGCCGCGACCTCTCCATCAAGCTAGGCTATCTCACCGGCGCAGAAAGCCAGGCCATGCTTACTGCTCACATTGACTCAATCCTCACACTCGCCGAGCCCTTCGATTCCGGCAGAACAGGCGATTACTATGACTTCAAAGACCAGACAATCACCGACAGAGTAAGGGAGAAGATTGGTCTCATGGTCAGAGAGAGATTGGCACCTCCACCAGAGGAGACATATTCGCTGCACAGAAAACTAAGTGGTGCATTCTTGCTCTGTGCAAGGTTGGGAGCGAATGTACCGGCAAAGAAGCTGTTCGAGGATGCGGTCAACAAGTGGAAGCAGGATAAAGGTGAGGGTATCTAGTCTGCGAGGTCTCTAGACTCAAGTGTACATGTATGTGACAACACATCAATTCATCCTACTTTCGATGGCTCAACGAGAGTCTTGCTCAGAGCTAGCCCAGAGCAGCTAGCGCAAAGCCCGGGTCACGAGAAAATCATGTCTAGAGAAAATCTGTTGTAGATCGAGAGCTGAGCTAATCACGATGGCACCTTGAGTATCTCAGCGACACAAACTCCAAACACTGCTCGGTGCTCTAGCTCTACTGTGTCGGGTAGCGGTAGAGTCCCTCGTAGACCTGAAACTTTGCAGCACTCCAATTTGAATATTGCCCGGCTGGCCACACTGGTGTCAGACTGATTTCTGGGTTGTGTGCTCTCCATAATCAATTAGTATACAAATTGCATTGGCCCTGGCTGCTGAGACGTTGGGGTGGATAGTAAGATTGTAGCTAGGCGGAGTATGCATCGCTGATGACAGTCTAGGCAAAGGCGTGTATGTATCTCAGAACCATCATGTAGCTATACGAACGCACGATTCTGTTCAATGACAAGGCGATATTTAGTGAGGAGCGCCCTTTATTTGGACTCTCGATTCTGAACTCAAAGACGACTGTGCCTTCTTACTTATAGTGCGTTGGCTCGAATACCTATGAAGGAGCGTCAGGTTTTGTTACATGTCTCGCATATCTTGATCAAGATAGCTTGTGGGGAGTGACCCCGCGTGAGGATGAAGCTATCTTCTAGGCTCCAGCACCAAGACACATTCTCCTAGAAACATCCAACATCAAAAACNNACACAAGAGGACAAGCATGCAAGAAATGGACGTTCTCATCCTCGGAGCCGGCTGGACCTCGACATTCTTGATACCGCTGCTCAAGGCACGCCATATAACGTTCGCCGCCACCACCACCGATGGAAGAGACGGTACTATCAAGTTCAGGTTCGACCCTTCTGACCCGGATCCTAGCTACTTCAAAGCTCTACCCGCCGCTCGCAATATTCTAATCACTTTCCCACTCAACGAAAAAGGCCAGGCTCACAGGCTGGTGTGGTCGTACAACTTTACACATCAGCATCCAGCAGCCAACGTAAGATTCCTGCAGCTTGGATCCACCGGCATCTGGCAGATTGATCAAGACGTGACATGGGTCGACCGAAACTCGCCTTACAACCAGGAGAATGCCCGAGCAATCAGTGAGGACGAGCTGATGTCTATGGGCGGGTGTGTACTCAACCTTGCAGGATTGTGGGGTGGAGAGCGGCAGCCAAAGAACTGGGTCGACAGAGTCGCAACCACCAAGGATCAGGTCAAGAGCAAGAAAAGCTTGCATCTGATCCACGGCGAGGATGTGGCACGAGCAATTCTTGCAATCTTTGAGAAGTGGGAGCATGCCAAAGCATCAGGCTCACGTTGGATGTTGACTGATGGTCAAGTCTATTGTTGGTGGTCGCTCATGGCAGGATGGGCCAAAGAAGGAAAGCATGTCGACGAAGAACCCAGCAAGCAAAGCCGATGGGTCTATGAGCTGATGCAGGAAGAGGATGTCAAGGCACTGCCTAGAGACATGGAGACGCTGGGCAGATGCTACGACAGCCGCGAATTCTGGAAGACCTTCGGCCTTACACCCCTGAGAAGCAGGATCTAATGGCAGGTGGTCACATTCTTACCGAAGTTTCGATAAGACGTACGTACACTGGGAGTGCTTCCAGATCCTGCGCGCGTAATCAATCATTCAGGTTCTAGCGATCTATGTTTTTGACTGAAGCTGCAAGATTGGAGGTGGAAATTTGGGAGGCTCATGTCAACCTGATACATAAAACTATAATTCCAAGTGATAAGTATCAATGGGCCCTTTTGGAGAACATGTTGTGTAAGAGGAGTAACTACCTTAAGGCCGTTTCTATGGCCACACGTCTAGTTTTGTAAACAACTGTACATTTCTATAGCATGCCATAGCACCATGTGCTAGCCGGGAAGAAGAGGGGCGACTTTCATCGACATTAGGTAACCACACGTCTTCTATAATTTAGCACGTGTTCCTGAAGGTCCCAGTATCGATGACTGGGGCCTAGTAGCCTCGAGGGCATGTTGGAAGGATTGTGTTTTGTGATTTCTAGAGACTTGATTGTGCCGGATCAATTGCGGGTGCAAGGTCACTTTCCATAGCTCGAGATCAGAAAGGTAAGAAAGTCATATTTCTCAACAACGCCTGGATTTGACAGCCCAACACTGACAGGTGCAGTCAAGGAGTGTACCAAGAGCTATTGCCAACTATCCAGTGCCAGTAAACTCGATTGCTAAGGCCATCATTGGATATGTAGTAAATTCAAAGGACGTTGACGGCACCACCCTGTCCTCCCGTCACGTGGTGAGTCGTCACTGGATGTTTCGGCCATCAACGACATGGCGTCGAGCTTGTTGCCTCTGTGATATTCACAACACCCCCGACGGCCAGTCTTAATTGTTGCAACGACAGTCAAGATGGCGGCACCAAAGGATTCGCTGTTCCGCTCGTCGGACATGTCGCTGACCCAGCTGTACATGGCCAACGAGATCGGACGCGAAGTCGTGAGCGCCCTGGGCGAATTGGGCATCATGGACTTTAGAGATGTGTGTCGCCTTACACCGACTCTTACCGACTTGGACTGACGTTCCTTCACANNGCTCAACTCGGACACCACCGCCTTCCAGCGCACCTTTACTCAGGAGATCCGAAGACTCGACAATGTCGAACGCCAGCTGCGTAAGCCAACCGCCCCCGTTGAGGATATAGAGCAAGAGACTGAGACAATCATGGACAGGNNCTACTTCAAGGCGCAGATGGACAAGGCCGACATCTCAATGCGATCCATGTACGAGTTCGGCGACCGCCTGGCCGCCCCTTCGGCATCCGAGATCGACGAGCTGGTCGACCGTAGTCAGACTTTGGAGCAGAGAATCCAGTCGCTGAACGACAGCTACGAGACGCTCAAGAAGCGTGAGATGGAGCTGACCGAGTGGCGCTGGGTCCTTCGCGAGGCCGGTGGCTTCTTCGACCGCGTGAGTCAAGATTAGCATCAGCCGCTGAACATACTCCTGACACACACCACANNGGCTCGTGGACAGACTGACGAGATCCGCCAATCCATCGACGAGAATCACGACGACGATGCACCGCTGCTGGCCGACATGGAGCAGGCTCACAACGGTGATGGCTCAGGCGAGCGCTCTTTCTCTGTTATGAACATTGGATTCGTCGCCGGTGTCATCCCTCGCGAACGCATGGCCGCATTCGAGCGCATCCTCTGGCGTACCCTTCGCGGTAACTTGTACATGAACCAGAGCGAGATCGAGGAGCCCATCATCAACCCTGAGAACAACGAAGAGATGCACAAGAGCGTCTTCGTCATCTTCGCCCACGGCAAGGAGATTATCAACAAGATCCGCAAGATCTCCGAGTCTCTCGGTGCCGACATTTACAACGTTGACGAAAACAGCGAACTGCGCCGTGATCAGATGCACGAGGTCAACACTCGCCTGCAGGATCTGGCAAACGTCCTTTCCAACACCAAGCGCACCCTGGACGCCGAACTGACCATGATCGGTCGCAGTCTGGCCGCCTGGATGATTATCGTGTCCAAGGAAAAGGCTGTCTACCAGACCCTCAACCGTTTCTCGTACGACCAGCAGCGCAAGACGTTGATTGCAGAGGCTTGGTGCCCTACAAACTCGCTCGGTCTTGTCAAGTCGACTCTGCAGGATGTCAACGACCGCGCCGGTCTCTCCGTTCCCACCATTGTCAACACCATCAAGACGTCCAAGACTCCCCCAACCTACAACAAGACCAACAGATTCACCCTCGGTTTCCAAACCATCATCGACGCCTACGGCACTGCCAAGTACACCGAAGTCAACCCCGGTCTGCCCACCATTGTCACCTTCCCCTTCCTTTTCGCCGTCATGTTTGGTGATTTCGGTCACGGTTTCATCATGACTGCTGCCGCCTGCGCCATGATTTACTGGGAGAAGCCCCTCCTGCGCTCCAAGCAGGACGAGCTCTTCTCCATGGCCTTCTTCGGTCGCTACATCATGCTCATGATGGGTGTCTTCTCCATGTACACTGGTCTCATCTACTGTGACGCCTTCTCCAAGGAACTCGCCATCTTCCCTTCCATGTGGGAGATTCCTGACTTCAAGGAGGGCCAGACTGTCAACATGGTCCGCAAAGAGGGTTACACCTATCCCTTCGGTATGGACTGGCGCTGGCACGATACCGACAACGATCTTCTCTTCTCCAACAGTTACAAGATGAAGCTCAGTATTCTTCTCGGTTGGGCTCACATGACCTATTCCCTCTGTCTTTCCTATGTCAATGCCAAGCACTTCAAGACTCCCATCGACATCTGGGGTAACTTTATTCCTGGCATGATCTTCTTCCAGTCCATCTTTGGTTACCTCGTCTTCTGTATCATCTACAAGTGGTCTATCGACTGGTATGCCATCGGCGCCAACCCTCCTGGTCTGCTCAACATGCTCATCTACATGTTCTTGCAACCTGGTACTGTCGAGGAAGAGCTGTACTCTGGCCAAGCTGTCGTCCAGGTCATTCTGCTTCTTGCTGCAGTATGCTGCGTACCAATCATGCTCTTCTTGAAGCCTTTCTACTTGCGCTGGGAGCACAACCGTGCCAGAGCTATGGGCTACAGTGCTGTCGGTGAAAGCCAGAGAGTCAGCGCCCTTGACGATGACGACGACGAGCACCACGGCATGAACGGCGGCGGTAGACAGAGCTTCGCCAGCGAAGACGGCGGCGCTGCCATCATCACCCAGGACATCCACAGCGAGGAGCACGAGGAGTTTGAATTCTCCGAGGTCATGATTCACCAGGTCATTCACACCATCGAGTTCTGTCTCAACTGTGTTTCTCACACCGCCTCCTACCTCCGTCTCTGGGCCTTGTCGCTTGCCCATCAGCAGCTGTCGATTGTGCTGTGGTCCATGACCCTGGCCAACGCTTTCGCCTTCACCGGTGTTGCCGGCTCCTTTGTCATCTTCTTCTTCTTCGTTGTTTGGTTCTTCCTCACTGTTGCCGTTCTGGTCGTCATGGAGGGTACTTCCGCCATGTTGCACAGTCTGAGATTGCACTGGGTCGAAGCCATGAGCAAGCATTTCCTTGGTGATGGTGTTCCATTCGAGCCCTTCAGCTTTGAGACCATGCTCGAAGAGGAAATGGCTGATCTGAAGTAGCTTGTTGCTGCTTGAAATTGGCTTTGTGTATTGTTTATTGCATCGCATTTCTTGTTTTGGTCTTGTATGTAGAAATCTACCGTATAGATGAGACCTCGATGGCTCTTTGATTTTGTCAACCTGTTTCGACTATTAGATGTTCGCATTCGTCTTCGAGGTCCGTGGGCCTCGGCATGCAGTCATCTCCTGTCGATCATCCACTTAGATCTCACTATTAATGCGCTTTATCTGCCGTTACCGACCTTCATCTAAGATCATAACACTGAAGGCAGCCAGAGAGATCGTGGGGGTGATTTGATTAACAGTCGAGATAGAAGGGTGATGCCTGCTAACTGTTAGGAAAGGTATGACTGAGGTCCACATCGCAGTTTCAGCAACGGCTCTTTCACGGCGATATCAACATTGTCGCAACACAGCGTCCCATTCTGTGACAGCCTCTTTGGCCGAGCGACTCAAGAACCTCATGACATGAGACCCCGCTCCACGAGCTTCAACCCTCACTGGGTACCATCTCTCGTACAGAACATTCTGTGAATCTGAACAAGGCCTCGTGTTGTCGTCTCATACTCTGAGAGTGCCAAATGTCTCTACTTTTGGGCTTCCTTCTCAACAGCATCAGCCATTTCCCCAAGCGTATCGAACTTCCAGTCAAAGATTTCCTCCTCTCTGTTTCCCATCTCCGCTCCTGGTCTCACAATCCAACAACTCTTGATTCCCATCTTCTTAGCCGGGTGATGATCGTGGAATTGGCTCTGCGCTGTCTGCAGCACTTGTGCCTTCCCAATCGAGAACTTCTCGTTGACCTTTTCCAACATGAATTCGAAGTTCTTGAGCGAGGGCTTGTAATTGCCAATGTCTTGGGCTGTGATGATAGCATCGAATGAAAACTTTTGCAACGGTCCGGCATTTGTGGTGGAGAAAGAGTTGCGGTCAACGTTTGAGAGCACGACGAGTTTGTAGTGCTTTGCCAAACGTCGAAGAGCGTCCACTGTATCAGGGAAGGCAGGCCATTTGCCCACTGAGTCTCCGAATGCTTTGTTCTCTGCTTCTGTTGGAGATTCGCATTTCAGGTCTGCCGCGATATGAGAAAGGATTGTGGCGAGGAGATCACAATAAGATAGATCTGGTGTCTTTTGCTGCTGGGACGCTTCGTGGTGGTGGTAGATCTCCAGAAGTTCCTTGCGGGTATAGGTGTCGGTCTTGTCGTTCTTGGAGAGAAGAGGTTGGAGGGCGATCATCAGGCCAGTCTCCCAGTCAATGAGCGTGCCGTATACATCGAAGGAGAGAAGCCTGAAGTTGGTGAGTCCAGCCATGATTCTCGGGACTGTGGACCTTGTGTTGCTGTCACTTGAGCTTTGCATAAACAACCTGTTCGAGAACTGGTCAGGTAGGCAAGGTAAGAAAGGTGATGTTTACTATATTCGTTCTATATATGAGGACACACGCCCTACAGATGATTGCTGTCGTATGTCAGCCAAGGAGAGATGTCGTTACGAATGACTTTAGCCGAGAGATAGGCGGAGCGCGATGGATCGAGTCGAGCCGATCACGGGCAAGGTGGCCGGAGGAGGCTTCACCTCCTTTCTATCTCACAACACATCTGCATTCCCTTGTTTCTCCAACAAAATTGGCATCAATCTGATACTCCTGCGAACAGCCTTCAAGGTACTCGGCAAGTTGCGTTGAGGTATACCGTCACCCCACGCTATTGAACACGAAGCAGCATGCCGTTTGTTCGACAGACGACCGAGCATACGACCACCTGGCATCTCTTTGCGCAGCAAGCTGCGCAGCATACATATCCCTTCCCACACCTTGTGTTCCATCGTCGCAGCCAGTTCACACAGTGAACTAGATCATCAGACCTGCCGGGGTAGCTCAATCGGTAGAGCGTGTGGCTCTTATCTTCTCAGATATTCCAAACCTCAAGGTCGCGGGTTCGAGCCCCGCCTTCGGCTATTCCTAAACAGCGACATTTGTTTTTGTCTTTCTCTTTTGCATGTGTTATCGTGCTGGTGAAAAAAGCAACAGGAGAATGTGGTGACAGGTTTGGAGAACTTTTTGTGGTGAAGCCTGGCTTGACGGTCAGGGTTGACGTTGAACATGCGATCGCGTGCGACACTTTCGTTTCCCCCCTGTGATTGCCACTTTATCTGCTCCAAATGTCCCGTCTAGGCTGAAAAATGTCTAAGCAAAATGAAAGACATCATTGGTGTGTTTACATGCAAAGTCGTGTTACATTATAAGTCAAGGCCAGCCGGAGGTGGGACCCGCCTGTGATATGCCTCTATGATTTAGAACTACCGCCGGGACGAACACGAAGAACCGAAGAAGGAGAAATCAACTATTCGTAAATCTGCGAACCTCGCGAGGTTCAAGACACGATCTACCGGTGTCGACATGCAACCTAAGGTATCAAATAATCAAACTTGGCTGAAGGGACCAACAAACCGTCACAGCTGACGAAAATACAAGAACAACAGAACGAGAAGACGTAATGTTCTACTTGTGCTAGGTAGAATGCACGAGCGATCAAAGCAACGAAACACGATTCATAGGAGTCTGCCTCTACGTAGTACTGGGTCCGAGGATCTTATGAATCAGAGATGTCTTAGTGACCGTCGTACTTTAAGGTCATGCCCAAAGCTCAAACATGCTCTCCGTGACCACTGTCGACGTGCTCTGAAGGACCTTCCTGCTTAGCAGGAGTGCGATCGTTGCGGTGNNCCTGTGCTCGTGTCAGATTTGGACAGTAGAATGCACAGGGACAAAACACTTACTTCTTGACAACTCTCTCGATACCATCCAGACCCATCTTCAGGACGTCCATTCTTGGACCGTAACTCAGTCTGACGTTCTTGTGGCAAGGAGAGTCAAAAAGATCTCTTCTCTTGCTGGGGTTGAGATCGAAGAAGATTCCAGGAACGACAATGACCTTCTCGTGGAGACAGGCATTGAAGAAATTGAGACCATCGTTGATGCCTTCGGGGAGAGAAGACAAGTCCAGCCACAAGTAAAAGGTCGAGTTGGGCACTATCGCAATTTCGAAGCCCATATCCTTCAGTCTGCCAATGACATAGTCTCTCTTTTCGCGGAAATGGTGTTGCAAGGCACGCATCTCGTGCTTGACTTTGGTGGGCTCAAGCATGGGGATGGCAGCCTCTTGGAAGGGAACATTGGTGCCTCCGTCGAGGTAAGATCCACAAGAGCCGATAGCCTTGATAAACTCCTTGGGTCCAACGATCCAAGCAACTCTCCAACCAGGAAGACGGAAGCGCTTTGTCAGGCCGTCAATGATAAGGACATNCTACACTGTGTCAGAGGGTGCATGTTTGTTACAGGGGTTTTGAGACGTACCATCTTCGTCGACATCTTCGATGTTGTCAGCAGCAGAGACAACAGTACCGTCGCAATCACTGGTGTAATTGTAGCCGCCATAGAACTCATCCATGATCAATGTCGCACGGTCTCTNNACCTATGGGGTCCTATCAGCTTTTGCAGGCATAGTAAATCTCTTGAAGCCTTACAGATGTCCTGGATCTGGGCAAGCTCAGGGTTCGTGAGGACCTGGCCTGTAGGATTGCGAGGGTTGGATGTCAGGATAACACTGGTACCACGAGCAATCTCTTCCGCAATCTTGTCAGGGTGCATGTGGTATCCATCTTGCTTAGACAATGGAATCGGGATGGCGCTGAAGTTACGGAACAGAGATAACATCTCGTTATACGCAGTGTAATCTGGTATAAAGAAACCAAGGTACGAGTTGCCTTTTTTCTTTCAGTTTTTTTTTCTCTTCTCCTTAGCGGATGTTGACATACCTATCACAGCGGCGATTCTGATGAGACCGGCCCTACCACCAGGGACGATGCAGACGTTCTCCCAGGTGTATTGGCTCTCCTTGCCTTTGCGGTGGTGCTCGTTGTAGAGATTGGCGACGGCTTCCCTAAGAGGTTTGATACCGGCAGTGGGACCNNCTAGAGCATTACATCAGCCAACCAAAGATTGTAGAGAAGAAGCGAAACATGCGTATTCACGGCCAGTCATTGACACATCGATGGTATGAGGTCTCTCGAAGCAGCCCTCGATCTCATCATCAACCTCGGGGGCGCCTTGACCCAAATTTGCCCATTTCTCTGGGTGGTCAGCAAAGCCATGCTCGTAGGCTCTCTCGGTAGTCCAAACAACTCCAGTAGATGCACGTGAAGGGTCCAATCCAGCATGGGGCTTGTGTCCCTCATGAGCGTTGCGGAACTGACGGTGAACCGACGAGGTCAGCTCTGAAAACAGTCAGCAACCAATCGTGATAACAAAATAACTCCTCCTGGAATATATCGCCGAGATACGGTCCCAAGATACTAGACTTGGTAGCAAACAGACGAAAATGGAGTTCTTACCACTGTCGGTAGGCTCCTTGTTGGTGGAGAAGCGTCTCTCTCTGGCTCCATGGGGAGCATTCAGAGGAACATCAGAAGCAGAGAAACTAGCTCTCATGGTGATGTAAATTGATCTTGCAGGGCCAAGGATACCGTAATGAGACGCCAAGCGTTCGCTGGTGTTCGATCGAGGACGCAAGAGTCGCCTCATGATGGGGTGAGGTCGGATGTTGATGAGTAAGCAACAACGCGTCAGCATGCCAACAACAAAGCAAGTTGCACAGTTTCGAGTTCAAAAGATAAACACAGTCTATCATCGAAAGTTGATATTGAGGAAGTTACTACGCTGTGTCTCCTTCCAGATGAGAGACAGCTGATAAATCTCCTGTCGCATTGCACGATTTCAGTCATCAAAGACACTAGACTTTTGGTACTGTAACATGCCATCTCCTGTTCGCTCTTCAAATGCTGCCTGGTAATTTGTTCACAGACTGCAGTCCCCCGACGCTTGGAAGGCCAGCGTGGAGATATGTGAATTGATTCAGTAGTGTCCCCCTTCAATTTCACTTTCAGCGCAAGGATCGTTTCAACCTCATTATCTCCTCCTTCAACCTCTGGATCTCGCCGTCCTCGGTTGCCGTTGCATCGCCTGCCTGTTGTGCGCGACGTTCGTTTGTGTCCAGGACAATTATCTGTGCCTTGAGGTTTGATATCTCCTCATCTCGCATACGCAAGATGCCCTTCGCCTGTTCGAGCTCCTCTCCCATTCTCTTCACATCCTGCCAAAGCGGTTGTTGATTCGGCTGTGCTTCACCCACGCCGTAGTAAGGGGTTGGTGCACTCAACGGAGGTTGTGGACGTGGAGTCTTTGCTTCGAATGACGATCCATGGTATGGAGTTCGTACGCCCATCGAGTGATTCGGGAACGGGGTTTTCGCACCATCCGCATGTGGTGTTCGAGCATACGGAGTTCGCGCATTAGATACCACGAGGCGACCGTTGATTCGTTGAGGTTCTTCTTCGCCGTAATCGTGGCGCGCATAGACAGTCTTTCCGCCGACTCTTGTCGCAGGGGACCATTCTGAGCCACTAGGAGGGTCGACTCCGTCTCTACCGACAGACCTTGCTACTGGAGGTTTGTTCAGACGCCTCACGCCACCAGGCCATTCTGGAGATGGTGTTGAGTGCAGATACTTACCGACTTTAGGACGGTCGTGTCGAGGATTTAGAGGCTGGTCTGCCTTTCGCTTGGCAGCATACTCCGTCTTGCTTCCATTAAGATTCATAGTGGCAGCTGCTCTTGCATACTCTGTCCTGTTGCCGCTGTTACGGCTTCCCTCGAGCGGTGCCGTACAGTTCACAGCACCGGTCCTGGCTGTGGATGTGTCAAAAACAGCTTCTTTGTAACCACCCTCCTCTCCAGAGAGGTAGTAGTTCTTCATGTTTGGTTTGCTGCCCGCCATGATCCACGGTACAGACCCGATGTTCTGGGGTTTCCCTCCCTCGACATGCCCGTCGGCTTCGCTGGCAACCAGAGCTGGTCTTCCTTTGTGGCGTCTGCTGCCTCTGAGAACACCATTTGCCATAAAGTCGAGAGACCAGAACGTCGCTCGCTCTTTTGCTGTATATTTCTTGGCTATGACGATGTCCCACACAGCTTTGTCGTCAAGGGCGACGAAATGCGGAGGTGAGTTGATCCCGCGCTCAATGGAACCAATATCACTTTGGAAGAAGCGATATCTCTCCTTGAACAATCTATTGTTGGGAAATTCGCTGTCTCTCACACCATCGCCATCGCCAGGCTGCCATACTCCACGTTCGATATCTGTGCCGTCGCGATAGGTGAGAGTGCCGGGTCTGGCAGGTGTTTGAGGAATCGCCTGGTAAGTGTTGGCCTGCAATTGTGAGTTGTGACCGCTCGTAAATGTGCGGCCGGGAGTTTTTGGTGGGTTTGCTCTTTTGCGATTCATCTATGACCAGTCAGCGATTCGATTTGAGTTGTACTTAGACAGACATGCACTCACTTTTGCGTTGATCGACATACGTCCTTNCTTCACTGGCATCGGTGGGCTGAGGGATTAGTCGTTGCAATGTGATGAGTATCAAAGATGGGATGATGGAAGACGGGGATGCTGGCTTACTTGAGTTTGATCAGGAGTATCGCCAGAAAGGGGCTCAAAGAGAGGTGAGTTGTCGTCGTCAATCACAGTCGCCGGCGTCCCCGGGACTGTTGCTCGCTTGCGGCGAGGCGTCGCTGCTGTTTTACGGATATAGTTGTTGGGTACTGGCTCGCTTGAGAAGTTGAAAATGAGTTTCTTTGGTGCCGTCATTTTGGATTTCTCTTTGAAGGCTAACGTTTGAGGTTTCCCAGAGAATGAGCTTCACTCTTGGTGTTGATATGATTGCCGACAAAGCCAACGAATCTAGCACCCGGTGGAAGAAGAACCTGCGAGAGTGATATCGAACCCGCGTCTCCTGGCCGACGCGACAGCGACGTGCAAGTTGAAGGATTATATATGGGTTTTCGTGTTGGTCACTTTCACGTGCACACCAGACTTTGTCTCCAGGCCGACGTGACCACGATCCTTGGGCTTGGTGGCCGCGGAAGAGCTGTTGGCTTGACAGCCTTCACTACTCGAACTTGGAAGTACTCTGCTGCTGCTCAGAGAAACACCATCTAGGATCTGGCGGCGAGACTCGGAGTAGAGTGGTACAAGTCCTGTCCGGCTATTGGAATCATTGACTTGAGTTGATACAAGAACAGTACCAAGTCTGGCTATGAGAAGTGCGATAGACGTTGGTACCAAGGCATCGAGGAAGTGAGTGACCGACGTCTAACAACACTCCGGGCCTAAATCGAGATATCTGGCTGTATAGATCTCAAAAACTGTGAGCATCACACACAAATTCCATGCTTCAACGCAAGTTGGAGCACAACGTCTCTGTGTGATAACTGAGATACGTGAAGACCGGATTGATGAGGCGATTTACCGCGAGGACTCCTGACGCCGACTACCACAACCCTATAGTTGATAGAATTACTCGTCTCTCGCAAAAGGGTTTGAAAGTGTCTTGGAGCAAGACAGATCGAGACTTGCGTACTATGCCTGCTGCCCCGTACGTTTTGCCCCCTTGTTCGTTATGACGTTCTTTCGGGGAACTGCGATTGGAATTACTGCTCGCCAGCTCATATTTAGCGATCAATCCTATCAACAGGTCAGAGAGATATCACAGCTGTAAGATATGTATCAGCTGACATTTCCTGAAGGTCTCGAGAAAAAGTGTTGATTATGTCGACGGTCACGGTGAAATTCTACCCCTTTTCGCTGCGACGACGCTCCAGGAAGCAACGAACATCTAGAGTGAAAATCGATGCTCGCCGATTTGGGATCAACCTCCCCAACAGGTCTGAACGCAATCACAAGTGGAACATAGAGTGACCCCGAAGATGATCCAAACTAGGGCTAAAAAGGTCGACCTTGTTATTGTGATGTGATTCATCGATGTTGATGCTGCTCTTGAATCTCATGCTACAAAGACCAGGACATACCCGGAAGACGTCACACATTGAATTAAGTGCATTGGGATTAACACTGTAATCCGTTTATTCTAAGGCTTCAATATCGACCCCTGCTATGAGGTTTGCTTGTTTCTTCTGTCTTGTTGGCGAAAATCGTACGACACGCTGCTCTAAGCTGCCATATCTCTGCCTCAGTAAGAGGAAGAAATACAGGCCAAACAGCGAAGCGTCAGTCAAAACATAGTTGTGTGTTGTAGCACAAGATATTTGAGCAAAAGGAAACTTAAGTTTCAATTCATCGTAAAACACAATTGCTGCAGAAGCTGGAGTGCAGCCAAAGAGATGTTCAAATCTTGTTCTCTCTATGACTTCTAGAACTACTACGTACTTTATAGCTACAGAGTGACAATGTCAAGCACATGAAGGGACAGGATCTGAGATTCGTATCGTCGTCGAGTAATTCACCTTAAGGCGACGTTGGTTCAACTCTGGTTACCGCAACGGTCACACTCTTCGTGATGATCGGAGCTCCATGAATGCTGTCTTCGCTGATCGCATCTTCGTCGTTCAGCCCCTTGTTGATTGCCCAATCATTTGTTCCAGCATTGTTGGCCAGCTCTAGTTGACTACCATTGTGTACACCCGACTGAGGTGCACTATGTAATTCGTAGCCTTTGCTCCCGAATGATTTGTCCAACCATGATCTTCTGGTGTTAGCATATTGACCGCTGGTTCCTGGTGCAGATGTGCCGAAGGTGGAACCCATGAAGGTGGGAGCAATCTGTCTAAGCAGAGGCTTGAGAGACGGCACGGATGCACAGATGATGGAGACGTTGGCGTCTACAGCGCTCCAGATTGAGGAATCAAAAGAGACCCATGTCTTGTCCTCTGCGTGCAGGATACTGCTGACTCTTACTGCTCTGACAATACTGGCGATAACAGGGATGCCACCCAGACAAATTGTGAAGAGAAGCGCGTTCTTTTGGCGTGCATGTAGGTTGAGTCCCATGATTTTTGGTGCCGCGAAGGCTATGAGAAGCACGTCCACGAGGACGCTTTCCACTGTCGAAGCATAGAATGCTGGTATGGTATCGATACACGATTTCTTTTGTATGGTGATGTTCCAGACACCTTCGATGGGGATGCATTGAAAGATGCAAATGCATTCAAGGACGATGGTGGCTATTGCCACAAAAGCGAAGACACTGTACAGGAAGACCCGGCTGAAGCGACTTGTTGTAAACACCTTGAGATATAATGCGCATAGAGAGAGCTTCGTGAAGCAGAGTGAGAATTGGTAAGCAATAAGGGTGCCGTAAAGCAACTTGAGAGAAGGCACGACGGTGCTGGGTTGTGTGTCAGCTTCGTGCAAGCCACCGCCAAACTTTGTCAACAGGCAAGCCATGATGCAGTTGGCGAGAGCAGCAACNNCTGCAGTCTTGTCAGAGTCGAAACCTTCACGTCAAGGGCTAAAGCAACATACATAGCCTGTCGTGAGGAGCCAGTCGTCCCAGCCGAAGGTGCGTAAGATCGCTGCTCGACTGTAGACTCTTCCAAAGTAGAAGACGGTCGCCAGCAGAAACGGGAAGATGTTGCCCAGCAAAATGTAGGGCGCCCGAGTCTATTTCGAAATCAGCCATGAACAAGAGTAGGGGTAAAGCAGTACCTACTTCTGGCATCGTGAAAGAACGTTCGCCTCGTCAGTTCTGCAAGTCCTATACCAAATCGATACAGAGACCCAGGGCAAGATTAAGGGCAAGAATGATAGTTCCACAGCGGATACGTACAAAATAAATAAGCAGCAACCAAGGAAACGGCAGAAGATGTCCGCAAGGGTCACCATCGCCCCTAATTCAGCCACTGGCCATCAAACTACAACCAACCGAGAACCTTAGCAGGTCCTGGAAGCTAATACGCGGGACGATTCGACGGTCCGCCAAACTTGAATCCTACGATAGTACATAAAGTCTTTGCTTCTGCGGCCGCAGGGGCACAACTAGCTTCTTTGGTGATAGAAGCGCTCCAGGGATATCGAGCTAGAGAATTTGTCGTTTTGGTTCGAACGAAGGTGGACCCAGGGTCCAGAACCAGCTGCTTAAAAACACATGGGGGATGCGGGTATCGTGCTCCGTGCTTCCAACGCAATAGCTCTTACGAATCATGACCCGAGTAATTGAAAGTGACGATACCAGAAAATACTAACTTCGAGAGACAAAAAGACAGCAGATGGTTGGAAACAAAGAATCGAAGAACAGAGTCGTTGGAAGCCGCCGACTCCGACCAGCCCTGTTGCTCGGCTCGCTTGCCGACAATGGAATAGGCCCTGGAGATCTACATTGCATACCTCCAATCGAGAAATCCTTTATGCCCACGCGAAAAATTGTGGCTCTGGCTACGGGTGAACTGGGCATAGCAGCGAAGACTAATGGCACGAGTACCGAATACCGATTAGATCTCAAACACGAGGCTGTCGAAGGAACCGAGGCCAAAGTGGAGTAGTGCACTAACGAGTTGAGCTTCGCTTGAAGCCAACACACGACTGTGAAGAGACACGACATCGCCGGCAAAGGTCGAGGTGTCTTCCGAATGATATCTCACTAGGTACAAACGACTGGATTTGTTAAGCTACGTACGTGTCATTCGCAGAAATTCTGACTACGTTCATAATCACTCGAACAGCGTTTCCAAAGAGATTGAAGGCGTCCATTTCGTGGCTTGACTGGCATCGTTACTGAATACGTACAGGATGCTACAACACTTCTAGCGACTAGATGCCGTTAAGCCTTCTTGGCTAGTCTTGCGGCCGTAAATATGTCATAAAAGACCTCTTTCGTTTATCTGTCGCGACCGAAAGTAGCGGGTCCAGCAGGCTTGTTGTCAAGGATCTTCTCAATCTCCTCCATGAGCTCTGGAGTCAACTTCTCGAGCAGCTTCAGGGCTCCAAAGTTGTCCTCCAACTGCTCGACCTTGGTAGCACCCAGAATGACAGTAGAGACATTGGGGTTCTTTGCAGCCCATGCCAAACTCAGCTGGGTAACGGTACCACCAAGCTTCTCAGCAATGGTAGTGAGTTTTCTGACCTGTTCGATATGTGTAAGTAGTTGGTCACAGAGGGAGCACAGAAGAATGGTTGATACCTTCTCGATCTTGGCTTGGCCCTCGGGACTCTTGAGCTGCTTGACGGTGTTCTCGAAGAAGTCCTTGTTGGTGGCAAAGCGAGAATCCTCAGGAATGCCGTCGTTGTACTTGCCGGTCAGAAGACCAGAGGCAAGAGGAGACCAGATGGTAGTGCCGTACTTGAATTGATCGTACAGAGNGGCATACTCGACCTCAAAACGCTGTCTGTGGAAGGCGTTGTATTGAGGCTGCTCGGCAATGGGTGCAATAAGGTTGTACTTTTCGGCGATCTGAGTTGCTTCCATAATTTGAGTGGCAGACCACTCAGATGTACCNNCCCTAAAAACGACCCAGTCAGCGCCAATTACTCAAAGCAGGGTCGGATTCCACGAACAGTAATAGGCCAGGTTGAGGTTGCGAATGGCCTGGGTGAAGCCCTCGACAATCTCCTTCATAGGAGTTGCGTTGTCAGGACGATGAGCCAGGACAATATCGACATAGTCGTGGTTCAGTCTCTTGAGGGAGCTCTTCAAGCCCTCAATGACGTGCTTCTTGGAGAGACCACGGGTGTTGGGCTCCTTGCGTCCAGTACCGAAGAAGATCTTTGTCGAGATGACATATTCGTCTCTAGGGTAGGCGAGCTCGTTGAGGGCACGTCTGTTGAACATGAATCAGTTTCTGCATTGACACAGCCTTGAGTCTTGGTGCTGCAAATCGAGTCAGATTCAGCAAGAAGACAATGTCAACTCACCNNCCATCTCGATCTCAGATTGGCCATTGGCGTAGACCTCGGCGGTATCGAAGAAGTTGCAACCTATGTTGCATTTAGCATGCTGGATTTCGTGGAAGGCTCGGAAGATCATACCATGGTCGAAGGCCTTTTGGATGCACTCCTTGACAATATCACCCTTTTGAGTACCACCGTATGTCAACCAACCTCTGAGTCAATCATGTTAGCCACAAGACTCCAGTCAATGGTCGACGCATCGCACATACCCGAGAGAGAAGACGGAGACCTTCAAGCCAGTAGGGCCGAGGTGACGGAACACCATGTCCTTGGGATCAAACTTGGACTCGACAGCCATTGTGACGGATTGATTGATGCGATACGAGAGTGTTATGGAAATGCACGAGGAATATCAATGAGAAGAGTTCGATGGAGGAGGCTCGTTTTTGTAGGGCCACATCACCTTCCTGAAAGAGACGGCAGCGGATATCCACATCGACCCCGCCGTTTAACTCCGTCTACGCCGCAAATCGCCATATCGTCATCGGCCTGTAAATTTGGTGATCAACTGAGTACCGTCAAGTCGAATGGAGAGGCTCCGCGCTCAAAGCGATGAGAAGAGGCCGTCTATGTTTGTATGCCCCACGATACGCGCATGTATGTATCCAATGGATGCGCTGACACACAGCTGTTTTACCGATGTAAACACCCGCGAAGCTTACCAAGCACAAGGAGTAGCAGCCCAATAGACAACCAAAACGGTCGACACGGGCTCAGGAAGCAGCAGCCCTACTGCGGCACCACAACAACTGTCTTCTTATGCCAACTTGATCAAGGATATCATATGTCATTGGAGAATGAAGGAATGAGACCGAGAGCTCGAGTCCCACACATTTGAGGGCTCACGACAGTTCGGATAGATCCGCGGCCTAGCGTCGATCTAATCAGCAGCTTTGTCCAGAAGACTCCCAATCCATCATGCTTGCTCTTGAGACCCCAAAACACCATATACACAACATGGCAGCTCTTCGAACGTTACGCCCCACGGCTCTGCCGACGGGCATCCGCCAAATTCTCAGCTCTTCTCGCACCATGTCCTACTCAACCCCTGCCTCATCACAACCGTCCACGCGACCTCCGCCAAAGTCGTCCGTTTCCGAGACCGAAATGTCGCACTTCTCTGCCCTCGCCTCGTCATGGTGGGACCCCGAAGGTCCTTCACGCATTCTCCACGAAATGAACCCACTTCGTCATGTCTTCATCCAACGCTGCCAATCGCTATACCCAAGAGACATGACAAAGACGCCCCAGAAGCGGCGCTACCTCGATGTCGGCTGTGGTGGTGGCATCTTCGCCGAGTCGGCAGCGAGACTTCTCGATACAGAGTCGGTGACGGCCATCGATCCGACAAAAGAGGTTTTGGCCGTGGCGAAGAAGCATCAAAAGAGCGATCCTCTGCTGTGCGAACCAGGAAGATTGTCCTACATCAACACTGCTATCGAGAACCTGCCGCTACCGGCCACGCCAGAGCAGGGCGTGGATGTCTTGTCGGTGTTTGAGGTCATTGAGCATGTCACGCACCCTGCTCCCTTCCTCACCAACTGCATGCCTCACGTCAAGCCTGGCGGTTGGTTGGTTCTCAGCACCATCAGCAGGACTTGGGCGAGTTGGTTCACCACAAAGCTCGTCGCCGAGGATCTCATGCGCATTGTCCCGCCAGGCACCCATGACTGGCACCAGTACATCAACGTCGACGAGATGAAGGCTTGGGCAGCAAAACAACCAGGCTGGAGCAATCCCATGACCATGGGTGTTGTTTATATCCCCGGCTTTGGTTGGAAGGAGATTCAGGGCAGTGAAGGCTGGGGCAATTACTTCTTTGCCATCCGGAAGAACGCTTGAAGAGAGAAGGATTCGATAATGTAGTTCTAGTGTAGCAATATTGTATCATTTTGAGCAATTGTCCTGTGAACAAATGAAAGCAAACATCTTTCGCAGCCATGCACTATTTCTGAGACGGCGGCTCCTGATGGGGCACCTTCTAAGCACCTCCTCCAGCTCCGCCTCTCATCCTCTTACCGGCACCCTCATCACCGCCCTCGTGTGGACGCTTGTTGCCCTGAAGTCCAGGTGTTCCCGGTGCAAACTGTTGTGCGCCAGGATTCATGCCCCCTCTGCCGCCGCCTCTTCCTCTACCCATACCACCGCGAGGTAGTCCACCACGTTGAGCCTGGCCAGCGGCGCCTTTGCACGCTAATTCCCTGACCTTGCGCGTTCTGAGCACCAGGCTGTGCCAGTCCACCTCTGCCACGGAATGCACCACCGCCACGCGGTAGCATGCTTCCGCCGCCTCTGGGAATGCCAGTAGGAATACCGGTAGGAATGCCTGATGGAATGCCACTTAAAGAAGGCACACGCACGGGACCAGGTCCCGCGGCTTGTTGACCTGGAGGGACTGGTCTCAATGGTGCGCCTGGCGTCTGAGGCGGTGTACCAGCTGCAGCCTGCGACTGTGCAGTGGCATTGTTGGTTGCTTGAGAAACAGCATCAGATGGAGCCTGGTTCGGGACGAAACTCGGTTGACCAAAGCTACTGCCCGGTTGTGGTTGCTGAGTCTGAGCTCCGAACTTTTGCATCCTTGCTTGCATCTTGTCTTGTGGCGCTTGACTGCTGGGTGTGGGTTGATTGGACTGAGCAGCCTGAGGAGGAGGCATGCCTGGCGATTGCGGAAGACCAGGACCAGAAGCCTTGAAGGGAGAGCTCATGGGAGACTGGGCTGGCTTGTTGACCTGAGGCGGCAGTGGGGAAGCAGCAGGCGCGGGCTTGGTGGATTTGGCAACCTCCCATACTTCGACGACTGGTCGTTGAGGTGTCTCGGTGGCGGCCTTCTCGACAACATCCAACTTGGCTTTGGCGGCTCGTGTCTGTCCTTCGGCCATGCCAAGCTTGGCCTTTTGCTTGATGGTCTCCATATTGACGGCCTTGGTCAAGGCTTGTTCCCTTTCCTTCTTGGCCTCTTCGGCCTTTTTCTTGCAGAGCCTGCTCCTTCTCCTTCTGAGCCTCTTCTGCCTTCTCCTGCAAAACCTTCTCGTGCTCTTGCTTGAGTCGGGCGGCTTCTTGAGCAATCTTGTTCTGGATGTTTCTGGCCACGATACTTCTAATAACAGTGTTTTTACCAACCAGTGTACGGGCTTGTTCATCGGTGAAGACCAGCTGAGCTGGGTCAACATCAGACGCCGTAGCTTGAGCCGGAATCGCTGTAGCGGCATTGTCGACGGGAGGCTGACTGGGTGCTTCTTCAGAAGAAGCTGCGGGTTGCTCCTTGATTTGTGCTTGGTCTACCGCAAGTTGACCTTCCTTGGTAAGGCGCTCAATTTCGAGACGATGCTCTTCCTTGAGTTGTGCAATAGCGGCCTCATGGTCCTGGCGAAGTTTTTGTAGCTCCTCACTGTGCTTGACAATAGCCTCCTGACGACCCTCCTCCTTGGTCTTCTCCTTGTCCTCTCGGAGCTTCTGGTTGAGCTTCGACTTCATGAGATTGGTTCGTTGATTGTACAGGCTTTCAAGCTGCTCCTTGCTGAGGTTGTGCTGCTCCTCAAGTTGGGCGCGCAGTTTGGCAACTTGCTCCTTCACTTGTTCGGCGATAGATTTTGCCTCAGCGCTTGAAGTGTTGGCAGCAACATCCGAGATTTGGTCTGGTGCTTGCTGAGTGGCGTTGGTGGCTGCAGCAGCCTTGAGCGATTCCACTTCTTCCTGTGCAGTAGCTAGCTCCTGTCTCAACTTCTCCAGATGCTCGGTATTGTCACCAGATTGAGGTGTTGTCTCTTGAGTCGGTTGCTCTTGGTTTTGAACATCTGAAAGACTAGCTGCACTGGTTTGGAGTTGCTGCCGGAGATCGTTCTGAGTTGTTTTAGTTGTTTTGTTTCGTTGCAAAGAGATGTAAGAACTTACGACTTGAGCCTCAAGCTCGGAGATCCTGTCCTGCAAAGACTCGACCTGGGTCGACAGTCCAGCAGCCTTTGCAGCCTCTTCAGATGCTCTGGCCTCTGACTGCTCTAGTGATTGCGCCAATGACTCTTGTTGACCGTTTTCTTGGATTTGGCCCTCTTCGGCTTGGGACTGAGCCGACAATTGCTGAGATGCAGCCTCGGCGTTGGCCACGGCTTCATCTCTGGAAGTCTTTGTAGACTCGAGCTCCTCCTTGACCTGAGTGAGTTCCTGAGTGAGTTGAGTCTTTTCCTCTTTGATACTTTCAAGCTCTTTCTCCAGCTCTCTGATCTTTGCGCTTTGCTCGCGAGATCTTGCCTTTGCCTGCTCAACGAACTTGGCCTTTTGTTCCTTCCATTGCTTCTCAGCATCGTCCTTGGTTTGCTGTAACTCTGCTGGAATGGCGTCAACCTTAGTCTGTAATTCCTGCTTTCCAGTGGTCAATTGATCACGTTCGGCTTGAAGGTCCGAAATCTGGGTCTTCATCGCTTCCATCTCGGCAGGATCGACTCTGTCGTATTTGGAAATGATGTTTTGTGTACGGTCTCGCCAGCGATCACGATCTTCTTGCATTAGCTTCATTTCACCTTCCTTTGTCTCCAATTCATTCTCGACCTCTTGGATGCGAGTCTGTAGAGGCTGGATCTGGCCGGTCAAGCTTTCAATCTCCTTGATCTTTTCTGCCAATTGCGTCTGGGCTTGTCTTGCCTCTTGTCGCAAGGTGGTGCTGCTCTCACGGAAGACGTTGAGCTCGTTGATGGTCTGCACGAGCTTGTTGTGGCTGACAGTGTTTGCTTCGTGATCGGCATGCTGTTGACGTTCCTCGCCGAGTTTCTGGCGTATTTCATCGAGCTGCATCTGCGTGTATTCGAGTTGTTGTTGGAGACGCTTACTTTCCTGAGTGGAAAGCTCGTACTGAACGTCGACAATCTCCTTCTCCCGACGCAAGTACTTGATGACTTCTTGGAAATTCTCAAACTCGGAGCCATGGATTTGCTCAGATTCGTCTTGCTCCTCAGATGAGATCTTCTTCTGCTGCAAGTCAGAGATTTGACTGCTGACAGATTCGAGCTGCTCGTGAAGAAGCTTGTTCTGAGACTTGAGGTCTTCGCGCCCAAGCCTGACTTCGGTCAACTCGCGCTCGTATCTTTCCCTCACTTCCGACCAGCTCTCTTCGCTCTGGCTCAAAGTGGCCTTGGCAGCTTCAGCCTCGGCCTTGATTGCAGCAACCTCGGTTCTGAGTTGGTTGTACTCGGTACGGACTGACTGAAGGTTCTTGGCAGCGTCTGCATGTTTGACCAGCTCATTCTCGTAGCTTTGTTGGGCTTGTTGTGCGATCTCTGCCTGTGCCTTGAGGTCCTCCTGGTGGAGCTTAGCAGTTTCGGCATAACGCTCGGACTCGTCGCGGAGACGAGCAATTTCGGCCTCAAGCAGACGCTTCTGGTCATCCAGTTGGATAGCACTCTCCTCGTGCTGGGTACGCAGGGTTGAGAGCTCACTGTTGGTGGTAGACAGCTCGGTGCCTAGTTCCTCCACTCTGCTTTCCAAGTCCTTGATCTTCTCATCCTTTTCGGCAATGATACGATCCATCTCCTCGCGGTATTGGTCGTTGGTTTCGTTGAGGCTCTGGAGTTCTTCCTCTGATGCTTGGCTGATGTTCTTGTACTGCTCGACTTGGACCTTGGCGTTTTCAAGATCACTACGAGCCAGTTCAAGGTCATGTTTGAGATCGGCGACTTCGAGAGCGAGCTCCTGCTCACGAGATAGGGCGTCCTCAGCATTGCTCTCCGAAGGTTGTTCCGCTTGAGGAGTGGGCCGGGGCTGGAGTGCTTGCACGCGTTCTTCTGATGTGCGGAGTTCGATCTTGAGCTCTTCTACCCTGGTTGAGAGCTGGTCGCGGGTCGTCTTGGCTGCGACAAGTTCCTCGCGAACGCTTGACAGACTCTTAACCAGATCATCGATTCTTGTCCTGCTCTGTTCCTGGTCATACTCTCTTCTCAGAGCCGCCTTCTTGCTCTCCTCGACTTCAGTTTCCAATTTCTTCTTTGTAGCATCAACGTCAGTCTCGAGCGTCTCTACTCTGTTTTGGAGTCTACGACGACTTTCAGACTCGGCCAGTTCACGCTCGTTCTGCAAGGTCTGAAGATCTGCGATCATCTTGTTGAGGCGGCTACGTTCATTCATGAGTGAATGGTTGTCCTCTGTCATACGAGCCTCGATCTTTTTCCAAAGCTCACGCTCTGCTTTGAGGTTGGCAGTATCGTTGCGCATGCTGTCGGCAAGGGAGCGAGCCTCCACCAGCTCTTCGGCGACCTGTTGTGTTCGAAGATCCTGCTTGGCCGCTATTTCGGCCAAAGATTGGGATCGTTTTTGCAGCTCGGAGTTTTCCGATTTGAGCATGTCGTAGTTGGCTTGAAGCATCTCGTAACGTTCATGAGCAAGCGTAACCTGACCACCTGAGCGAGCAACCTCTCCTTGCAGTTCGCCCTTTTCGCGAGCGAGTTTGTCGACCTGTTGCTTAAGCGTGCTGTGATCTGTTGCAGCCTCTTGTCTGTAGGCGTCGAAGTGATTCTGCATCTCCTTTAGAAGCTTGGAGTAGTCGGACAACTCTTTAGAACGGGGTGTGTCCTCTACATCTCGCGATATGCCGCCTGGTGGGGGAGTTGACGGGATGGGGCCCATGGATCTGCCGAAGGCAGCTTGAAGATCGGTACCGGCTGGCAACTGTCCACGATGAGAGAGCATACGTCTGAACATATCACGCTCACGCATGATACTCTCACACTGTGTGGTCATGGACTTGATCTCGTCTTGGTGTCTCTGAACACGGTCACGAAGCTCGTCAAGCTCCTGCAACGCCTGTTCAGTCTCGGACTGTTTGGCCTTTGCAGCTTCACCCTCCATGCGATCGGCAAGGCCGCGGTTGAGTTTCAGAAGCTGTACGTTTTGCTCCTGCAGTTCTTGAACATTTCTGAAGAGCAACAGCCTTTGACTGATCAAGGCTCCTGCAGAGGTCTCGTCTGCTGCCGAGGATTGATCGTCGAGCTCACCGTTGGCAATCATCTGCAGCTGCATCTGTCCTGCAGTGTCAAGAGCGTCCAACCCCTGATCACGAGCTTGCATCTCGACCAGAAGAATCTTGATCTGTGCACTAAGGTCGCGGAGCTGTTGACGGAGAATATCGCCTTCTCTTGAAAGTCCCTCGGTTTGACCCTTGAGGTTGCGCGCTTCCTTGCGTGCTTCGTCACGTTCAGTTGAGGCTACATCGAGCATCGAAGACATTTCCAGGATCTCAGCCTCGATACGTTCCTTCTCCTCGCGCAATTCCTCCTGCTCAGGACCCCTGTTTTCAAGATCACGGATCATCTCATCAAGCTCGTTGCTCAACAGGTAATTCCTGCGCTTCTCTGCCTCAAGGTCTGACTTCATGGTGCTGTACTCACTGTAGAGTTGGGTGAAGTTCATGTTGCCCTTCATGCGTGCAGATCCAGGGGTGAAGAGGGCGGGGGATCCATCACGTCCAGGGGTTGCTGGTGCTAAGCCATTAGAGTTGCGTTTGGGAGTGGCCATGACGGAAGCATTGTTCTGTGCCTCAGAAGCGGCAGCTTGGAGGCGTTCGACTTCGAGTTCCAGTTCGGCAAGCTTGGCTTCTACAGCCTCACGGTCGGCTCTCTCAGTCTCGATCTCGGCCTGAAGCTGGCCAACTTCCTCTGCTGCGTTCTCCTTGGTCTGATCGATGTTGTTCTGGAGATCCAGAAGGCGTGCCTTGGCGGTGTCTGCACTCTGCTTTTGTAGTTCGGCGAGTCTACGGGCACTGTCTAGCTCGACACGGAAAGATTCTTCAGCCTTGGAAGCACCTTCTTGCATCTGTTGTATCTTGGCAAAGGCGTCATCTGCCTTTTGGCCCAGCTCTTCCAGGCGCTGGCGAAGGGTTGTCTCTGTACGCTTCAAAGCGTCGACTGTGGCGCTTGCATCCTCGTTGGCGCGCTGCAATTCAGAAATGCGAGCATTCTTTTCCTTGCGGAACTTTGTGTGTTCGGTGGTGCGCGTTTTGAGTTCAGATTCATGCCACTCGTTGTTTCGCTTGAGAAGATCGACCTCTTGCTGAAGAGCTTGCTCCTTGAACTTGGCACTTGATGCGGCATTTTCCAAAGACTGGTTCTTCTCTTCCAATGCGGATATGTCACGACGCAAGGAGATTATCTTCTGGTGTTGGGTAGCAAGTTCCTGAGCAAGGTCGTCATGAGCAGTGGACTTTGATTCGAGGACGGAAAGAGTCTCGCGATTGGACGTTTCGAGAGAGGCGATGCGGGCACGCAGAGTGTCGAGTTCGGAGTTTGAATCTGACGATGAAGCCTTTGCAGAGTCGAGCTCGGTCTGAAGCTCGGCGCGAGCGTTTTCTATCGATCGAAATTAGCGGCCTGAGAAGTAATGTGTAGAAGTCAAGATACACACGCTGATCATCGAGAGACTTGCGCAGGTCCTGGATTTCTTGAGCGTTCTTGTTCAGAGTGGCCTTGAGAGCCTTGACCTTTGACTCTCCGGCACGGACGGTGTTCTCTAGCTCAACATCGGATCTGAGCTTGTCGGCCCTGAGGTCGTCAAAGTCCTTTGCTCTGGCAGTGAGGGTCGACAGAAAGTCCTTGATCAAATCTTGGGTGGGAGCATCCAGAAGAGAATCAAGCTGAGGCTCGTCGATGGAGAAGGCTTGGGAAATGAGAGCCGTGTCGACGGCGCCGGCCTGGGCGCGCGTCCTCATTGTCGCAATGGTTGGACGGCTAGTTGAATGTCATGAAGCTTCGGAAAGGCGAGGCGGACGTGTCGGGGTCGGACGAGACGCGTGACGAGAAGAGTGAATATCGCGAACGACAAGAGCAACGGAGCGACACGCAATTGAGGGCGTGTCTTGTGCAGTGAGGCGGCTGGCGAGAAGTTGCAAGACTTGGTACAAAGAATGGAAGCGTGCAACGACCAAGGCCGAGCTGCCTGTTGACGCACTGACCGATGCCGTTTGCGGCTGCCCGCAACTCGGTCACTTTCGCAATGGAAGTCAAGACTCTCGACACACCCACCACGCCGTGACTACTAGGTTGTGCACGTGCGACCACCTCATCCGATATCCTTCCTCGACTGCCCGCCTGCTGTCGAACATCTCCCGTCAGCAACACTTTTCCAGCATCCTCGCCGCCTTGACCGGCCAACACTCCTCCAGCATCCTCGCCGCCTTGACCGGCCGACACTCCCGCCGGCATGTCTCTCAAGGCTTCTTTCAATAGCTTCAACAGCGAGTTCTCGGCCGCCACCACTCGCAACACCCAGCAGAAGCGCCCCGCTGCCGCCGTCCCTGTCCCCGTACCGCGTCCCTCTACTCCTGCCACCCAGCCTACAGATCTCAAGCGCAAACGTCAGGACCTCCCACAAAATGCCGCTTATTCTCAACCCGCCGACACGGGCTCGGGCAGAGAGGTCATGACCCAGGTCGTCTACGCCATCGACTACCTCAAGTCCAAGGACCGTCCCATCAGCTTCACCGACATATGGAACTACCTCTCCATTCCTGCCAACCAGCAGCAGCATCGTCAAGTCCTGCGACGCGCGCTCATGGAGCATCCGAAAGTCGACTATGATCCAAAAGGCCTCGATGGACAGCATCCCTCATTCCGTTTTCGTCCCGTTCACAACGTTCGCTCTGCCGATGATCTCAAGGCCTACTTGCAGCGCCAACACACCGCTCAAGGCATCAGCGTCAAGGAACTCAAAGAAGGTTGGCCAGATGCCATTCCCGAGATTGAACATCTCGAATCAAAAGGCGAACTTCTAGTCGTGAGGCAGAAAAAGGACAATATTCCCAAGATGGTCTGGCCCAATGACCCCTCGCTCGATCAACGCATCGACCAGGACTTCAAGGATTACTGGACAAAGATCACTCTGCCTGCCAATCCTGGCGACTTGAGGATTGAACTTGAGAAAGCCGGCATTACTCCTACCAGTCAGGTCAAGGAAGTAATAAAGGTTTCTGGCGGAAAGGACAAGAAGAAGCGCACTTCGAGAAAGGTTGGCAGAAGCACCAACACGCACATGGTGGGCATTCTCAAGGACTACAACGCAGTGAAAAAGTAGCGCATCATTCTCTCTTTTGGGTTTTATGATTTTAGCGCGGCGTTGGTCAAGGAAGCATATCAAGGAGGTGTTCTTGGAAGTACTGGGCAGTCGACGGATGCAGCGGAAGCAAAGGGTGTGCCGGCAATTCGTACCTTGCGGTGTCTCCGGTGCATACGCAATACCACCCACTGCAAAGCACCCGTGTTGTGATGGGGAGAAACTACTGCTGCTCAGTAACAAGACGGAGCGAGCATGCTGCAAACAGACACCAGACAGCATGATACAAAGTCAGCAAAGTGATCTATTAGCAGCTTGTTCACCCCAGAAGTGTTATTCCCGTCCGCGTTATATCCGCAGCAAGTTCCTGTCATCCCCCGCGTGGGGAAAGTTTTGGCATCCTTGGGGTCGCGGCGCGTGCTCTATACTGATACTGGGACCTTACTCGTGCAGTCACCACTTTGATCTATAAAGTTTACAAATGATCACCTGTATCCTTTCGTGCTTGCATCTCTTTGTCCGCCTTCAGTCTATAGAAGTCGGCCACCCATCCCTCCCCCTCTCCTCCTTGAGCCAACTCTCTTACCCCCGTGTTCGCCATGATGGATTCGCGCCGGTCTACCACCCTTTTCGGCGTCCCAATGAAGCACCTCACTCTGTTCACTGTACGGCTCGCTCTAGACTTGTTGGCTCGTTGGACACGAAACTAACGATACTACGCANNGTTGACATTCCAAAATTCTGCCTTAATNCTTGGTATGCCCGGCTCAACACTCTCTCAAGGCATCTACTGACAGCCTGCATAGGTTATGCACTACTCACGTATCATGCCTGCTGTTGATGGCCAGCGGTACTATACCTCGACCGCTGTCTTCCTCAACGAAGTCATCAAGCTCGCCGTCTCGCTCACCATGGCTCTCTACGATCTCTCACAAGACATGGCTACTTCTTCCTCTGCGACCGCACTCTTCACCGAACTCATGCGTCGTGTCTTCACCGACGATAGCTGGCGATTGGCCATCCCGGCTATGCTCTACACTTTGCAAAATTCTCTACAATATGTTGCCGTAAGCAACCTGGATGCTGCGACTTTCCAAGTCACATATCAACTGAAAATCTTGACCACCGCTTTCTTTAGCGTCACCATGCTTGGACACACTCTGGGTTTGAAGAAGTGGTCTTCCCTACTATTGCTCATGGCAGGCGTGGCCATTGTGCAGATTCCTGCTAGCTCTGGCCCAGCCTTGCCCACCTTCAAGGATCTGAGGGAAGCCAATGCAGGCCTTCATTTTCCTCGCACAATTCAAGAGATGCGAGACATGGGAAGCAGTGCCGCCGGGCAGCTGGTCAAGAGATCTGCTACATATGAGGGCATCGACGAAGATTTTGCCATGCAACATCCTCAGCTCAATGCTTCAATCGGTCTGGCCGCCGTCTTGGTCGCTTGCGTACTATCCGGCCTAGCTGGTGTGTATTTTGAAAAGGTTCTCAAGGACTCAAACAGCAAGACTTCTCTTTGGGTACGGAACGTGCAGCTTTCCTTCTACTCGCTGTTTCCTTCCCTCTTCATAGGAGTCATCTTCAATGATGGTGCGGACGTGGCAAAACATGGCTTCTTCTCAGGCTATAATTGGGTGGTGTGGAGCGCCGTCTTTTTGCAGGCCATTGGTGGTATACTCGTGGCTCTAGTTGTGAACTATTCCGACAATGTTGCGAAGAATTTCGCCACGAGTATGAGCATCGTCATCAGCTTCCTAGCAAGTGTGTGGTTTTTTCATTTCAAAATCACAACCAGTGTAAGTTCTGATATCCCTCATGTGAGAAGTGGCTGACCACCATGGCACAGNTATTTGGTCGGCACTGCGACTGTTCTTCTNGCCACGTACCTGTGGACTGGCGATCATGGACCTCGTCCGCTGAAAATCGTGGTTGCTGATTATGAGAAGACAACCATTGGCCACGAACAGCCGTATAGTGACAATAGAGGCACTCCGAACGCGAGATCAAGCTTTAAGGAAGCTCTGACAACCAGCAGACCAAGCACGCCAGTCAACTTTGAACGTCGAGGAGGCGGATTCAAACGAGAAGAATAAAGCAGCCTTGGAGTTGCCTAAATTTTTCTAGTTGTCTACATGATCAATATGTTCGATTTGGCTCTGCTGACATGCGGTGAAAATATTTCACCTAGAGTGGTTGGGTTCTCGCTCAGAGCTCCTTCCTCAAATGCAGTAAAACATTCACGTGCAAAAAGGGCCCAACAATCGAGGAGCCCTGGTGCCTGCCATTCGAAGAAATCGACAGTGACGTGACTGCCTAGATGTACGAGGTGAAGTCCCTTGCGGGCTGATTCCACTGTGCCGTCGTGTCTTTTTCCATCCTTTCCACCCAACTACCAGAAACCAACGGTTCATCGGCTCGATACACCTCAAGTGCCATGTATGCAGACGATTCGTACGGCCTCTACACGCCGTACGAGCAATACCCAGACAACAATGTCGATGACTACATCCGAAATGCAAGCTACGAGAACGATCGAAGCAGCTACGGTTCTTAAGATCAAAGATTGCAGTCAAGCTGTCTCAAAAGNCTGACCTTTTTAGGACCGTCACGCCCACGCCGAGTAGTTACATCGACACGCCAAAGCCAGGCCGCTGTTGATAGGGCTCGATTGTCTTTACCACCCTCTGCGCCAGTTCCTTTTNNGGAAGCCAATGACTATCAAGCGTACGATCATGTACCCTCAATTCCTGATGAGTACACGACAGAATATGCGGAAGAGCCCTCAGAAGGAACGAGACACCATTTCAGATCCGCAGGCCCCTTCGTTCCTCAACCATCACAAAAGATCTTCCAGCAACAAGGAAGCAGTTCATCACCNTTCGAATGCTCTGCCGTCCAGTCCAGCCTACCAAGCCAGCCAAAGGCAGCATCACCCCGAACCCACGATCCCGAGTCAATCATGCACCAAAGCACAGCAAAAAGGCCAGACATACCAACGGACCCTCCTATTGTCCAAGGAGTCCAGCTCGTCCCCGTACATACACTCCCGGATCGATTTCAGACCATCTTCCCATTCGCTATGTTCAACGCTGTTCAGTCTGCTTGCTTCGAAAGCATATACGAGTCTAACGACAACTGTGTTTTCTCGTCTCCTACAGGCAGCGGCAAGACTGTGCTCTTCGAGATTGCCATCTGCCGCATGCTTCGGGGCTGGCAGTATGGCACATTCAAAGTCATCTACATGGCTCCAACGAAGTCTCTGTGCTCCGAAAGGACTCGTGATTGGAAGGCCAAGTTCGAGCCGTTGAATCTGAAGTGCGAAGAGATGACAGGCGATTCGGATATCACCTCGCTCCATCACGTTCAGCGAGCCGACATTATCGTGACCACGCCAGAGAAATGGGACTCGATGACGAGAAAATGGAAAGATCATGAGAAGTTGGTCCGCCTCATCAAGTTGCTCCTCATTGATGAAGTTCACATTCTCAATAAGGACCGTGGTGCTGCCCTTGAAGTTGTTGTGTCCAGGATGAAATCCATTGGCTCTGACACAAGGTTCGTCGCCCTCAGTGCTACAGTGCCCAACTCACAAGACATCGCTACATGGCTTGGAAGGAATGGAGACACTCCCGACGTCCCAGCTACTCACAAGAGATTTGGTGAAGAGTTCCGTCCTGTTGAACTCAAACGCCACGTCTGTGGCTATCAATCAAACGCAAATGCATTCGGGTTCGACGCCATCCTGACCAAAAAGTTAGTTGAGATTATGCGAGCATATTGTCACCTCTTACTGACTATGGGCAGGCTGCCGGATGTCATCACTAAGTACTCCCAGAGAAAGCCAATTATGGTGTTTTGCTTTACCAGAAAGTCATGTACAGAGGCGGCGAAACTTCTTGCTGAGTGGTGGAAGACCAGCACACCTAGAGACAAGTATTGGCATGCCCCTTCAGGTCAAATCGCAGTTCAGAACAAAGATTTGCAAAGTGTGTATCCTCATTGACTTGTTGGCGGGAGATCCTAACGCCTACAGATACTNGTTACTGCTGGAGTCGCTGTCCACCATGCAGGGCTCAGCCAACAAGATCGTACTGCAATAGAAAAAGCTTACCTCGCAGGAGATCTGAGTGTAATCTGTTGTACTTCAACGCTAGCAGTAGGTGTAAATCTGCCTTGTCACATGGTCATCATCAAAAACACTGTCAATTACGAGGCTGGAGCAGTCAAAGAATACTCAGATCTCGAAGTCATGCAGATGATTGGAAGAGCTGGTCGACCACAATTCGACTCGTCGGCTCTGGCTGTAATCATGACAAGGATGCAGCAAGTCAAGCACTACGAGCAGCTGCTAAGTGGTCAAGAACGATTGGAGAGCTGGTATTATTCTTGGATGGAATTTTCCAGAGCACGAGCGCTAACATACGTANNTAGTTTGCATCTCAACCTTGTGGAGCATCTCAATGCAGAGATTGGACTGGGCATGGTCCCAGATCTCTGTGCAGCACGGAAGTGGCTCGCTGGCACCTTTCTCAAAGTCCGACTCCAAGATAACCCAACACACTACCAGATAGATGGTGACGCTCCGGATCGGAGCCTCGGGGCCAGACTGGAACAGATTTGCGAGAATGCTATCTCAGAGCTCAGAAGACTCGAGCTGATCGAGCATGGCCCAACATTCAACTCCACGGAATACGGAGATGCCATGGCACGCTACTACATGAATATTGCGACCATGGAGTCGATCTTGAGTCTCCCAAGGAAGCCAAAAATATCGGAGATTGTATTTGGTCACACGTTCTCATCGTGTCGTTCTTGTCTGCTAACATATATCACANNGCTGACTGTTATATCACAAGCTCATGAGTTCAGAGAACTTCGATTCCGTTCAGGAGAGAAACCGCTATACAAAGAGATGAACGGCATGAACGACAATCGCTTTCCCATCAAGGTTGATACCTCCTCTGTGGCACACAAAGTATCCCTGGTCATACAGGCCGCACTGGGGGGAGTTGGTTATATTGCTGATCAAACCAATCATCGGGTCCAACATAGCATCGATCAGTCTCTGATCTTTCAACATGTTCATCGGTTGATTCGATGTATTGTGGACTGCCAGAATGTTAACAAAGACGCAGTCGGCATACGCAACTCTCTCTTCTTATCACGTAGTCTGGCTGCGCGTGTTTGGGATGATTCACCAATGGTACTCCGACAAATTGAGCAGATTGGCCCAGTAGCCGTTAGGAAGCTAGTAGATGCAAGAATCACCACTATGGATGAGCTCTCAAATACGGATCCGGGCAAACTGGAACTCATCCTCAACAAAGCTTCGCCATTCGGCATGACCATGCACCGTCGAACCCAGACGTTCCCTAAGCTGAGGGTTGGTTTGCAACTCGTTGGACAGCCTGTAAGGATACTATATCATATTACTTTGGGGACTGAGCTAATTGCTACAACTAGNGTGACCGATGCTCAGAAACATGTCGCTGTAAAGCTGAAGATAGACATTGGGTTCTTAAACGAAAAGACTCCTGTCCATTATCGAAACAAGCCAGTCTTTGTGATTGTTTTACTTGGCACTTCAGATGGACAGCGGATCAAATTCTTCCGCCTTAGGTACGTAGAATGTTGGCTCGTCCGTGACGAAGGAGCTTACCGGTTCAACAGTGCCGCGAAGCTACAAAATATCAACCCAATAACTGAAACCGCATACTTGACGAGCCCTACCCAGTTGATTGAGTGTTATGGAATGATTGATGACCTGGGTTCGTGTCGTATGATCTTTGACTAAGGCTTGGGTGTTCGACTAACATGCTCTAGCTGGAACTATGCAGGAAGCTGCGATCAAGCCCGAAGTACCAATTTCAGCATTCCAAAACATCAAGGATACTGCAGCAGATGTTGGCAGAGACAAACCAGCTACTCGATCAACAAGTGCTACCAAAAGGATCCCGATAATACTGCAAGCAAGTACTGATATCGACGAGTGGGATAATGGAGGACTGAACGATGATGACTTCATCGATGCTGAATCCCGGGAGGATGACTTCATGGATGTCGACGCACTTGACCAGCCGATATCCAGTCTACCAAAGGCCGGAAAGTCAAAGAACAAGACTGCTATTGCCAACACTACCGAGATCCCGGACGAGCAGAGACTGGAGAATGGAAGGTTTGCTTGTGCCCACAGTTGCAAAGATAGAAATGCCTGCAAGCATAAATGCTGCAAGGAAGGACTGGAGAAGAAACCGAAACCAAAACCAAGATCAAAAAAGCTCAAAGACAGCGGATCGATTCCTACAGCGAGCAAGAGCAAGACGTATTCCTCGTCGTCGACCAAGGTGCAGTCGACGCTGGAGCTTCCAATCAGAAGAAAAGCGATTGGTGAGCCCGTAGAGCACCTCGACCTGTCCCAGGCTTCTGATCCTCCAAAAGTCAGGGTGCCCGCGGCAGCCGCACGTTTTGCAAGTCTTCACAATAGTACAACCAGATCCAGCGAGATCCCGATCCTTGGAGCGAATTCTGCTGCGCCAAAGTCATCAGCTTCGAATGAAAAGTTCACCGGACCAAAGTTCTATCAAAGTCTGAATCCTTTGGGGATCGTTGAGGAAGAATTGTGTCAAGATGGTCCCTCGGTGAAATCTATCCTCGAGCTTTGCGATGATGAGAACGACGACATGCTGCCAGACGCTGAAGACTATCTGGACAAGGATGAGGAGATGCTGGACGCGGCTTTGGTCGGTCTGGAAGATTCACAGAGCCTTCGTGATTCGGTCGAGACTGTCGAACCTACACAAGATGCCCAAAGTCTCGACATGCTGAATCATAAAGCGGAAGGGGTCAACGACGAGCTAGAGCTCTTCGTGACGCCGCATACTCAACGCGCTGATGGCTTCACAGAGGAATTTGAAGATGCTGTAGCAATGTTTGATCAGAGTCTTGATGACGATCACTCGATAACGCCGGGCATGGTCAAACGCAAACGCGACGAAAATATGCCGTCGGCCTACTTCTCTGCGAAGAAAGCCAGAACCGACGACGAAGCAGCACTGGAAACATACGAGGAGGAGATACAAGAAGATCAGAGACACGAAGAAAGCGAGGAAAGCAAAGAAAGAAGGGAAAAGGAGGAGCTGCGAGCCTGGTTGGCTGCAGAGCTTGGGGACAGTGTCGAGATGGTTGATTGAGGGACAGAAAGGGTATTGCTTGGAAGCATACGAAGTCGCTCGAGGGAAAGATGATAATTGCTCGGGTGAGATTATGGTATGGATGGAAGGTGGTGGAAGCGGTCTCACTGGGGACGGGAGGGCGACAGATGACGTGGGCTTGGCGGTGGTTATATCTTTCACATGCTTCTCACAGGCAGCTAGACTAACCCGTCGCATTACATACAAACTTTTGCTGAAACATTCCACAACGACGCAAACATGTCGGTCAAGTGAGTACCGCACGGACCGAAGGTCGGATGGGCAGGGGCTGACGATAGCAAAGCTGGGTTATGCTGGAGCCCTCATCAACGCAACCCTTTACTCCCCTCCCACACGAACAAACTCTTTACAAGTCGCCAGCCCGCACCACCTTCTCTCTGCAGTCACTCAACAAGTTCCCTGGAAAGGAACCTGTCCACTGGTCAGCCTCTGCCGGCACCTTGTACCTCACCAACCGCCGCCTCGTCTACTTACCATCCACACCAACACCTCAACTCCAGTCGTTCGCTGCGCCTCTTCTCAACACTCACGATTCGCATGTCGTCGCACCTTGGATAGGCCCAAATGTGTGGACCGCCCTCGTGCAACCTGTCCAAGGCGGTGGCATTCCCGCCCACGTCCCTGCGTTAGAACTCAAGTTCGCATTCAAGGACGGAGGAGCATACGATTTCCACTCTGGATACGAGAGGGTGAAGGAGAGATTACAACAACAAGTCGACGTCGCGAGACAATCAGGACATCTCCAAGGCGATGGCAGTGAGGCTGGACGGGGAAGAGGAGGAGACTCTCTTGCTGCCGTTGACGTCGCAAACGTGCATTTGGACGATCTGCCTGCTTATGAGGAATCTGGTGCTTCAGTGTCTATTCCCCAGCCTCAAGCACAGGCTGCTCCGGCACCTGCATCGAGGCAGGCCCCTGCCGAGCCCGAGTCGCACGCACCAGAAGTCTTCACACCACCTGCCGAGCCACCTCCAGGATACGAGCAGGTGCAGAGAGAGACTGTGGAAGACGAGTTGGAGAGGAGATTGAGCAGTGGTCGCATCCTTTGAACGCGGCCGACTCTTTGATGCAAGTCATGTGTACGATGAGACGATACCCCACGACAGTTTCATGGTTGCCGACAGACCATGTATTAATGAGGAAAGGGCGGACGGCGTTTATGACATTTATCTTTTCTTGCATTAAGCATGGTTGATCCATTGTAATAGCAGGCGCAAACGAGACAGGAACAAGTCAATCTCATCACTTCCACCGCTGGAGCTCTCTCACTCTGCCTCGTCTAGATGATACCAGGAATCCATCTTGCGCCCACCACGCTCTTGTAGCTTTCGTACTTCCTTCTGACGCCCAACTCCACAGTCTCTCCCTTGACAACATCCTCATTCAACATGAATTGTCTCTCCTCCAAGTCAGCACCTTCACTGTACAATCCGAACAGCCCTATGACAACAACAGCCATTGCCACCATTCTGATGAATCCAANAAACGCATGGTTATGTCTCCACTCCTGCTGCATGGCAATCAAAGATCCCAGCCAGCCAAGCGCATAAGAAACATAGACCGGGTGCCTAACCAACGCATAAGGACCAGTATTGATAACCTCCCTCGGCGTCACTTTGCCAAAGATGACAGAAAGATTTCCCTGACCGGTGACTTGACCGCACCAGATACCCAACAACGAGCTTCCGGCGAGGAAGACCCAGGATAACAGGTGCAGCAGTCCAGTGTTTGCGGAGTGCGAAACCGCTGAAGGGAGACTGGTCGCAAAGATGGAGGGAAAAGAGATCAAGATGGCGAGAACGGAGAGGCCTTTGACTTGGAGAAGACGGTTGGAGTTGACAAGCCCGGTGGAGGGTTTGAAAAAATGCAGGAAGATGGCGTAGGATTGGCCGCTGAGGAAGATGAGGTAGAGAATCTGGACGAGGGATGGGAACCACATTGTTTTGGTTTTGTCCACTGGTTTTTGGTGTAGTGTGAGTGGAAGTTGAAGAGCGGTGTTTCTGGTTATATACTCCGCTCAATGTGGTGACGGTGACATCAGAGTTGATATACGCGGAATGTCTCAGATTGGTGGAGCAGGGTCGCCCACGTCAACCCCCACGCGGAGTCAAGGGAACTCGCGATGCCGAGACCACCGAACAAGTGTAATGTGACTTTTCATTGGAAAGGTTATCATCAAAACGGTCTCTTTCAGGTAAACTAGCATGATAAACATCATCGAGTTGCTACAGCACCTGGCGCAAACAGAAAGGAAACATTAATAGCCACTTCCCCACATATCCTCCTCATCGATGACTTGGTCTATCGCGGCTGGAGCACGTCTTCCTTGATCCCTCTCACGCTGTCTTCTCTCTGCTCTGCTTGTCAAATGAGGTGTTACAGGTGTCACGGGCGTGTATGGCATGTACGGACTGTACGGTGTAGCCATGCCTGTACGAGGTGCACTCAACATGTCGCGACGCCTCTCTAGGTAAGTGGTCTTTGTGACGAGACCAGGTGATGCCAATGGCACACCATCTGATTGTACCATGGCACGAAAAGGCAGCGTCCCCATGGTAGACACAGATAGGTTGTTGATGCTGCGACCACCCGAAACAGCTGTGTCTAATCTGAGTTCCGTTTGCCTGGACGCAGCACTTGCTACTCGCGTGATTTCGTACTGATAGCTTCCAGCTCGCTGTGGCTCCGATCGGGGCATGGCTCTGATTTCGTCAAAGTTTTCGACATCCACAGGTGTTCCGTAGCCATCGTGTGTGCCCGGCGTAGTAGGTGCCTCACTTCTGGGTGGTGGGCTGGGCGGGATACCTGGGTCGATATAATATCTCGGAGTCAACGGTGTGCGTACCTCTTCGTCAGATACTTCGCTTGGGTAATGGCGATGTTGGATGCGTAAGTTGCGAAGTCCTTTTCGAGGTCGTTTGCCTTCGACTTGAGATCCGAATGAAGATGTCCGCGTACGCGTCGACGCGGCGCCTGGGGATATTGGCATTCGTAGTTTTGGGGATGCGACTTGTCCGTAGTCTGGCTGCATAGGTGAGATGGGCGATGTTGGGTGGAAATGAGGAGAGCGTGGAGGATATATGGCTCGGATCGGGCTCCTGGGAGATACGGGACTGATCTGAGAATCTTGCAAGTGTAAATGTGCAAGAGCAGGAGCCGATGTCAGAAGCCTCGGAGGTTGTCTTCTCGACCTGAAGGATGTGGGCTCGGGTAGAGACATTTCGTCCTCCGTGACCGTGTTTCGAGATTTGGCTGCTTCCTGTTCCAGCGCCGCCGCGTACAGATGTTCCAGCTCTCGCTGTCTGGCCACCCTATCTGCCTCAATAACACCAGGGTCGAAGGATGCAATACTCTGGACCGCTGGACTGCCAGGATTGCTGACCGTCCTCGTACTACCTTGCATGCTGCGTTTCTTTTTCAACCTTCGAGGGCTATACCAGGATCGTTGAGAATGTGGACTCAGTGGTGAATCATCGAATTGGGTGATATTCGGTTTGACCATTTCTACCGACGTCGTGAGATAAGCCGACAGAGCCGCTCGTCGCATTCGTCTTCCGATTGTGAGAAGAAGGCTTCCAAGGATAAAGACAGTCGCTAGATATGCGCCTATGATTCCACAGATCTGACCGGCCAGCAAGCTAGAATCCCGAGAAGCGTGAGCAGACAGGGGAGGACCGTCTTCTGGAGAAGGAGCTGGGCCATTGTCAATGTCGACCGTCCAGAGACTTGCTTGTACGAGTGATGCTAGGAATATTGGATAAAGGATGTGTTGAAACAGACGGTCCGGTCGGTCAACCATTGTCGAGTCGTTGAGGCCGACTACTCGGCGCAACTGCAAAAGCAGGCATGAGAAGGAGAGAGAAGAAAAAGCTCACCAGCAGGAAGTGCTTGTAAGTATATCTGGCAATGGCGGACAATTGGAGTGGCAGGCGAAGTGATTGATCGGATGGCTGCATTAGCGCGTGTGTGGCTTTGGATTGGGCGCTTAGGTTGTGGAAGGAGGCCTATAACGTCGACGCAACTGCGACATGGTCAACACTCGACGTGACTGGAAACACGAACCACGAGTAATTAGAAAGTGTAAAGAAATAGGTATTCAAGAGTGTATCTCAGTGTAAGCGCTAGAATTGGCCAAAAAGGGAAAGGAGGAATTGCCAAGAAGGAAATGATCAAAACCAGACCAGAATGCCGTGTTGTTTCTCGAGGGTATCTTGTCGCTCGCTTTTTGGTATGTATGAAATGAAGAATGAAAGCAGATCTGTAGCTTTTAACAGGCTTTTAAGGATCGTGAGGAGCGTGAAAAGGCTTGAGCATCGTTGAGTTTCCGTTGTTTCCATTGCCACTCGACCAAGACAGGGAGAAAATGCCAAAGATCAAAATCGGGCCAGAGGCACTCTAGGAAGACAATGCTTGTGTGTTCATGACATTGCCACATCATGAAATCACTTAATCTCGTGACACCCGAGGTTCGAACCAAAAGATCGCAAGGAGGCGCATCATGAGTAAAAGTGTGGGCATCGATGGTATCCGCAGTGATGGTCTCGGGATCTGGAAACACGGTCTGAGGTTCTGTGGGTTTGAAGGCTGGTGAATGCGCAGAGTTGGATGTGCGAGAGGAAGGAGGGTGATCATCGGTGGAGGCGGCACTGATATTCGAGTCGTCCGTCTCTTCGGTGTTGTCTTCGTCGGCCTCGGCCTCCTCTTGGACTTGGCTCAGCTGAGTAGTGCGCAAATGGCGTGCAATATGGGATTCGGAGAAGGGACGCTTGTTGACATGGCGCAGAGGGGTCGAGTACTCGCGGACAGTCTCGCGAATGGCGTGTGTCATCTCGTGGCGTGAGGTATACGGAAAGCAGACATTCAAGACAGCTCTGGTGTTGTTGCTGGTGAGGCGGACAGCATCGTCTATGGATTCCAGCACGTCGGACCGTACGAGTTCTCTCTGTCCCAAGATCTGGATGCGAGCGCCGTAGCGATGGAGAAGCTCGCCGTGCTGGGCCAGCTGGTTCAGCTTGACCTTGGCCATGTCCATGAGCGCGTCGACTTCATACTTGGAGCGTTTGAAGTTCTCAATGCTAAAGGCGTAGATGGTGACAACCTTGACCCCTGACTTGTAGCACACTTCGAGTANTCTGTCCCTGGGTCAATTCTAGGTCTAGGTATAGCTCGGGCGCGGACATACACGAGCGAGGGCTTCGAAGCCTAGATGATGGCCTTCGACCGTCTCGATATGATGCGTGCGCGCATAACGTCGGTTCCCATCCATGACAAAGGCAACGTGCCTTGGGATGGGCCCTTGTCGCAATGCTCCAATCAGCAGCTCTCTAACCCGCTGGACACCCCACTCTGCGGGCGGAGACGACAGAAGCCATCTGCTGAGGCGTGTCAGATGGGCAGAGGACATGTCGACGTTGCTTTGGAGAGAGAGAGAACGTGCGCCTCGTGTCAACCATTTGTTATACCATAAATGCCCAGCCTGCCATGCCACGCATGCGCTCCTGCGTCAGCTCCTCGGCACCGCCTGCCTCCTGCCTTCGCTCCAAGCCCCGTATCTCCGTCTGCCAAGAAGCCGCTCCATCCCCGTGCGGCGCTCCCGAATTCTCTTTGTTGCTGCCGCATTCGACAACCTTTCCACCTTGTTCTCACTACACGTCTTGTAACCTGATCTGCATATCTGCTCATCATGGCGTCTATCGTCGAAAAGCAGCTGCAGAGCTTGCTGGACGGCTTCGACGCCTTGCGCCTGGAGTATCAGCGCGTCTATTCGCGATGTGCCGTTCTCGAGGCCCAGCTGGTCACGGCAAAGTCACAGGTCAGTCCACCACGCCGATTCTCCAGCACACCCCTCCTCCTGTGATGAACAACCTTTAGCTCTAGACCTGCAGCTGTTCGCAGCTTTGACAGATAACACACCATAGCATGTTACTGATCCTTCTTACCCACCTCACTCTCGACTATCAACCCTCTTCTTGCCGGCACACCCGCTGACTTGAACGAACAGTATTCGCGCCTTGCCGCCATCAGTCCTGAAAAGGCCAAGCCCCTCGATCTCTCAGCTTCTGCGGCATTCCCGTTGGCTGTTGATTTCGAGAGCTTGATAAATAGTTCTAAGATAGTTGACGCCAGCCGTCGAGACAAAATCACTGCCGCTTCTCGTACCTCAAACTCGCTGCGTTCGACCGGCGTGGTCATCCATTCTGGGCCTTCGGCCGACAAACCCTCCGCTCCCACCTCATCTGCTGCCATGCCCTCTATATCAGAGTCTCCCCTCGAACAAGACTTTACTGTCCCGGGCACCCCGAGCAGACTCGATTGCCCTTTTGCTTCCATGGAAAGGCGCAAATTGAGTTCGCATGCCGCTTCCGTTGTGTCTCGTTATAAGCCCGAATCCGTCCGACAGCCACGCACCTCGGGCTCGCGCATCAACGGACGACGCAACTCTTCTAGCGCGCGAAACTCAGTCGTTGATCCCATAAGAGAGGTTTGTGCCATGGAATCACACAAGAAAAGCCCAGACGCTGCGCCATCAGTCCAAGGTTCGTCTACCGACAAAGTCTGCCCGATCCGCTTCCTCGATCAACACAGCCCAGAAGAGGTTGCTGCCTACTTTGAGCTACACAAACACGAACTTCCAAGGAGCCACGAGATATGTGTAAAGAGATATCAAAGCAACGAGGAACAAATCCGACAGCTCGATGCAAAATACGGTAATATCGTCAGTATGATTCAAGGGCTCGGTCAAAAACACGTGTCTCTCTTGCCTGAGAATCTGGGCGACGAACACCAAGATGCGGAACAAGATTTTGATCAGGATGAGCGTGCCAGCCATGAAAAGATTCGCAAATGGGCCAGCACTGTATACACAGGTCCAGATGCTCCGGCTGAAGAGAAAAAAGACGAGGAAGGAACCGAGGATGAGCGGTTGCCTCGTTTCGATCGACCACTGAGGGATGTCCGTCTAGGTGAAAGCCCGAGCCGACCTTGGGGCATTCAAGTACCAATTGATGCACAAGACCGTCACAACAGTGTGTCGTCAAGCGTAGCAGCTGCTGCAGAGGCTCAAGCTCCTCAGCCACCATTTGAAGCACAATTAGAAAGACCCAAGGGAAAGTGCCCATTCGGATTTGATCAACAGAAGTCACCGGGACAAAACCAGGAGGATGGAATCGGTAACGAACCGGCCATCAAACCAGTTCAGGAAAAACCAGCTGCAGACAACGTGGAGCATGTCGACACCAAACCTACATTCATCCGCCAAGGTCAATTCGAAGCATCGACAGAGAAGAAAGTCGGAGAGCAGCCAGTTTTCATCAAAGCAGAACCTGACGGACGAAAGAACGAGACTGCACAGATGGTGTTTACAGGACCAGTGTTCATCGGCTACTCGGTGCAAGAGGCCATGACAGTGCTGCAGTCGATGCAACGCAACTAGAATAATGAATTAATGCTACGAAACGAATCATGACTTTCCAAATCAACCAGATCCATAGTACAAGTAGCGTGTGCAACAATGTGAGTAATTACAGGTGTGAATGTGGAGGAGAAAAGAGAAAGACGAACTTGAGGGATGGTACCATCGGAGCGACTCTCATTGGTCCAAGTGACAGGCCCGTGCACGGGGAAACGTCGAAAGGTTCGCAGGGCCGCCTCTTCCAAGCAACGACAGTCAACACATTCAGAGTCGCCTCATCACCGCTACCATGGGTATCTTCGACTACGTCTCCGACCTCTACTCGTCTCTGTCCGTCCAGTCATGCGAGGCTGAAGTCCAGGACGACCTCAAGTACGCCTCGGGCGACTTCAACTCGTCCAAGGACCAACAGAACGGCATGGGCACGGCTGAGCAAACCCGTGGTGCCACCACCAGGGGCGGTGTCAGTCTCGACACCCCTGCCTCGGGCACCGACGAGGAGAACGCCTCCGAGGCCGAGGCCAACAAGCAGGACGCCAAGAAGCCCGAGCCCTCGAACGAGAAGGGTCACGTCGCCGGTGACGGTGGTGCCGCTTCTGGCCAGGTCGGCGCCGACAACGCTGGTCCTCACGGTGGTCCCGTTGGCAAGCAGGACGACGACGAGGATGCCGAGGAAGAGGAGGACGAGGAGGAGGATGAGGAGGATGAACCCGAGGACCCCAAGCCCAAGATTGAGGAAGGTACGTCAAGGAGCCATTGCCCATGCGGAGCCGACAAGAAACATGTCTGACAAGACGACNNAGAGTGCGCCAAATCATCCGAGTGCGCTCCCTACAAGCACCACTACGACCACTGCGTCGAGCGCGTCACCAAGCAGCAGGAGGAAAACGGCAAGGCCGATGAGGACTGTGTTGAGGANATGTGAGTATTGTCGTTTGTCGTGTGTCAATTGCGAGGTCGATACTAATGTCCGTGTCTAGTCTTCCACCTCGCCCACTGCGCAACTGCATGCGCCGCGCCCAAGCTCTTCAAGCAGCTCCGATAAACGACACGCGCGCCCATAGGCCTCAGTCAAGCAAGTCGACTCCCGTTTGGCGGAAGCGATGACACTAGCCTCTTGTACAAAGCATTTTCTACACGACGAATTGTACTATTTTTCCTTTCTGTTCCCTAAATCTCTAGACGAGTCGTTTACAAGCGATCAAAAGCGTGTAGCATAGAGTCTGTATGCCCAATTGCTTCCAACAGTGTCTGGTCTTGTCTACTCGAGCATGTATGCAGCTAGAAGGCAGGGAATGGACGCGGCAAAGGTCGACAGCCATGGTGAATATAATTGGCTCGGGGGAGACGGCTATGACGCAGCACTTGTGTTTGAAGCTTCAGAAGTCGAAGCTGTGCTCTGTCGACCTTTCTGAAACCTCCGACGAACACAATCACACCATTCCAACATGTCTTCTGCAGCCGTCTTCCGCAACTCTGCCGTGCGCTCTGCTCTTAGAGCCAGCGCTCCCTCGGCCACCAAGCGTGCAGCCATTGCCAGCACAACCTTTACCCGCGGCAAGGCCACTCTTCCCGACCTTCCCTGTGAGCTCTGCCTCTCTGGTCCATCCACGCGCAGCCTTGTACTGACCACGTGTGCAGACGACTATGGCGCCCTCGAGCCCGCCATCAGCGGCCAGATCATGGAGCTTCACCACTCCAAGCACCACAACACCTACGTGACCTCGTTCAACACGGCCTCCGAGAAGATGGAGGAGGCTCGCGCAAAGAACGACATCCAGACCCAGATTGCTACCCAGCCTCTGATCAACTTCCACGGCGGTACGACCATCCGTTACACATAGAGTCCCATTCACAAACCACTGACACCATCATCACANGGCGGTCACGTCAACCACTCTCTCTTCTGGGAGAACCTCGCACCCAAGTCGCAGGGTGGTGGCGATCCTCCATCAGGCGCCCTCTCCAAGGCCATCGACTCCCACTACGGTAGCCTCGATGCCATGAAGCAAAAGTTCAACGCCGCTCTGGCCGGTATTCAGGGCTCTGGCTGGGCTTGGCTGGTCCAAGACACCCAGACTGGTGCCATCCAGATCAGAACCTACGCAAACCAGGACCCCGTCGTTGGCCAGTTCAGACCCATCCTCGGCGTCGACGCTTGGGAGCACGCCTACTACCTCCAGTACCAGAACAAGAAGGCCGAGTACTTCAACGCCATCTGGGATGTTATCAACTGGAAGGCCGCCGAGAAGCGCTTCCAGTAGACGACTGCCTCATGCTTTAATGACACTCCTAATTACACATTGTACAGTACATAGTCGTATTCAAGAGGCCTTGGCCCTTTTCTGATTGTTTCGTGTTTTGCCGTTGTAAGAGCTTCTTTTGTGCCAGTGGTTCTATTCTGTGGTGATTACATGCAGGCAACCAGAGATCCACTTCTAAATTCGAGCCGAATAGACCATTTACTGAAATGTAGGTTGAAATCAATCGATGTATGAGTTCGATTTTGGTTTGTCAAATAAAGCACGCACTTGATTGTTCTGTGCTTGGGATCGAGGATCACATGCTCTTGATGAGTGCTGATGAATTCGAAAGGAAGGATACAACCTTTGACATCATCAGATTGGAGGTCAATATGGATGTCTATGATGTCGTGAGAACTAGATTGCCATGCAAATACTTTTCGATTTATGATACTAACATCTCTCTCATGACATTACATAGACAACATCTACAGCAAAGGCTTCTCCATAGGCGCAATAATACCCTGTTTGACGACAACTCTGGGTCTCGTGTTGCGCTGGAAGGTTTCCTTGGTGGTCCACTCGGGACCAACAGGAACACGCAGACTCCTCTCGTACTGCTCTCTCTTCTCAAACTGATGAGGCAGCGTGCTGGCCAAGTACTTCTTGCCCTTCCTCTGCTGGGCTTCCGAGATGATCACATTGTTGAGTTTTGCGTCTTTGCGGTTTGCTGCCTTGACACCCTCGGTGACCTTTTTGTGCAGAGGGTTGTGAGCCATGCGCTTGTTTTGCTTCCTCGCTGCCTTGGAGAGACCGGTACCGGTCCAGGAACCCCAGCCGGGGAGGAAGGTAGATTCGACCTTGTCGCCTTCATCTTCGACTTGGGCTTCCTTCTCGGCTTCGAACTCGACGGCTACGTCGTCACCAGCAAAGGCGCGTTGGTGGAAGAGAGCTTGCTTGTCCTTGGAAGAGAGCATGGGATTTACTCTGTTGTCATCTTCGGCATCGGCTTCTTCTTGGTCGTTGTCGTATTTGACAGTTTCCCAGCCTTCGGTTGAAGGAGCGGTGGTTTCATTGGCTGCAGGCTTGGTCGTTTGCTTCTTTGCCTGGGCCTTGTTTCCGACGGCGGCGGGTTTTGCCGCTGCAGGTGTAGGTGCGGCCTTGGAGAGGTCGAGGATCTCCTCGTCGACGGCCTTTTTGTTCTTTTTCTTGCTCTTGGATGAGCCGGTCAACCAGGCATTCTCTTCTGTCTCCTTGGGCTCGTCAACATCGGCAACGACCTTCTGTGCGTTTTGAAGGAACGATCGCGACTTCCTTGACTGCGAAGCAGGCTTGGTGTCTGCTTGGCCTCCGACCTTGATCTCAGCCTCAGCTTCCACTTCACGAGTATGATCCTCGTCCAAAGCCTTGTTCTCTTCAAGCTCACCACGAGGGGCAGTCTTGAAGGGATTAGCAGAGCCCTGCGTAGGCTTAGGTCCGAAGATGGCACGACCAACGGTGGTCTCTGCCTCTTCTTCGCTCTCACCGTCCTCGTCGGCCAAATCCTTACGCAAATCCTCAATGTCTTCGTCGTTCTGGGCTTTTCGCGATGCCTCAGCTCGGAGCATGAAAGCCATGTTGCCAATCTTGGACTTCTCTCCGTTTTTGGCACCAAGCTTGTCGATCTTCTTGGACAGACGCGCCTTCTCGAGCTCATCGTCGTCGAGCTCCTCATCTTCGTCATCGCTGACGCTGATGTCAGAGTCGTCGCTCTCACGATCGTAGACGTCCTTGCCCTCAATTCTTCTTCTCAGCTCCTCATTGCGTCTGGCCATGTCGATCAGACCTTCTCTGGCGTCTTCATCCCAGACGGAACGGTTTGACTTCTTCATGGCCTTTGACCATTTGCTGTCCTTGTGCTTGGTGCCCATTCTCTCCTCGGCACGTCTTCTATCCTGCTTTTCCTTCTCGTCTTCGTCTTCGATGCCTTCGGCTACAAGGTAATCGCGCTCGGCGGCCTCGGCACGCTCGCGCTCCTTGCGATGAACACGACGGTAAGCCTTTGACTTGATCTTCTTGACACGCTTGGCCTTGACTTCTTCTCTAAAGAGCAATTCTCTTGCTTTGCGAAGTTCGGCACGTCTGGCCATGACTTCTTCGATGGGAATCTTGTTCATCTGCAATTCTTCGAATTGTTGAAGTTGGTCCTCTTCCTTGCCTTGCTTTTGCTTGTTGCTGAGACCACTCTCTTCCAGGATGTTTTGAATGGCACTTTCGAGTTCGTTGGCAGGTTTGTCTTGCTGAATAGGAAGCATCTTCTGAGTGCCGACGGCCTCGATGGCATTGGGGTCTGCTAGAGGGAATTGTAGGAACTCGGCTCTGCGGTTCTGAATGACTGTGTCGCGCCATCGGTCAAGAGTCTTCTTTGTTTCTTGAGTGGCAGCAGCTCGGTCCAGCTTGTCCTGCTGTCTCTTTGGTAGCGGAGCGTCGAGCTTTCCAGGGATGCCAGAGCGCTTGGTGGACCTTTCGGCGGTGAGGAGCTTGAGCGACTTGCGAAGGGCGGGATCGGTGACAGTAGGTAGCAAGTCAGAAATCTTGAGCTTCTGAGAGGCGGACAAACCATATGCTGAGGGTTCTTGCGACTCGTGGGCGTCTTGTGTACGTCCACCGATGCGCTTCTCTGGGTTGTCCTTGTTCAGCGAAGCGACCAGATCCTGCAGCTTGGACAACTTGGTAGCATCATCTTCCTCGTCGTCTTCTTCAGACTCGTCATGGTCGGATTCTTCCTCGTCGTCCTCATCGTCAGAGTCTTCGTCGGATGAATCGTCGGCGTGCTTCTCCTCGGTTTGCATCAGGTCGTCCTCGTTGTCCTCGTCGAGCATGGTGGCTAGGTCGACGCCCTCGTCGCCAAAGTCGCTGGCCGATTCGTCCTCGTCGCTATCGCCGCCTTCGTCGAGATCCATTTCCGAGGTCGGCTGAGGTATCTTCTTCTTCTTTCTCGACGGGCCGTTAGTGGAGCTTCCTCTGAATGTAAAGCCTTCGAAACGCTCCTCGTCGCTCTCTCCGAAAGCTTCGTCACTGTCGAGGTCGCTGTCGCTTTCGTCGCCAATGTGGCCACCCATGCGCCACTCGTTACCTTCACTATCGCTTCCCTCATCCGTCTCTTCGTCCAGTCCTCCTCTTCTTCCAGTGCCAGTTCTCTTGGTCACAGTCTTTTGTTGCAGTCGTCGAGCATTGCTGGCATGTTCCTCATCGTTGTCGTCTTCTTCGTCATCTTCGAGTCTTCTGCGCTTCTGGCGAGGCTCTCCAACAGAATCACCCAAACGGTGCTGGCGGACTTTGTATGTGTCGGGAGCGGAATGCGAGGCGATCGAGTAGGCGTCGAGTGTTCGCTTCTGCGACTTTTTGCGAGCGTTTGTCGGTTTGGCGATGGACACGCTCGAGCGAGCGACACGAGCAGGCATGATTGTGTAATTCGATATGTACAGACAAAAGATGCAGACTCGCGAAAAGTTCAAAGTCTCTCTCCAGAAAATAATTGACCGCGTTTGGGTAGCGGCAAAAATGCTCTGCCAAGACGCTAAAGATTGGATAGAGTCCGCAAGACACCTCCGAGTCGCAAAGTGGTAGAGACAGAGAGAGAGAGAGAGAGATCAGCACTTCATTTTCGTCGCCATCATGTTCACTCCCACGCCTTCTCTGGGACGCGCTCTCCGTCGCCTCGCCCTCACCACCAAGCAGGCCGGCAAGGATTACTACAAGGGTACTGGCTCTGGCTCCATGGGTCGTCACACCAAGTACGGTGCCTACCGCATCGACTGGTCAAAGGTCCGCACCTATGTCGTCCCCGACCTCTCTGATTTCCAGGTATGTCTTCGCTCCTCCCTCTGTCAGACTTGTCATCGTCTAACACCCTGCCAGCTGAAGCCCTTCGTCGCCGAAAACATCGACACGCCCACAAGGACTCACCAGTTTGCCGGCAATGTCACCGGAAAAATGTACCTCGATGCATGGAAGAGCCAGGGCGGCGACATCTAAACAAGTCTGCTCAACGACAACTTTTAACTTGTTTCGTCACATCTGTCAGGCTTTACTTTATGATACCCATGGACTGCATTTTTTCATCTTCCCATACTTCATCTACATCATCCCCCTTCCTTCTCATCTTCGTTGTATCAAAAGCATAGTTCATCCTTGGAGCAAGAACATTAAGTTCTAGCGACACCAACGCATGAATACACATTTCTGGCCTCTACGCATAATTGTGTGTTAACGATTGGATATGTCAGCTGCTATGTGCTATGCTGGGTATATATATTCGTCCCGATACTCCAAAAGAATGGCCAGCATCCCATCACCGTCCAGCGGTTCATGAACTCCAAACTCGTCTCTCAACCTCAGAGCTTCGCATGCCCATGTCCATGGCCCCTACGCCGATGGACAGCCTTGGTTGCTCGTTCACTCTCCGTCTGTTTCTCCACGGGCTCTTCTTCCAGAACACCTCCTTCATTCGCCGATCGCTTGGCCGCACCAGCAGGCGAGCCGCCCAGTGCTGCCGAGTAAGTCAAATACCAAGTCAAACTCGCCCCACCATCAAGGTAGGCAGGATTGAAATTGGGGTCTGAGAAGAATGCATAACTGGCAGCCGGCTGGATGGTTGCCAGATTGGCATACAAGATACCCCTCCAACCACCATCTACATTGGCTCGCCCATTGGAAAAGAAGGCATTCCACTCTTCCGTGACAAATTTCTGCGTGCGTACGTATGCGCTGAATGGGAAGCCGGCGGGTATCATATGGATGCCGTGGATAAACTCTGGATTGCTGCCGAAGTATGTNNCTATGGTGGAATGTTAGTAAAGCTGCCTCGCGGATATAACATGAATTCATACCGTGTAGTCTATCTTGTTTTCGAAAAGNNCTGTAAAGCATTAGCAAAGCAATGTTTAGTAGAAGGTAATTTTACTCACAACTCCGCTGACTTTGTTGCCAATAAAGTTCGAAGGCTGCACTTTGTTGTCCGACGCATACAGGAAGTAATTCTGCATCGATCTTGCTTGAATGGCCAACATGAGATTACCTCTTCCTTCTAATGCTTTGTCCCCGATTGTGCGTCCCCACATCTTGATTGCATAGACCGACAAGTTGTCCTCGGAAGAACTTTCTTCGTCCTTGCCATCTCCACTTTCGAACAGACCCTTGGCNNCTGCAATTATACAGTCAGCATATGTGTCGCGTAAAGGGTGAACTACCACAACAACTGTTGCATTACAACACGCTACCCAAAAAGCTAGAGGCCACTGGTGAAAGCCTGCCTGTTCGAACCGGCAGGTTTTCACCAGATATCCGCTCAACCTTGAATAAAACGCTGCAACATAACGGAGACCACAACTCACCCAGCTATGTCCGTGATACCAATCAAAGGATCGAGAGAAAGGAAAGTACGCATCAGTGGTGACAGAGTTGGAATAGTCTCGGACCAGCATGTTGACCCACGCCTTGTTCGTGCCTTGGCTCAGCCAGCTAGGGTCCAAGTATCCAATAACAGCTGCTGCGTAAACGAAGTACCCGTAATGGAAGTGGTGGTCATTGTAATACGTGTTTCCAAAGTCAAGGCCAGAGTCGCCTGTCTGATATGTGCCACTGGAGACAGCTCCACCCCATGACGATTCATAGACAAGAGGGAGGATTTGCTTGTTGCGAACGAATGTGTCGAAGGCTATCTTCAGCTTCTGAAGCCCACTGATAGAAAGAGTTGCATTGTTGCCGATGTCGTGCACTGTGTAGACAATGGTAGCAAACTTGGCGAGTGCTTTGCCGGAATAGTACATCGAGTTGAGACTAGATTGCTTCTTCATGTCCTGGCTGAGCTCACTCATTCCAGCTTTGTTGATCAGCTTAGCAGCTACCGTCGAAACCTTGCTGTTGCCTCTGCCGGATGGTGTCCAGGGCGCGAACCCCATGTCTATCGGTAAGAATTGCTCCAGCAGTGCCCATGAATCGCCAACGATACCTGTTGCCGTTCCCTTGGTCGTAGTCTGAAGCTTGACATTTGTCAAACCGCCAGAGGTAATAGTCTGTACATGATGAGGAAGAGCAAACATGAGAAGAGTGCGATTGGCGACTCCTTGTTTGGTCCATGTCAACTTGTACGTTCCAGCGGTCCCTGCAATAGAACCGGCTACCGTTGCAGAAACCGGATATGCGCCTGCTGCTTGATCATAAGTCGACTCTGCACCAGCGGACGGCACCTTGGCGACTTGGATGAACCCTTGGAATTTAGGTGCTCCCTGCAGTACACGCACGTTGGTCAGGGTGAATGAGTTGACGGGATATCCAGCTTGAGAGGTTGTAACGTAGATGTTCCATGAAGTGCCATCGGCAAGTTTTGCCTGATACTTGTAAGTTGAGCCAGAAGGCATTCGCCCAACGTAGGTCACACTAGTGAAGGAAATCGCACTCTCGACACGCGGTGTGCTGCTACTGTAAACAGCCGTCACGAACCCCATGCCCTGAACCAACGGAAAAGTGATAGCTGGAGCAGCACCCGGGCGTGGCAAGAGGTTGACATTGGCAGAGAAGGCATCCAGAGAGTCCATTGTGAGTTGACTTGTGGTATTCAGCTCAGAAGCAGAAAGTGTGATCGATTGTATGCCAATAGGGTTGATAAAATATCTAGCCGGATTTCCTGGACCGAATGCTAATTGTGATCGTTCGACGTGACTTATTGCCAGACCGTAGCTCTTGAGCACACCAGATCCCTTCGCCCAGGCTACAGAGTAAGGGTGAGTGAACGTAGACGAAGACTGAGATCCCAAGAAGAAATTGGCATAAAACTTGTTAGTCTGCAGTTTCTTTGTTTGTGATGCGATCATGGACCGAGGGACAGGATGGTCGGTTCTTTGAGAGACCTGGGATGGTGGCGGGCCACTTGCGAATGCCACAAAGACATTGTCCACAGTCATTGTCGAAGCCAGAGGAGCGACAACAGGGTGTGGGAACGAGGTACTGGCAGGGTCGATCAGAGATAGTGTGGTAGAAGCAGACGCCACGGATGTAGGAAATGGCTGGACAGAACTCTTGCCAGAAGTCTCCAATGAAGATATGATACTCTGTGATAGGCGTTAGTGTCTACTTAGTAAGGAGATAGACGATCAAGCAAGATGGTCGCTGCAGGTCTCTCTCTCTCTTATTCAACAGATGCGGATAAAGATTGAACGATAAGTAAACCTCAAAGGCAAGAGCGACTGATCCTCTGGTCTAGGGTCTGGCTTCCTCGATCAGTCTGACTGGTCGTCGCCAAGCCGATCTAACAGCTCTCTGAAAGTGCTTCTTCTTCTTCCAACAGTGCTTCTATCTCAAACAGCCGCAAGAAATCGTCAACATACCCCTGAAGTCTGAGGCTTGACTGTCGAAGAAGCAGTCTGAACTGCAGATGAGCTCAAAGATGTCAATCGACTTGTGTCCGAGAGTGAGTAGGAGGAGGTATCTGGTTGTCTTGTAGATAGTACAGGTGTAAAGCTGCTAGTTGGAGGGAATGTAGATCTTGAAAAAGTTGCCGACGGTGTTTGAGATCCACAGTCATAGTAGTATTCCGAGTCATCATTGGCAAGAGGTGCAGCTGTGGTAATCTGATATAAAAATGCGTTCAAGAAGAACAACAGACAAAGGACAGAACGACTCATAATGAACGTGCTAGCTGATCGTCTAGCGATGATACCAGGGAGACCAAGGCCGTATAAATGTTCAGATGCGCAGTGTTAGCATGTAGGAGAGCAGCCGCTTGGCGTACGGCCGTTTTGAGGGGGTGGGTCAGAGGGCGCAACAGGCGTCAAAGAGTGAGATTTTAGGGACATCCTGTGATTAAAGGCATTTTTCCTTTTCTGCAACTTACTGAGATTCATCGAGAGAGTCGAGTGAAGGGGGTATAGTGATCATGCAAACGTGACTCGCCTTGCATCCCAAAAAGGCTTAGATAAAACGTTCCTGACGAAGGGCCTAGCATTCTACGACACGAGTTCAAGAGCACAGGATGAGTTTGAACGGTAGTTGTGATCACTCTAGCGCATGGTCTTACATGGACCAAAGAATCTGGATAGATGGCTCGGACATGCAGATAGCGTAAGGACAGCGTTCGAGGCACTCTTGAGGAATGTCGAAGCATCCCTTGAGAAGCGAATCCAGGGGCTTCAACCGTGATAGCCACTGGAGGTTCTGAGCCTTTGGGCCCCTCCGGTCGTCTCAGAGGTTGTTGGACAAGGACGCCACTGGACAGCCAGATGCCGATCATACTCTCACGGCTTATGATGCGATGAGACGAGTCATGGATGATAATGTTTAGATGTTGGAGTGAACGAAGACTCTTGCGAAGCCGTGAGGAAGTGTGGGCGCATTCCACCGAGGTTCTTGAACCGCAAAAATATGCTGCACTCTTCAACGCGTCTACTTCCACAAGCATCGCGACATTTTTCCACTCCGAGCTTTGGAATATTTCCTGCGCTCTTGCTGGCTTTGACTTCAATATCAAGAGTTTTTGTGTCTCTTCTGTCTTCTAAGATCGAAAGCTGAAGCAGTGTCTCCCCGTCCAAGGCATGCATCGTTGAGCTGCAACTTCTTGACGTCGTCCTCGCTACTTGATAGGCAGGATGCTTGACAAAGAAATCTAGTCCATCTGACAGGGTTGCATCAGGCTTCAACGACTGGGTAAAACACGCTGTAATGTCCGATTTGGTGACAGATCCACAAGATATGATCATACAGCCATCTGCTCGTGTCACATTCACTTGTTGTTTCATTGTGGTACAACGACATGCAGGTCTTTCAAGTTGGAGAAGGTGATACAAACATGGCATGGCAGGGCATGTACTGTACTTTCAAACAACGGTCGGTTGGGTTAAAGGCATATGATGTACGACGCGTCCACTGAGCCTCAGTTGGGTCTGCAAGAATCGCTCGACTTCAGACTCTCCTTCTGTCTTGCTCCAGGTCGTTTGACTCTAGCCGCTGCGTCAAAAACTTGACGTATAACATAGTGTCTGCTCGTCAAAGATCATCCTCGATTGATTCGTCCAGAGTGCCCCTCCCACGCATCTCAGACGCGCTTGTCGTGCAGGTTGTTGCCTGCTTTGAATTCCAGCGATGGGCTTTATTCAGCACCAAAACAATCATTCATCAACTCAAGACAACCGTACTATCCATTTCATTCAGGTATTTTCTCTGCAGGTGCTGGCACGGCTTGATGCAGCTTCCGGCCCTTGAAGCTTCCTGATCACTTCTTTTACTATCCCTACTCGCTGCAGCAGCAATCACATTTACCAGCTCAGAAACTCATATATCAACATCATCGCCGGCCTTTGCTCTCATTCCCAACTTAGCTCACTTCTCACAAATCAATTTGACCTAAGCTTCACTCAGCCATTCAGAACATGTCAGCCCCGCAACGTGGAGACAGAGGCGGCGGCCGTGGTGGCCGAGGTCGAGGAGACAGCAACCGTGGAGGCTCTTCCAATCGCGGCGATTTTTCCGGTGGTCGTGGCGGCGATGCTCCAAGAGGAGGCGGCCACAACGATCGAGGTGGTCCTTCATCCCGAGGTGATCGCGGTGGCGGCTCCTTCCGGGGCGATCGCGGCGGTTCCTTTCGAGGTGATCGTGGCGGTGGCTCCTATCGAGGCGACCGTGGTGGCTTCCAGAGCGACAGAGGCCGAGGTGGTGGTGGAGGCGGACGTGGAGGACGAGGAGGTTTCCAGCTCCCAATCCACTCTGGACCAAGCTTTCCCAACAACAGCATCTTCCTGTGAGTTCCATGCTTCAACACATCTTCCCCTTTTGCTTTCTCACTTACTGACCTCATCCCACAGCGAAGGCAATGTCCCTCAGCCAGACAAGGACGTTCATGCTCTCGAAGATGCTCGTGTCAAGAACACCGCGGGCAAGATCATTGAGCGTTTCCCGGGACGCCCAGGCCATGGTACCAAGGGTATCTCCATCGTGCTGCGTGCCAACTACCTGCACCTCAAGACCGCCTTCGAGACTGGTAAACAGGAGGTTCCCCTCTACCGCTATGCGGTTGGTACGGTTGGAGGCGAGAAGCTCAGCAAGCCCAAGATGCGTCTTCTCGTGACCAACCTTATCAGAGACCCCATGTTCGCCGGCCGTCAGGTCGCGACAGACTACTCAAGCATCATTGTGACGACCAAGAAGCTCGATCTCGGCCCTTCCGACCGTAAGCAAGGCAAGATCGAGGTCATCGATCCCACCTTACCCCCTTTCCAAGGTCCAGACAATACACAGGCTCAGGAAGCCAGAAATCGACGCACCAAGGGTTACGAACTGTCAAAGACTGGAGAATTTAGCCTAGCTGATCTCGTTCGCGCTCTGCAAGCTACGCAAGCAGGCGCATGGTTCGAAGCNCAAGGTGATCTCGTCCAAGTACTCAACATCATTCTAGGCAAAGCACCCAATGATATGGCCAATGTATACTCGCTTGGACAAAACAAGTACTTTCCCGGTGTCGGCTCGCCATTGATGGAGCAGGTCGACATTACTGGCGGCCTCCAAGCCCTTCGAGGCTACTATGCTAGTGTTCGCACTTCATCAAACAGGATCTTGGTCAATCTCAACGTAGCAAGTGCGGCTTTCTACAAGGCTGGACCACTCATGAACCTTGTTTCTGAGTTTGTGGGCGGTTACTCTGGTCAAGCTCTCAGAGCACAGGACCTAGTCAAGGCTGAAGGTTTCATCCGCATGCTTCGCGTCAGCACGAACTATCTCAAGGCTCTCGATGCGAACGGCAAGCCTAAGACGGACGCTCAAGGGCGCCCTCAGACCGTGCCTGGTTTGAAGAGCGTTGTCGGCCTAGCTCCCCGTCCCAGGAATGGCGATGCCAGATCTGTCTCCTTCTCCTGGTCGGACCCCAAGAATCCTCAAGCTGCAGCTCGCAGTATCTCTGTGTTTGACTTCTTCAAGACTCAGCACGGCATCACTCTTCAGCACCCAGAATTGCCTGTCCTCAATGTAGGCACGAGAAATGATCCTTCATATTTGCCCATCGAGCTGGCTACTGTTTTGCCTGGTCAACCCGTCAGACGCCTACTCTCCGGAGGTATGTATCAGAGCTTGAACCCTTTTCACATTGCAGAGTTCTATTCAGGATCTGCTAGACGTCCATTGAGAGCCTGCTGTCACTCGCGAGAAGGCACGCTCTCGGTGGAGTCGTCCAACCTTTGGATAGCACTTTGCAATGCGACAGTTGGTGCAGTGCACCGTTGATCGTATGAGCAATATGCTGATTGTACCACTTACTTATAGGCNCAAACTGAAAACATGCTTCGCTTCGCTGCTAGAGCACCCCGTCTCAATGCAGAGTCTATTGCAGGCACGCCAGGCAACGGACTGAGAACCATGGGTTTCAATGGACCCGCACAGGTCGCGAACAATTTCGGCATTGAAGTTAGCAAGGAATTTATCACCGTTCCCGGCAGAATCCTACCGACACCCAAGGTCTACTACGGAAACAAGGAGATGCAGGCCAGAGAAGGGTCCTGGAATTTGATAAACATCAAGTTTGCTAAGCCTGGTTCGATCGGTCAATGGGCCTGCGTCGTCCTCAATTACAACGATCAGAGGGGCAACGCGTTGCTTCCTAGAGGCTCTCAGATCCAAGGCACGGATGTCCTCGACGACAATGGTATCCTGACGTCCCTTGAGCGTCACTTGAATGCTTATGGAGTCCGTATGGGTACACGTCTTCAGACTCAAAACATCCTTATCTCTCGTCCCAACGAGCAAAGTCGCAAGGCTATCGATGAGAAGCTTGACGAAACCTTTTTCAAGGCGGCATCGTATGGTATTGAGCTTCTTTTCATTATCCTCAAGGAAGCAGACAAGTGGCTTTACAGTCGCATAAAGTACTACGGTGATGTCAAGCATGGCGTACAGAGTATCTGTGCAGTGGGATCCAAAATTCAGAAGCCTAAGGGACAAGATATGTATCTCGGCAACCTTGCCTTGAAGTTCAACATCAAGGGCGGTGGTGTCGTCCATACACAGCGCGATATGCATCCTTTCGGCAAGGACTGCATGCTTGTTGGTATTGATGTGACTCTTCCTTCGCCTGGCTCTGCTGAAGGCAGTCCCAGTATCGCTGGTGTTGTTGCCAGCGTAGACGAGCAGCTATCTCAGTGGCCTGGCTCGTTGCGCACCCAGAGAGGAAAAGAGGAAATGGTCCAGGGACTTACGGAGATGATGCTGGAGCGCTTAGAATTGTGGCGCAAGCACAACAAGAGCCTTCCTAGCAAGATCATCATCTTCCGTGATGGCGTTTCTGAGGGACAGTACAACCTTGTCCTTGATCATGAACTTCCGCCTATCCAGAAGGCCTTCGAGAAGCTCTATGGCAGCAAAACTCCGCGCATAACTGTGGTAATTGTGGGTAAGCGGCATCACACCCGTTTCTATCCTACGGACGGCAAATCAATGGACCAGAGATCCGGCAATCCTATGCCAGGAACTGTGGTCGACCGTGGCGTTACATCCCACTACCTCTGGGATTTCTTCCTCCAGGCACACAAGGGATTGCAAGGAACCGCTAGGCCTGCCCACTACGTCGTCATCAAAGACGAGCTCAACTTCAGCCAGGACGTCCTTGAAAGTTATGTCCACAAGCTTTGCTATCAGTTTAACCGTGCCACCAAGGCTGTCTCCATATGCCCTCCAGCCTATTACGCCGATTTGATTTGCGAGAGAGGTCGCATGTACCTCTACTCGACTTTGAACGAGAACCAGAGCGCAAATGGTTCGGCTTACAACGCTCAGACAGCCGAGTGGACTCAGGGAGTTCACAAGAACTTGACCGAGAAGACATTCTACATTTGAGCAACTTCCCTTTCTACTTTTGAGCATCAGCACTCATTCGGGATATTACGTAGCCCATCTTCACCACATTCATTGCGGACACGTTTATGAGCAAGCATAACCTAACTATTTTACGGCCGAGCATCAGAATAGAAAATTCATCATTCAATCATAAGAAGGTGTTCGACGTGATACATGTGCTGTCAGTATATTCGATCAAGTGCCATTCGAAGGGTCTTGAAAGCTGTGCGTGGGCAGGAAGTCTCTAAGAGATCGGTAGTGGCGACTCTGTCCTTTAAGACAGCCTGAGCCATCGCAGCAGAGCAGCAGAGCAGATATATGGATTTGTGTGCATCCCAAATCTTGTGCTCATCAGTTCCACCAACTATGCGCAGGAAGACCAACACCCAGAGAGCCATGGACAAAGAGATTAAAGAATACAGCCTGGTCGTCATATCTGAGTCGAGAGAAGCACTTCAGAAGGGGCTCGACGACAACAAGAAGCAGCTCCCCTTCATTCCAGAGGATGACGATGGAGACGACACCATGGCTGACACATGGATCTTCCACCCAGCGATTATGCCATGAAGTTCAACATCGCTAGATGAACTTGTAACATTGGCTTGGAAGGAGAGAATCATATAGCTCTGAGATGCTCCGATATCACACTCCAAAGACAAATTTACACAGTTGTAGATGCTATCTGAATGCACAGTTGTATTCTCATTTTGGCAGCCTCCAAGGAGAGTCGTCAGTGCAGCTCTATCTTAGTGAAACAATAGTAACCTGACAGACTTATATCTTCGTCGGCATTGGTGTTACTCAATCTTTGCCTAACTTTGCTAGTTCAATCCTGCTGTTCTCAGAAAACATCATGCATGTTTACACATAGAATGTATATTTCGAACCAGAAGTACCGAGACTTGGATTAACATACTATCCCGAACGAACTCGAGATGATGGTGCTTTACACTGCAGTACTTTTGCTATATATCGGTTGGTTTCCATCAATGAATGGAAGCCATGACCTGTTCCATCCACGGGTAAACGTAGCTGTTAGCCTCCGGATAACNCTACAAGTGGGATAAACATGTTAGTATGACCTCTATTTTGTTCCACAAAATCGTAAACTTACCCATGTGCAAGCGATGGCTGATAAATCTCATTTCCTTGGGCGAACCAAACTCGCTTAGGAGCATGGAATCTTCGATAGGCATCAAGCCGTCAATTGTGCCATTGATGAGCAACAATCGACAACTTTTTAAGTTCACAACGCCAGTCTTGACTAGTGACCAAGTCTCCTGGGCGTTGTCCATGAAGTCATCGTGGTCCTTGTAGCCAAACTTTTCTGTAAGGGCGGGTAGAGCATTCCAGGGGTACTCTTTGCATTGAGCCTTCTCGAGCCATTCACGAGAGAAGAAGTGGTGGGTCCCTGCGCCTTGTCCGATGGCACCGGCGAGTCTGTCGGAGTGTGTGTGTGCTGCGCGGACCTGGTTGTTGTCAGTATTGAGCACTTGCTGTGTCGAGGCGTAGATCGTCGGCTCGAGTGTACTCACTGCATTGTAGCCTCCCGCACTCAAACCCCATGTAATAATGCGTTTCATATCGAAGACAGCTTCTCCTGCCATCCAGTCTAGGATGCTTGTCCATAATCTCTCAGCAGCCTCGGGGTCTTTTCTGTCGGCAGGGCAGTCTGCGGTACCAGGGATGTCGACAATGACCGAAGCCCATCCTCTGGCCAGAAACTCATCACTACGGGTTGTGTTGTCTGGTCTGTGTCCATCCAGTCCACACATGAGGAGAACAGCAGGACAGGGCTTCGATTTAGAGGCGTCCTTCGGTAGGCGTACATAAAGGGGTACAGCATCAGCGTCGGCCGAGGTCGCTGCTGTGTGAGGGATGGTGACATCCTTGATGGGACTATCCCAGAGGCCAGCAGCTTTGATATATGCCTTCTTTTGTGCTTCGTATATTTCGCGTTTGTAGGTGGAGTTGATATAAGGGAAGCGAGCGATGCGGTAGACGGTGCAGGCGCGGAGGTAGAGGGCTGAAGCAGCATCCTTGTCTGAAGAAACCAGCTTGTCTGCATCTTCGACGAGACGTTCAGCAGTGGGTACGAATTCGCGAGTGTATCCATCTGTGTAGCCGGAGTTGATATTTTTCGAGATTAGAGTCTTGAAGACGGGTTCAAAGTCTTCGAATTGACCATCGTGGAACGGGTAGAGAGACTTTGAGCAAGGGAAAGCCCACTTCTTCTCCCACAATGCTTGGATGCCTTCGAGATGGGGGTATACTTGATCGAATTTGTCGCCAAGGATCCATTTGTGCTCTGTGGGAGTAGTCAACGACATGATGATTTGACGATTCAGGAGGACTAGGAGGAAGTAGAGCAACAGTGGATTGAACAGATTATATACTGAAAGCAGTAAGCTACACATGTTGCAGCATCAGAAAGTCCGTCGGGCATTGAGGGGAGAGCCGTAGGGTAGACGAGACAGCGAGATGGTTACAAGGCATGGTGTCACGGCAGTTGCACGTAAGCAGAGATCAGAGTGTTGGAGGTCGGGCGAGAAACCATCTGCAAGCTATCGATGGCTCGCTATGCAATAATGGGTCGGAGAATTGAGGTGCAGGGACAGATGGTGAGGGTTGTTGATGTGGATAAAAAGTGGTTCGGCCCCGCAGTGTAAACAATGATGACGGCCCGTTTTGGCACGAGGTCGCCGCGTGACGAAAGCGTAGAAGCGTCTCTGGGCGCCAATACCACCAAGCACTTTGGACCTGCTCCATGCGTCCATCAGCGCCTCCAGAGGCCGTCGTCGTGCGTGCGACCGTTCATCACTGTTCTGACAGCACCAGCCCCGACGACCTGCATTTTCGAGCTCCTGCCATCGCCACGACGATACAAACACCCCTCGGAGCTGCATCGGGCCAGACACGACCGAGACCCACATCTTGATCTTCCGAGATAGGCTAGGTGGAAGCCGCTCCCGAGTCATCATCAAAGTCGCCCAAACACAGCAACCATGTCGCTATCAGCAGCTATCGACCAGGAGGCCAAGGAGCTGCGGAGGGACTTTGAGCAGAACAACACGCGCAAGAAGTCGTCCTTGCCCCCTCTCCCTGCTCCAGCCCCCACCACGCCCATCACGCCTACGAGCCCCGTCTTGCCTTATAGGAGTATGGCTCCCACACCCGCCACGCGCCACAAGCCGGCATTCCCTGGTGATCTCGGTCCCGGTGACCCACGACGCAGCTCCAGACTGCCAGGCGACCTTGGTCCAGGAGATCCCAGACGCAGCAGCAACAGACCCCCCAATTCAGACGGCACTCGCTCAGCAGCACGCAGTCTGAGTCCCACTCGCAGCAGCATCATCAATCTACACCCAAACGACAAGTCCCCCTCGCAGCGCAGACTATCAGACGCCGGCTCCATTCGTCCCCAGCTCGGGAACGGAGGCGTGCGCTTGCAAAAGGACTACGACAATGAGTCGGCCAGCAGCGACGAAGAAAGCAGCGATGAACAAGACACCGACCACGAGTCCTCGCGAGGCAGAGGCCGTGCTAGAGTGGGCAATGCTGTTGGTGCCGCGCAAGATAGCGACGATGATGAACCCTCACCTCCTCTGAATGCTGATCCCACCATCACCGTTACTCCGCCCTCGACAGACCAACCCTCCTCATCCTCGTCCTACTCCTCCAGAAAGCCCGACGTCCACCCCAGCACCGCCTTCGACTTTGCTGCATCGTCAACCTCGACCCCTGTACATTCAGACGACGAAGAACATCTTTCAGATCTGCGCCGTGCCCAACGCCTCTCGCTCAACATCTCTCCCATCCACAGCACTCCCTCTGCACATCGTGTCATCCGCCAGATCATCCGTGGCGACTACCTCTACTTTCAGCGCCAGGCTGAAGAAGGCCGTAGGAGGCAAAGAGTTTACCTTGTTGCTACCGATCTATCTTCCGAAGCCGAGTATGCTCTCGAGTGGACTATCGGTACTGTTTTGCGTGACGGCGATACTCTGTTGGCGGTATATGCAGTCGACGAGGAAGCCGGCACCGGCGGTGTTTCCGAGGGTGTTGAGATTGGACACGGTGCCGACGTCGTCAAGGACACAGCTACTATCGTGCGCTCCATGACTGCAGAGAGTATGACTCCTGCAACCCTGCCGCGAGATAGCAGCACCGCAAGAATGGCGTTCACCGAGAGAAAGGACATGTCCAAGGCCGAGCAGGACCGTTTCCGCGCCGCTGAGGATATCAGTCAGCGTTGTGTTAAGTTGCTTCGCAAGACTAGGCTTCAGGTTCGTGTTGTGGTAGAGGTCTTTCACTGCAAGAGTCCTAGACATATGATCACCGAGGTGGTGAGTACAAACTGGTGTATAGTCTCCTCACACCATGCTGACTTTAGCACANNGATCGACTTCCTGTCTCCCACTCTTACTATCCTCGGATCAAGAGGCCGCTCCCAATTGAAAGGTGTCCTGCTCGGTTCCTTCAGCAACTACCTGGTGACCAAGTCCAGCGTGCCAGTCATGGTGGCCAGAAAACGGTTCGTCGACCAAAACGCAAAAACACATTTCCAGGACAACCAAACTGATTCTCTTGCCAGACTTAGGAAACACTCCAAGCAACGCCTACACAAGGATGGACTCCCAGTCTCCCAAGCCGGTGACGGAAGAATGCGCTATATCAGAATGTCTAATGTCCTGGAAGCACCCGGTACAAAGCCTAGAGCTAGAGGCCTGGCTGGAGCCAAGATTGATTGATTGAAGGCTGCTGAAATGCTAATCAGTCACTGCCTAGGCTTAACATGGGGATGTTGAGGGCTCGCTCGAGATGCACATAAAACTATTGACACGAAGTGATACGTGACCACGACAAACTCATTAAGCATTAATTCATACTACACTCTTTGTCAACTCCGTCTCGCTCGCCTTTGCCATTGCCGTTGCCAGATCCTTCAATTCATCAAGAAGCAATTTTCTAGCTTGGAAGGCACGGAAAACCAGCTTACTCGTTGGAGTTACATCTTATGGCTATTGTTCCTTGCTTTCTCGTAGTCATGAAAGCTTTCGTCGCTTCTCGTCGTGTGCACGATTCATGAGGCGCACCAAGACAATGTTGTGTTTTGCTACATTACGGCTCATAAAACATCGTTGTGTGTAAGATTCTCCGAGACGGCAAGTCATCGTCGGTCCTGTCTAAAACATTTCGACAAGCATGCCACGGTCGATGGCTTCCGCTCTGCTTCTTGTTGCATGAGCAATCAAAGCTTGGGGAAGAACATGGGTGTGTTCTNGTCTATGGTTAGCAGCGGGTCTTGCTGTCGTTGTAAATGACGCCTTACCTTCTTCCACTCCTGGTAGTCCTTGCGGTCACCGTAGCGCTTGTCGTACTTGTTCTCGCTGAGAGGAATACCCGAAANCCTGGTTGAGATGTAAGCACATGGGAGCTTACCATTGTCGTCGTCTTCGGAACTTACCTTGAACAACAGGAAAGTAACAAAGGCAGGGCTGACACCAGCCATAGCCAAAGCACCAAGCCTGGCACCAAGACTGCCGCTGAATCCCATACCAGACTGACCGACATTGCTAACCAAAACACCGGCAGCAACGGTAGCGATACCAGTCCAAAGGGTGCTTTCGCCAAAGTAGTTGGGGTGTCTACTCTTGGACCACAGGCCTCTGGTCAGGAAATCTTCATTGTGCTTCTTATTCTTTTTCTCTTCCATCCACTGGCTCTTTTGCTTGTCGGCTGTGGCTTCGAATCCGAGACCGCCAACGTAGAGGAGTACACCAATGACGTCGGTGAGGGTCAGGAAGGGAAGGGCGGAGAGAGTTGTTGCGGGTACCGAGTTGAGAGCGAGAACGGGGAGGAGGCAGAGAGAGACCCAGGTTGCTTGGGCGAAGAAGGCTCCGAGGAACTTGGGAGGAGAGGTCCTGATCTCGTCGAAGCGGGAGTCGCGGCCATCTTCTGAGCTGATGCGGGAGAAGAGGAAGGATCCGACTTTGAGTATGTTAGTTGTAGATCAGGCTTGGGGGTGTATGTGATACGCACGTCTCGTGGCCCAGATGGCTACAGCAGCACTGAGGACTACCTGTCTCCAGTTCCAGGCCTGAACACCTCCCTTGCTGGCTAGACTGGCCAACAAGCTAGGGAATCCAGGGAGAGCTGCAGTACCAGCAGAGACAGTCGCTGCTGCAGCTCTAGCTCTCAGCGTAGGCAAGTAAAGAGAAAGTGCCGTGCATGACAGATATGTCAATGATCCACTTAGATCGTAGAATCGTTCAGACTGGAAGACGATACTAGGAGCTGCGACACCAGCCTGGATAGCATAGGCGAGTCCAATACTGGGAACCAGTGTACGAAGGAAGGGAGATCGAAAGTTCGTAAGAGCTAAAAGGGTGTTCAACATAGTCATTGTGAGTTGGCGATGGCCAAAGTAGCCTGTGTACGTCTAAATGGATCAAGAAGCAAAGGTCTACCACGGACATGGGATGTTACAACTCATATATAGGTATAGAAGGTCTCAAATCAAGAATCCTTCTGCCTTCGATGCCTATTGGATTGAGTGCGCTGGTGGAATCGAGCTGGAAGCTCCGGACCATAGAATGACGACATTTCAGGGTCCGAGTTCCCTCTCGGGGTTTGTTGATCTCCCGACTCCGAGAAGTCCATCCTCCGAACACCTTCACTTTGATGCTCGGCCTCAGGATGTGATTCGCCATGTGAGAAGGGTGCCTGTAACATCGCGAGAGACTAGTCACTGTCCACGTTGCCTGCATGAAGTCAGATACGAGATATCAGCTTTGCGAGATCTGTGGTTCGATAACAGATGTGGCGCGTATGACCCTGGCTCAGCATTACTGCTTACCTCTGCAATTGCCTCTACATCCTAAAAAGTTCTTGGGAATACTTTGTAGTCCTTAGACTCTGCATCACTATCCTAGGATGACCTGGAGTTTGATGTAGGTCGGTTCTGCCGAGTGGAACTTGAGAACAGGAAATCAACTACACATGAATCAAACTCGTCTGAGCATATGACAAAGCTCAGAATACGGGCGGTACAGTCGAGACGCATTCAGTCACATGTTAGTATCCTAATGTTGAACCATGGCTCAGGATCTTGGAACATACCAGCACGAGTAAGAAAGAAGAAAAAAAACATGCAAGATAATAATACATATTTCGACGGTTGAATACAGAGGCATGAGCGGCGATGTAAGAACCCCCAAAAACAAAAGCTTTTCTTTTGTACAAACCCAACGCCGGCGAGGGGTATGTATGACATGACATCCATGCTGGATTAAAAAAAAAGAGAAACAAAAATACAGATGGCTCATGGCCATATGTTTACAAAGGCGTTCATCAAACAGCGACGCTTGCCCACTATACTTGTACAGGCTTTAGGATCTTCCCTGTCTTCTCTTGGGGTTGGTCTGCTTCTTCTTTGGCGTAGTCTTGCTACCATCGCCATTGATGTATTTCAACAGCTCATCGACACTTCTGTTGTCATTTGTGACGTCGGCAGCTCTAGGAGCAACAGTCTCCTCGATGCTCTGGCCAATAGAAGGCTGAGGTCTAGCGCCCCGACCGACCTTAGGGGCCAACATGATCTTCTTGTCCTGGAGGACCTTGGCATGCTTTGCAAGCGAAACAGCACTCTGGGTGAGCTGCTCAAGCCACGTCTCTGACTCCTTGGTGTTGCGATCATCGGGCCCAAGCTCATTCTTGAAGATGTTGAAGGCCTCACGCATGCGATTGACGGCACTCTTATAATCACGGTCAAGGGCAAATGCCTGGGCGAGCTGGAAGAGCAATGTGGCGGTGCTGACAGATGTCTTTCCAGAGACCTCCTCAGACATTGCGAGAGAGGACTCGAACCAGAGACGAGACTCGTGGTACTGCTTCATGCTCTGCAACATCACGGCAGCGTTGTTGATCGTGGTGATGGAGTCGGGATGCTTGGTACCATAAACGACCTTCCACAGGTCAAGAGCATGACGGATGTAGGCAAGGGCGTTCTTGGTGTTGCCACTGGCGTGCTCGAACAAACTCAAGTTGAGGTAACTGAGAACAGTTTCGGAGTGGTCAACACCGAGAGTACGTTCGGAGATGATGGCGGCCTTGCGAGCAAGCTCGACAGCGGCAGTCTTCTCGTCGAGACCATAGTAGATTGTGGACAGGGCGTAGTAGACACGTGCCACCTCGGGATGCAAGATGCCGTAGATTTGCTCGTGCAGGGAGAGGGACTCGAGGAGAAGCTCCTGACCAAGCTCCTTCTGGTCCTGCGAGAGCGAGATACGGCCGGCTTCAAGAGCTTCCTCGGCCAGAACACTGCGTGGTGCTGCATCCTTAATGATGGGAACAACATTGAGAACGTCATCGGGGTGGAAGGTTTGGTTAGGAGCAGAAGCAGCAGCGACAGGTGCGGGTGAGCGCTCAGCGTTGTTCTTGTTCTTCTTCTTCTTTCCGCCCGAGGTTCCATTGGTGGTAGGCGCAGGAGTCTGGACAGGGGCCGGGGCAGGTGCATCATCCTTAGCGAATCCGTATTGCTTGGCCTGGAGCTGGAGACCCTGCTTGAGGCAAACCTCACGGAGCAATTGTACTTGTTTACCAGGCTGAACCCAAGCATCGCCTAGGTCGAACTGGTAGCGCTTCTTGATCTCGCTGACAATGTCAGTCTTGATAGACTCGGGAGTAGCGGCCTCGAACGAGAAGTCCTCCTCTGGGTACAGAGACTTGAGAGATGCATCAGTCTCTGCTGTAGGCTTAGCGTTGAGCTCAGCGCCCAACAAGCAGTTGAGCAGGTGAGCAACGCAAGCCTGGACGAAAGGTGGCGACTGGTATCTGAGGTACTTGCTGGAAGTGTGCTTGAATGCTCTGGCAATCATCTCTTGAATTGCGAGCTGCTTGAGTGCTTGCAGACGAGGTTGTTCGGGCTTGTCGGCAAGGCGGGCAACCTCTCCAAGATATCTCATGTTGATACCACGCTTGTGAAGCAAGTTGGTGAGTGATTGACCGTCCATTGGGAAGCCAACATCACCGTCCTGCAAGTCCGAAATCATCTTGGGGATAATGTCTTCCGAAAGGTACTTGCAAGCTGCGCGAACCTCGGCTTCATCCTTGGACCATTCCTCCTTCTCTGCCTCAGTCTGAGGACGCTGGCCGCAGAAGACGTCGGGGTTGAGGCTGAATTGGAATCCAGAGACATCGACACGCTCCTGTTCGGGCTCTTTCTTCTCGGCACCTTCAGTCTCGCTCTCAGGAGCAGCCTCCTTCTTGGCCTCACGACGCTTCTGGACCTCGGCTTGAACATACTCGCGAAGCTTGAGTCTCCAGTACGACTCGACCAACTCGGGACGTAGGACAGCCATTCTGTGGGGGTAGTTGTTGTCGTCGCTAGAGTTTTCCTTGCGGTACTGTTCGAGCCAAGCAACATCAAGGGGAGTGATGCGGTACAAGTCGAGAATGTACTTTCTGCCGTCGGTTCCAAGCAGACCCTTGGTCTCAACACTGGCCTCAAGATCGTGTCTCTTGTTCTCCTTGTCCCAGACAGGGTGGCTTTTGACGCGCAAAGCCTTGCTGAGTTCGGCGAATGGTTGCTTGAAGTCGTCGTTCTCGGCGATGACATCCCTTCCCTCGACACCGCCATAGTCGATCTGATGCTCACCAGGCTCTCTCTGCTTGAAGATACCAGGCACAATACTTTGACCAACAAGACGCTTGCCCAGGTAGTCGACGACAACGGTTCCAGGAGTGAAGATGCCAGAAATGTCGAGTTGATTAGTAGCCTTGACACCCATAATATCCTTGCCAGTAGCAACGCGGGCAGCCTCATCGCCACCATCAGCAGCGAAAGTGCCAACACCGTCAGCACCAAAAGAATAGAAGACGTTGTTGTAGACGAAGATTTGCGCGTCGCGGGGCTCGGTAGGGTTGAGAGGAGCAACCTCACCACGAGCAACAAGGACGGCACCTCTAACAGCAGCCTCGTTGTACTCGGCGAAGAGCTTTGCGGTAAGTCTCTCTCTGAAGACACGATCTTGGACATTCTCCTTAGGAAGCTCGCGGGTCGATTGGAACTCTTCGTTCCAGTCGCGAAGTGTTTCTGCATTCTCGGGACCAGCAAGGAGATAGCTCTCCTGAGTACGAGCAGCATCAGCGACGTGGCTTGTCAAAGAAGCCGAGTTGGGCGAAACAAGCCATGGGCTAGCGGGAACAGCATTGGCGAGCTGGAAAGCGGCCAGGGGATCACGTTGGCCGTTGTACTNCTGCAGACTGCGGAAAGCATCGTTGAAGGAGAGCGAGATTTGGCCGAACAGAGTGAGGAGCGAGTGTGCGGAGTGAGGCTTAGGGGCGGTGCGAGGGAATGGCTCGAACTTGTTGTTTGTCGACTTGTTGACAAAGAAACCAGAGACGTGCGAGGTAATGTGGAACTGCTCGCCCTCGAGGGTGGTGACGAGCAGGTACATAAGGTGGCCCTTTTGGCGGAGGTGGTAAGGAGCAGGATTCCATGCAGACAAGGACAAAGATTTGACCGTCTTGGGCGCATTCGCGGGCGAGGGCGAAAGAAGAGTCTTGACGGAACCGCGGGCATCGAGGTCGTAGTCGACCATGGCGTGCTCGCTAGCAGGAGCCTCGGGCTGGTCGGCAGGGGTAGGCTTGACGATGTGGTCGTGTAGCGACAGACCAGCGTCGATGCCGTGCAGGAGATCGGTGCGGTCACCAGATGCACCAATCAGTTCGCGAATGCGTACAAAGTGCATGCGGGCCTGTGTCTCAGTGTATGGGTCTTCGACGAGATGGAGCTCCGGGTCTTGCTGAATGTCGGGGACTTCGGAGAGCTCGACAAAGTCATTGATGCGCTTGCCCTTGTGCTCGAGGTGGAAGCACGTGTACTGGAAGGTGAAGGGGAGGTCGATGATGGATTGGCGGATATCCTGGACTTGCTCGAGGTGGCTGACCATGATCTGGCATTGTCCAGGGGCATGAGGTAGGTGGATGGTGAGCTGGAAGACATTCTCGACTGCTGGTTCCTGCTCTTGCTCGGCCTGTTGGCCATCCTGCACCTCGTGCTGTTCTACTCCGTTGCTCTGAGCCTCTGTGCCGTTGCTCTGCACATNCTGTATAGCTGCCATCAGTCTACTTGCCGAATAGACAGAGCCATATTGCCTACCTTGAGCTTTCGTCTCGCTGTCTGCAGCCATGCTTCAGCCGAACTTTTGTAGAAACAGAAACCGAAAAAGGGGACAATGAGCAGACTTGGGCGCACAATGTCCAAGAATATAGTACAAGGGAAAAACGAGTATAATACAAGAAGTTAGGGATATGCTACGCAGCACGAGCTTATGATTCAAAAGTCCAATCGCCCAAATCTTTGTCCACCAAAGGCGAGGTCGCACATTTCGTCGGCAACTTCCTCGGCTGAAGTCGGACCTTCCGTCAGTCCTGAGCGAGCACGGCCCATGAGCTACATAGATGACACGCACTCGCGTGCACAACCAACGTCTCGCTAACCTTTGCTTCTTCTCATCAAGAGGACTGGAACGAAGCTGTCGCGATCTTCGTTCTGGAGCTTTCAGATCCAGACAAGATGCCTGGCATCAAGCAAATGTCTTCCTCAAGACTCCAGTAGCAGCATAAAACCAAGGTAGACAAATTCAAGGGTTTGCCAAGCAGAAGGAACCCTTGGAAGCCGTTGTGCTTTACTCCAGGCGTTTCGTCTGTCTTTCAACCCAAAACACATAATTACTCGATCCGCTGTTGCTTTCTCAGATTGGTCGTCTGGAATTGAGCGACCATGTCGTCGCTACGGCCGCTAATCTTGCAAAGACTCACGATGAAGACGACTCCTCTACATTTGCGCCCTCGTCCTCGGAGTGTTCCCCAGACACCTCTACCATCTCGTGCTCGAGCCTTTACTTCCATACCGGGTATACCAACACCCGAAGAAGAAGACGATGGCGGCAAGGGCAAGAAGCCCGAAGATGAAGAGAGCAGATGGAAACCAATCTTCTGGAAGTCCCTCGAGTCGACATTCACTACACTCGCATCAGTAACCGTCNNCTTGGGTATGGTCAAATGATTGTGCCAATCTTGTGATTCCGCCTGACGCATCAATTGCAGACTCATTGGCTACTCGTATAATCGTTACTACAAGGCTCTGATATTGAGAAAGATGGAACACGCCTTCGCGCCTGGTTTGATACATGCACAGCTACACAATGCCTCGCAGAGCCTAATGTACCCTTANGGCGACCCAGTTCTAGAGCTTGCCGCTATGTCCAAGAGCGAAGACGGGCATCGAGAACATTGGATTCTTCGCGAGGAGCAGACCAAGCTCGATGCTATTGTTCGTGGTGAACTCAAAGGGCAATACTATCTTATAGTAGGCGAGAAAGGAACTGGAAAAAGCTCCATGCTTATCGACGCCATGGCAAAGATTGAGGGTGAAGGTGTTGCGATGTTCGACGCGCATTCTGATCTCGAGATCTTCCGCGTACGCCTAGGAAAAGCCCTCGATTTCGAGTATCACGAAGACAACATTGGATCTCTCTTCTCAATCCGTGGCCCGCGCGATGCTTCCGCCTTGCTCGACATTGAGAGAGCATTCAACAAACTGGAAAAAGTGGCATTGCGCAGGAGAGCAACTGTTGGACGACCACTTATCATGATCATTAACAACATGCACTTGTTGCGAGATGATGAGGATGGGCGTGATCTTCTCGAGCTACTCCAGCAAAGAGCTGGTTTGTCACCGCACCAAGTTTGGGATGGACCGATTGTTGACTTCGATTCTNNAGAACAATGGGCTGCCAGTAATCTGGCCACTATAATCTTCAACAGTGACGACTACTGGGTCTACGAAAGACTGAAGCAGTTGGCAACACGTATGGTGGTGATGCCAGTCCCCGACCTGCCTCGGGATAAAGCCATGATGGCATTATCCAACTACCGGGCAAGATACCATAGTAAACAACCTCTAGATTCCGAAATCCTAGAACAGGTCTATCAGAAAGTGGGAGGTAGGCTTGCCTTTCTCAATCGCGTCGCAAAATCCCACGACATGCTTCAGACCTGTGAAGACATCTGTCGTGCAGAAAAGACTTGGCTTCTGTCACAGACTTGGATTCTTGGTGAAGAGATGGACGACGATGTAATGGACCAACAGAAATATGCTGTGAGTGTCACGTCCGCCCTGCTTTAACATTGCTAATTGTGCATAAGNTCAGCTGCAATGGTTCTAGCAAAAGCTCTGGTAGACAAGGAGAAGGAGGATAATCTCGAGTACGACCTTGAAAAGGGTCATATGCTCCCTCAAATCCCCTTGCACAAAGCAAGGCAGATCATGACGCGAGCCGACTTCATCCAAAGCTACGATGCCATCAATATCTTCACCATTGACAGTAGGGCTATGGTGAGAGCTGACTCAGTACCTATGATGAACGCTTTTCGAGAGATTTGTGCAGAAGAGTGAGTTTGAATGTTCTCGAAACACAACTCATGACTTGCTAACGGATCCACAGGNGGTTTCGACGAATACTTGGAGGCAACCCTAGACCGTATTTCTGCTATTGAAAGTTTGGGACGTACTCGTGAGCTTACCATTAAGGACTTATGGGTAAGTCAATACTGCTTCTCATTCCTGGCACACGACTAACACGATTTCACTAGNGATGGAGGAAAATATCGTGTCACTACACGTAATGCGAAAGGTGCTATCGAGAAACTGATTAATTTCGAGGTTGAGGAAAAGGAAGCAGACAAGGACGACAAAGATGATTGAATGCGCTGGCCAAGACATGCAATGGCGGGGCTGAAGTCCTGTTGTTTGTTTGTTGATGTCGGCCAGCGCTGTCCCGGGTGCAAAGAAGTTTCGTTTCAACAATCAATTACAAACCGCCATGCACAACATGAATTAAGAAGCAGCAATATCAGAGCATGATTTCAGGAATATTATAGAGCATATTTACCTCACCAGGATGGATCGTAAAAGGAAGCGACAAATGGGCAGTGAATTTTGGACGACCGCAAAATGTCAACGACTTCTTAGACCAATTGCATCTAGGATTGCGCCATTGAAAAGACACCAGTACACTTTGGACTCCGAATCATCTCGAAGAATCGTGGAAGAAGAAACCTTACCTACAGTCAAGAAACAAGGTCTTCTTGGACAGGAAGCTGTCCGCATCAACATCAATACTACATCTTTAGATCCAACATGGTTGCCCCCAGATCAGGGCAACAAACATCAGCTCAAAAAGTACTCGACGGGCCATCGCCACTCCAAACCACCATCTGGCCAGATCAATAGCCCTCAAGCATGTTTGGTGTCGTTGCCAACTCCGTTCAAAGCACGCGCGCTGAGAAGNAGAACTCCCACCAAACACGGAATTCTTGGTCTGGAGCCCTCGAAGAGTCCATGTGCTTCAAGAGCTTTACCTTTGACAAGTAAACGTCAACGGAAGGATCCATTCACCAGGGCGCCGACAGCAAAGCAGAGTATCGAACTACAAGGCAGACAGAACTACGAAAGAACGTTTGAGCTACACCAAGGAGTCACAGATGGGTTCTCATTATTGTTGCAGAGGACGAGCTCCACAGACTCTGAGGAAGCTACACTACGAAAGGGAGCTTCATCGCTCCTTAGCATGTGCTTACGGAGAGTACCGGACTACATTCGGGCGGAAGAAGACTGGCGCAAAAGTATCGACGAAGACGACGACACAGACGTCTCTGCTGAGGTCTATGAGGAACTAGAGGATCTCGGCTCGATTCAAGGACGTGGATGGTCAGGTTTGCGCGAAGTTGTAATTGCACATGGTGTCAGTCTTGTCCATGAGATTATCAGAGACAAGCTTGTAGCAACAGAGACCAGGGCAGAACTTGCAAGAATACCTGCCAAATACGGTCTGCACAAAATGTCGGAAGATCTGCTCCTTGCTTACGCCCAATCATTGCCTCTCAAACGCCCGCTTGGTGTGGACTCTCGTCTCTTCAACGGGTGTATTTCAAGCCTGACGGTGATACAACCAGCCAACGCCAAGAATGAGACGTTCGTTCGCCTTCTTGATGCGCTATTTTCTTCTGGTCGCCTGAAGATATCATGGTTGGCGACCCGGGATATGGCCAGCCTATCAAGTGGCATGATTAGAGCGCTAGCTTCACAATCTGGTAATCTTGGTTATATCCTGCATTTCCTCCAGGGTCGCATCTCTCAGATCTCAAGAGCAGAACTGGTACAGAAAGACGTAAAAGAACAGGGGCCAGAGGGTAACCTGGATGTTTGGCTGAGACTAGAGAAGTCGCTCAGCAATACCACAGTCAGCATCATTACTGTGCTCACAGCGATCGTCCTGATAGAGCGCAACACACACGATCCCAATGACATCTCGGAAAGATGCACCGCTGCCGAATCTCTCCTCGCACGCCTCTCAATCATTGTACTCGGGAGGCTAGGGGCCCAGAAACACGAATTCAATATGAAAAGTCCAATTCAACAGCGAACAGTGTGCTTCGCTCTTCTTGCAAGCAACCTCATCCTGAGTGTCAAACAGGACAGGAACAGCACAAACCAGGTCTCACTCAGGCAAGAGGACATCTTACAAGGAATGATAATAGTACATGGAAACAATAGCTCAGACCGCACTCAATCGATGGTTGAGCGTGCTGCTTCGTTCCTGGTCAATCTGTCTCGATGCTGCGAACAGAGTTTGCACATGGACAGCCAATCCTATTTGGAAGGCCTTGTCCGATCACTCATGGAGAACTCACAACATGGTTCCCATATGACTAAGACGTTCTTAAAACAGTGGGCAGTGGAGAGTTCATTGCTCTCTGCTAAGACCTTTGCCACACAAAGGAGCAGGCACTTCCTCGACGACGTTGAAGCTGCCATGGCACAACATAAGCCTCTGAGTGACCAGACCACAGCCATTGCCTCGCACTCCATAGATGCCCATGTTGCAGAACAAGGGCTACGATGGGAAGAAGGTCTCTGTGAGTGGATTGTCGCATCACCGTTACGCATAAGGAAGGCCCGAAATGTGCCTGCTATGGCGACCAGGAGCCGATCAAATTCATCTTCTGATCAAGACAATGACCTGGACGACAGCGGCTACCTCAGTGAGGTCAAGGAAACACCGACACTTCAACGCAAGGTCGTTAACATATCGACCATGCTAGCGTCACCGGATGTGCTAGGTTTTGATTCTGAGATGCCCTACTACCCCGGAATTGATTTCGAGGCACACAGAGCTACAATCATGTCACAAGGTGCATCTCCTGCTAGGCAGTCTCCAAAGTCTCTTGCTCCCCAGAGCAGAGCGCCAGATGCAGTCCAAACTGTTGCCATACCTCTGAAGACCAGTGGTGAGATTACCGAAAAGACATTGGAGATAGTGGAAAGGCCAGCAAAGAGGAGAAAAGGCCAGGCCACGATGGAACAAAAAACCAAAGTCGCATCCACGGTTCTGGAAACAGCCAAGCAACCATCTCGATTCGCAGAACAAGACTGTATCCAGGAGGAAAGATTCGAATCGTTCGAGAGCGAGATTGATGAGCTGGCCATGAGTTGCTCCAAACCAAGGCAGAAGGTACCAATTGCCAGGAAAGCGGTGCCACCGAAATCCCTCAGCAGGACCTCCCTTCCAAGCAAACGAGCCAGCGATCAGGTTGTAGATATCAGTGATGATGAGTTGGGCTTTTGATCGAAGGACTATTATGATTAGCCACCCTTCTCTTTCTGTATGATACCCCCTTGTTATGTAACAATGATTGAGAGTCCACTTTGCAGATGCTCAGCACTTGTTTCCTATATAGTTGAGAATGTAAAAGTGTCGTCCGAAGGGGGATGTGCCGGCGGTGTTATGCTCAAAGCGGCACGTTATCGCCGGAAGGATCAAAAGGATGCACAGAACCTTCCTTATCTGGCCATGCCATTGGACAAGTGAGAGCGGGGGATGGTGCAATCAAAATGGCTGTCACGAGGTGGCTGTCTGACATGTTCAATAATAATGCTATCACGGCGCGCGACTCATTCTTCGAGATGTCGCTCCAGAAAGCTGCACATCCGACGAAATGGTGTCACCAGTTCACGACGACGACACAGACTATTCTGACCTCGACGAAGAAGCACCCTTGGCCGCACCAGCCTCACGACGCCATGCTGGGCCAAAGAACCGAGAACGATTGAGCGAAAGAACACCACTCTTGAGCACTTCACCACCACCTCCAGCCTATGCCGATGTGACAAGACTGTACGGCACCCCTCCGTACATCGCTCGGAATGATTCAAATAGTGCTCAACCAGATCAGTTACGCCATGAGGATGCGACCACACCAGCCCATACGCGAGTCGAAGAGCCGCAGAGCATGGGCGATCCAGGACGAGATGCCGACCAAGGCAAAAAAGTGACCAAGAAGCGCAAATTCTTGACCAACCGAAAGGCACTTGCATGTCTGGTGTTTATTCTCGCGTTTTCTCTTGTTGCACTTACGACATTAACGACGTTCAAGCATAATAAGAGTGATGATTCAGTAAGTGGTGGGTTGAATCTCTTCACATTGTCTACCACTGACGCACGGCACAGAGCAGTGATNGGCAACAGCCCTTCTCCCGCCGACGGCTTCCCTCACTATCGGAGGTGCAATTACGAATCCATCAGCGATCGCCAGACTTTCTCTTTCCAATCGCCGCGCAGCTTCAGCTTTGTGGAAATTACAGAAGGAGCTCACAACCCCTCGAGCGACATCAACGGCCAGGTTCGCATCTTGCTTGGAGCAGAGGACCAGAAAGACCCACTGCTGATGGAGATGCGGATCGCAAAATCAACAGCTGCCCAAGGTTTACATTTTGGTGTTGATTATACAGGCGAGAGCCTACGCCTGAATGCGCCTTCTTCCTTGCCAAGCTATCAAAAGGCTTGCATGGAGATTGACATGAGTCTCTGGATCAGACCAGGTGCTCAATTCGAACATCTGGAAATCGCGACTGAGCATCTCGATATCAAGATCGACCCCGGTCTCTTCTCACCATCTCTCGAACCTTCATCGCCTGGTCAGACTGGTATATACTACATTAGTAACCATACCGATCTCATCGCCGTCTCGGGATCCATTTCGGCTGCATACTGGGAGAGTGGCCGAGAAACTCGTATAGATGTTGTTTCGGGCGGTGTCAGTGGCCGCTTTGCTCTCAAAGATCTCCTGTCTATCAAAACAGTGTCAGGAAGCATCAACATAGATGTCGAACCGAAACCAGAAAGCCCAACCGCCCCTCGACCTGCTTCCTTTGTGGCAACCAGCGCGTCTGGAAGTATCAAGGCCAGCTTCCCGATGTCTAACGTGGTTGCGGATATTCCACCACGATTGTATCACACCAAGGTTGAGACTAAAAGTGGGTCCATCCATGGAAGCTATATTCATGGCCTCAACACAGATATCAGCACAGCCAGCGGCTCAATTGGCGTCGATATTCTGCCCTACTCCGCAAACAGCACTGGAAGTTGGCTTCGAACGGAATCTGCTGGAGGAGGGATTCATGTCAATGTGATGCCACCCTATGAGGACCCGCAAAACGTTATGGGGCATCTCAGAAGTGTTCACAAGACCAAATCTGGAAGCCTGCACATACAATATCCTCAGCAATGGGAAGGAAAGATTGAGGCTGTGACAATGTCAGGAAGTGTCAAACTTCATGGAAAAGATGTCGAGGTGCTGAAAAGATGGTCAGGGCCTGTTGGAGCTCATGTAATTGCTCAAAAGGGGCAAGCTAGTAGTGCCATGGACTTGGGCACGGTGTCGGGCAGCATAGACGCAACCATTGGCGATGTGTGAGAGTCCTGGTGGCGATCCTGTTCTTTGTAGGTTATTATTCGACAAGCTGGGATGGTCAAATTGTCTTCTGTCTTTACTGCTTGCAGGAGTATCTGTTTGAGAAGCGAGCGGGCTCTTACTCACCTTCTTTCTACAACATGGTCGTATGACTTCTCATCGGCATGTTCAGCTATAAATTTACTTCCTCATCGTCTCTAATACGAATCATGCCAACTTTCAAGCCGATTGTCACACGATAATGCCAAGTATAGTAAGCAAAGCACGGAGGTGTTTGTCTGAACGTCTGTCACATGCAAGGACTCGGGCCGAAACGAGCCGAGGCATGATGCGCGCCTTCCTGAGGGGTGTCCTTTGACACTACCATAAACATGCAAGATGTGATCTTTCAAGACTGTACATCTCTTTCCAGAGCCAGATACTAGAAAGTGAACTCAGAATGCCCTTCAATACTGCTCTTACCCGTAAACTCGGGATCAAAGTTCCGGTCGTCCAAGGAGGTATGCGGCATTCTAAATCTCCGTGAATGAAGTTTGACTACTTACTGACAATGATCNNAGGTATGATGTGGGTGGGTTATGCAGAGCTCGCCAGTGCCGTCTCGAATGCAGGAGGCTTGGGTATCTTGACTGCCCTTACCCAACCCACACCTGAAGACTTGAGNAAAGTAAGAAACTTTCTATACACACAACTGATCAGATGATGGCGCTGGCTAACAACTCGCAGGGAAATTCGGAGATGTCGAAAGATGACCTCCAAGCCTTTTGGTGTGAACCTGACTCTGCTACCCGCCCTCCAGCCTCCGGACTACCCTGCCTACGCCCGTGTTATTATAGAAGAAGGCATCCGAATCGTCGAGACAGCAGGCAACAACCCTGCACCCGTCATCAAACAACTCAAAGCCGCAGACCCTCCCATCATCATTCTACACAAATGTACTACCGTACGTCACGCCTTGTCCGCCATAAAACTTGGAGTCGACTTCCTTAGCATCGACGGCATGGAATGTGCTGGACACGTTGGAGAANNAACGGACATCACAAACTTCATCTTGCTCTCCAGAGCTCGTCAAGAACTCAACGTTCCATTCATCGCCTCGGGCGGATTTGCCGATGGCCAGGGTCTTGCTGCTGCGCTCTCGCTTGGAGCCGAGGGTATCAACATGGGCACGAGATTCATGTGCACGGTCGAAGCCCCCATCCACCAAAACATCAAGGAGTCGATCGTCAAGGCTCAAGAGACGGACACCGAGCTCGTCTTGAGACGATGGAAGAACACCAGCAGAATGTTCTCGAACAAGGTTGCGAGAGATGCCATCAAGATCGAAAGAGAAAGTCCGACCGGCAAGTTCGAAGAGGTCGCTCCATACGTCAGTGGCAAGCGAGGCAGAGAGGTCTTCTTGAATGGAGACCCAGAGCATGGAGTGTGGACCGCCGGCCAGGTCATAGGGTTGATTCACGATATCCCGACATGTGCAGATCTGATTACACGTATCGAGCGCGAAGCCTTGGACACCATCAACAAGGCAAAGTCGTTATATGTTGATGAACTCCCCGAGAGCGATATGGAAGGAAAGCCGATTCAAGATCTTTCGGCCAACCCGAAGAGCGAGCACGGCACCGTGGGATCAAACGAGAACAATCCCGAGGCTCAGCTATGGGGAATCGGCAAGAGCAAACTCTAGACTTTGAGCTACTATCAGATTGGCATACCTGGAATTCTCTGGGTGCATGTTAACCGCGATTTTGATAGGCGGAGATTGCTATAATAGACATGAGGGCATATATATGCTAGCAGCATCCTTCTTTAGCATCATTGGATGTTCAGGAGACATGAGTCCACGAAGTGTGTGTGTAGCTGTTACAAGTATTCGTGTCCACTTACTGTCCCGCGATTGTCCGCACGAGTATCGTACCGCTTTCACTTGCTCTATATCTGAAATACCAGCAAGGCATAGCACCACGTTTGGCTTGCAGAGAGCAGAGTATAAGCAAAGATTGATTGGAAGTTCATGTCGAAGATTAGAAGCGAAGAAAGGAGGGGTGCATTCCAGGACAGTCTCCTTCCTCAAGACCAGCTTTTGTTTTTGAGTATGCCTCTTTTCCCCAATCCCTTCGCCAAGCTCGCTAGAACGAGATTCAAAGATATAGAACAGCAATGTACAGACAAGAAAAGGCAAACAAAGATACCCGACGTGCTTTATCGACAATCAAAGGCGAATAATGTTCAAGCTTCCAGCTGAGGTTCAGAGTCGGTATAGTGGAAAGTGATGCTGGGTTGTTCTTATGGCGCAGAATGCTCCTCTGCTTGCTCGTGGACAGGTTCCCGAGATATGTCTGCAATGTTTCGTTGTGCAGTGGCACGTCTCGAATTGTTGTCAAAGACAAACGGACCAGCGTCGTTCATGGGCGTGTTCTGTCCGTCGCCCATGGGCGCCAAGGTAGCCGCGGCCAGAGCAAAGGGTGCCGAAGAGGTGGGTGTGGCTGACCGTGCCATGATGGAGTCAGGTAGGTTTCTATTCACCGGTGCATTGGTGGAAGCGATGATGGGCACAGGCTGAGAGATTGAGCCCCGCGAAGGTCCAGTTTCACCCTCCGAGCTCGAGTCTGTGCCCGAGGGATTATGTGATGGTGAGTTTGAGCCCATAGAGACACTGTTCATCATGGCGGTCAAGTCTTCGTCTTCGAGACCACCAGTCTCTATTGTAGGAAGTGGTTCTGGTTCGGGTGATTTTGGCTGGACGCTTGTTGAAGCTTGAATGACGTCCTCGACACCCTCGCTCTCATAGTCTTCTTCTTCTGGAGGTTCCACATCGGCCTCCAGGTCAGCGTATGCACGGCAATTGGGGCACTGGAAGCTCGGCCAGCTAGGGTAGATGAGAGTGCGAACGCACTTGTAGTGCCAGACGTGTGAGCAGGGAGCAACAAAGAGTGCCTGACATGGAGCGACGGGGTTCAAGCAGATCGAACACTCGGAGCTATGTGTTGATTGAGCGTCGCTGTCTTTGGCGTTGTTGACCTTTGCCTGTTTAAGAATATTTTTGTGTGTTGCAGTGCTGTGATGGTTAGCAACCCTGGGCCATGGATTCTCTGGCAAAGGAGGAGAGACTTACTTGAATTGATTCAAACCCTTCTGCCAGCCTCTGTTGCACTCGATACGAATCTTGACACAGCGGAATATGACTTCTTCCCCACCCTTGAAGTCGATACCCAGCTGGACGATATCACCATCGTTGAGAGGGTACGCACGACTCTCCATGCCTGGACTGCTCAGGCGCACATGGTTCAGAAAGGTGCCGGAACTACTCTTAACGTCTTTGATGAACCACTGGCCATTGTCGCACCAGAGCTCGCAATGCCTGCGGCTGACAACCTTGCTCTTGAAACCGACAGGGGCTGCCGTCTTTGCGCTCGCTTGAGAATCGGCAGCCTGGTCTCTCTCCGAGTATCTGCCAACCTTGACTCGCTGACCAGCAGCGGCGATTGTGCGAGTAACGATGGGAAACGTGAGGGATGGTCTCGAAGCGCGGGGCTCATGGTGGGGGATGAAACGAATAGTCGGAGCCTCCTTCTTTTCGGTGGTTGTGGCTTGTGTGGACGGGGCAGCAACGGAGTCGGTAGCGGGGCTATCGGTGGACGAAGTGATAGCCGGAGCGGGGTTGTCGTCGGCAGCAGGGGCATCCTGACTGACGGTGGCAGCTCGCGTGCGGGTCATATTTGGGTTAGGTGACTCTGAGTTGGTGGATTGAGGTTGGGTTGCGAGCCTGGACAAGGCACTTTGGCCGGCGACAGTAGGGACCCAGCCGTTTGCGGTGGTATCGCTACGAAGCGGGGGACTCGGCGGCGTCTCGCGTGCGCTGCGGGCTGGGGAACTCGTGCTTCGGCTGAGGGTGGAAGGGCGTGCAGGAGATGGAGTGGCCGAGGGATTGTTGGATTGGGTTGTCGGAGCGTTGTTGGAACTCGAGTGAAGATGATTGTGGGTGTAGCTTCTTAGATATGAAAGACCGCGGAGCCGGGAGGGACGAGTGGGAGAAGCGGGCGTAGCGGGCGAGTTGGCGTCTGAACCAACGGTCGACAGCGACGCGGCGGCCGGTGAATAACTGCCAAACATTGTGTGATATTGGCAAGACAAAGAGAGGTGAAGGAAAGTCGAGCGGGCGCTGGCACTGTCAGATCAAAAAGAGGCGTCTCTATTATGTCACTGCCGTCGACGATCACGCTTACAGAGTGTAGGAAGCCCGAGTCACGGCAATCGAGTGCTGAATGGAAAGGTTCAAGACAAGGGCGGCGACGAAGAAGTAGGGAAGGAGGGGAAGGAGATACAGGAGAGAGTCGTGTGTGTGCCGCACCCGCAGGCCCAATGCGATAGAGTGACATGCTCTCATAGTCGGTACAGTCAATGCAGCAACGCTCTCGACGGTGCGTTATGGCCTTCTAGCCTTGTCACTATTCGATTAATCCTGCAAACCGTCTTCTTCTAGCTCCGACACTGACTCGACATCCTGCTCGGCAGTCGTGAACAGCGCAACTCCGAAAACACCAGAAGCAGATGGCATCTCATCAGCCAACAGACAGAGAATTGCACGCGTGATGCATCACATGTTGAATGGATCCAGACGTGTAGAGGTTCGGAAGAGGCGTCAGCCGCCAGATAGACGCCGAAGACGGAAGTCTGGGGGCCGAGGGGTTTGCACGTTCGCCAAACACTTTCAGCAGCAATGACAGAATAGCCCATGCATGCTTCTAGAAAGCCTCTTCTACCCAAAAAGTCATAATTCCCAATCATGCTGCGACTAAGTAGAGCCATACCGCGCTCCACTAGCCGCGTCTTGTCTCGCCATGTGTCGCGTCGCTCTTTTGCCTCGGTAGACGGAGTCACCAAGGTAGGCACATCCCATAGGCTTCGAGAGAGCGCATCGCATTCCANACTGTCGCTTTTAGTAACGCCAGTCTTCTTCAGGACCCAGCCGACCTCGACCAAGTCACGACCCTCTCCAACGGCGTCCGAGTCGCCAGCGAAGCCGTGCCTGGTGCTTTCTCTGGTATTGGTGTCTACGTCGACGCCGGTTCGCGATATGAAAACGATGCTCTCCGCGGTGTCTCACACATCATCGACAGACTGGCCTTCAAGTCCTCGTCACGGCGAAGCGCTGATAGCATGCTCGAGGAGATCGAGTCCTTAGGNGGCAACATCCAATGCGCTTCTTCTCGCGAATCCCTCATGTACCAGGCCGCCACATTCAACAGTGCAGTGCCCACCGCCACCGCCCTCCTCGCCGAGACCATCCGCGACCCTTTGATTACCGATGAAGAGGTCTCGCGCCAGCTGGAGACAGCAGAGTACGAAATTGGAGAGATCTGGAGCAAGCCCGACCTTATCCTGCCCGAGCTGGTCCACATGGCTGCATACAAGGACAACACTCTCGGAAACCCTCTACTGTGTCCCGCCGATCGTCTCGGAAGCATCAACAAGCGTACTGTTGACGCCTACCGCCGCGCCTTCTTCCGCCCCGAGAGACTGGTTGTCGCATTTGCTGGAGTAGAGCATGATCAAGCCGTCAAGCTGGCCGAACAACACTTTGGTGACATGAAGGCCGAGAAGCTCGCGACGACAGAACCCACCTCTCAAAAGTCGCCGCAACCACAGCAGAAGTCGACCCTTAGTTCAAAAATTCCCTTCTTCAAGAACCTCTCCACTTCTGCCTCCCAGTCGGCTACTGTTTCACCTCTCGACCCTTCTCATATCATTCCCCACCCTCTCGATGTTCCCGTCGACACTTCCGCACCTGCTCACTACACTGGTGGCTTCCTCACATTACCAAACCTTCCCATTCCTCCAAATCCTGCGCTCCCTCGTCTATCGTATATCCACCTTGCCTTTGAGTCTCTCCCCATCAACTCGGACTCGATCTACGCTCTCGCTACCTTGCAGACTCTTCTTGGAGGTGGTGGCTCCTTCTCTGCTGGTGGCCCTGGTAAGGGCATGTACAGTCGTCTGTACACCAACGTCCTGAACCAACACGGATGGGTCGAAAACTGCGTCGCCTTCAACCACGCCTACACGGACAGCGGCATCTTCGGTATCAGTGCGGCATGCGCTACCCCTTACGTCAACCACATGCTTCAAGTCATGTGCTTGCAACTCGCCAACCTGGGCAAGGAGACCGGCATTGGTCGTCTGACCGAAGGAGAAGTCAAGCGTGCAAAGAACCAGCTCAAGAGCAGTCTGCTCATGAACCTCGAGAGCCGTATGGTCGAACTTGAGGACCTGGGTCGTCAGGTCCAAGTCCACGGCCGCAAGGTGCCCGTCAAGGACATGATTGCTCGCATCGACAAGGTCTCGATTCCCGAGCTCCGTCACGTCGCTCGTCAAGTCTTTGGCGGCATGGTCAAAAACCCCGGTGGTGGAAGTGGTGCTCCTACTGTCGTCATCCAACAAGGAGAAGAAGAAGGCGTCACGATTCAAGAATTGAAGTGGGACGCTATTCAAGGAACAATCCAGAAGTATGGTCTCGGACGCCAGTAAGGATGTAAAAAAAAGTCTCGTCTCTCTCACGATATTTCTTGTTTCGTTGTATGTATTATATCCCTCCTCTTCGATACCTTGTTATCGTGCACAACATGTAGAAATACACACAAGCACAAGCTGCATATTAAGCTCAATTTTACAAAAGATCCCAGGGGTAATGACTGGCTATACTACACACCTTGAAGCGATGGTGCAGAACTCTCACGTTGTTCATAAAATTATCTACGCGGGACCCAAGTGATACCTATACGTTCTAGCACAACGGAGGGCAGACAACATGATGTTCGTGGACGATTATCGATTGAAATCGGTCTCATTTCTCTGCTTTTTGCAGTCAAGCTTGCTCTGTCTGCTTGTTGCGAGAGCTCTCGCGATGAATTAGCTCGATCCGGCTAGCGGTAGTAAAAAAACGCGTGACGTTTCTAACCCAAGCGGAAAGTTTCTGCCTTCCGTCGTCGACAATGTAAACTATAATGGGTGACAACCAACAATACCACTTCGATGGCAAGTGTTGAAGTCTCTGAGCCTGAGGTTGGTATACTTCAGTGAGTGAGTATACCCTAGATTGCTCGCGGTAGCTCAAGATCAAGACTGCGGACAAAGATGGTCCGCGTAATTAAACTCATCATGCTTCTATGCTTCATGGCTGAGAATCAGCTGGCAAGAACTCTTCCGGTAAGGTACTCTTCCCCTTCTTCTTGGATCCAGCTCGTGGCAACGGCTCCGATCGCGCCTTGCGTTTGCCATTCGGACCCACGAAGATGGAGACCCAGTCACGAACTCGCTCGAGTTTGTTCTCCACCGCCAGGGGAAAGTTGGACTGATGTGCGCTGTCTGCCCGGAAGTCGTGTGGTCTATGCAGGACTGTGATTGCTGTGGCGTTTTTGGTCGCTCTCCGGTTAAGAGATTGGCCAAAGACTGCATTGCGGAAGGAGCTTAGTGCTACTCGTTCGATGAGAACAATGTCTTGTGAACGTAGTGACGAGAGAATGTTACGTGACTTGTCCTCGACCTTGTGTCGCTGCTGAGAACCTTGAGCTGCATGCCACGAACTAATGGTAAAGGGGGCTTTGGTCTCGTCTCCGACTGTAAGCTCGATGATGTCCATGTCATGACCACCTTTGCGCGTTGTCACTGTTCTTGCGGGTGCTATGCTGATGATACCGACTAGTAAGTTCACAGTCATGGTTTGTGGCTGTATACGTTGGAGGTAATCGGCAGTTGGGATGGCCTTGATGCTCATGATGGGTCCGACAGGTCTATATGCTGCGCCTAATCGTGTTCCAGAGTCTTCGCGGAGGGAAGGTTGTGTAGACATGATAGTAGTATCGAGTCCGTCCATGAATGTCGAATAGACGGAGTCATCAGTCATGAAGGTCGCTTCCTCAGTATCATGCTCTGGACTTTGGTGGTGGGGAGCAATCTGAGAAGACTGCAGATCTGCTTCAAGAGCGAAAGAGTGGTCAAGGAAGTCATCATCACGGTCCTCTATCAGATTGTGGATCTGACGTGGTAGTGCCTTCTTTATGTTGGTCTGTGGTAATCTTCGAGGCAAGACAGGACTTTCGTGGAAGGGTTTGTTTGCGACCAATGGGACTGACCTCCATTTGGCTAGGGGTTGCGTAGGCGTAGGCGTGGGTGGAGGACCCGAGTGGGCATCTAGATGCCTTTGCAGTGCCGAGGAAAATGTATTGAGCAAGCCTTCATCACTCCAATTCAATTCAGAGGTGATAGGGGCACCGGTGAGAAACTTGACCTTTGAAGGAGCCATCCAAGCGCCTAAGATAGTGTGATTGATTAGGACTGTGTTCGAAGATTGATTGGGCGTGTTACGAAGGAATCTTTAGTCCGAGCCCGAGTTCGGTGTCCGCGCCGATGTCCGAGTTGAGGTTGGAATAAAGAGGCAGCAGTAGGCAATCATGGTTTTGCTGTCACTTTACAGCCATTCTTCGAGGCCGACCTTCACATGATTGAGTCCGAGTGAAAAGCGTAGACAGACATAACATAATTAGTTCAAAGGTACGTAAGTTGTCATGTCGGCCGGGAACGATGACGGGCGGGAGTCGCGTCGGCAATCGGAAGCGAGATCTGATAAAGGCCCATAGTCCCCCTCCGAATCAACATGACGAGAAACAAAATGGCTTCACTCCTCCGCAACCTGTCGTATCGCTTCACGCCTACGCCGTCGTCGGACTTTCAAAAGGCAAAGAACGTCGACGCTCTCTTCACAAAGACGGATCCCGCTGTCGACGGCGACGACTGTCTGCACGATTGCGAATCATGTTCGATCAAGTACCCCCGCAAGTTCGAGATTGATGAAGACGACAAGCTCTATGGAAACATCAATGGCTGGAACACGCATCTGATTGTCGCTACTGGAAAGACGGACTGGGTACGCGATGTCGCCGACGAGAAGGGCAGCGTCATGGAGGCTGTAGCAAAGACAGAAGAGCCCACGAATGGCGTAAGTCGATGCCTACCGCCCATGACATCAAGACATCGCTAATGTCTCTGTAGNAAGATGATGCTCTCGGCCTCCAACATACCCATACCGCACACTTCGCACTCAGACCCCGATGGCCAGGTTCGCACCACCGTTCTGCTTCTCCCTGCCTTCAAGTTCATCGATCATGTCACTCCCGCCGCTGTGCCAGACCTCATCCAACATTGCGTCAACACCGCTCCAACAAACACAACACCCCTCGCCGATCCTGCCTCGGACAACTCTCTGGCAACGACGCCCTTGCCAGCAGGACTGGACGTGAGAGACTGCCCGCACAACTACTTGATCTTGCTGTGCTCCCACGCCACAAGAGACGCTAGATGTGGTCAATCCGCCCCACTGCTCAAGAAGGAGTTCGAGAGACACTTGCGACCTTTGGGACTCGCCCGCGACTTTGACGACGAACGTCCGGGAGGCGTTGGAATCTACTTCATCAACCACGTCGGTGGCCACAAATACTCTGCAAACGTTCTGATCTACAGAAGACGCCTGTCGCCCGATGGCAAGCCCTTGAATGAGGCCGCCCAGTGCATATGGTTGGCCAGGATCAAGCCTCAGGACTGCGAAAACCTCGTTCGCTTCACTATCCTGCAAGGCAAAGTGGTCAAGCCCGGACAGCAACTTCGAGGAGGCTTTGACCGCTCGACTCAACTGACTAGCTGGTAGAGAGGGTGAGGGATATGCAATAGAGGAGGAGCTTAGATATATAGAAAGCCTAACATGCTACCAGACTTTGCACTCGATACCTGCATACTCCCGAGACTCTCCTTTCCTCCCGACATGTACACCACCAATAACGCCACCATGAAGCCCTGTCCGAAAACCACCATCAGAATGCCTTACAAGAATGGAAAGAAAGAAGACAAAACAAAAAAAAAACGCAATCGTAAAACCCCCCAAAGTCGCTACTTTTCTCAAAGCAACCATCCATCATTATCGTTACTGGCGTTAAAGGCAGGCGTCGAGTTGGATCGATCCAATCCCAGTGTCAGCTTGGGCATCTGTATGATGGGAAGACCAAGTTGTGGAGGTGGCTCCGTCTTCTTCGGACTCTTCTTCGGACTCGACGCAGCCATTTCTTCCTTGCTTGGACCATATCGCACGTACTCAATGTCCCATCCATCGGCTTGGGCGGCGGCGATCCAGTTTTGCAAACCAGAATGAACACCACAGTAAAACTTCTCCTTGCAAGTGCGCATGGTGCCGCCCATCATCTTTTCCCAACCGCTGGCCTTGAGCTCAGAACGCAGCTGGTTGCGAGCTTCTCTGGTCAAAAGTGATGCAATGAGGCCATTGACAAGATCAAGATGAGCTGTCATGTACGTGGTTGCATCCCACTCGACGCCACCGATATAGGGCGCAGCCGGAACGGGTGGTCGGTCTCCTGGGAAGAAACGCTGAGCATAGCTTTGACTAGGAGTTGTGGTTCCATCTGGTCGTGTCGGCGTCGAGCCATTTCCATCCAGAGTCTCTTTCTTCGGAAGTGGTATCACGTTGAGGTGGTGTAGGAAAATCCAGAATACTTCCTTTGTCACGTTGCTGACTTCTGTGCACCACACCTTGTACGGTCGAGATTGTCGCATGCTGAGCACAAAGGATACTGGCTGTGCTTCCTCTGGTTTCTTCGGATCCGCGAGATAGGCCAGGATCACACGAGCTCTTTGAGCAAGGTCGTATGGTCCACTGTTGCGGGCTGCCCCCAAATATGCAACTAGNNAGGTTGACATTAGTCTTGGGACATCGGAGAAAGCTGGTTCCAACTTACAAAGAATATTGACGATTATGCCTCTGGTGGTGAACTCACTCGGCCCCTTTTTCTCTTCGTCAAAAAGCATTGCCAAGAGTTTAGGGAACAGAGCATCAGCCAAAGTAGAAAGGACCTTGAGAGCAACTTCGGTGGTGCAAAGTCCCTTTAAGCAGAGCAGTGCTTCATGGAGTAGTTGATCTTCATGCTCCTCGCGCCATTCAATTTGCATGATGCGGTGGAGCAGATCCACAACTTGAGCCATGCCACCAAGTGATATGAAGTCGTCGACCCAAGCAACAGTCTCGTTTCGAAGCAAGAGACGCAACTTGTGTAGACGGCCAACTTCCATCTGGACAGGATCGCGAACGTTTTCCAAGTAAGCAACAAACTCATCAGGACAGGCAGCTTGTGGGGCTCTGCCAGGTGATGTAGGGACAGAATGTCTTGGCAGAGTTCCTGATGATCTTGGGATATGAATCGAGTTGGGTCGGCTGTCTGGCTTTTGTTTCTTCGCAGTGCCATCACTTCTGGTCAGTGTGAAAGTCTTACTTCTCGATCTTGACCGTTTTGTGAGGTCCTCCTTTATATCCTCTTCGCCGGATTCGACCGCCAGTTGCTGAACAGGCTCGTCATGGAAGAATGGAAGCCGAGATTCTGGTTTAGTAGGGCTAAGAGCGCCCTTGTCTTGTCTGACGAAGTCGGCCTTGACACGAAGTGTCAGGGTACGCATCTTCTGTCGCATGTTTTCTGGAATGTTGCGTGAGTCNNCTGTGGAAACAGGGGTTAGCAGAATGAAACACACAAGTCGGAAGAGAAATTGATTTACCAGTACGGCCTCGAAAGCGGCATCAACAGTCTTGGGATCCAGCTTGGGTTCCTCCCTTGTAGTCACACTTTCTCTGGCTTTTTCGTCAAAGGCGGCAACAGCAGCCATGACCCTTGGACCGCGCTTGGGAATGTTTGCTAAAGATTTCGGCGCAGGACGTTCGTTACTGCTAGAGCTCACTTTGCGATCGAACGAGTGTTTGCCCTCTTCGAAGCTTCCGCGACTGCCACGCGAATAGGTACTTCCACGTGAGTCTATCTGGGCACGGTCTCGATCACGACTGATAGGGCGATTGAGGATATCAAGAAAGGATGTCGAGCCAGGCATTACCAGACTCTTGGGACGTCCAGACGAGGAGGGTCTCGTGAGAGCAGGCTGCCCATAGGCGGAAAAGTCGCGTTGTTTGGACGGAGTGTAATCCCTGGGAGTGTAGCGATCGATCTCTGCATCGAGCTGTTGAGGGGCGGGCGGGTTCTGGGGCCAGACAGAGGTTGTAGTGGGCTCTATGGCCGAGGGCGGCGGGCTTTGGTTCTCCTTGTCATGGACTGTGTCGCTGAGGTCCTTGGACGAGCGGTTCATCTTCCCAAATAAGCCGCGGAGGCTGGTCGAGGACTTGGTCTTCTTCATGCTCTTGCGCGTGTCGCGGTTGTCCTGGTCGTTTGTGGCACGCTGGCTCTGCTTCTCCTTGTCTCTTTCCTTTCGACTCTTCTTCTCTTTGTCCTTTTCCTTGTCTCTGCCCAGGGAGCGTAACGACACGGTGCTCTTGGAACGCTTGTGTGGTGGAGCATTCTCCTTCTTGGCCTGTCTGCCAGAACGACCATCCTCGGCGGATTGGCTGATGGAGTGAGGGTGGTCGGGAGGCAGTAGAGGAACCATGTGTGTGGTCGTGGCGGTGTTGGAGGCGACTCGACCGAGGTCCTNTGACTTTGATCGTCTGTGTTCTTTGGGCAGGATTGACTTCAGCATCTTGATGGTCGACGAGGGTGCTGCTTGGTAGGGATGGTGGTCGACGCCAGCTTGCCCATTGACTCTCTCATCCATGTACTGCTTGCTTGAAGACGACTGTGAGAGCTTGAATCAAGAGAGCGCTGAGAATTGCATTGTTGGCACAACATTTCCCCGCCGTGCTGAGCGACTTGCCTTGTTGATGTTTCTGGCGTTGCCAGGCAACCCGCTCTTATCAGCCTCGTCCCGGCTCGTCCCCACACTTTCATCTGCTATCCGCATGCCGCCTTCCGTCCTTCGACGCCATACTCTATCGCCCTTCTAACCTCATGCAGGAACGTTGGTTTTGATCAATATTGTTTGTCTTGCATTGGACCTGGCTATCGTCTAACCGCTATAGCTCAAGCTTCACTCTGCCTCAGCCCGCCGCTTGTGCACTCTGTTCCTCGAATGCTTTGCGATATTGTGCCGCCGCTTCGCCCAGTGCCTTGATCGTGGGCTGAACCATTTCCTCCACCGCCTGCTTCCNCCCGCCTAGCCTTTCCAACTCTATCTCGATCCGTCGTCGCTTCGTCGATCTGGGGTTCAGTGTTGATATCTGCTTCTGAAGACTCTCTGCTTCTTGCAGCTTTTCCTTCTCTGCCTGATCTGACACCATCCTGATGCGGTCGACTGATCGATCCAGAGTCTCTACCAGCTTGGCGACCTCGTTGCTCTTTGATCCATCACCAGACAAGAAGAGGGTCCAGAAGTAGTGCAGAAACTCTACTGTCGTGTTGTGTGTGAGACTCAACGTGTCAAACGTGGCCTGCGATAGACCTCTTCTTGATGATACATCGGCTGATGCTGCCACTCTGCGTCTGCTGATCGAGGCCAGCATCTCTTGAGTGGACTGTGTAAGTGCAGCTTTGCTTCCGATCCTTGCTCTTTTGCTCGGTCGGCTCTCGTCGTCCGAGTCCTCGCTGTCAGACTGGATACCAATCACCTTGCCGAGGCTGATACTAGTTGCGGAAGCCATCTCTGTATGCAACAGCTGGAGCACCTTTTCAGGCGATTGCTTGGCATATAACTGTGCTTCCGCTGACAGTCCATTTTGTTGCTTACCACCCAGCAGACGTTGCTGATCTTTGATGTTTAAGACAACACGATTGTCTCCAGCCTCAGTCTGGAGATCTCGGAGTCGTAGTTCGTTGAATGCATCCTCGCTCATACCAATGGGTGCATGCGCTCCTCCATCTGTTGGCACCACTTGAGCCATCATCTTCTCGGACAGATTGTTGAGAATTCTCAAGATCGGCACTTTTTCAGGCCGCATGGTTTCGTCGGGTCTGTTTCCTTGACGTTGGCTGTGATTCTGCTCATTGCCCTCGAGATCAATGAAGTGCGGAACGTAGCCCATGTTGGATGGTCCCTTTTCTTGGTAGCCCAAGTACTTGTCGAACATGGGATCTGGTGGATCTGCGTCTGTGATCTTCTCGCCTTTTAGCTTCTTTAGTAATCGGCTCATAAAAAATCGAGACCAGAATGTATTGCTATCGGTTGGAGGGACGTTTTCGTTGTAGGCTTGTCTGACAATAGGATATTGCTTGAAAATCAGTTTGATCTGGGCGCCTGCCAGACTAAGCGTCAAAGAGTCGGCTTCGCCTTCCTTTTCGGCGGCGACTCGCGTGAATTTGATTTCGGGTAACACATTGTAATCGCCCTGGTTCTGAGCCTTCTCGATAGCATGAGCGCGTAGCAGATGCAGACGTGTAGACCAGAACTGTGTCGAGAACTGGGTAATGGTTATGGTTTCTGGTCTGTCTCTCAAACTTTCATTGAATCGTTGTCTCAAGGCCGGATTTGCTTCCAGGAGAGATCTTTGTAGCTCAATGTCGGTAATGAGATGGGCATCATCATACCAGCTTTCGTTTGTCTTGACGGTAGAAGAGGCGGCTTGAGCCATGGCCATGGCTGCTGAAGGAGCCGATGCATCTTGGGCTGGTGCGGGTGTTGGCGCAGGTCTTGTTGGCTCGGCGGATTTTATGGCGGCGATGGCATTTCGTAAGATGTCGGTGATTGCTTCTTGCTCTGATCGTGCTACGGCGGAGGTAAAAGAAAAGACATGGTTCTCCGGCGCGGAGGCTCCTGCTGGCGAAACGACAACTTTCAATGCGACCTTTGGGTTGCTCGCGGGCGTTTGTTGGAGATNCTAGCACACATGGTCAGTCTTGTCAAACAGGCTTGTGAAGACAGGAATAGACTGACTTGTTATTTCCTTGATGGCGATGGTTAGCGATGGCGGAGAAGATGGTGGTTCAGAGGGAGTCCAGAATAAAGACGTGCGGTCTGCGCTGACCGACAGCGTGCCATTGCGCTTCTTGTACGCGGTAGGGGCCGACGACATGTTGCACGCGCCGACGTCGACGGCAAAGGAAGATAAGATAGAAGGTTCGTCGTTGACTGTTTGTTAGAGCCGAAGACCTTCACATGCAAGTCGAATGTACAGAGCATGGTCGTCATCGCTCGGAATGGAAGGTATACCGATTCGTGCCCTAACTTCTCGCAGCAGACGCGTCCTCGGTCTTCGTCGAGAGCACGCAACCACTTTCCTCTCAAATCCCTTTTGTGACTCACCTATCTGCCGTAACATTTCATAGGGTTACTGTCACCCTTGGTGAGGTATTCTGCACAATCGAGGACACTTGTTTCCTGCAACTACTCTAAGAACCTAAGAGTTCAACTAACCCCTCCATCACCTCACTTACAGTTCCCTCCATCAGTCACCAAATCGCGCACCATTATCATGTCTGCAGACAAGAAGATCAACGTGGGTGTTATCGGCTATGGTTTGAGTGCAAAGGTCTTCCATATTCCGTTCATCCAGGCTCTTCCAGACTATAACTTGTATGCTATTGTACAGCGTAGTCCAAAGTCAGGCGATGACGCCTCGGCCGACCATCCCGAGACCAAGCTGTTTCGCAGTGCCGACGACTTGTTCGCTGACAAGGCCGTGGATCTGGTAGTTGTCACCAGTATTCCGGAAACGCACTACGACTTTACGAAGAAGGCAATCGAGAGCGGCAAGCACGTCGTCGTCGAGAAGCCATTCGTTCCCACATCCGAGGAGGCCAGGGAACTGACCAAGCTGGCCAAGGAGAACAAGCGCTTGCTAGCAGTCTACCAGAACAGACGGTGGGATCAGGATTTTGTTACTTTGAAGCAGATACTGGCTTCGGGAAAGCTGGGCGAGATTGCCGAGTTTGAGACGCACTTCGACCGCTTCCGTCCCGACCCTCCTACTCGCACTACATGGAAGACCCTGGCTACTCCAGCCAGTGGCGCGCTCTACGATCTTGGAAGTCATCTAATCGATCAAGTCTACCACCTCTTTGGCGCCCCAAAATCTGTCACTGGCTTCGTTCAAGTGCAACGAAAGGGACTCAAGACTGGTGACTGCGCACCAGACGCATGTACGGTGTTGCTCAAATACGGATCTCCCAAGGATGAGATGCTCGTCACCGTCAAGAGCTCTGCCGTCAGCCCAGAGCAAGACCAGCTGAGATTCTGGGTGCGTGGAACCAAGGGCTCGTTCAAGAAGTACAACCTGGACGTGCAAGAACCTCAGCTTCTCGCTGGTGTTAAGCTTAGCAATTCTGAGTTTGGAGTTGAGCCAACATCCTCTCATGGTACGCTTACAGTGGCTGCTGCCGATGGAAAGTACAACCGGGAAACTGTGCCTTCCATAGAGCCACCGCCTACTTATGCCGAGTACTACCGTGTCCTTGCCAAAGCATTGAAGGGTGAGGGTGAGGTTCCCGTTAGCGGAGATGATGCTGCGGATGTGCTCAAGATCATTGAGCTCGCTCAGGCCTCATCGGACAGTGGAAACTCGCAATCATGGTAATTACATAGTCGAACATCGAGAGAATGTATTGTATGTGAACACAAACATGTCCTTCCGTAAAATGAACCTCTTGTGATGGGCCTCTTATAGGACAATGCTTTTGTTTATACCTAAGGTCGGTTCGAGACAAAAAGGATGGATGCCTGACTTCGACGAATGTCAGATATCAAAATCCTAACTTTATCATGATGATTGAGCTTGACGTGCACCATATTACCTTCCAGGATTGGTATCAAGGAATCGATTATGACAACTCAGGAAGGTCTACGGTGTCCAAGAGAGCATTGTTGCATGGCAGTTGACAGTATTCTGGATTTTGAGTTTCAGAACCAATGTCGTGGGGACAACCCTGACAGGACGACCTCACCGCATCTCGAGAAAGCGTTTCAGCTTTCCCCTTTTCCAACTCAAAACAAAGAGCAGAAAGCAGAGCACAACTTCAATCTTCTCAACATCCGATCAAAAACTCTACCAGTCCAAGAATGAGACATCGTCCTTATCCTCGGCCGACCAAGCCCCTTATGAACAGGGCGAGGAAGAAGCCCCGTCGATTGCCACTCGTCTTGAGATTTATCAAAGGCTCAATTCACAGCGACATCTTGGTGCCAGTGATCATTCACGCGCTGTTTGCGGCCTTGATTGTATATGTTGACGATTTTACACCCTACACGCCACACCTTCCTGGCAGCATCACATCTTCTCTATCTATTGTCGTTGGCTTGCTACTGGTGTTTCGCAACCAGAGCTCATACGCTCGATTCTGGAGTGGACAGCAAGAACTCACAACCATCTGCACAAACATTCGCAATCTGACTCGGTCATTCTTGACTTCCTCATACTCTGCNAAAGGTCCCGAGCCTACGGCAGCCGAGCGAGCGGAGACCGAGACTGCCGTTCACACCCTATTGGCGATCATCTACGCGGTCAAGAACACGCTCCAATGGGAGTGGGAACACAGTGTAGGAGCACCAGACCTCGAAGACAGCGGATCCGGATTCTTAAAGCCTGAGCTGAGAGAGCTTCTAGGGCCCAGGATGTCTCAGACCTATGAATTCGAGGGCCTTGGTCTTCCTATCCAACTCACCATGTCCATCGAAGCATATATCAAGCGCTCCCACGATCGAGGATGGTTCCACAGTCCGCAGGCATCTCAGCTCTCGGTGCAGCTAAATTCGTTGGTGGCAGCATTCGGTACTATGGAGACAATTCGCTTGACGCCTATCCCGGTTGCCTATCTCATCCACACCAGACAAGTGTTGGCGCTTTATGGAGGCGTGCTGCCGTTTGCTTTCGTCGAGAGTCTGCAGTGGTGGACTATCGTGATAGTCTCCCTCGTAACCTTCACCCTATATGGCATAGAAGCCATTGCGTATCAGCTCGAAGAACCGTTCGGATGGGACAAGGCAGACATCAAAATGGATGACGTTGTCGAGGATCTGAGGATAGAAGTCGTGGTTTTGTTGAGAGAGTGGCAAGCGAATTCCCCAATGTTTGGGTGTCAGTAGAGCTCAGCGTTCTTCTCGTTGACAACGCCGTGTGATGTGTCTGTGTGTAACAGGCCATCCTGGTCGAGGGTCTAATATCTCGAGCAGCAGCAATAGAATATAGAAACATGTAGATGAATCTTTTCAGAGTGGCGCTTCCACACTCGAGAGGACCGACTCAATGGCATCCTCGACAGTGACACCCTTCAAGACTTGCTCAACTGCACGAAAGTCGCTTCCCCATTGCATGCTCCTTTCGGTGTTTGGAGTTGCCAAAATTAGGCGATGTGCATACACCTTTCTTGCTGCCAAAGCAACCAACGAGGGAGGAACGTATTTGAGGCCATGCAGAGGGGCAAGAGCATAGACAATGGCTCGAAAGTGTCGGGTAGCATAGGCAGAGATACCTCCTGCAACGAAGCGGTTCAAACGCATGAAGATGACAATGTTGTGAAGGTATGCAGCCACTTCAGCGTTCACTTGAACATTCGTGACTGCAGCACGCAAGTCCTGGATCTCGTCAGGCGTGACTGAAGGGTGTTCAGAAAGAGCTTCTTCATTGGAAAAAGTATGCTTGACGACTGATGAGATGGAGGCAGCATCGTCAGAGTTTGGTAATTCTTTGAGTTCTTGTTCTTCAAGGTTCGGAAAGCCATCATCTTCGGTGTGGTGATGTGAAATGGCAAACATGTCGTTCTGCAGATGCTTGGTCAGCGAGCAGGATTCTGTAACAGCATCAAGTCATACTTACAANNGATGGAAACCGAGCTTAGACTTTGACTCTGATGCTTGTAGGGCGACGAAGAGAAAGTGCTTAGACGTACTGTGCATAGCGGTATGACTGAACAGTCTCTTGGTGCGCATGANGCTGCAAGGATGTCAAGATGAGATAGTACCTTACGAACGGGATGACTTGAGTACCTCTAAAGCTTGAGTCTGAACATTGCTGCTTGCCATGTTGAGATCTTTTGCGATGATGATGTCGGCGACTTTCCGCTCATCAAGTTCATTGCTCGTGCCGGACTGATTGCGGGAAGAGGTGTGTCTGGAAGTGGTGGGCTTGAAAGAGGGAAGAGAAAGGTGAGCAGAAGACACAACCCGATCATCGGATGCGTCTGGGGCATCGACCAGAACAGACTCCTTGAAGTCATCGAGAGTAGTCGTGGCTGAACAGTTGACCAAGGCACACGAGAGACCGAAGACATTGGCAGCAATNNCTTGATCTGGTCAGTCTGAGGTCACCAGATAGAAACAAGATAAACGGACTAGCTGGAGTTCCTGGGCGAGGCTGTCGAGTAAAAGATTATGAGTTGATATTATACAGTGTTGCTGGGCTACTAAACAGAGCAAGACGGCCAACTCTAGATCACCCAAAGCCTGGATTTTGACTGCGGTTGAGTCCATGTCGAGCAGTGGCACTTTCCAAGGATCAGACAGGTAGATCACAAGTCAAAGACATCCGATGGGAAGGGGCGATGATGACTTGTGTATGGTCGAGTGAGGCCTTTCCGGGGAAGCAATTAGCCATTGACGCACAGACCAGCAGCTACGCAATGGGCCCGATGCGCAAGCGACGACGACCCCGAAGGGCAGGCATGAACTGCTGCTGAAATGTCGAAGGCCACGGCGGACTGGGAAAGAGTCGGCGATCGCTTCTACCGCAAGACGCAGCTGTACACGTCCGTCTTCGACCCGGAGCTGGAACTCGAGAACCATGTGCTCGTCGGCGCTCCACTGGCCGGCGCCGTACGTAGACACGACAGCGACGACGACTTGGACTGCGCTGACAGTGCCGCATAGATAGCAATCTACCGCGACGACTCCAAACTATACGCCTACCGTACCACCCATGCTGCTCGTCCTTCCATCGACCTCTACACATGCTCGGGCAAGCTCATCCACCGCATCAACTGGGACAAGGGCGCAATCCAGGGCTGCGGCTGGTCTGAAGACGAGAGACTGGTTGTCGTCACAAACGATGGCACCGTCAGGATATACCACGGCCTCAGCGGCGACTTCATCCCCTTCAGCCTAGGTCACGGCGCCGACGAGCATGGCGTCGTCTCGTGCCGCTTCTGGTCCTCAGGCTTCGTTGCTCTCCTTGGGAACAACCAATTGGTCTGTGTCTCACGCTACGACGAACCACGTCCGACCCTCCTGGCCACTCCTCCCGACGGCGAAATCTTGTCGTGGGCTGTCATTCCTCCGGCCTTTACTTTGTCTCGCTCTGTCGAAGCCATCCTAGCCATTGACGATACCATTGTCATCGTCGATGCATCTGAGGCCCAGGATCGCAAGCTACAGAACGGCCCTTTCAAGCTCGTCTCAGTCGCTCCCAATGCTAAATTCATTGCTCTCTATACCCAAGATGGCAAGGTCTGGGTCATCAGCAGCGACTTCGAAAATCGTCTGACCGAATACGACTCGCGTGTCAAGACCCCGCCAAAGGACCTGCAATGGTGTGGCAACAATGCCGTTGTGCTGGCTTGGGAAGACGAGGTACATTTGGTTGGCCCGAACGGCGCTGCTTCCAAGCACTACTACGACTCCTGGGTCCATCTGTCACCCGACATTGACGGCATCCGCATCTTCACCAGTGATGTCTGCGAATTCATTCAGAAAGTGCCAGAGGTTTCCGAGGACACGTTTAGACTAGGCTCTACGTCACCTGCATCAGTCTTGCTTGATGCAGCCGAGCAACTCGACAAAAAGTCTCCCAAAGCCGACGAGAACATCCAACTCATTCGGCCAAACTTGGACGAAGCTGTCGACACCTGTATCAGCGCAGCTGGCCATGAGTTCAGCGTCCATTGGCAGAAACAGCTTCTGAAGGCTGCCTCGTTTGGTAAATCAGTGCTTGACCTATACAACAGCGATGAATTCGTCGACATGTGCGAGACGTTACGCGTCTTGAATGCTGTCCGCTTCTTTGAGATCGGCCTGCCTCTCAGTTTCGATCAATATACCCGCCTGACGCCTGCAAATCTAGTTCAGAGATTGATCTATCGTAAGGAGTATTTGCTTGCTATCAAGATTTCTGAGCACCTCGACTTGCCACTCGACAAGATCTATGTACACTGGGCACGCCAGAAGGTGCGTAGCTCCACGAGTGACGAGGAAGACATCTGTGCCGAGATCGTAGAAAGATTGCAAGGCAAGCGAGGTATCTCATTCGAGGAGATTGCACAGACAGCGTACGAAGAAGGTCGTGGTAAGCTTGCAACAGAACTGCTCGAACACGAACCACGAGCCGGCAAGCAAGTACCGCTTCTGCTCAATGTAGAGGAGGATTCACTTGCCTTGGACAAGGCCATCGAGAGCGGAGACACCGATCTGGTGTACCATGTGCTGCTGCATCTGAAAAAGAAGCTGCCACTTGCCACATTCTTCCGCACGATTAATGGTCGGCCCGTTGCGACTGCACTTGTCGAAGCGTCAGCGTGGGACCAAGACCAGGAACTGCTCAAAGACTTGTTCTACCAAGATGACCGAAGACTTGACAGTTCGAATCTATTGCTGTCGGATTCACTCAATGCCGCGGATGCAAATGCTCGTAGCGACAAACTCAAAATGGCTGCAAAGATCCTTCAAGAGTCAAAAGACCAATCGATACAAGTACGGGCCATCGACGAAGAGCAGAAGCTACTCAAGCTTCAAGATACGTTCAAGCGAGATCTCGACGAAGACTTTAGCGGCCTTAGTATCAATGAGACGATATACAAGCTCATCCGATTGGGCAACGTGAAGAGAGGTCAAAAGATTCAATCCGAGTTCAAGGTTTCGGATAAGGTGTACTGGTGGATACGCCTGCGCGCACTCATCTCACGTCGTGACTGGCGCGAGCTTGAGGACCTGTCAAAAACTCGCAAGAGCCCTATCGGCTGGGAGGTAAGTTTTCGTCTTCTCTCTGATTATTGCAAGCACTAATCATGTCTTAGNCCGTTCATCAATGAAATATTATCTGCTGGTAACCCAAAGCTGGCGTCTCTGTTCATACCCAAATGCACGAGTCTGACAGTAGAGGAACGTGTGGAGTTGTGGACGAAATGTGGACTGATAGTACGCGCAGCCGAGGAAGCGGCCAAGGCTCGCAATCTCAGGTTGCTCGAGTCGCTTCGTGAGAAGGCTACAGGTCAGGCAGCCACAGACGTTGAGAGGCTGATTCAGCAGGTGTCGAAGAAATAGATAGAGCTATTTGTAATTCATGCACATACTCATGGGCCAACATGAAGTTCGTTGACGAACGCTATGCAATGTGTGCTCCCTCCTCGATACTCACCACTCTTTTCTCCACCACAATGCTGCGAATCATAAACATCATCGTATCGTTATGCTTCTGAACTGCTATGCTGCACTGCTTTTTCCTCAAGTATAGATCTCCTCCGTCATGGCGTTGAGTGTAAGACCTTCCTTCGCAATGTCTTCCTCTTTTAGGAAGAGCAGTGGCATCTCGACCAGGGTACCACGAATCTGGCTCAACACGTCCTTGACCTCTGCCACGCCACCAGGGAACTCTTCTGCCACGACATGACCCAGCTTCCACTGGCTAGGCTTTGACGCGTCCTTGCCCTTCTCTTCCTTGGCGTCCTTACCGGTAGGGAAAAACCTCGAGAAGTAGTCATCATACTGTTTCCAGTTACGCACCTTGTCCGAGGGTACTGGATGGAAGACGCGCTCAAATGCCTCGGTGTTTGTGCGAGCCGTGCCGTTCCACAAAGATGAAAAGTCAGAGCTCAAGGGATCGATGACAGCCTCGTCTTCACGGCTTCCCCAGTCGTATGCATTAGGTACACCGATAGGCTCGAAGTTTCGATCGGGTCTGCTGACATCCTGTGGCGGTAACAGTCCGAGGTGTTTACGAAAGATTTGGCGACGAAGACCGGCTGCGAACTCGGTTGCTCTCCAGGGACGACCGGCCATGTACGAGTCGACTTCGCGAGGGTCTTCGATGCAGATTGCAATCTCGCTGTCGTGGTCGCCAAGTTGGCTGCGGTCGTTGAGGTTGGCTGAACCGCAGATGACGACGCGGTCGTCAGCGATCAAGAGCTTGCTGTGTACGTAGAGTAGCTCGGACACGAATGCGTCCATCTCGTCGGTAGTACCATCTTCCCATGGCACGTTACGGATGTCTTCGCCGTTGAGCATGTAACACGACGCAACCGAGTCCCAGCGTCCGCTACCAAGGCCTGAATGGTTGCCCATATTTTGAGTAGCTTGCTGATAACGCTGGAAGCGGTTGTACTGTCCGCCTTGCTCTTCGTAAGCGGCTCCATCGTTTTGCTGATACTGGTTGTTGTAGGCACCCTCCTGAGCATACTGATCGCTCTGGCCACCATAACGTTGATCGTAATCTTGTCTTGCATCGTCGTAGCTCACACCACTTTGCTGTTCTGCCTCACGCATGGCTCCACTCGAGTTGATGCGATCGTAGTTCCTGAGATTGTAGAAGCGAATGTATTGCAAGGGATCAATGCCTTCTCTCGCAATACTCTCCATGATGCTGTGACCGCCTCTATTGATGCTGTCGTACTGGAGCTCCAAGATCTCTCTCGTGCCCAGTGCTTCGTCACTCTTCAGGTCACCAGCAAAAGCAGGAATAGCCGGCATGATGACAATGACCTGATAAGATTCTCCCTCGCGTGCTGCGCGGACAATGCGTTCGACTATAGCAGCACCAATCTGGTTCTTGATCGGACGTTGAGAGTCACCAGTCGCCGTGATAAAGAACTGGTTTTCAATGTAGATGAAGTGGTGACTGTTTCGGATAACCTCAATATAGGCATTTTGGATCGAGTGTTCAGTTCTGGTACCGTGAGACCATTTAGAACAGGATCTCATGATCTGGCAAGGCATCCCGGGTGGCGGTGGTGGCGGGTGATCGCTGGTAGGGAAGTGGTGTCTGACTTGCTCCCTGAAGCCTTCCATTCGCTCACGACTCTCTTCCCAGCGTTCCATCATGCGTTCGCGCATGTGTTCTGGTAGTGGAGCACCAGGACCTGAAGGGTACTCGTGATGGACAACTCCGATTCTTGATTCTGAAACATGGAGAGGCGCATATCTGTCATCGCTGTTCTTAGAGCTGTACTTCTCTCGGTAGATGAAGTTCCAACGCTCGGCGAAGTGTTTACGGAGATCTTCCACAACAGGTCCCATAAGAGAGATGGACAAATCAGACCAACCCATGCGCGAGTTGTAGCGGCGATCGAGTTTGTTTTGGTCCCAATGTGCGACGTCACTAAAGTCCAGGATACGTGCATTGTTGTAGTCCTGTCCTGGAAAGACGATCTGGTTCAAGTCACCAGGGTGAGCGTCGGCGATCGAGTGTTGATTAGTATCCCAACGACCATAGCACAAATCCAAACCTCCCATGAACGCTATATGGCTGTCGATGAGGCACAGCTTTTCGTGATGTGCCCAGCTNNACCCCCTGTTAATAGAATCCCACTTTCCCGTTTGGAGAACTTACTAGAGCACAGTATCTTCGTTCATACCATAGATGGATTTGATAGCACCACCAGGTAGCTTGGTGAGATTCGCGGCGGTCATTTTCATTCCTTGTATAGATGATAGGAAAGACGAAGTCAGGACCTGTGTGTCCGGAAGATGATCGGGATGACGGAACACGCGAATATTGGGGTGTAGTTTTTCAAGAGCATGCTTGGTATGTGCTGAAGAGACTGTAATAGGGGGATTGATTAGTGGGTTAGTCTCTTCGAGGATTTCCAATGATTTGAAAGTTACGTCCATTCCAAACCGAACCAGAGCCGAAGAGACGCGGTCGACCGAGCGTGGGAGGAGTGAATGTAAGAAATCTGGTACAACGGGATTCAGGCACTTACGTGTCAAGGCTTGAGTGACTTCCTTGTAGATGAGTACGTTGACCTGNNAATTTATTAGCACGGTGTATCAGGAATAGGAATAGGAATAGGCGAGCGAAGAGAACGAGGCAACGATACTCACTTGAACACCCCTTTCGGCTGCAGCTTGCAGCATACGGTCAACACGATATTGCTCGTTTTGAGCGGGGGGACGTCTGAGGTACAGCTCTGGCGATAACCACCAGTCCATGATCCAGATCGACTCGCGAGCTCGTTCAAGTGCCATGCTTACAGCATGCATGTATCCAGCACCGTCGACATACCACTTGACTTCGTTTCCGATCCTGTGTGGTGCAAAGCTCTGGAAGCGATGCGTGTCATGAACCTCGTCGGAGCCCTCCTGACCATATTGCTCGTTTGCGCCTGCACTCTGATTCTGACCGTGGTCGGAGAACTTGTCTTTGAGGTCATTGCCAATTTCATGCACTGCTTTGTGCACTTTGTCGAATAGGAAAGCCATTGTCGATCGATGGTCAGGCTTGGTCGAGTTTGTGGGAAGTTCAAGTTGTGATGTTACAGCTCCTGGAAAGAGGCGAGCCTGCCAAGATTTATGTACGTCGTCACTCAGACCGCCTTTATGGCCATCTGCATTTATCGTGCTCCTGAATTCAAGTTTCGATAGTTTGTCACAGTTCTGGACCTACCCTTACTCTCTTCGAGATCGATAGCACTCACCATGCTGACCTCTGTGTAGAGAACAAATCTTGATCAAGCAGGAGATAGCTGACGAACACTGAACAACTCGTCATAGTAAACACACGCCTTTTCATGGGTCAAGCTTCTTTTCAGAGGTACTTTTGTCACAACTACAGCGACTGATCCCGTGGGAAGAGAGGAGGCAGAGGTATTGTAATAGCTCCCACACATGAACACATCGATTCTTCGGGATTGGTATCAGAATTGAGTCCTGTCAGTTGAACCTTGTCACAGCTCCATGTCGGTGTTTTCGGACTTAAGAACACCAGATCAGATAAGAGGTGGTGGCCAAGCACAAATCGGTGGAGCAGTTGTTGAATGAAGACTCGATCTCAAGATTCATTTTAGAAGCCGAGTGGACCGTCGAGGATCTCGCACTTTCTCATCATTGTTCTTATCATCCATGTCTGCTCAGTAAAAGCATAATTCTCTGTCTGCCGGAGAAGCACAAGTATCGGCTTTATCACTTATCAATCTGCCCCGCATCAATGACAACAACGATCGAGTGTTTGCTCGAATCAAGGTGAAGGTCACAGTGACGCAGCGAGATGCAGACCCGAGACATGTCCGTCGAGCTTCAAAAGCTGCTGGTGAGCTTCCCATTCGAGACCTCGGGAGCCCAACGTCTGTTTACCGCAACCGAAGTACTTAAACCATCATGCTCCCGCTATCAGCCAGACTTGCATCCCGTGCAACCCCTCGCGCTTCAGCATTCTTCCGTTCATCCGGAATCCTAGCTCAGCAGTCTCTCCGTGCCAAAGCTACAGCTTCCACCAAGACCAAGATGTCGGCCTCTGGAACTTCTTCAGGTCACCCTATTGCTACTCTCGATGTATGCTTAGCTGTGTGAATCCTTGTGCAGACCTCCATTGACATGATATGCTTANNGACCTCGATTGTACCTCGCCTCCCATCCTCGTCACCTACTCTGTTCGAGGCCAAAAAGAACAAGAACCTCTCCTTCGAAACCATCGCCAAGGCCCTTGGACGTGAGGAAGTCGCTGTTGCAGCTCTCTTCTATGGACAAGCCAAAGCCTCTCCAGAGGATATTAAAAACCTAGCCAAGGTCCTCGAGCTCGACGAGTCGTTGCTCGAGGCACAGCTCTCTGGCTACCCGGATCGCGGCCGCCAGATGGAGATGCCACCAAGAGAGCCTTTGGTTTACAGACTTTACGAAATCGTTCAGAACTACGGCTATGCATACAAGGCAATCCTGAACGAGAAATTCGGTGATGGTATCATGAGTGCCATCAGCTTCAGTACCAAGGTAGAGAAGGAAACTGATGAGAAGGGTGAATGGGCTGTCATTACACTCAGGGGAAAGTGGTGAGTTCGGAATCTGATGTTGTGGCAACGACCTTTGCTAACCCACTCGATCCAGGCTACCTTACTCAAGATTCTAAACAGATCTTACTCTCCTAGATACGAATTGAACGATACCATCTATTCTGCCCTCGGCGGTCCTATGTTCGACCATGTGAACCAAAAGCATTGACCGCCAAAGTCCCGACTATGCGGCTCGTCGAATTGCGGAAGACGTGAGAAGCTCACGGAGCATGTGTTGGTGTCGATGTTGTAACGACACACTCTCACTCACTGAACGAGCTTACCACCTCTCTTCTCATCGTTCCTCGTCCCCCTATTGACTTGCATCCATTTTCTACTGAGACTTCCTTCAGTACTACATCAACACTACGAGGTACAGCAGAGAGCAGACATCTGGAGCATGGAAATACTGATCTGTGGCAGTCAAAATGGGCAACTCTACTTCAAAGACTACAGTCTGCAGTCCTAACAACTCTGGCTCATCTCCCGACATGGACATCCAAACTCCTACGCAGACGAGCTTCCATCGTAGTCCTGGCCTTCACGATCTCTCAGCTTTTAACCCTCAACACAATTCCCACGGCGCAAACAACATCACGGTCGGGTCTTTCGCTGGCCGTGGATCTGAATCAGGCATCACACATCCAACGCCAGCAAGACCTCTCATCCGCCGCTACTCGGAGCTCCTCGACCCGGACCAACTCGACCATCAGCAAGTCAGGAGCCCCAGCGGTAACATGCTTACTAGCAGTACCTACAACCTCAGGGACGATCGTCCATTGAGCGTTCGCGAAAGACAAGACAGAATCCGTCAGCAGATGTTGCAGAAGAGAAAGGAGCAGGAGATGGCTCGTGGTAATGGACGCAAGAAAGACCCGGCAAAGGTCTCTGTGAGAAGTGCATCAACCGGAAAGAACAAGAGGCGCAAGGGATGCCTTGGCTGTTTTGGTATCTGACGCAAACCCCTGTTTGGCATCGTTACCTCCTTGATTAGCACAAGGACTTGTCAGTCGCTCATGCTTGCTGAGGTAATAGTGCACATATCATCATCATCTCTGGTTTTGCTTAGAGATCATACTGTTCACCTCCCCCAATACTACACATTGGTTGTTTATCAATCACCTACTAGTGCGACAGCGGGAACATTATCACTCGGAGGAATGACCCCTTCGGCAACCATCACTTGGTATACTAGCAAACAAGTTGACAATTAGGAACAAGGCATCCCCACGTCATTACCACTCGCTGTGCCACTCGCACTTGCCTAATTCATCAAGAACATCCACAAGTCATCGAGAAGTCTTGCTGCCTGGCACTCCCCGTCACTTCCTCACAAAGTCGTAAATAGCTTTTAGACTGCCGCAGCCTCTTCGAAAGCTCTTTCCCTTCGAGTTAGCCCGCTTCTGTTGATACTCCGGCCATACTCACTTCTGATATTCTTTCACCTTCCTTCAGTATTGCTCCGACCTTACTCCCACCTTTCACATCAATCCCGATCCTCTACTTTAACTCGGTTTCTACCTCCCACCCGCTTGCTATCTTCTACTTCCTTCAACAACACTTGACCTCTCACACTCAACACTCGGCCTTCTTGCTTTCGTCTTCAGTTGTCGCGGATATTCGCTCTACCATCTGAACATCAACAACATAGCCGACTTTCAACATCACCATCCAAAACCATGGCAGTACGACTGACCCCACTCAAGGCGTTCAAGTGTAGCTACGATGATTGCTTCCACTCTTTTGATACGGAACTCGAGATGAAAGCTCACCTCAAGGACAAGAAAATCCACCCCTACTACTGTGGCAAGGATCCTGGCCACGAAAGAATCCAAAGAGGCTTTGTGAAGTGTGACTTTCATGGCAAGACCTTGGACGAGCTCATTGCACACAAGGTCGAGACCATGCTTCCATGGATTGTGGGCGAGCGCATGTCCGAGAAACCGAAGAAGCTAAACCATATCGTTTGTGAGTTCTGTGGCGAAGATTTTGGTAGTCTCGCTGGCAGGGAGATCCATTGCAAGAGGGTACGTTGGTGAAGACAGTCGGGAAAGTTCAGAAAACCTTGACTGACCGATGATGACAGNATGCATCAAGCCGATCAACACGTCGTCTGCAAAGGCTATCTGATCGTTCGTGACGAGGATGGCAATGACCACCGTGAAGGATGCGGCTCCATCTTCGGCCGCGCCAGTCAACTCATCAGCCACATCGAGGGAGGATTCTGTGCATACATCAAGCCCATGGCACTCAGACAAGATCGCGAGCACAAACGTATGGTCAAACTGATCTTGGATGACCCCGAGGGCTTCAAGAGAAACATGAGGGGCAATTCCGACGCCACAATCCAGTCAACTTCCAGGGAGGTCGACGACATGAGCGGTGGAGTTGGCATCGACCTGCTCAGCCAGACCGACTACAGCCAAACCAGTGGCCAGCCACCTCTGAGCCTGCAGTTGTCCTCTACTGCCAGCCACTCCGGAGTTGAATGGCCGGAGCTGCTCAGCTCTGATATCAGTCACCTAAGCAAGTCGATGACAAATGTCTCGCTCGGCTCAACTAATAAGAGCGAATCACCCTTCGGATATGCAGCGAGCGACAGTGAAGATACCGTCATTCTTTCTAGCAATGACCCAGCCACATACAGTGATGAAGATGAAGACGACACAACACCCCATACTCCAGTCAGAGCATGGTCCACTCCCAATGTCACCCAAAAGCTCTTTGGGCACTCTAAGGCAAAGGCCATTGCAAACTGGGATGCCATCAACGCTGCCCATCAACGCAACAAGGAAGAAGACCAGGATAACAACATCTTTGTTTCACACTTCTGGGACCCTACCCACACCGACTTCAAGCCTGACTTCTTCCACTGCCCTGACGTTACCAACGACGATGCTCCATCCTACCAATGTCCTTTTGAGAGCTGCAAGAGACGATTCTTCAATCCTCAAGAGATCGGCAACCACATGCGCGAGTCACACGCTGCACAGCGTAACCTGTGTCCAGTGTGTCTGAAGGACTTCCAGAAGCTTGGCTCACTGGTCGCCCACTTCGAAGCGAGCTCTCAAGGAGCAAAGTGTGATGTCGCTCGTCGCTCGGGCTACAGCGCAGTGCTCTTCGAGCTGACCGGCGGACTCATCCAGGCCTACAAAACGTTGGAAGAGCCCGTTGCCGGCTACAAGCTGCAGCCTGGCAGTGGTCCTACTCGCCGAGCACAAAGATCCGACGAACAAGACAACCAGTGGGGATCTGCAGGAATTGGCGTCAAGGACTACGATTACAGAACCAACTCACCTACCCGTGTCCCTATTTGGAGATATTAAGGGAGCTGACAAACAGAACAAGGAGAATGATGTCTTCAAAGAAAGACCGAAAGAGGAATAGGTACAATCTTGACCTACAGCGTATTTTAGTCGACAGAATCTAAACACAGCTGCTCCCATGGGAAAACTTAGTCAAGTTCATAGCCAATCGAACGGAAATTGATTCAATGTAACTTGGCAAAGTCATTGACACGTGTGATGCTCTCGAGAACCACTGTTCGTTGAGTGACGTGAAGTCGAGGTGCTCAACAAGCATACATACCAAGCATACCAGCCCGCAGCTCAAATCAGGCCACTGCCGGCTAACATCTCTCACGTAAAGATACCTGTCAAGCATACATGATGTTCGGTGAACATCTTGCGGCTTGATCCTGTCGTTCGGGATGTGTATGCACGCTTGCATGTGCTCATCTCACGAGCCGAGCCAATCGAAGCAGCAGATACTGGCCGCGTACCACACTTAGAAGCCGTTTCGAAAGGTCGTACGAGGAGGATATCTTCGGGTCGCTCTGCTCAGGTGAGTTGTGATGATGATGCCGCTGCCGCTGCTTCTGCTGCTGTATGATCAACACAATCGAGAGGAATGTGCAGTAGGTGAACAGACTGGTTATTTGGTGCCGGGAGGAGAAGATGTATTGCTCAGCTGGTAACGACGGTCCTGAGCCCAGAAAACAAAATGACAAAACAGAAAGTCACAGACTCTGGCAGAGGTCAGTCACTCATACCTGTTCTCATCTGTACTGACCATCCAGAATCTAGTCAATACGAGCGAACTTCCAGCAGACGTTACCCTCCTGATAGCCTCTGAGCTCCAAGTAGGTCGCAACTTGATAGTAGACGTGAGAGACGGGCATCCAATCGATGGGCGTGAAGCATTCGGCAACCCTGCCCTACTCTCTCCAAACGAACATCAACACAGGGTCGATTACCAGCACAGTGGTGAGCTGAGCGGGACTAGCCATGGGGAACAAGACTAGCCCGCCAGAGAAGTTGGATAGCGCAAATTGGATTCTACCGTTGCTTGCCATGTGGCCGACTTTGCTCCAGCTCAGCTGGCGAGCTTTAGTCTTTATCTCCCTTGCATCCCATACCATGCATTTTCCTTGGATAGTGAGTATCGCGGTGATTTTCCCCTCTGGATCCGATTTGCCCTCTCATGCTCAAGACACCATCGGGCTTTGGCGGGAGGAAAACGGAAGCGAGCGGGGCCACTCTGATCTTCTGACAGGGACATGTTACCGGTGGAATGGTTCAATTGATTTCGACAAGGAAAAATTCGTTCAGCAGGTTCCAAGGGCCAACTGTCGATTGCTTCCCTTTCTTGTTTGCTCAGGCCACAATGAACGCCCGGCCTGCTTGTTGCCCAACACGTTGAGTGGAAGGTCGAAGCGCTCCAAACCCCAAGACTTTGCAGGTCAAAACAAGATCATGGAAGAGTTGATATCTGAGAATCACGATGTACGGCACGAGAGGAAGCAGGAGTGACTGCCGAAACACTTTTTGCGCGCAGACAAGAATACGACATCCGCTGTAGCCCCCGGCTCCCAAAGGGACCGTCGCGTGCGTGATGCAGCCGGCTGTGAACGAGATAAATTGGCAGGATCGGTCGTTGCATCTACCCAATCATTTGTGCAGGGCATGAACGAGCACCCCCGCATGCGTGTGATGAACAAGGCGAGAAAGCGGACGGCACACCGATACGTAAAGACAAAACAGAAAATTGTATTGGGGTATAATGCTATCTCATGGAAGTGTAATTCAGCAACATTGCGTCGAGCCGCTGTATCAAAGCAAAGGAAGGCGAGAATGTAAGTGGGATGCGCGGCGGTGCATCTAGCAGCCGCTTCCATCAATGGTATGGCTTTTGAGCCGTGATTACGTGCAGACTGTAATAAGTGTGCACGCTCATGTTGTTGAGATCCTTTCGTACCCCGGGTAGATAGAGCTCGACCTGATCCCTCGACCAGCCCAGGCCTCTTGTTAGTGGACCCATGCAGATGCCNNTATCGAACATTTTGTTATTAGATGCTGTAGCAATGATAGCACAGGAGGAGGCTTGTATACCTTGTAGACCGTCGTACAGGACAGCGTGCATATAACTGCCGACCTTCTTGAGAAGAGGGTTCTTGGGCCAGTGGCCTAGGGGCACTTTCATGATCTTCTCGGTCACATTCTGGAAGCCGGCACGTTCTATCCTGTCCTTCAAGAGCAAGGCGGCGTGCAAGTCGATGTTGTTTTTCTTCATGCCCTCGGTGACAAGGGTATGCCATCTGTAGTGGAGATTGTCTTCTGTCATGGTGCCATCGTCGCAGCTCGGCCAGTAATCAAATTCACAGAACTCGAGCCATCCGCCCGGCTTCAGATGTGTGTATGATGAGTTGAGGACGTGCTCCCAATCTTTGATGGCAACACCCATGTGTCTGGAATGGACCATGTCGAAGTGGTTCTCGGGATACAGCCACTCGCTTGCAATATCGTCGACGACAAAGCCTACGTTTGGAGGCACCCAGTCTGGCTGTATGGGACTCAGGTCTACGCCGGTGATTTGCGCAGAGGGGTATTGATCGCCCATCTCGACGCACCAAATGCCGGTGCCTGTGCCGATGTCGAGAATGCGCGTGTCTGGGGCATGTTCGGGGATGGGAGCAAAGTGTAGCTTGCCGCCACAGACAGTCAAGACGGTAGCATGTTTGATGTCCTCGCGCTCTTGTTCGGCATCGTCGTTGGGTAAGAGATAGTGGCCTTGGCGATATGCGTGGTAGCGACGGCCGTTTTCGAAATCCCAATGGCGCACAGAAGAGGTCATGGAAGTCGAGGTCGAGAAGGCCGAGTTTATACTCTCCTCGTAGCCCGAGTCGGAGTAGTTGTCGTCATCGGAAGAGCCTTGGACTTCGATGGTGTTCAAAGCCTGTTGGAAAGCTTCGCTCTGCTGTGCGGCGGTGGGCTGGTCGTAGTGCGGAGTGGGAGGTGGGGNATGATCGTTGCGGCGCGAGTCATTCGAGAGGGCGCGACGGTCCATTGGCGGAGGATCAGGACGCGAGTGGGCCGACTGATGTGCTGGGTACGAGGCTGGCATAGGAATGGGTGAATGAGACATGGCGGCGGGCAGTCGATCGGCAAAAGTGTTGTCGGTCGGCGGCGCAGGTCATGGCCCTCTGGGTGGACGGAGCGAGGGAGACGGGAGGGAAGTGGACAGGTGAGCGAGCAGGAGCAAGAAGGGGAAGAGGAGGAGCGAGAAGGGGAAGGGGAGGAGCGCAGAGGAGGAAGGAGCGTGACAGAGATGAAGCGGAGACGAGCAACAGTATATAGGGCGAGGTTGGACCCAGCAGAGCGGAAGTCTATATGCAGGCAGGAGGGCTGCACTCGAACAGAGCAGCCGCTTCCGATCAAGTGCGCTTGCGAGTTGGCGACGGCGGCGGCGGGCCCATAACCCACGCAGCAAAGTCTCCCAGCGAGCCGGTACGAGCGCGGCGGCTACCACTTGTCCGTGTGCAAGAGGGCAGCAAGAGGAGCGACTCGGACTCTGGCAATGCACTGCTTGTATCGATGCACAGGACGAAGCAGCGTGCGAGGCTTGGCAGGGCGGGAAGATTGTCAGCCTCTACTCCGTAGTTGCGCGTCGACCGAGAGCGAGTGCGGGTATACCTCTGACCACGTCCAACTGCGCCTCACCGCGCTCTGACTCTGCTGACGCCAGCCCGTCCTTGAATCGGTTGTGCCCTTCAGACAAAACCCAGACCCCCAGACCTCGGACGCTCACCCTGGAGGTGACCTCTGTCTCTTGTCTGGCCTGCCGATCGTCGACTGTCAAGCGTCAACAGCCAACTGCCCGTCGTTCCTGCCCTCACAAGCGCCGCCCAAATGGCTTCCCGCGACTACTACAACACGAGCACCACCAACAACAACCATCCCGGCTACAACAGCTATACCACCCACCAATCTCCCTTTGGCGACTCGCAATACCCTTCCTACTCGTCTTCCTACAACAATTTCAGCAACCAGCCCACCCCCAGCGATGGCCGCGACCCCTTTCAGGACGACAGTGCCGTCCCCATGCACACATACCACGCAAAGCACTCGTCGCACTCCAGCACCGCTCCCGTCATCACCCCCGAATACAACGATCCCTTTGTAAGAGATGCAAAGCCGCGCTCCCGTTCAAGGCCGCCACGCGCCCCTCCTGTCAAGGGCTGGCGCCGCTACTTCACAGGCCGTGTCACCTGGGTCTGCTACTTCTTGACCACCGTCCAGATCATCGTCTTTATCGCCGAGATTGTCAAGAACTCCATCTTGACCAAGTCGCCCATCGAGATCCATCCACAATTCAACCCCATGATTGGCCCCTCGCCATACGTTCTGATCAACATGGGTGCTCGTTACCAGCCCTGCATGCACAACATGCACGGTGTCCAGGACCGTGCTTCGGGCGACATTACATGGCCTTGTCCCTGGGCCACCTCCAACACTGGTGACGATACGAAATGTACGCTTTCTCAGTTGTGCGGTTTCGGTGGTGTCCCTGAGCCACATGCCGGAGGCTCCATCACCGACTCTCCCTACCCAAACCAGTGGTATCGCTTCATCATCCCCATCTTCCTGCATGCTGGCATCATCCACATCGGCTTCAACATGCTGCTCCAAATGACTCTGGGCCGTGACATGGAACGTTCGATCGGCAGCATCCGCTTCACCCTGGTCTACTTCAGCGCCGGTATCTTTGGCTTCGTTCTTGGTGGTAACTTTGCCGCTACTGGCATTGCATCCACCGGCTGCTCTGGCAGTCTCTTTGGCATCATGGCTCTGACCCTACTCGAGCTGTTGTATACATGGCGCGAGCGTCAGAGTCCTATCAAGGATCTCTTGTTCATCCTCGTCGATGTCATCATCTCATTCGTCCTCGGTCTTTTGCCTGGTCTGGACAACTTCTCTCATATTGGCGGCTTCCTCATGGGTCTTGTCCTCGGAATCTGCCTTCTACGCTCGCCCAATGCTCTGCGTCGACGTACTGGCGAGGACGATCCGCCCTACAGCAGTGTCGGTGCTCCTGCCGCTACCCAAGATGCCGCCAGCCAGGGCTTGCGTGTCTTCATCAAGCAACCTGCCGGCTTCTTCAAAGGTCGTCGCGCTATGTGGTGGCTATGGTGGATCGTGCGTGCTCTTGCCTTACTAGGCGTCCTGATCGGCTTCATTGTTCTACTCAAAAACTTTTACGTCTGGCGCACTGGCTGCACTTGGTGCAAGTACTTGAGTTGTATCGTAAGTCTTGAATTATCCACGTTCTTAGTCGGGGAAGCTAACAGTATAAACAGNGATGTCAACAATTGGTGTGATGTTGGTAACTTGCAGTTCTCCAATAACACGAGCAAGCGTGACTTGCTTGCCTTGGGTAACAGCATCTTCTTGGAACCCATGACTTCCGCCTGGGCATCGGATTCTAGGCTTTGAAACAACCATTCCACGATATAAAAGATGACAACGATACCTCATTATGCCATGCGGTTATGGTGTTTCAATATTCGGGGTCGCAATTCTGCTTTTTGTTTTCTTTGCATTAGTTGTTTGTTTTGTCGGGATGTCACGATGGCGTTCAGTATCATAGCATTATAGGTCAATAGGTCAGGCGCAGGAGGAGAAGTTTAGCATTTACATAGGGTAGTGGGAGGAGCTCTGGAACCAAGATACTCGAAAGACCATTCGGCTGGAGGGCTGTTGACCTCGTACAAACAAGCTCTTTCAGTATTCAACTTGGGCCACATCTTTCTTTCTCCCTTTACCTTTTGCTCGCAATTGAGCTGAGAGGGTGCACAACTGCTTCTTAAGCTCACTGCGTAGCGCGGGTGTGCAGCTCATTGCAACCCTCAGGACATCATAGAATCTAGATGTTCGTATACCCCAGGCAGGTTCTTTTTCCACAGTAGTACTTTCCACTGTACTTGTCTCCGTCTTCAGTCCCTCTTCCTCTGTAGAGTTTGATGAGAATCGCTCTTTCCCTTCCTGTCTGAAAGAATCGTTTCTGTTCGTGATGTTGCCAACACTACACTTTGTAGATCGAATAAACCCAGTCCTGGGGCGATCACAAATCCTGAACCGTTATAGGCATCACGTTTCTGGTTCGTTCATTGATGTGTGACCTGGCGTGCTCTGCAGATGGCGTTTACACAGGTTGCCTTGACAGGAGGTCTAGAAGTGTCGAGCCAACGACACCAGGTAATGAATTCAGTAGCATAGCGGCGTGGGTCATTCATCTTTAAAGCCGACGAAAGCAACCCCATCACTTGACGACCAGCGGCGTATGCGCAGACCCATCATTCAGAGTACGCTCCCAATGTTCGAGCATGAGTTTTAGTTGAGCTCTTTTGCAGGGCTTGATCATGTAGTCGCTCGTGCCTGCCTGCATGGCTTCTTGGACTTGCTCCTTCATGGCGTTGCCCGATAGAGCGATGATGGGGATTCGTATGCGGCGGGGATTGCTGTTTGGGTGAGAGACTTCGTGGTCGCGCATTAGGCGTGTTGCTTCGAGGCCGTCCATGATGGGCATGCTCATGTCNNCTGTGGTGTGGTCAGTTAATGATTCTTGTTTGGTCATTGATGCAGCTTTACTTACGACGATGACGGCGTCAATGTCGGACTCTGGTTGTGTGAAGATGTCTACTGCTTCTTTGCCATTGTTGCATAGGACATGGTCGTATCCCAGGGCTTCCAAGTTCTTTGACAAGTGACGAAGGTTGATTCTGTAGATGGTCAGCTCGAAACACAATTATCGTTGGCAATAGTCTGCACTAACGGNGTTGTCCTCCGCCACGCAAATCTTTTTGAACTTGGGGATTGCTGCTATTGAAGCAGAGTTGCTCATCTCGAACTTCTCGAGGTCTGTGGCGACAGCAGTAGCCGCATCACTTCCTAATTCGAGGAAGGAAGCCAACTCGCTCTCGGTTGGATGATCATGCATAGTAGAAAAGCTGAAAGTGCTGCCAATGCCTGCAGTACTTTGCACAGCCATGTCTCCACCCAACACTTTGACAATCTCCTTGCTGATGCTGAGACCCAATCCCGAGCCCTTGTAGGTCTGCGCGACTCGCTTGTTGGCTTGCGAGAAGCGCTTGAATAATCTTTGTTGTTCGGCTTCTGTCATTCCCACACCATCATCGATGACCGAGCCGTGGAAGACGACGCGCCCATCATTATCTGGAGGTTCTGAGTATATCTCGACCACAATGTTGCCGTTCTCAGGGGTGAANNCTATTCAGACTGTCAGCTAGCCGTCAACCTCGGATAAAGTAAATCAATCTCAAACCTTTACGGCATTGCCTATCAGATTCAACAACACTTGGGACATGAGTGTTGAATCTGCCTTCAAATACAAAGGCGGAGCATCATCGTTTGCCAGTCGCAAATTGATAGACTTTACGCGTGCTCTCGAGACCATCATTCCAACAGCCTCGTTTGCGAGTGCGCGCAAATCGACAAGGTCAAACGACGGCTCTACCTTGCCAGCATCGAGCCTGCTTAGATCCAGAACGTTATTCGTAATGAGAGCCTGGTGCGAAGCACAGACTGCAATGTTGGANNCTATTGGACGCGGTAAGCTCGCTGTCAAAGTCCATGAATGATAGCATTGGATGCTTACAACAAGTTCCTGGGCATATGTAACCAGACCGCGAATAGCTTCTTTCGTCGAGTTTGAATCGCCATCTGAATTCCCATCAATCTCGTTTTGGTCGCCTTTGGTGTGGCCATTCGATGTGCCCCTGACCTTCGAGCTTTCAATATCAATTCTGTCCGTCAAGATGTCTAACTTTTCTAACGTTTCAGATAGAAATTCNNCTGCGTCCATCAGTCAGACAATGGTGTTTTTCTCGATGCCCATCAGCCTTACCGTTGCACTTGAGATTCCTTGAAGTGGGTTCCGTAACTCGTGGCACACAAAAGAAACGAACGAAGCCATGCTCTCCTTGTGATGTTCGGATGCCTTGATAAGCACTGATTGTTGCTCGTTCTGGACAATTGCTGATAATCGTTCGCGCTCCAGCTTTTTCTGTGCAGTCACATCTCGGAACTCGATGACTGCACCGCCACTGGCATAATCACNCTACAAACTGAGTTAGCTTGTCGATGCCATGTAATTCAATAGTAGTGGTGTTGAACCTATAGGTGAGACGCTGTAAACAATGTCGTAAAAGCTTCCGTTCTTGTGCACAAAGACCTCGGACTCATTTATAGCCTCAGTTCCACTCTGTTGGTGTTGAAAAATAGGACACTCTTCTTTTGGGTAGGGACTGCCATCTGGCCTGCAGCTGTGTACTGCTGCATGGAAAGTCCAGCCTGCAATCTCCTCAAACTTGAATCCTGTGATTGATTCTGCAGCATTGTTCATATATGTCGTGTATCCNNTAGCCATTCATGTCAGCATCACTCGAGTATGTCTTGTGTATATCGGTTTACCCTGGGGGTCCATCATCCAGATACCGGACGGCGTGTTATTCGCAATGAGCGCGAACTGGTTCCTCGAGTCCAGGAATTCCCTGTGTGCTTTGCGTTCAATTTTTCTCTTTTCGGCATCGAAAATCGTGCTCGTCATGCAAAGCACATTGCCACTTTCATCTCTATCCACAATTGACCTCTCTGATATGAGAAGAAACTGTCCATTCGCGAGTTTGAACCGATAGTCGTGTGTCCAGATCCTAGCCTCGGAAGCATATGGCGTCTCTGGCGATGGAGCCAGGATCTTGGAAAGGCTGTTGACGACATCGAACAGGTCTTCTGAATGAATTCTTGCCAACCACCAACTTTCTTCTGTCGGGATGTCTTGGACGCCGAAGCCCAGAAGCTCTTCCACAGAGCCTTTCCATAGAAGTGATCGCTTTGGTGTCGAGCCAGGCTCTTGGCCACCATGTAGTAGTTTAGTGATCCTCTGCGCCGCCTCGTGTTTGTGTGTGACAGCGCCATTTGTGGAGGAGGGTGTTATAGGGCACATCTTGACTCGGCAGCCAAAAAGCTTCTCTGTAGTATTTGGCAAGCGTCCTCGAGTGTACAAAGCAGGCTCGAATATCAATGAGAAAGAAGATGCGCAATTACCAAAACAATGACCTGTCGCTGTTCAGAGCAACATTCTCGTCGCTGGTCTTCGTGCTGAAAATGAACGCTCAACTAATAGAAGTAGTGACCGCCGCCGTTGGTTTAGCCATGTGCGTACTATGTCATAGCCGTAGGCTAGATCTATGTGGAGCCGTTCGAGAAGCTTTGACACTTTCAGCTGAACCCATCGATCGAAGAGTGACTTGGCGGTATAGAGCCTCCCCGTATGCGATGAACAGTCACAGTACAGTCATAAGCAGGTACACCAATGCTCACAACAGAGCGATGTCCACACATGTACACCTACGTGGTAAACAAGGACCGGATGACTTGTGAGAGATGTCATGACAGTCTCTTTCAGGTAAAACAGAGAGCAATAGAAACAAGATATGTTGCATTGTAAAATCTTACAGTCTATCTTTGAAGCGTCCCAAGAGAAAACCAATCCAATCCAACTCCTGGCTAAATCGATTTATGTAAACAAATATATACAAAAATTCCACCGATCAATCGTACTTTCTACCCATCGTTGGCCCGGCACTCAACCCGCTCATCAAGATCTTGGACATACGTCTTGTGGNGGGTTGACTTCTTATTCCAGCGGATCTTGTGCTGACCTGGCTACCACGACGCATGTGTCTCAGGCCGGTGGGGCTGAAATCGAGAGAGGCGCCGCTGGCTTCGGGAGGCACGTTGCTGTCTCTGTTGGTCGAGGAGCGCGAGTAGGGACGAGCTTCGTCAGAGCTGTTGCGACCAGTTGTCGCAGTTTCTGCCTCGTTCTTGTGGAGGTTCTCTGAGGGCAGCAAAATGGCGCGATCCAGGGCATATGGTAGACCACGATGGCGCCCGCGAATCATCATGGCGATGATGATGAGCTTGCTCAACGTTGCGAATTCGGCGCTGAAAGAGGCGTTGATGGTTGGATATCCAAGAGAGAGACCTACGGTACCATACGCAGACACAATCTCGAAAAGGACAGCGAACATGGTGAAGGCATATGCGTTGTTGTCTTCCAGGCGATGGCCTTCAACAATGGTGATGATGAAGAAACCCAAGAAGATGTACCACAAATCGAAACTCAGCTGTCGACGCAAATGCTGAGCGACGTAACTGCGATTCTCCTCGTCCTCCTCTTCCTCGCCTGCAAATATTCCGAGGGACTTTTCTTCGTACACATTGGTTCTGCGGACTGAAATGGCCACAGGAAAAACGGAGATGTACATCATGACCAGATAGGACACCTGAATGGCTGGGTGCAGATCTGCAAGATTGACGCAAGCAAATCCAGCTGTACGTGTAGAAGCGGCCTGGAACCAACCACTTAGTACTCTGTATCCTGGCGAGAGAGAAGTGACCGTTGTGTCGTTGAGATCCAAGATGATAAAGAAGATCAAGTCGACGGCGTTGAGACCGACAAGGACTGCGAAAAGCCACCAGTTGGCCTTTGACGGAAATAGAAGAGTGAAACAGCGACGAGGGTGATCGAGCAAAANACGAAGCTCTTCCCAAATGCCACTGCCGTGAGGAACGAGCTTTGAAACAAGCCAGATGACGAATCGGAGCATACATGGGAAGCCAGTATTGCCGATTATGATCAGGAACGAACCAAACAACAGAGGCATGACGGACGTCTGGAAAGATATCATGCTGTCCGGAGTGAGCGTGAAGCCAAGATCGTTAAACATGGAGGCAGGTGTGAAGATACCCCTAAGACTTGAATTAGCACTGTTCTCAATGAGAGGTTCTTCGCCGATAACTTACCACCACGTCCTATTTTGTCCGATTGAAGTAACAACGGCGCCATATTTTTNGCTTTCGAGAACCCAAGGAACGAAGACAATGACGCCGAGAAGATGGAAGCCGATGAAGTAACATACAAGCACCATGGCCAGAGTTTTTAGTGCCCTGTATTCAATGCCACCCAACTCCTCTCGCTGGGCCTCGCTAAGGTCCACAAACTGCGAGTTACGGCCAATCGTCGGTTGCCAACTTAGATATGGCATAGGGTCTTGCATATCACGGTCCTGACTCTTGGTAAAGCTAAACGTTCTGTTGGTGATGCCACTAAGAGAGCGACCGAATCCAGTGCTCTCGCCTCGCTGTCTGCTTCGGAAATTACGAAGCGGGGCGAGTATGTTGAAGCGATGCGAGCGCCCAGTGCTCGAAGATGTCGACGGTTGGCGGTCTCGTCGTGGGCGTTCTGGCTCATCAATAATGATGCCACGTCTGACTGGATGGTCATCCTCGTTAAGTTGAGCTGACGGAGCATCAGAAGACGAACGTGCGCGAAGGCGAGGCGACGTCGGAAGAGTGTTTCTGGTTATTTGGCGGTTGAGCCCGTCAATCTCTTCGTCAGAGTCGACTTCGTGAGGCTGATCGCCACGGTCAAACTCTCTAGGGTTGGGAATGCGCAAAGTCTGATGATCTTTGACATTACGCTGCCTCTCCAAGAATGCGATATGATGCTCTGTTTCCAAACGCACTGGCTTTGGTCTTTCCGGTACGGTCTCAAGATTCGAAGCTTGCCGTCTGTGTTCAGAAGGCCTGACCTGATCTGCAAATGTGATTTCTCGTTTCAAAGAGGGGTTTCGGCCGAGCCATGTTTGATTAGCAGGTTCCTCGTCTGATTCTTCTTGTGTCTCCTCTTCTGACTCGTCGCTATCGTTCCGTGTGACTACCACGTCCGGAGCCACTTCCTCGTCTCTGTCGATGGCGATCATTTCGTCACCACCAAATTCTGGCTCCCGTTTCTCGCTTGATTCGGCACTTTCTGATGTGCTGCCATGAGTATCGTCTAGACTTCCAGCGAGATGCTCTATACGTTCTTNTTCGTTCATGCCGTTGACTTTGGTATTGGCGCTCCTAGCGCTCATACCATTTGGTTTCGTAGTGTGATGCAGAACTGTGATTTTCCGGCCATTGACGCCCATCTCGACACGTCCTAGATCCGGGTCTTCTCGGGATTCACTGACAGTCCGTGACCTTGTTCGGGTGCGACGTTGGTTTCGGGCTTCCTTGACAATGTGGTCGAATCGTTGCTCAAACCAGTAGAGACGAATGAAGACGACGCATGTGTTGATGAAGATTGGATTGGCGAGGCAGGCCATGAAGTAAAGCACAATCTGAGACATTCGGTCTTAGCGGTGGTCTAGCAAGTGCAAAAGTGAAGTCTTTACCTGTTGATAAGTATGTAATTGGTTGACGTCAATGCTACCTCAGGTCAGCAACAGCACAGTTGGGAGCGCATAGCCTACTGACGTATTAAGACCGCTCTGAGTGGCTGCACCCGCAGCGAAGAAGAGAGCGTCGATATAGGGCATTACGCCCGCAGGATATATCATGATAGAGCCCAGTATAGTCAAGCCTAGCATATATGTATCTATGTTCATGACTTCTCAGCTCGGCTTCGTCTTCACAAGGTCGAGTCTTCTTACNNAGTGAGTTGTGATGAAGTTGAAGTGCGGTTTACCACGCTTGAAGGGGTTGGGCAGGCGATTTTTGGCCCATTCCCACGGACCCTGTAGACGTTCCATTTTTTGTAAAAGTGTTGCTGACGAGCAGTATGACGGCCGGAAGAGGCCGAAGAGCAAGTGAAGAATCTGCCGAAAGGTTGGCCACCGCAGGAGGTTTCAGAGGCAAGGTGCGTCCGAAGGGGATCTTGTGGCGGCTACGGTGGGAGAGTCGTCGCCGGCGAAGCTTCTCAGAGTTGATGGTAAGGCGCGATCGCCATGGTCAGAAGTCGAGGTCAGTCGAGTCAAGGAGGGGGCACGATGCAGGTCGAGTGCAAGGTACAGGCTGTCGAACAACTGGCGGGGAGCGCAGCTAGTATGAAGCGAAGAGGAATATACAGGTCGAGGGCTAGGTCGAGTAGTTAGGCGGCATAACAAGGCAAAAATGCAGTCATGGAGAAGGAGACAATAATCGCAACTTGGACCCGACGCCGAGGGCGGCGCATTGACGATCTTCAACCCACAGCCAGCCATCGGCCGCCTCCATCGCCTTGGCTCTGTCCTCTAGCTCAGCCCCAGTCATGGCCCTCGGCTTGCCGTCTCCTTTCCCTTCTTCCCGACCCTGTCGTTGCTCAATGACCTCTTTGGTGCTCATTGCCCCCATCGCCTGTTTTGCTTTTTCTTTCTCCACCCGCCATGCCTGCTTTTTGCGACGCCCAAAGTCATGCATGAACTGACGTCTGGGCAATACGGCAAGGGTAGAAGCATAACGTCAACTCTGGTATATCCTATCAAACTCACGCCTGGCGTCACGCCAACATTCTTGCTCGAGGATAACCCATCTCTGGGATAGCAATTCGCGAATTACATGGTAGTGTACAAAAAGGTGCAACGACTAAAAAGGTTCCATGCTTAACCACAGTCTTCCCGTCTTTCATGTTGCGTTATGATCGTTGTCATCAATCTTCTCTTTCTTTCTCAGCTTCGTTTCCATCCTTAAAAGGCAGCACCGCTTGTGTTGCTAGTCAGGTTGCTTGCAGTGCCGTTGGTAGGTGTCGTGGTGCCGGTTCCGTTTGTCGACGAAGTCTTGCTTCGTAGGGTGAGCGGGAATGGGTACTCGTCAACGTCTTCCTCCTCACTGCTGAGCACGTTAGTATGCGAAACTTCTCGAGTCAATACGGGCATGTAAAAGAAAACTTACGGAAGCTTCCAGGCAATGTAGTCCTCGGTGCTCAAGCCCTCTCTACCTTCTTGCAGAGATGCAAAATCACCAGGAGTCATCATGCCTGATCGGTCTCTTGGCGAGCCAGGTGCAGAAAGCGGACGAGAGATCTTCACTTCGGTGCCATCGAAGAAGCCAGGTTCCTCGTCGCCCTCGAATGAAGTAGGGTATGCTCTTCTAAGAGCCAGCTGTCTGGCCTTGACGTACTCCATACCCATGCGCTTCCAGTCCAAGAGGTCGCTCAATCTCTCGGTACGGTTGCGTTGGTTGATGCGTTGTCTGCGGCTCTTTCCGACAAAGTCGAACATGTACTCGGTGAGTTGGTTCACGCTGTCGTCGACGCCCTTCATACGTCTGTCCACAATGTAGATACCGTAGTCTTGAGCATTCTCGATCAGTTCTTCCATGTAGCATCCGAAGCCAGAGAGGTTGGTGGTAATGGAAGGAACACCCATGACGGTACACTCGGCAGGAGTGTAGCCCCAAGGCTCGTAGTAAGACGAGAAGACACCCAAATGGGTACCGCGAACAAAGTCGTCATAATCCATGGGAAGGACCGGGTTACCGGAGCTCAAGAACTCGGGGTGGAAGACAACCTTGACACGATCGGTGGGGTGGTTGAAGAGCTGGCAACGGCGGATTTGGTTCAGGATGGGGTCTTCCTGGTCGTTGACCATATTGTGAGTAACAATGGGAGGCAGGTTGGAGCGCTTCATGGCGAAGAGACGACGACGGAGCAGAACCTTGTCCTCTGCCGTCAAGAGACCAGTCTCATCAGGAGGGTTTTGACCCTCATGCCATGCCAGAGAACGCTCAAAGAGCTTCTTGCCAATGTTCTTCTCAATGGAGCTGACAGTGTCATGCAGCGACTTGAGGACCGCTTGGCCCTTGAGGGCCTCGACAGCGAGCGAGGTGGTTTGTGCGGGCATGATGATGAAAGCGACAACGGTCATGTCGGAACCAGCTGCCTTGAGACGGTGGTTCAGACGGGCCAGAGACTCGATGAACATGTCGACACCCTTGTTGCGGTACTCGTAACGACCTGCGGTGAAGAAGTATAGAGTCTTGTCGGGGTCGAAATCGTTGTGGCCATAGAAGTGGCCACGGACAAAGTCGTTGATTCGCTCCTTGTTGACTTGATGCAAGTTTTGGAACTCGTGGGTTGCCGAAAACTTCTTGACGTTCAGACCGTTGGGCAAGACACCATCGGGCTTGCGCTTGAGCAGGTGCTCACTCTCATAAGCAGTGATATGCGATACGGTTGTGAAGACATCGGCGGCGTGAGCAGCACCGCGTTCTATGCAGTAGCGATGATAAATGCCTCTCTTTCCGGCCTCGGCGTCGCAGTCGAAGTATTGCAGGTTGTTGTAAAAGTCGACGGAGCCGGCGCAGAGATAACGGCCGAGGAGGGTTGCGTGAGTGGTGAAGATGGTGGTCACGTCAATTCTGCGCTTCTTGCACAGAGGAAGAGCAACACCGGCGAGCCACTCGTGGAACTGAGCAACAACTGCGCGCTCCTTTTCATGGTAGACGTACTAGTGGTGCGTCAGTAGAGGTTCGTGTGAAGAACAAGGGGAACATACCTCTCCGAGGAACCACGCAACGAGGTAACCAAAGACAATGGCCTCGTTGGTCTCATGGTCGTCTGCAGGCGAAGGAATGCCGGCAGTTGCCCAAAGGTCGCCCTTCCATTCGTCGAGCTTGTAGTAACCAGTGCCAGTGTCGAAAAGCAACACTCTCGGGGCACCATCGATCAACCATCTTCCGTATAGTGTCTGGATGCCACGCTCGTTCATGGATTTGATGGTCGCTACCATGGCAGGGTCCTTGGGCTCGAGCTCCTCGACCTCGACGGCGGNCCTGCATCCGAGTCAGTCAATTGATGCAGTAGCGAGTACAAAGGGTGATTGGCCGCTTACCGAGTTGCGGTTCAAGGGACCGATCAGTGTGTAGGCCGAGCCATACTCTGCTGTGGTGACCTGGGCTTTTGACTTGAGGACCGAGTAGATACCACCGACNNTGGCAAGACATTAGCGACCGACGGGGCGCGAACAAAGCATTGTGAGCTGAAACAAACCTCGATTGGCGACTTCGGTCGCGACCTCGAAGAGGACGTGGTTCCTCACGTCGCGCTTTGTGGTAGCCATTGTGTGGTGTGGATTGGAGGGAGGTGACGGGGGAAGGCGTCGAGCAATGACGGTGACGGAGGAAGAAGGTGGGAGGAGCAAGCTAAAAGTAGGGTGAAGGTCGACGACTTGAAGGAGCTGTCGCTTTAGCTCGTGTCCATCCCGAACGAGATCGGCGAGCTGTGGGGTACTCACCTGCAAATGGTCAGAAGCAAGACGGCAATGACGTTCCTGTGCTTTTTGCGTGCAGCCGAGCAGCGCAATTCTTTTGCTTGCACAATCGCTTTGTGTCTGTCGAACGGGGACAGGCGGACCTCGACGTCTTAAGAAGCAATTGCGACGGCGTGGACACGCTCAACTGCAGAGACGCGCTCCTCCCAACGATTGAAGCCTCAGGCTGGGACAACTCGTTCGACTGACCCAACCCCCAGTGACGTTTTTTTAGCCAAAAGTTGGTGCAGGCGCTCGGCTAGGAAACGTACTACCGTTCTAAATTGCGCTTCTGGGCCTGTTCCCACTACTCATCAATTATCCTCCGCTGCACCCCAGCTCTTCGGCCTCTGTCCTCAGCACTGAGCTCCCCAACCGATTCTATTTACCCGCTGCCTTGTTGAACGCTTCTGCATCAGAGAGATGGCTGCTCGATGCACAATAATTCCCTTCGTCTGTTCCAACCAAGTATCAAAGCAGTCCCGGTCCGCCAACAGTCACACAGAGATCATCAATTGTGGAGATGACGCCTGGAGACCGGTCTAAGCGCTCTAGAGAACGCCCCATCCTTGACCCCCGCAACCTCCACGACAAACACGGTATGGGGAGGGCGCGGACCAATGAACACCGTTCGCAAGTTCGGTGCCATTAGCAATGCTATCGGTCCTTTTCGCCCGGGACATGCGATCTCTGGGGCAAGCTCTCCATGGCTCCATTATTGAGACCTGATGCGGTCCGAATCCTACATGAAAAGCTATCGGAGTCGGCCTACTCCCATGAGTAGAGGGGTTGGCCATCTCAAGGCTTAGAAGAAGCCGAGACCTAGGGACTCGAACACTAGCATCCACACGGCACCTTTGCCGTGCTAAGACAAAACTGCACGTGCAATGCTCACATCTCAACATCACCAGGCCACAACCCCACCACCAAGGCAGTCGTCGAATTCTTGTGGACACAATTCTCTCCAATGGCGGATGCATAGAGCTTGAAAGTTTTGAAAAGGTAAGTATTGTTATTTTCTGCAAGTCCTTATCCGACAATCATAAGAAAGAATGAGACATGTCTGGTACAGAGCGCATGAGACATCGGCAAAGAAGGCTTAGAAAATCTCATCCACCGAGACCAGGCATTCCCCTAATCGTCTAACTTTGGACACGTCCAACATCACAACATCTGAACATCCTAAGAGCATGTCAGAACACAGCTCTTATGCTGGAAGTTGCCGCCATCCAAAACACCAGTCTTGACACAACTGGTATCTCTACCACTGGGTATAGCATGCATAGTCCAAGATCCATTCCCAGAGCAATCGGAGACGCCATCCCACACTTTCAAAGCACACGAGTGCTGCTCATCCTGCTGCAGTCCAAGAGCATATGTGTGCAAGGTGTAGCACTGAGTGATGTTCAATTGTCCTGTGGAGACAGCCCAACCACAGGTTGTCTCGGTCGAAATTGATTCGCTGAAAGCCAGAGGTGCTTGGTACCAAGTGACGGCAAGGTTAGCTGGAGAAAGGCTGCTTTCGATGATGGGTTGAGGGTGGCAGAATGCGGTGGAGGCGTAAAGCATTGCTGCCAATATGGCGATTGATGATGCCATCTTGTTTTGTTGCAGACTCGATCGAGAAAGGACAGCTGACTCTCCTCGAGGTAGTGATGATGATTTTGAGTGAGGGTAGATTTGTTCTTTGGTAACCACGATTCGAGGAGTCTAAAAACACATCCAGACAAAGGCGTCGAGGTGTTTTATATTGGATGGGGATCTAATTGAAGCTGGCTACAGATACGCAAACAGCATCCAGCGGATTGCTGCTTTCAGAGGGTGTGACATCGGCAACATCTTCTCACACGGAGAGGTCTCTGATAGGCTCACAGAAACATGTACAACAAGGAGCGGTGTATACTCTCCCATGCTGCTTGCAGTCTGCGTCACTTGCAAGATCGGTATTTCTCTAATGCTCATGTCACCAGAGGTAGCATGACTACACTTATACGAGGGAGGCACATCGGTCCGTTGACCGAGGAATGTTGCTTAGAATAACTCAGGATGCACATCATTTCCAGGACCAATCATCCACGTACTCGGGACACACAAAAGAGGCAAACCTCGCAAACAACTGTTGTTCTCGTTTCTATTAACATGGTATGTAACACTCCGTATGTGGAGAGCAAAAAAGCACAAGGTGGTATCCGCACGTTTTCCAATAGTCGTTCCATCGTAGCGGGGGGGTGGTAAAATGTCCAAAAGAGACAAGAAAAGAGCCTGTAAGCTCAAAGCAGAAAAGGGAAAAAAAAAACGCCGGTCGCTGGGATGCATGCATGCAGTGAAACACTCAAAGCCACTCTGGGCCAATGGTCCACAAAACCCTTCTGTAGCATGACAGCTCGGAGGTCGTATCTTCTGCCTCCTCGGTGCGATAACAATCAGATCCAACCAAGGTCGCTGAGCAAACCTTTCATCTCTGGTGCCTTGATGCTACCCATCCCCATGCTGCGGACCAAGTTACCTTTGCGCAGACGAGCCAATCCGTTGTCGATCTTCCATCCTTGATCTGATGGGATGACGAAAATGCAGTATTTGCCTTCAATGTCTCTGATGGTGGCACGCAACATGCAATGAGGGTTCAGAACTCCCTTCTCGATGCCCTTGAGGCTCCAGGCTTTGATGTCCCATTCGCGCTGTGGAACATGGCGTACGTCATCGTCAATGAACAGGCCTTCGGTGCTCATTCGCAAGACGAGGCCATCGGTGACATTGGCTTCACCGCTGACGAGTTGGCTTATGGGCTTCTTCGGTGCAGTATTGTTGTACATGTAGACAGCCTTCATGACTATCTTGTCTGGGTCAGATGTGTTGTATGGTCCACGATACTCGGGAGGCGGACTGGTTCGTGCGGTAGAAGTCGATGGTGCGTATGAAGACAGTGTTTCTGTGTAGGACGATGCCGTCGAGGAAGACATGACCGTACGGGCGTCATAAGCACTTGTGGTCTCGGTACTGGCATAGCTTTGCGCACTGGGACGCTCATATTTTTTGGCGGCAGGTGTGATGGGCTTGGGTGGTGACTTTGCTGCTTCTGCTGCAGCGGCAGCCTTTTCCCTCTTGTCCCTTGCAATCCGCTCCCGGGCCTCACGCTCGCGCTTTTCCTTCTCCCGGACATCCTTGTCTTTAGTGTCCTTGTCTTTGAGCTCGCGCTCTCTTGCTTCTCGCTCGCGGGCTTCCTTCTCACGCGCCCTGGCCTGCTCCCACTTGACTTTTTCGGCAGCTGCTCTGGCTTGTCGTTCGGCTTCCTCCTTCTTTCGTAGCGCTTCTTCGCGGACCTTCTTCTGCTCCTCTGCCTTCTTTCTGACCTCCTCCCTCTTACGAGTTTCTTCACGGGCCTTTTCCCAGCTTGCTGCAGCATCTGATGCAGACCTTGGTGAAGCGGCTGGCGGTGGAGCAGTTTTGGGCTGTGGTGTAGGAGCCGCTTTTGGTTGTGGATTTGTAGGGGGTCTCGTTGTGGGCGGAGGAGAATTGGGAGGCGGCGGAGCGGTGTGTTGAGGGGAGCATTGTATTCTGGTGGGGGTTGGGGTCGAGGCGGAGGAGCGTTGTGCCCAGGTGGTGGTTGTGAGTAATACTCTGACTGTGGAGGTGATCTGTATTCCTGTCTCGGGGGAGGAGTCGGGTANGTCTTGTCGAGGAGTGCGCGGAGGTGGTGCGGAATGTGTGTAGTCTGCACCTGAGGAATGCGACGCATTGTAAGGACCACTGTGACTTTTGCCGTGCTTGCTTCCTCCTTCTGTGCCTGTGTTCCCTTGTGGTCCAGCACCGTCAGAGGGAGGTGGGCTGTGCGGACCTTGGTGCTTGCTTTCACCTTGAGTCTTTCCAAAGGCCCATGCAACGGCGCCTACGCCAGCGACGAGCAGAAGCACACCGGCACTTCCACTCGCAGCAATGACGGACAACCATTGGCCTAGGACTGGCACGGCCGTTATCCATACCAGGTAGCAAAAGACGGCGCATGCGAAACCCGCGATGAACGAGTTGCGTTGGGGCTGCAGCGAAGGCAGGTACAGGAAACCAGAACCCGAGCTGTGAGGCGGAATGATGAAGATGTCATAGTTGCCCTCTGGCAGACCGCTGGACGTTGACTTTGGGTTGGCTCCATGAGGTGGTGGAGGAGGTGGTGGAGCGTCGGCCATAGTTCAAAAGTCCTTCACGCACCGTTGACGCCGTTTCTGACCAGTCGATTGCACCAGCCTGTCGCACCTGCGGGAAGCAAACTACCTTCCAGCCCTTCAACTCACGTCTTGACCGAGCGGCAAGGATGTTGTTCGACAGGAAACTGTTGACCCTTAGGCCAGATACACGCACCGGACTTGGTCCAGCACACCAAATGCAGAGTAGACAGGCAGGTTGCCGCCAGTTGCAGCACGACAGGCGCAGCACGTCGCTAACAGGCACACTGTCAGGGCGCGGCCCGCTCTTCCCCGGTCGTGTGATATTACAGCGCCTTCTTCTGGTCTTTGCTTTGCTGTGACGCTCTGTAGTGCTGCTGCTAAGGCCAAGTTGTCAGCGATACAGCGAAACCTAGCCTTGCTCTCAGTTCTGTCTTTCGAGCACTGTTTATGTGTGCTTCCTCGTCCTCGATCACACTACAAGTCAACACATGCTCCTTACCTGCTACAAGTGGTACGAGATAGTCATCTGTGCCTCATCAAAACCTGCCCACTCAAAAATCGAACAACGCATTTAGGATCCAATTTGTTTTCGCTGTGCACGCTTTCACCATGGCAACAGCCGCTCGGTCCATGCGCCGTGACGTGAAGCTTGTTTTTCCATCTGGCGTGGGTCTCTTGACTCGCGAACAACCAGCCCTTCCCCAGCCTGACCGATGGCGGCCGGCCTCTGTCGACCATGAACATCGGAAGCGACATTGAGCTTGTGTCCGCTTCGCCTATGGAGAGAGCTCTACCTCGTCATCTTGACACCGACGATTTTGCTCGTCTGAGCAAACGCGTCGTCCTGAAACTCGACCTCTTGCTCCTGCCCTTCTTGTGTCTATTGTTCTTGCTTAATTCTCTAGACAAGTCCAATGTCGGAAACGCAGAATCTGGTCATTTCACTGAAGACCTCGGATTACCCAAGTCCGCCTTGAACGTTTCTGTCGCCTGGTTCTTTGCTGTCTTTGTCTCTTGCCAGCCGATCGGTGCCTACTTCGGTCGCAAGTATGGTATGGCTCGATGGGTCCCGGCTACCATGAGTCTCTGNGGGGTCTGTACGGCTCTTCACATTGCTGTGCAGTCTCAGACTCAACTAGTCACACTGAGAGTACTCATCGCGGCACTGGAATCTGGTTTCTACCCCACCGTGGTCAGCTACCTGAGTCTCTGGTATACTCGTTACGAGTTTGGCAAGCGCTTGGCATTTTTTTACGGTCAAGCAGCTCTCGCTGGATGCTTTGGAGGCCTCCTATCTTGGGCGGTGTTCAGTTACTTTCCCCATGATGACCCTACTCCACGGATAGCTGCGAGAAAGTGGAGAAGTTGGGAGGTTCTGTTCCTCATCGAAGGCTGTCTGACAATTCTAGTGGCATTTGTTGGATTCTTCTGGCTTCCGCACAGCGCCAACACGGCCTGGTTTCTGACTGCCGATGAACGCCTTGTCGCAGAAGAGCGTATCCGAAGAGATCATATTGCTGCAGCCAGTTCTTGGGTCATCCCAAAGCAGCAATCAGATCTCGATGTCCAGGAACGAATATCATCCAACCTTCCAGAACCTCGTCCATCTCTGTCACTGGAGGACGAAGAGGCTGATTATCTACTCCCGAATGCTGAGATCACACAGCCATCGGCCCGTCGACCAAGCCACGCCTCAATCTTGTCGGTCACTGCTGATAGTGGAGTGTCTCGCGAAGACATCTTCTCGGCTGTGGCGGATTGGAAAGTGTGGTACCTCTTGTTCTGCAACATCTTATCTGCGATTCCGGCCACCGCATTTGCGGTCTTCCTCCCACTCGTCATCAAAGGCATCGCAGGGAGAGACGACCTAGGACCAGCTGCTATAAATCTCCTTGTAGTGCCTCCGTTCTTGGCTGGCGCGATCATCTTATGGATCTTCACCTGGTGGTCTGATAGACACAAGACTCGGCTGATCCCGATCTTGTATGGGTTAGCCATTCTCCTCGCTGGTCTAGCCGCCACGGTCGCGCTTCCCACACGTGCTTACAAACTTCGATACTTGGCCTTGACCGTCCTCTTATCTGGCTCATTCGTAGCTTCGCCCCTGACAGTAACATGGCTGAGTAACAACATACCCCAGCCCGGCAAACGTGCGATTGTCTTAGGAATCAACGGATGGGGGAATTTTGCTGGTGTGATCTCCAGCATGCTGTTTGCTCCCAGGTTTGCCGAAGATGGCTACATCATTCCCTTCTACGTGACTCTCGCGTCCGTTCTGACCGCATTCGTCGGCTATCTCGCTTTCAGGGCTCTGGTTGTTGCTGAAAATCATCGACGAAACCGGATCGTGGCAGATTGGGACGATGAAGAGGTTCGACGCGAAGCAATGTTCGGGGACGGTGCTGTGGTTGAGGAAAAGAACATGTGGACACTCATCGCAAGCGTGTGCAAGCTGAACAACCTGCGTGATTGGGCCGAGGTTGATAGACTACGGCGTGGAGATGAGAAGCTTACCTTTGTGTATAGTCTTTAGTACATGCTCTCAAATTCACAGTTGTACTCCCTCTTGTCTTCTATAGAGAGCACAGTCTTGTCAACTCCAAGAAATACTCAGCCACGCGAGTATCACGCGGATGATGTTTGAGATCGCGACCTGAAGTCACGATTAATGAGCAGATATTAATACTGGAACTTCCTGCCATGCCAAGTTGAAACACGAACAAGATCGATGATACAATCTGCTTATATGCACACTATCCTCCGTCCTCCTTTTCCTGTACCCGATAGAGTTGATGGTCTCACGATGGAAGGAGGTTGATACCAAAGAGGCAGGGTTGTCCTGCCCACATCTAACCCCAGCACCCTAGAACTAGAAACCGGCTCCGAGCAAGCATCCTAAATCCGAGCGCCCGAATCAGCCAGCCACCAACTTCCGACCAGACTCAACATCATGTCAGCATGAGTTGTGTGACATTATGACTGTCTAAGGTCGTATCCGATACACTTCCTCATCAGATATACTAATAACAACATCTGTCGCCTTCTCGGGAGGCTCAAACAATATGTGGCACTTTCTCGATCTGAACCAAGAGCAAAAGCTCGAGCGAAGACGCCTACTGGATCTCTATGGCTCGCTGGCTCAGATTTCTGCTCTAATACCTCTTGCTCTTCTTCAAGTGTACTTTCTTGCTGTCTGGTTACAGTGGAGATGGTCTAAGAAACGCGATGCAGACGGCATACCCAGTACACCGCAGCTGAAGAAGCGGCGATCGGATGCATTCAACGAACCTGCGATAAGACTCCAGACCTTGCAGAGGAAAGCGATCTGGTGGATGGGCGATACATTCGTTATCTGGGGGTCTCGAGTGGCAAAGGGAGAGATTGTGGCGGGTGTGGTATGGACGGCATGGCTAATCTTTTTGAGTTGCGTGCAAACACAAGGTGGTATGTATCGCCCGTTTTTCCAAGCACTGGTAGTTGCTAAGTTCTACTGTNNAGACTATTTGCATTTGACCAAGCGGTTTGGCATTGTGGGTGCTTCACAGCTGCCTCTCCAGTATCTTCTTGCTTTCAAGTCGCCGTTCAGCCCTATCCAACACCTTACCAGATGTTCATGGACGACATTGAATGCAGCACATCAAATCCTGGGTCGCGTGTCGACAGTTCTGTTCTATCTCCACGCCGGCTTCTATTTAAATTTCTTCATCCAAGCACACGTTCTGGCAAAGCGCATCAAAGACTGGGACGTCATTCTCGGACTAGTCGGGACTGTTGCATTCACAGCTGTGGGCACGACCGCACTGTCACCACTCCGAAAGTGGAGCTATCGCGTTTTTTACACCACTCACGTCTCTCTGGCTAGCATCTTGCTTCCCGTGCTCTACTTGCACGTCTCGCACCTACGCATCTACATTATCGAAACATTGATAGTATACGCACTACACCTAGCCCTACGCATCCTCTCCGAACACAAAGTCCAGGGCTCCCTGACCTTAGTCCCCAACACGGCAAACCTGCTCGAACTCAGCATTCGCATCACGCAAAAGGAAGGGCAAAAGTACCACTCAATCGCACAATACCAACCAGGCCACCACGTCTACATTTCCCTAGCACAAGCACCCTTCTACAAGCGAACTCTGAAATCCAAAAACCCGTTTACGATCGCTTCACTGCCTTCCTCAGACGGCACTCTCAAACTAGTAGCCAGAGTCCTCGATGGCAATACCGCAGCCCTCGCAAAAGCAGCAACAGAAGGCGCGACCGGAAAAGCAACTTCCATACCTCTGATCCTCGAAGGTCCTTATGGGTTATCAACACATTCAAACACGTTGTTGCAATACAATCGTGTCTTGTTTATAGCCGGTGGCGTGGGTGCTACCTTTGTGGTGCCGCTGTATAGAACACTGCTCAAAGACCTCTCGCCCAGTCCCGGGAGCAGGAGAAGACAAAACGTCGCGTTCGTCTGGGTGGTCAGGGATGAGGCAGAGACTAGCTGGGCGATCCCCGAGGACGAGCAGGAGAGGCAAGGTATGCAGGAGCGCATGACTATCTACGCCACCAGGAGCGGCAGAATGGACAACGACGAGCACGAGCAAAAGACCAACGATGCCGATGAGGGCATTGAGCTCGAGCGATTGTTACCTAGTGGAGACATCAACGACTCGGCACAGAAATGGCAGATCCACCCTGGACGACCGGACTTGGGTCAGATGCTGGACGGAGTGTTCAGTCATACGCGGGATGATACAAAGGTGGCAGTGCTCGTTTGTGGTCCAAGATCAATGGCGGACGAGGTCAGGAGGAAAACCCAGAAATGGGTTGGCAAGCGAGACGTTTGGTTACACGTTGAGGCTTTTGGATTGTGATCAAGTTTGAAGATTGTTTTCTTTTTGTTATTCTTTGTTGATTATTCGAAATCATACTACATCAACTAGCAACGGGGGTAATATCTTGTTCCTGATCAACTTGAATGAAAACCCGACAAAAAGTCTTGTCTGGTGCCGGGCGCGGGGAAGTGGTAGAGTCGGATCTTGTACTGGGATCTCATGATCTTGGACTAAATAGTCCAAGTCGACAACTACAGACAATGCGCGCATTTCCTTCTAAACCAGAAGGACGAGAGTCTTGATAGTACATGTGTTGACGAACTTGTAATTCATTGGCATGGCACAGCTCAAGCGTCGCCAATGTAGAGGAAGCCTGTACCAGCAGCAAGAGCAGCGACACTCCACAAGGCAGACCAACCAGCGGCTCCATAGATTGTGGCACCTTCGACGGTAGCGAAGACTCTGATGAAGGAGTGGACTGCAGTGAAGACGGCAAGCAAAAAGGTGCGTCTGAAGAGCACGCTCTCTCTGCTAGAGTACTGGTCAACGCCCAGGTTCCACATGAGAGTGTCGGCGAAAGTGGCAGTCTTGGGGTCGAATTGCTTGAACTCGGAGGGCAATGCGCGAGCATAGACGATTGAGGTGCTGAAGAGGAAGTCCTTGGCAGCCCAGCCAATGGGCAAGCATGCAGCAAAAACAACGGGGAAGAGAGCATTGTGAGCAAAGTCGAGGGTCAAGACTTCGTCAAAGGTGTTGATCAAGAAGACGGGGAGCCACGAGGCCAGACTGAGGTAGACAATAGCGGCATAGATGGAAGCAGCGAAGGCGGTCATGTACATCTGGACGGTCTTGTCGACAGCCAAATCCTTGGTGGTGCCAGGAGTGGTCAGGGTGCGCAGGTTGTTGTGGTAGTTGAGCGGGCGCAAGAGCCAGAAGGGGAACCACAGAGAAAACATGTCAATGACAAGGGCCAGAGCAAGAGGCTCGAAGCCAATGCCGTAGAAGAGGTACAAGAGGGTGTAGTAAGGCGCGTTGGCCATGCCAGCGAGCTGGACAAAGTCAAANNGTCTGTCGAATGGTCAGAATGTGATTGAAGCAGTGCAGCGACGCGTAGACTGACGATCGAGGCGGCAGTACCAGCCGAGAGTAATCTCGAGCAGTCTCCAAGCAAGCAGACCACCGATCTGCCACTCCTCATTCAAGCTGCGGCTCACGGCAGCAAGAGGAGCGCCCATGATGTCGGGCACAAAGCTGTACAGCAAGGCGCTGAGAGCGGGGCTCAGGATGATGGACAGCGGGTAGGCGAACCAGGTGGGCAGACGGTGCGAGGCATGCTTCTCGCGCGCCTGGTCGAGAGGTGAGGCCGACGATGCGGCCATGGCGGTGCGCTCCGAGGGGGCACGGAACGCGTCTGCATCGACAAGGGGCGCCGTGGCGACGACGGTCGAATCGTAGCGTCTGTAGGCCATTTGCGTTGTTGTTGGGTTTGGAGCGTGTAGAGAGGGAAGCTGCGACTGCGAAGAGACGCGTCTGTCAAATGTTTCCCGCTGCACCTGTGACGTGGGCGGACAGCTCTTGTCTTGTCTTGGCAACCCTTGCTTGTTGCCAACAGTAAACATCCGTCTGGCATGACTTGTTCCGAATCAAACATTCCATCCCACCTGCCATCATCCCAATCTGGACAGACGGCTCGATAATCGTATTCGGGCACTCATACCCGTGATGTTCTTGAAAACCCGTAGCTGTCACATCTCTACTCCACAATGCCTTTGCCTTTGAGTCTATGTATCGCGCTGGATCCTCTGCATCTACAAAGACTCAAGAGCGACTTCCCCTATGCTCGAGAATGATCAACCCTCTTCCAACCTGAGCTCCAACTCTGCCAATCTTGACTCAACGGCTACCTTATACCATCGTTAGCCGTTGCGAATATGCTTACCCGTCAAGACACAGGGTCTAGAACCAGCCCACCAAACAAAACCATTCCTTGTTCCTACACTCGGCACACTCGTTCAGTTCTTTGCTCATACATGATACCAACAACGACCTCGGCCCTTGGAGAGCGACCACCACAGATCTGCAATACCAACATAGAGATACCAGAAAGTCCGAACCATCTACCTTTCTGTTCAATCAAGATTCATCACGCCGATATACCATGGAAGACAACAACATCGAGTCGACACTACGACTGCTCGAGAATGGAGATGCTTCGACAGATGCACATCTACAACTCGTACGTGCCACGAATTGGCAGCAATACTCTGTCGGTCCTATATCAACCTGGCCTCGAGAATTATCAACCATCATTTACCTTCTGATGGTGGCAACCCAACCCCAGTGCTTGGTGCTTGGAGATGAAAACCTATTGCTATACAACCAAGCGTATGGCAGAATGGTCCGAGATCTCCACCCCAAGATCTTCGGTCAGCCCTTGGACAGCGTAGAGGAATGGCAGAGTTGCGGAGCTCAGATGGCCGCACACAGACGATGTGCTGCTACCTCGCTGCCTACGCGTGCCTGTCCTTCCTTTGTCGTACCCATGCTAAATCAAGGCCGATTGGAGAATGTTCACCTACAGCTTGACATCGCAACATTACCACCACCAGTCAAAGGATTTCACTTGTGCTTTGAGGAGACTACGGACTGCGACTTGCGCGAGCGTAGGCGTTCTACCGTGCGTACACTGTCCGAACTTTGGAGTTCAGCGAGTGATCTTCCCTCGTTATGGCGACTCATATTGCAAAGCCTCTCGGAGAATCCCGAAGACTTTCCTATAGCCGCTTTGTACTCTACCAGGACATCTCCAGACTCATATTGTGAACAAGATGGAGCTTCTGAACAAGGACTCTATCATCTTGAAGGTTCTGTAGGCGACTTTGACGACGACGCTTTCCCACCTACTCTCAACATGACTACTACAGATCCGGATTTGGAGCCTCTCAAACAAGCCATTGCATCAAGAGAGCAACTCATCATCAATACGTTACCAGAGAAATGGGCCAGGGGCTCGTTACAGCGCGGCACTCGTGACATCTGCAAAGAAGCTGCTGCCCTGCCGAGTAGCTTTACACGTCATCAAGATGCAGAAGCCTTGCTCGTCATTGGCCTACCCACCAGAGCACTACTCGATGAACCTCATCAACAACACCTCAGGCAAGTTCAGAGTGAGTTTGCTCATGCTGTGAATACTTTGGTCACAACCATAGAGGCGACATATCGGAGGAGAGAGAATGCCAGGCAAAACCACTTGGAAAAGGATCTGCTTGCCAAAGAGCTTGCCCTTCGACACAAGGAGGCAGAGATTGCGACCACCTTGGCCGCCAAGGTTCTCACGGTGATAGACGAGGTCGAGTAAGTATCCGCTCACGTTGCTCGAGAATGCTGCTCGCGATTGCGTACTGACAACGATCAGNNTATAGGATTTTTCGAATACAAGAGCACAGGAGAGTTGGTGCGAGCAAATGAGTGCTATTATCGATTAAGTGGATACCCTCGAGACTGCCCGGCCCACGTCAAACACAAGTTCCTCGACCTTATCCATCCAGAAGACGTGGACATGGTCTCTCGTTCATGGCACTCCATGATCAATGGTGAATGGCAAAAGTTCGAATTAAGGTACATGAACGGCACTGAACACGGACAATGGGCCCTTGTAGCCTGTCAGCCTGTCAAGGACAGCAATGGAATCGTCACCTCAGTCATTGGTGCAGTCACTGATATCTCGACTCAAAGAAGAAGCGAGAAGATTGCTCTCGACCGTGCCGAAGCACTGGAAAAGGCCAGAGTCAGTGAAGAGAGGTTCAAGCGATGCATGGATCATGCCCCTTTCGGTTGCATGATCGCCGATATCCAAAAAGGAGTTCAATACGTCAACGAGACATGGTGGGAGTTGTCACAACACACTCGTGTGCCGCTAGATCAGATCGACTGGAATTCTTGTCTCCATGAAGATGATCTAGAAGTTGCAGAACAGGGCTGGCGGGTAAGTCAAGAATTGTACACTTCCTGGTTTGTGCTAATCACAATTCTANNGGCAATGCTGCGTGGAGAACAAGTAGTCTACAACTTGCGTCTCAAGAGGCTTTGGTACGATGGAGACGGCGAACCCCGAGGACCTGCTGAGCTCATGGTTACTGCACTGCCTGAACACGATGACAGTGGGAAAGTCATCAGAGTTTTAGGATTCACCATCGATGTAGGTTTGATCGTAGGTAGAGACATTACGACCAGTGCTGGCAGCTTGTCTCATTTGGACGTATTGCCCAACCAGCGATGGGTGGTTTTACAGATCTGAGCTCATACTTCCAGCAGAGTCATGATGTTTCTACTTCCTCGTTTTGTAGGATCACGCTAACCGCACTTCGACTCANNGGTGTCCCATCTGAAGTTCCAAGCCAGAATGCAACTCGAAGCGCGAAAGAACCAAGAGATGTTCTACGACACAGTCTGCCACGAGATTCGAAACCCATTATCAGCGTGAGTTATCTTGACTTCTAGCTAAGGACGAAAGCTGATAGATGCTTAGNNTGTCATTCACTGCACCGACTCCATCAACGACAATCTCACTGAGATGCGTAAACTGGTCAACAGCCTCGCTTCTCCAGAGATCAAAAGTTCTTCGGTCATGGACGAAAAGATCAGTCATCTTCTTGACCACATATCAAGCAGCAACGAATCTGTAGAGACAATCACTCACTGTTCCGAGCATCAGCGGCGTCTTATCTCGGATATCCTGTCACTCTCAAAGCTGGATTCTCAGCTGCTCCAGATCAACCCTGCACCGGTTCTTGCCACAAGTCTGCTGGAAAATGTCCGCAACATGTTCGAGACCGAGGCAAAAAGAGAAGGAATTATGTTAGAAGTTATTGTTGATCGTTCAATCAACGAGAACAAGGTGGACCAAGTCAACCTGGACTCTGGAAGAACTCTCCAGGTTCTTATAAATTTGGTCTCCAACGCCATCAAATTCACCAAGAATGAGCCGGGACCTCGTCTAATCAAGGTTGTCATGGGCGCTTCTAATTTCAGGCCACTGAATCTGCCGGTCGACTCGTTCCATCATCCAGAATCGATATATGACACGTCTCATGAAGGCCAGGAAGAGTTTTATCTATGGTTCACTGTCACCGATTCCGGGAGAGGTCTCTCTGCTGAGGAGAAAGCTCGCATTTTCACCAGGGTAAGCGCACATCTTGACACGAGGCGTGTTTCACAACAAAGTGCATGAACACTGACGTCCAAATAGTTTGCCCAAGGTTCTCGTAAGACTTATAGCGAGTACGGTGGTTCTGGCTTGGGTTTGTTCATCTCAAGACAGCTTGTCGAATTGATGAACGGGCAAATTGGCGTTTCAGCCGAGCTTGGACGGGGAAGCACATTCGCTTTCTTTATTAGTGCACCTCCTGTCCAGCAACTTCTGCAGGTGGACTCGAATTCAAGCCATCAATCCGAGGCCGATTCTGCTATACATATTCAGATCACGCAAACACCGGAGCCATGCGAAAAGACGACACTACTTGTTGTTGAAGGTATGATATAGCCAACCATGATCTTCAGCCAATAACTAACGATGATCNNAGACAATCTCCTCAACCAGAGAGTGCTCAAAAAGCAGCTGGTCAGGCACGGTTATGAAGTACATGTCGCCAGCAACGGTCAAGAGGCCCTCGATTTTCTCACAAACCCAGCCCAAGAAGTCCAGATCGACTGCATCTTGATGGACGTAGTCATGCCCGTCATGGATGGTCTGACTGCAGCAAGACGCATCAGAGAATGGGAGAAAAACACCAACCTGATCAGCGATAACAGCGTCTGCGGCATCAAGTCCAGGCCACGATTTTCTAGAGGAAGCAGTTCCACTTCCTTCAAAAGTGACTGGAGTCTAGGCAGTAGCAATGCCGAGGACAGCAGCAGCGTGGCTTGCAGTAGAGTGCCTATAATCGCCATTAGTGCCAATGCGAGACCCGAACAGACCAACGATGCCATCATGGCTGGAATGGACGATTCCATAGCCAAGCCCTTCAAAGTCGTCGACCTAGTGCGCCGGGTTGACCATTTATTGGAGGGCTCGCGATAGAATAGACTTTAACAAGAGGGAATTGCTCACGCCTCAAGTTCGAGGAAATAGGAAGCTTTGGCTACATGCATTCTGTGTTGGAATCGCTATCAATTTTTCTTGTGCACGACACTGTCCCTGGTTGTCGCTTTATCGACTTCTGCCACGACAGAAAAAGCGATCGGTATACCGTACATGCAGCATCGTTCGACCTCTTTTCAAGACCAACACCATGTTCCCTTCCGAACCTCGAAATCTTGGGATCCGCTCCCAGAAACGGTAGCGGCTCGCAAAACAAATGGTTGTTTTCAGTTTCCACCCAGCCATCACTTCAAGCTCACCTAGACTTCCGAGCAAGCCACTCTCGTCCATCGCCCAAATATCAATTGTATTTGTAAACAAAAGTAGCCTGGCTAAATCTTGAAGACGGAAGCCATGACCAAAAACAATCTTTTCCTATATTCTTTCTTTGCAAGCAAGACTGCTCAACTTCATGACAAAGCTCTTGAAATCCTAGCATCGACAAAGTAAAATCGCTAGAAAGAGTCTGGGTTCTACGTTGATCTGTCATATCAGTATATCGAGCGAGATGTGCAGAATTGAGGAGTATGATGCTCGAGTAAGCGTTACCAATACCAACATGCTGGGAACAGACAGTCTATGCGTGCGAGATTGAATAGTGCTGGCAACATGTTGACAGGTGATCGAGTAGAAGTCTTGGAGGACAGACGCATGGCTGGAAAATTGATCGTAGGTCAACTGACTTGGGATCGTAGTGCCTTACTTCTAAACTAGCTAGACGACAACACGTAACCAGAAACACTTGAGGATATGAGCTTTCTTTCATATTGTATCCAAAAAATAGCATTTATTTTGAGACTAAACAAGGGGATTGACCAGAATTCGGCGTGAAAGCTAATCTACAAGAAGTGAAATAATCCTCGAATCTCTTTTTGAACAGTGGCAACAACAACAAGAACAAACACGCTTTGGTGGGAACGAGAATGGAAGTAAAACAAGGAGGAAAAAAGGAAACAAAATTTATTGAAAAGGAAAAATCGCACATGGTTGTCCTTGAATTCGTCAAAAGGTCTAGTATCACCATCTAGTTCCAGCCAAGAGAGTTTCCTGCGAGAACGGGAGCACTGATGCCTTGTTCTCTGACGCTACGACCGTTGGCACTGCTTCCGCTTTGGCGACTACCTCTTCCGCTGGTAGGGGTTACACGACCACGACCCCCTGACATGAAGTAGTTTGCTGCACTGTTACGCTGGCTCATCTCGCCTCTCTCATCAGTGTAGGGTACGCTGTTGCTGCGAGCGTGCGAAGCGCGCTTCTTCTTGTAGCGACGAGCAACATAGACCATGGCTGCGGCATACACGGCAGCACCGGCGACAGCACCGACACCAATACCAACGGAAGTACCGTTGACAGGTGATGAACTGCTCGAGTCGCCACCAAGAGGTGCGCCATTGCTGTCAGAGGTAGTGCCTGAGCCAGAGGGGTTCTTTGCATTTCCTTGGCTATTACTCATGCCATTTGCACCAGGAATCATGGGAATGGCGGGGTTGATCATACCCATGAGAGTCTTGGTGGATGCATCAGGGTTGTTGTACAAGGTAGCGACCGAAGTGTGTAGATCGAGTTGCAACTGGTTGATTGCCTCGGAGGGGACATAGACAAGAGCCAAAGTGGTGATGTAATGCAACGACTCAGTGGTGTCGTAAGGCTGCAGTGCGTACATCTTGACCTTGGCCGCATCAATGTTGAGACCATAAGCCAAACCAGCAGGAAGGAATTCGAAGATTTGGTTGGCGGAGCCACCAGTGGAAACCACGAATGGATAGTTCAAGCCATAGCTGAAACCGACCTGGACCAGAGTGGTGTTGTCGGGAGCCGAAGGCATGCCACCTGGAGGTTGAATGACACGAGGCATCGACGAGGGGATACCAGATGCCTTGGCAGTAGCCGAACTGGTTGCTGTCTCGGAAGGCTGGTACAAGATGCTAGTGTCGATGGGCATGGAAGTGTAAGTGTTGGTGCCGATGGGTACAATGCTGGTAGGAGCAGTGCTGGTCGATGGCTCATAGGCAACAGAGGTAGATGCCTGAGTAGGAGCGGGAGATGCAGGTGTAGTCGAAACTACCGATGTCAAGGGGGGAGACGATGCCTCGGTGCTGGAAGCAAATCCAATGGGAACGATGGTAGTATCGTCGGTCGACGAAGCACTTGAAAGGCTCGAAGATGCGCTGCTCTCAGCAGTTGCTGATGCTGCAGTGGCCTCTGACGTGGTAGTGATTGAAGCATCGCTAGAAGCAGAGCTGATGTCCGAAGTGGCGGCAGAAGACAGATCAAGAGTTGTTCCGCTCGACAACGGAATGGAAGTCGAGATGCCGATTGCGGCGGAAGTCGTCATGGTGGCATTATTAGGCACGAAGGAAGCAACGCTAGATGCTTGCGAAGCCGAGGCGGACGCAGATGCAGCAAGAGACGACTCGACAGAGGAAATCGATGCAGAGACTGAAGAGGCGATTGACGACTGGGCAGATGAGATGGACGAAAGAAGAGACGATGGAGGAGTGGTGACCGGGACGGGAATCACAAGGGTGCCAGAAGTGGAGGCGGTGAATGAGGTGATCGAAGGAGAAACACCTGTTGGCGCTACTGTAGCAGAGATGGCTGTTCCGCTGCTTATGACGGTACTGTCTGCAGATGAGACAGGGCTATCGGTTGCGGAAGATACAGAGGCAGTGTTTTCGATGGCAGTTGCCGAGACAAAACTGCTCTCGATACCAGATGTTGTAATAGTGCCATTTGCAGGTGCAATCAAAGTACTGGGAGCGGTCGTCGTCAAAGCATCGCTTGTGGCGCCACCGGGAACATTGCTGGTCGCTTCAGACAGGGCGGCTGAAGTAGTGGTTGAGACGTCTCCTGTGAGGTCAGTAGCCGTAGCGCTGCTCTCTGTCAATTGAGAAGGGCTTGTAGCACTGTCGGTAATGTTTGCGCTGCCAGTGACGGAGGCAGGAATCTTAGATGAGGTCAAGCCACTAGTACCAGCGGCGGTGTTGTCGGTGGACGTGGCTGCGGGCAGAGAGCTGGAGTCAGTGACAGATCCAGGGATGGCCTCGGTAGTGTTGTCAGTCGCGCTGGTTGGGGTTGCAGAGGCATCCGTGACGGTTGCAGAGGCGGTAGTGTCAGATGCAAGCGAGGCTGAAGCACTTGAAAGGAGGCTCGAGAAGTCCGAGGCCAGCGACGACGAGATGGCACTATCGGTAGCAGTGGCGACCACGCTGGACAGTACCGAATCCAAAGAGGAAGCGAGGCCTGACACACCCGACAAGAGACCACCTACGAGGCCAGTCGAGGTGGGTCCGTCAGACGAGGTCTGAGTGGCGTCGGTCGAGTCAACAGAAGCCAGAGAAGAGATGCCTGTCTCAAGGGCTGCTTGTGCTGAAGATACGATGCTTGACAAGACGTCGGAAGCACCAGTAGCACTAGCGCTAGCAAGAGATGTCACGCCGTCCGAGGTGGTGATACCGATAGGCAAGGGAATGATAGGACTGGTGGAGCTCTCAACCGAAGCGGTACCAGTGGACAAAGCCTCGGAAGAATCACCAGTAGTTGTGGCGAAGACGGGAAGGATGTCGGTCGAGGAAGTTACGATTGCAGTGGTGTTGTTAGAATCATTCTGGCCAGCCACAGGAGCGTCGGTGCTCGACTCGTCTCCAGTAGTTGCAGAAGCAGGAGCGTCAGTTGAAGTGGTGGGGAACCTCCATTCAGGAAGGTAGAAAGGCCGACAATGATACCACCGGCTGTGCTTGATTCTGATGTTTGGGAACCGCTAGTTGACGAAGGCGTGGGAAGGATGACGATGGCTGGAATGCTATCAGTGGGAGCAACGCTGTCGGTCTGTTGTGTAGTGGCAGTGGGCTGGACCTCCTCGGCAGAAGAGACAGGAACGCCAGTAGAGGCAACTGATGACTGGGCAACGTCTTGCGAGGAGGTAGGCTGCACTTCGTCAGAAGACTGAACCACGGGACCAGTCGAAGCAGTGTTGGCGCTAGAAGCTGTAGGTTGAACCTCGTCGGAGGATTGAACTATAACACCAGTGGCAGCAGCGGTAGGCTGGATCTCATCAGAGGATTGAATACCAGGACCTGTAGATGCAGCAACGGGAACAACAGTCTCGGTCTTGACGCCATCAGTAGATCCGACACTAGAAGCACTCGTATCGTTCTCAGTGGTCTGAGCAGGGGACGAAGCGGTGGGAGAGACGGACTCAGACATTACACCACCGGTGGAGGCAGGTGGCTGGACAGATGCATCAAAACGAGAAGAAGTTGCGGCTGCAGTGGGCTCGACGGATTCGGATACAGCTGCGCCGGTGGTGCCGACAGCAGGAGCAATGGTAGATTCGGCCGAAGCGGTTGGCGATACTGACTCGACGATGACATTGCCAGTTGAGCCCAGAGATGCAAGCGTACTTTGAGCGGTGGGAGAGACCGACTCGACAACATTGACTCCGGTCGAACCGACAAAGGATGATGGTGACGCACTTCTGGAGGTCAACTGAACAAAGTCCGATGATGATTCTCCGGAAGTTGGCTGCACAACTTCGGAAGTTACACCTCCAGTCGAGGCGACGGAAGAAGGGGTGTGGGCTGGACGCTCTCAGAAGTGACAATGCCAGTCGAAGCAACGACGCTTGAAGGTGCAGTAGGCTCGACGCTTTCAGTAGTAATCTGTGCAGTCGAAGCAACCGAAGACGAGGCAGTGGATTGAATGACGATCGAAGGGAGACTGTCGGTTGATGCGACCGAGGCCGAGGAAGATGGCGCGGTCGGCTGAACAATCTCGGAGGAAACCACTCCAGTTGATCCCACAGAGGCTTCAGATGATTGAACGCTGTCCGAGGTAGACTCGTCTGTAGAAACCACGGATGATGTCGGCTGGGCCGCAGAAGATGAGGAGGTTGTGGGTTGTACGCTCTCCGAAGTCATGACACCAGTGGATGCGACAGAGGAGGTGAGCTCGGTAGAAGGCGCAACTGTTGAAGGAGATGCAACAGTTGGCGAAACCGATTCAGTTGCAACATTGCCAGTAGATGCGACGGAGGTGGTAGCACTTGAAGAAGGCTCGGTAGATGGCGAAACTTCAGTTGCCGCTGAACTGACGGTGTTCTCGCTCGAGGACGAAGTCTCTTGGGATGTGATCGAATCGGCAGATGCGGTGGGAAGAATCGTGGTAGAGACTGACGAGCCAGTTGGTGCGACAAGGGTATCGACGGTGCTAGAAGTAGTCGCGGGAGTGTCGGAGTCGGTAGAGTCGCTGGTCGCAGCCGCTGCTGCGTCCAGCGCAGAAGAGGGTGAAGCGGTCGAGAAAAGATCTTGGAAGTCGAATGATGATGCCGAAGAAGGATCCTGGGATCCAGAGAAGAAGGAAGTGAATGCTTTCCAAGGGTCTGAGGTCGATGTTTCGGCTTCAGACGTCGAAGAGGAAGTAGAGGAACTGGTCGTGTTTTGCAGAGCATTCTGTCTTTTCACAGGGCGAGGGAAGTAGTATCGCATTTGTTGTCCAGGCTCGGCACCTTGCTGAGGTGCGGGGGCGGCCTCGGCGGTGGTTAGTATAGGACCCTGGACAGACATGACTGCCAGGGCGGCAGCCCATACAGCAGAAGACGTCCTCATGTTGTTGACCTGTGGTTAGCTGTCGGTGGGATTCGGGTCGTGAGTTTTAGCGACAAGCAGTGATCTACAAGCTTTATGGCTTGTGTATCAGAAGCGCGTGTATAAACGAGTGGACTTGACAACAAATGTCAAAAGGAGGATATTCTGCAGGCGTCTTGTCAGCACCGGGCCGGACTGCTATGCAAGGGGCCAGGAAGTCGCGGCGGTGGGAGCCAGGTGTGACTTACAAGATATTGAACAAAACCGGGCAACGGCCGTGGTGTTTTGGCAACAAGTGGATAGAGGAAGACCGAAGATGAAGGTGTCTGAAACACTAGAACATCGTTTTCCTTCAAGCCAATCGTGGTGAAATGAGTGTAAGGGGTCGGCGTTGGCAGACAAAGCGGCGTCGCAAAGGGCAGTTAAGAGTGGTGTGGCGGGAGACAACGATGTGTCAACGGTCGCGGCGGCGCACTCGTCAACAAAGAAGGAATCGACGTGCCAACACAAAGAAATCAAGACCGACTAATGCCAACCAACAAGGCACAAAGCGATGTCCTGAAGAGGTGGAGATTGTGCGCTCGGTGATGCAAGAGTATTCCTGTGCACACGAGAGTCGACGGGGGCGATGCTCGACGGACAATCTGACAATGCCAAAAGAAGAAGAGAATGGATGAATGAACGGGGTGAAGGAGCGAAAGGGTGATCAAACAAGGTGACGACTTTGATCAACCGCGATATTAGACGAGGACAATCAAAAGGCCAGCAATGGTTGATTAAGCGAAGGTGGGCCGGTTCTCGAAGAGAAAGTATGTAGGTCAGAAGTGAGAAAGAAACAAGAGTGCTGGAGGGGCTGCGAAAGCCGTTGTCGAGGAGCGCTGGCAAAAGGGGGGGGAGAGTCGAAAGGTCAACGGGCAGCTGCGCGCGCGCGTTGGCAGAAGAAGGCCGCAAATACGCAGTAATATGGGACCGTTAAAGAGGTAGAGGAAAAGATGGTGCGGCAGCGGTCAGAAAGCGACGACGTCGAGACTCGAAAAGACGTGAAGAAAGGAAGGGGAATAAGAGATTGCCCTTTCGGTTGCGGCTGCCAAACTCTCCGACCGTCGATATTTTTCCCGAATCAGCAAAGTACCTGAGACTCGTGCATCACCCTCCGCAGACTAACGGAAGCCACCACCAATCATGACACCCTCAGTCGCGCTCAAAATAGTTTCAATATCTGGATGTTCGGCTGGCTTGTGTCTTTTTCTCTTGGTCAATCTTCTATACCACGGCACCTGATACAGCCGCGCGCCTGGGCAGTCTTTTGTCCGAAGGATCCTGTCACAATGCCCTTCTTTGAGACTCAACGACGGGCTCTTCGTCATCAAAGTGCCGGTGGGTCTCTCTACAGATGAGACGCATGCGCAAGCATCAGAAGATCTCCCGCCATGTAATCCCCGTTTGATACACATTAGTCTACTGACAAGTCTCCACTTCTCCAAGCCTTCTCAAGCCACACGATCAAGCCGAGACGCGAACCAAACCAGTTCCATGTTAGCATCTCCAGGCTCTGTGACCGTGGCTAACGCCTGCCCTGGGGTCTCCTGCGCCAAATTGAAATTAAAGGTTTGTTCCAGCTCAATCCGTTTTCTGTCTATTGATTCAGGAGATCAGCTTTTAGTGAACCAAGACTTGGTTCGTAAACATCAGCTCCTAGCAGAAGTCAGTGTCTACAAAAATTCCCAGACAGAGGAAGACTACTCCCAGACGAATTACGACCTTTTTCTGAGTGGTTCTGTGTTGCTTTCTGACCCTGCAGTTCGGCGGGCGCACTAAGTTGGCATGAAACAGCCCGCTCCACAGTCGACCAAACCACCTTTTGTGACCAACAGCCAACAATGTCATTTAACGTGTAGAAGGTTTCCTCAATTCGGTATGCTTTGAGCATTCAGCCTCCACCAAAAGTCAGCCATAACGCCTTGTGTGTGTCCAGCGTCATGAGTAAGTCATGAGCAAGTCATATGAGACCGCATCTCAGTGCTTGCTCCTCATGGCCAGAATAATGGTGATACAAATTCATCATCATGGCAACGGCAAGCGAGGCAACAAGGCGACAATGATAGGCCCACGAGTGTTTGCCACTCGAGACTTGTTCCCATGCCTCGGTTGGAGTGACAGAGCCATCCTAGGGAGCTACTCTGCGCTTGACACGTTTGCAGCTACCTATTGAAGACGCAGAGAAGAAGAAGAAGAAGAAGAAGAAGAAGAAGAAGAAGAAGAAGAAGAAGATCCGGGTTAGACGAGATCAACGAGGCCATGGATGGATACAAATGGTGTTTGCTCTGAGCTGATACATGGCGCACGTCCTAGCTGTGCTCTTCCATATGGACTCACAATGTCCAGAGAACACGGAGGTGATGTACGAGTATCACACGTACAAGTATTCCGAGTAGTTTTCAGAGCCACCGAAGCTTCGACGCATTGCAACGTTTTGGATCCATGTCAGCAGGGCGACCCTGATGGTTGTTTGTCAACAACCACAACTAGAGAACAGCAGCATTCTCTGTGAGCATGCCACAGAAGTATTGTGCTTGTGTTGATTGCTTCGATGCTGTGATGAACTGTTTTGCTCTTGGCAGGCAGCTCCAGCTGAGAATGGCTGGTCGAGTGTTGATGCCTTCCCGTCGGATTTCCAACAGTCCTGTAGGGACTCAGGTGGGTGAAAATTGATACGAAAAGTCAATGCACACGCAGACACAACCCATGATCAAGGATCTCCAGTTACATAAGTATGTTCAGGGAGTCGGAAGATGGCATTCCAGAGGATACATGGCCGAGTGGCAGTCGGCGGACATCAAGGTGTTTGGCGAGCTCTTGGCTGAGCTCGTTTCCCCAGGCTTGCGGCGCGTCGTCGTCGAAAAACAGCACTCGACCAAGGACAGGCAATCCAGGGGAGATTCCAGTATCCAACAATGGCTCGCATGGGGAGGTTAGGCTTTCTCGCCGTGGCGGTAGCCTTTCATCTGATCTATGCCTACTCCATCTTCGACATCTACTTTGTCAGTCCGATCGTCAGTGGCATGCGCGAGTACAGCGTCGTCCATCAAGACGAAGCTCCAGCCAAACGACTCGTGCTGTTTGTCGGTATGACCAGACCAGTACTCTTGTCGCAGAATTGAGTGACAGCTGACCCTTGCATACCAGGCGACGGACTGCGCGCAGACAAGGCCTTCCAATACTTTCCGGACCCTTCCCCTGGCGCCGAACAGGAGGCCGACTGGCAGACACCGCGCCCTCTTGCTCCCTTTCTGCGATCGCGCGTGCTCGAGCACGGAACCTTCGGCGTATCGCATACTCGAGTCCCTACCGAATCGAGGCCTGGTCACGTCGCCCTCATCGCCGGCTTGTATGAAGATGTTTCGGCCGTCACCACTGGCTGGAAGCTGAATCCTGTCCACTTCGACAGCGTCTTCAATCGCAGTCGCCATACCTGGAGCTGGGGCAGTCCCGATATTCTGCCCATGTTTCAAGAGGGCGCAGTGCCTGGTCGCGTAGATGCCTTCATGTACGGTGCCGAAGAGGAGGACTTTAGCAAGGACGCAACTCATTTGGACACTTGGGTCTTTGAAAGAGTAGAGGAACTGTTTGCTAGCGCCAGCCAGGATCCTGATCTGGATGCGCGCCTTAGACAGGACAAGAATGTCTTCTTTTTGCACCTCTTGGGTCTGGACACCACCGGCCACTCTTACCGTCCCTACTCTCGCGAGTACCTGCACAACATCAAGATTGTCGATCAAGGTGTCGAGAAGATTACCGCCTTGATCGACAAATTCTACGCCGATGACAAGACAGCCTACGTCTTCACCGCCGATCATGGTATGAGTGATTGGGGAAGTCATGGAGATGGACACCCAGACAATACCAGAACCCCCTTGATTGCCTGGGGCTCTGGAGTCGCAAAACCCGTGACTGTATCTTCTGGCCTAGCTTCTGGTCACGACGATGAGTTTTCCTCCGATTGGCACCTCGATCACGTCCGGCGCAACGACGTTGCTCAAGCAGATATTGCTACTCTCATGGCATATCTCGCTGGCCTTCCCTTCCCAGTAAACTCGGTAGGTGAACTGCCATTGGCCTTCCTGTCGGCCGATCAGCAGACCAAGGCCCAAGCAATGTTGGTGAACGCTCAAGAAATCTTGGAAATGTATCGCATCAAGGAACATGACAAGAAGAACACCGTGCTCCGCTACAAGCCCTTTCCAGGCTTTTCCGACGACCAACACTCCCCAGATCATCGCATTGAGGCCATCGAGAACCAAATAAGCCAGGGACATTATGACCAGGCAATTCTAGATTCTGACGCTCTCATGAAGATGGGCTTACAGGGATTAAGATATCTCCAAACCTATGACTGGCTCTTCTTGCGTGCTTTGGTAACCTTGGGATATCTGGGCTGGATGGCTTTTGCATTTACTTATGCTCTGGATCAGCACGTCTTTGACGGCAAAATCGATGCAACTCGATCCACCGCGACTACGACTGCATTTTCTAGCATCTTTATCGCACTTCTTGCCTTCTTGCTAGTCCAGTCTTCTCCATGGACTTATTATGCATATGCCTTCTTCCCCGTCATGTTCTGGGAAGAGGTGTTTGCTCGTCGACAGGCACTTTCGCAGGCCAAATCCATGTTCTCTCAGCAACTATCCGGCAAGGATGTGCTGGGCCTCGGCTTGAATCTGCTCGTCTTTGTCGGAATTCTCGAAATCATGGTACAGAGCTACTATCACCGAGAGATGTATACGCTCTGTTACCTCTTAGCCATCCTTTGGCCTGCCTCGTACGGACTAGAGTTCTTGCGCCAGAACTGGATCATCTCAGCTACATGGGCATTGGCATGTGCTTCCATGAGCGTCTTTACTGTTTTGCCTGCCATCAAGGTCGAAGACACTCGGTTGATTATCGGGGGTGGTGCACTGATGCTCTTGGTCGGCGTCTTATACATTGCTTTTGAGAAGAGTGTACTTGTGCCAGCTACATCAAGTCAGAGTGGTCTAGCTGCTCCAAAGCCAGATCAAACCTCTAGAATGCTCACTGGCGTGCAAATCGGTCTCGTCGCATTGGCCATGATTGTCACGCGTACAAGTGTCGCTTCGCTGCAGGCAAAGACCGGTCTGCCCCTTGGTGCGCAGGTCACTGGCTGGGTAGTGTTTGTATCGTCCTTGATCTTGCCTTTTGCTCACTCGTTCTCGCCCAACAACCACTATCTGCATCGACTGGTCATCATCTTTCTCGCATTTGCACCCATGTTCATCATCCTCACCATCAGCTACGAGGGTCTCTTTTACTTCGCATTCAGCTGTACCCTGATCACCTGGGTCAGACTCGAACACCGCATCTACCGCGCTTTCACAACCAAAGGATCTCTGCCTCCGCCCACGAGCCCGGTCTCCGATCTCAACCCTCAGGCACCAGCCTTGACAGCATCTACAGACCGCGCAACCGCTCTACGCAAGCACCAATACCGCTCCCTCACCTTGGCCGACGCACGCATTGCNCTCTTCTTCCTCTACCTCCTCCAATCCGCCTTTTTCAGCACGGGCAACATTGCCTCCATCTCGTCCTTCAGTCTCGATGCCGTGGCCCGTTTAATCCCCGTCTTTGACCCCTTTTCCCAAGGCGCCCTGCTCATCCTCAAAATCTTTGCGCCCTTTGCTCTGGTGTCTGCAAACCTCGGCATTCTTACTCGCCGTCTTCGACTCAAGTCTGGCGCCCTCTTTGCACTGGTCATGGCGATTGGGGATTGGTTGACGTTGAGGTTTTTCTGGAGTGTCAGGGACGAGGGCAGTTGGTTGGAGATTGGAGAGAGTATTAGTGTGTTTGTGATTGCGAGCGCGCTTTGCGTGTTTGTTGCTGGGTTGGAGATGGTGAGTGAAGCTTTTGTCAAGGGGATCGAGTTTGAGGATGAGGTTGAGGTGGAGGGTGAGAGTTTCAAAAAGGGGAATGGTAAGGTTGGTGGTGGTGGGAAGGTGGAGTAGAGTAGACATGCGTCCTTTGACGGGTGTGTCGCTGAGGGATGTTATACAGAAACATGTGTATAAACTGAATGTAATATTTTCTCATGTGAAGGATTGGGATATTTTTGATCATCTTTCGGTCCCGCTATGTAAGAAGCTAGCTACCGAGTTGTTTTGTTCCTGCCGATTCATGAGGTGCTGGAGGCAAAGTAGTACAGTAAAAGAGAGGTCATGCCATCGTCGCCATGCTCGTCTCTGCATCGAGCATGAAGCAGATGTGATTAGAAACAGAAAAGGGGTATTATCAGCATAAAAAGAAAAGAGAAAAAAGAAAAAAGATCCAGCAAAAAGCCCGCATGAACGCCATGTGTATGCCCCCTTGGACAATGTCACTCATTGGTAAGCAGGAGGCGTGCCACCGCCGTGGTAAACACCAGCACCAGCAGCGCCAGAACCTTCTCTCATCACATCCAGCGTCTGTGGAAAGTAAGGTTCAACACCCCAGTTACGGAGATAAGCACCCGTCTTTTCAATCCTCTTGATCTCTCTCGCGACACCCCATCCTTCACCTTCTTCTCTGAAGCGGCCACGCACAATCTCCACCATGGCCTCATCAAGCCTGGCGTAGAAACTTCTGCGCTCACGCAAGTCTTCCTCGTCTCCGTTCTCGAGCCCGCCGTGTGAGTTTAGGTTGCCGCCGAGCTTGAGCAGCAGATCGAAAGCGTATTTGGGTCCTGAAGGGAGGGCGGCCAGGCGACTGATGTCGGGTAGGAATTTGAGCATGCAGGCGCTGAAGGAGGGGGTGGGCAACGAGTCGTTGAGGTCGTCTTGCAGGCGGTGCAGGTCAAAGTTCACAATGGTGATTTTGCGGTCGAGTTGGGCGTTTAGGGTCGAGGCTGCGGCGGTGGGGTTGTGGGGGTTTGATGCGTCCATTTGTTGGGCGATGCTGGGGGGTACGTNCTGCAGAGATGTGTCAGTTGTGATGGGCTGTGGATGGAGGGCAAGTAAAAGCGTACCAGGTCTCAGGCCTCGCTTGTCGATCCAGGCGTGGACTTCTCTTCTCTGGCCTTCGAGCTGCTCGACCCAGGCTTTGAGGTCGGCGACTTCGTTCTCGAGCTCTTCGACACGGTTGGTGTAGGGACGCACGGCTTCGTTAAAGGCACGCGTCAAGAGATCGGGCATGGGCTCTGGCTGGATGGGCGCAGACACGGACGCCGGCTTTTGTGCTCCAAAGCCATTGGACATGGGCTGAGGAGCCTGTCTCGACATGGGAGGAGCATTGAAGTTGTCCATGGATTGATGCTGTTGCTGTTGCTGCTGCTGGGCAAACATGGAGCCCTCGTTGAGCGAAGCCGACTTTGTGGGAGGGCCGCGCGCCGAGTCGGGACGATTGTCGTAGTCGTCGTCGTATTGCGTCTTGCTGTCGTGCGGCGAGTAGTTGGTGTCAATGTAACTCTGCGAATTGCTACGAGACCGCGACAGGCGCTTGAAAAACATGGTCGACGGATTGAGAAAGTGAATAAGAGGGCGGAGGTCAGATAAGAAAGACAAACGGCGGCGCTTGAGACGAGAGTGTGCAGGAAACAAACAGGAAAAAGGCGGAAGAGTTAATAACCAAGCAAGTAGTGGCTTTTCAAAGCGAGGTGGTTGGTCAGATGCTGCAGATTCGTGGTGCCGCCAGAAAACTCGCAGGCTGGGGGAAACCCTCCTCAAATAAGACCTACTTGCTTTGTGACTCTGTCTACGTGTTTATACATGGCCACGATGCGCTGGTCGCACACAACAGATGCAAGCTTGCAGCACGCGTCCTGCAACAAGAGAGATCCATGGCTTCTGTCGTGCTATCCTCGTTGTCGTTCAGCGTCCCTTCTCCACCTTTTGCACCCGCAGCCGTTGCTCGGCCAATCGTCCGAGCGTCTACCCAGCCACCGTGTATCTCATCCTTGGTCCTTGATCCTTGGTCGTCTGTCTATCCTTGGACAATCACCAGAGCAGTCTTATATTGGACACCAGCCATGCGTGTTGGCAAGAACCTGGTTCGTATCATACGCATGCCTGCCGGGCGGGCTGATCTTTCTGTCTTGAGACACGACGTCTATCTTCCATACCTCCTTCAATCGATGATTAAACGATCTGGCAAAATGAATGCTTCGTAGCATATAATCTTACGGGACGAGTATCGTCTTTGTATCTGCAATGCGCATTTGACGACAGACGATGTAAAGTCTTGTGCTTAGTCAGCTCGAGTAGCTCCTTCTGCGCAGCCTCTACGAGCGTCCTTGCCAGTTCTATCTTGCTCTAGGTAAATTGTCTCTACTTGAATCTTGCTCAGTGACAGAACTCTCAGTCGATTCGCTCTTGACCGCCTCATCACTGCTGTTGCACAGTTGCTTGTGTGCAGCGATCGTATCTGACATCGCTCTCCTGCCCTCTGTCACGTTCTCAAACCATACCGTCTCGACTCTGAAGATGACCGACAATCCTGTCGAATCGCTCAACATCACCTCTCTGCCCTTCTTGACATGTCGCGCAATACGCTCTTCAGTCCGGCCACATTCATTGAGACCTAGCAGTCTGCTGATATGCATGACGAAAACAACATAGAGCTGATACGACAGCCATAACACCTGAGCATCGTCGTCAAGCCACAGCAAGGCAATCAAGCCAGCCGGGAAGTATCCGACAAAAAGGTATACCAGCGACATTGACATGACCTCGCGCATTCGGTTTGCTGTCGCGTCCGAACCACGTATTGGGTGTCCATAATGCCGGCAAAACTGTCGCACAACATGATCTGGACCTTGTATAAGCACAAGACCGTGGTTGACATCATCCAGTTCGAATACGGCTTCGGCCTCACTTTCGCCATCGACTGCAGCTCTCAGACTCTCCCTCCGGACACTGCTTCCAAACGAGAAGACCTTGAAGATCAAAGGCAGCACAAAGTATACGCACAGCCAAGTTGTATGAGTGTATGCGCCTGCGATTACAGCTGCAGCGATAGCAGTCAGCTCGCTAGCTACTACACCGACGAAGCATTTCCAGGTCAGCTTGTCCTCGGACACGGCCACGATCTCGCTAGGTGCTGGTGTCTTGCTTGTACAACTTCTGAGGTACACATGATGCAAGGGAACATACGCTCGCTTAGATACTGCAAGAGCAGACATCATCTTCTCCTTGTCATCTTGTCTTGCCACATAGCCGTGCGCTAGAGAGCGTGCTACCCTCACCAAAAACCCGTTTCTTGATTCCTTTGCTGCACTTTCCTGGCCATTCAGGGTTCTGGCGAAGTACGAGACGTCCATTCGACTATAAAACGCGCTGCCAAGCATGTTGCCTCGAGTTTTGCCCAGATATAGTCCGTTTTTCTGAAATTTGGTCAAAGTCTCGAGTGCTGCGCGATGTAATGGACCTCCAGATGGCATGAGAAAGACGAGTCGGAGGAAGATGGTTAGACTGAGGTCACTGTAGTATCGCTGCGGCCACAGAAGTCGTTCGAACACGTTTTCTTCTGCAACTTCTGCGCCGAGATAACTCAGAATCGTACCTAGCGCACCGGTAATGTCCTTGAAAGAGACCATAGATAGGATTGGGCTCGAATATGGAAGTCATGAAAGCTCATCCATAGTTCAAAATTTCTGATGGGAGATACATGGGCTTTAGGACTGTCTTACACACCCATATGGATCAAGATATGCAGAACCATCGGGTGGCTGAAGGAGCCAAAATTAGGCGGCTGGATTCAATATCCACCAATCGTTAAGCACACCGAAGGTACTTGATTCGGCACCTGACTATCGATGACATCTGGCTTCGCTGTCACATTCACTTTGATAGATCAGCCTATACGTTCCGGTCGACTCTGATGGCGACGCTGCGACGTCGTACCGTTTTCATCATCAACTCAACATCACTTGGGCATTACAATGGCATACCATGGCGACCGTCGGGCTGGAAATTTCTGGAGAGATGTTATGCCACTATGGCCTTTACGCCTGCTTCACATTCCCACCATGACTTCACTACAGCGGACTGGTGAAAGTACTTATGGAACGGTTCGATCTCCTCGATACGCGATTCTGACTTACACCTGGGGTCGTTTCAAAGCCCCAAAAAATATGCCAGCTCTCCAGGTCAAAGGATTAGGCTGGAAGGTGCCTCCGATTGAGGAAAAACACTTCACTGTTAATGCTTTCCACAGAGTCATCTCTCATATGGGCCAGTCTGTAGACTTCGCCTGGATAGATGTCTGCTGTATTGATCAGGAAGATTCTGCCACCAAGATGTATGAGATCGGAAGGCAGGCTGGAATCTTCAAGCAAGCCACTCATGCCTATGGTTGGCTCAACTTCCACACGCATCGAAATCTGCAAGGACTTTTCGACATCATCTTCGACCTTGACAATATCATGTCAGGATGGGAACTTTGGAAACCTTCTAACACCCGAGACCAGTCCTGTGTTCCAAAGCTTAGACATATCTTGTCAACATTGGAGTCTCTCATGGAAGACCCCTGGTTCACATCTCTATGGACACTGCAAGAGGCCGTACTAAGGAGAGATGCTATGATTCTCTCCACCGATGGTTGGCCCTTAACTCTTCAGTTTGACCGCACACACAAAATCCGGCTCGAGATGTTTTGCAACACATGCTGGAATATACTGGTGAACATTGACGACTACGCAGACGAATGGCCGTCAGAAGCTAGACCACTTACCAGCCAGATACATCAAGTTATCCGTACATCCGGACTTTTCTTCACCATGACAAACAATCCAAATGTACAGTATGGTATGGCATACCACCGGGTCACCAAACGTCCGCTCGACCGTGTGTATGCAATCATACAGATATACGGCTTTCGACTGGGTGAGTCGCTGCAACCTGGTGTTGCTGTCACATTGGGTGATCTAGAGCTGCAACTGGCACAACAATTGACCTTTCGATCATCCATGCTGTCACAGTGGTTCGTGCATACCGCGCGACCGCCTGAGCATCGAAGCTGGATGATCAGTCAGCGCTCGCATGTGCCATTCGAACTAATCCTGTATCCGACCTACAGCGACAACATGATTACGCGTATGTTTGGCACCATCGAACCTACTCCGAGAAGAACAGCTACATTCTCTGGCTTTGCCCGTCCACTTTATCAGCTGGACGACATGTGTCGTAAAGAGCTCAAGAGATTTCGCGCATTGTACTTCGCTCTAGATGCCTGGTCTACCAGACCCTTGGAAACTATTCAAGAGCCTCGAAAGCTGGACTCTGATCACCACCACATTCCTCAAGGTTCTTTCCGCAAGATGTTCGAGAGAGAAGTGACATTCAGGCCAGGAGCTCAGCTGCAAGCGTTTCTACTGGGTGACAGCAATAGTACGAGTATACCTTATGACTACCATCGCGCTTATGCTGTGATACTAGTCCGGGAAAGTGCGACTACAGCGTGGAGAAGAATCGGTCTTGTTTGGTGGGAGACTGTTCACTGCGAGCCAAAACCAACCTACCACGAATTCGTTTCATTTGGAGCTGAGGTGCATTGAACAAGATCATCTTCTTCGCCTCAGCTCGGCAAGAAGTTGGTCCAACGCTTGCCAGGCTTCCTCATCGCAGTCCGGTTTCTGTACCTGGATTAGGTCCTTTTCGTCGGAAGACATGGTGCCAACGTGTCGAAACCAGCCAGATCTGGGGTTCCCCCGACGACGGTGACTCTTGGGTAGGGAGCCAAGTGGATCGAGTGGAGTAGTCTTTCTCGTACACTACGGTCTGGCTGGGGATAACTTGGGATCCCCTCGGGCACCAAGAGGGTCATGACGATGGCGAAAGGACACATTAACCTCCTCGTAGATATTAGTTGTGCGTGTGGTTGTCGTGACGAGCTTCACGTCTAATGGATTGCGACCCTACATGCCTTGAGCATGTTATATGGTGGAACATGAGACACCAAGAGACGTGGAGAGACCTGATGATGGCTTCAAAATATCATACCGAAGGCGCATGGATCTGATCGCGATGGCTTCGATCGAACTATGATATCAAGTCGGTTGACCGATACCATCCATCTTGCTCTCGTTGATTTTCTTGTTGATATAGCTTGAATAGACGAAACATCCCATCACTCATGTCTAGATAGCCAGGTTCACCACGTCTGTATGAATGCTCCTCTTGTGACGGGACGAGGAACGGCCGTGGAAGAGACCGAAGACTCAGTTCGACGCTGAGACGCCAACGATCCCATACTCCAAAGCCCAAACGCTGGAAAACTATATCACTGTTTGTATTCTGCATCGGACTGTCTGGTCGGATTCCCATGACTCGAATGAGCTCTGTTGTCTGGTTTCTGAGCAAGAAGCGACGGGTGGCTTGTTCGTAGGCGTTAATCGCGATCGATGGCGAAGGAACAGCTGCCGGAGGCCGATGAGAAAAGAGCGAGAATTCCTGTCCTTGCCTTGTGAGACTTCCGCTCGAGTCAGGCGGACACTGTATCGTGTAGGTTTGGAGGATCTCGAAATATCCGAAGCCGGTCTGGTCAAAGCCGACATGTCGTGGTGTGCTCGATGGGTATAGTGTAGGACCTTGTGTCACGCTTCTTACGATCTCGGCCACGAGTCTGTCCATCCAATCCGGGGCAAGATTGAACAACTCCCTTTGGACTTGCTCCGGTCCTCCCGCGGCTATTTCGTCTGGAACATCCGAGACAATATGGCATGCTCGCCAGCCAGCAGTCAACAGCCATAGTACATAGATCACACGGTTTTCTTCAATCCAACTAGGGTCCTGCAGTACACTTGGCACCTCGAAAATGACGCCTTCAGGGTGTTGTTGTGACATGGGCCTGTGTCGAGAATATCTAAAAGTGGCATCGGCCAGCTTTTCGTAACGAAACGTACTGAGATAGTCAAGCTTGGATCGGAGAACAAAGTACGCCAGATCATGGATGCGAACCATCTNGGCGATCGTATGGAAGATGACTGCTGTAGGCATGTCGGCCCAGATATCGTTGGTGCTACTGACCGCAGCTTGAAGTTGTTGCCACGTTGATTCGCAAGCGCGGGTCTGGACACTATAACGCATATGCATGAGCCGCATGTAAAGGACCATTGGAGCGAAAACCTCCTCTGGCATACTGCGCTGGACAATTGCGTCAAAGACACGGTGGGCGTTCAAGTTGAACACGGCGTACAAATGGGGTGATGAGAGTATGGCAGCATGCAAAGCCTTTAGGTCGGGCAATTACATGAGGATATACATCGGCAGCGGCGCCGGCAGGCTCGAAAGGAGATCCCGCATCTGAGATGTCATCGTAAGGGTTTCCAGCGTTGCAGAAATAATCAGGCGAGTGGTAGACGGCGAATCGAACTTGTGGTTTGCAACAAGCGTCGCTCCTTCCCCGGGGCACCACTTTGCAAATCCCAAGACCAGTGGTGTGACCCTGGTCAAGCCTTCTAAAGTCTGCCACAATTTATCTACTTGCAATCATTCGCCAAATCATGCAAGCATCTACTACTTTGCGACGAAGCTCTACATAGCGTTATCTTGTCTCCGCCACTGGCTGTACCCGTCTCTACCAGACTGACTTGAAGCCTATGACCGGCTTTTGCAAGGGATATCACCCTTGACCAACCCTGGAAGCCGGCGTGTAGAATAGTTCTCAAATTGTACAGGAGGAGATGGCTGGGCCCGGTAGTGGTTGTCGAGAGGTGTTTAGGTGTCTGGCAGTCATGTCTAAGTATTTTGTGTCTGATGTCATATGCTTCTTTGTCTAGGTAGCGAGTGTATACTCTGTCTATCTTCGACTTCGACGTAAATAATATATGTGCGCTCCTCACTCGTGTCGCTAGAATTGCATGCTTTTGTCTTTTCCCACCCTGAAGCTGTGTTTTCAGCCAGAACTCCACAAAGCCACTCTACTACCATTGATCTCCTTCATCACCACCATAATCGTCATCACCAATGCCAAAGTCTCCGGTCAGATCTCCGGTAGCAGCTTCGAACTCCTCGTCCTCGTATTGTGGAGAAGCGGGTTGAGCTTCTTGGTCTGACCAGTAGTCGCCTTCATCATCATCGTCATCCCCTTCCGCTTCCTCGTCTTCTGCTGGTGCGGTTGCTGCGGCTTCTTCTGTTGCGGGTTGTGCTGGTTCGGCATGTGGAGACGCCTGTGTGGCTGCTGGTGTAGGGAGAGCGGCTTGTACAGGTCCGGCCTCAGGGGATTGTGAAGCGGTAGATAGAGTAGCGGCGCGCACGCTCTCTGGTGCAGGCGTCGAGACTTCCGATCCAGCCCTTGACTCTCCATGTCTACGATCACCATAGATCTTGCCAAGAGCAGCATAGTTGACTCTTTGCGAAAACCCTTTGGGAGCCCTCTTCTCCAACATACGCAAAGAAGCATCTGCTGGCGACTCGACAGGCGTTCCTGCATCTGTGAGGACAGTGCCATCGCCCATGCGACCTCTCTTCTTGCGTTTGTTGGGTTTCTTGTCCTTGCCTTCTGCTTCCTCGAGTGCCTTCTTCAATTGCTTGGCTTGTTGGGCGCGAAGCCAGTCTTCGTTGTGAGCGACCCAAATCATCTCCTTCACTTTGACTTGCTCCTCGCTCAGTAGTGCGTTGGCGACTTCGGGATCATCAGCAAACTCGTCTTCACCGATAATCTCGGAATCGGAGACGAGAGTATGAGCACGACCCATGGCTTCGAGCCTTAGAGCGTTTTGTTGCACGATGGCGGCACGTTGTTGTTCTGCAAGTGTCTTTGCGCGTTCTTCAATCTTCTCCTTCTCAGCTTGTTCCTTGGAAGAGATACATTCACGTTCCAGAAGGATGTTCTGGATTTCGCCTTCGAGTTCTTCTTCAGCCATGAAATCGGCATCGGTAAGGGGTGGTGGTGCGATGATCTCCCTCTTCTTACGACCACTCTTGACTTTGATGATTTCGGTGGGTTCGGGTGTCGAAGATGTTTCAGTATTTGCTTGTGTATCGGAGACGACACTGGCGCTCCGGCGAAGGGCTGGATCGAGAGGAATATCAGGGATGGCGAAACCGTCTGCATCACGGCGGAATTGTTGTTGCTGAGTTGCAGCTTGAACGGTGGCATTACAGCGGGCGCTCGACACCTTTTGTCGCTTGGCGGATTGTGCTGCTTCGGCTTGAGAGGATCCTGGCTCAGGGGCTGCAGAGGACTGACGCGATGACTCTTTGCTCATTTCATAGGCCTTGCGCTTAAGCTGTTTCCTCAAAAGCTTCTGTTTTCGAAGTTCCGCTTCTAGGAGAGCTGGCGGATCGGCTTGTTCTCTGATTCTCACACCCTTTTCGCGGAACTCATCAATCTTGAGATGAGCAGCACGGGTACGCTTGAACTCTTCGAGACGTTTTGAAATCGTGAGATCGGCGACTTTGACAACGAAGACGACTTCTCTGACTGTGCGACGGAAGTTGTTCATTCGAGCTGCAAGAATAAGGCAGGCACCACAAAGACCAGCTGGATGTCTTCCAGTGACAATCCAATCTCTCTTCATACGGCGAATAATCTTGACGGCATCCTCAGCGACCTGACGTGTCTTTTCGCCAAACTCAAGCTTGCTGGCGTACTTGAGGATCAACGGTTCAATCTCAATCATCTTGGTAGTCTCCTTGAAGTCCACAAAGAGGTTAGCCAGTAGACCCTTGTAGGTATCACCCAAGCTAAAGACGTTGACCGAGATGACTTCGGCAATATCCATGAGCAAGATTGTATTCTCAGCCTTGTTTCGACAAGCGATGTACAAACAAGCACCAGCGACCTCATCAGCACGACGGCCTTGTGTGAAGTTGCTGTTGGAAGCAAGTTTCCAGATACCCATGGCCTTGTCTGAGACGTCGGGGGGGATGGGCAACCGTGCAGTGAACAAACGCAAGGATTCACGACCATTGTTCTCGCTGTCCTCCCTGCTTTGCATCGAAGCACCCAGCCTGCGAGCAGCAGCGGCGCCCAACGTCTTTGCGTGACGTGAGTTTTCATTGACGATACCACCTTCGACTGTGGCAGCACCGGTAGACGACTCTCCAAAAGTGACTTCGGCGACAATGTTTTGCTCGCTGACTTGAGTACCACAGTTCAGACAAATCTTGGCACCATCAATGACTTCGAAACTGGGAGCATCACAACCACATTCTGATCTTTTTGCTGGACGAGGAATTGGTTTGAAAGAGCCAGAAGTTTTGCCTCCAAGACCAGATAGACGCTGAGGTCGGCGAGGAGGAGCGATACCAGGCATGGTGTTGAAAGAGAAAGTAGAATTGAATTATGATTGAAAGCAGCAGTTGATGTTGAAGAGACGTCAGACTCCTTGATAATGTGTAAGAGTACTTCGACTTGGTGACTGGTAGTGGTTTGAGCAAGTCTTGGTGAACCAGGCCCTTCTGAGTAGTGAAGACAGTACCATGCAAAGGAAAGATGCGACCGAGACAAACGAGTCCAAAGTCCAGTTCTTGGCAGTATCAGCGCAACAACAACAAGTCGCGAGCGCAACGGATCAAAGTGTAGCAGATGGTCCAGATATGTTCCCGCTATACACGTGCGATGCAGGCTTCAGATATAGCAGGGCGTCCGGATGGCAGTCGATGGGTTGAGGTTGGTGCAGGCACAGTGTCGAGGTGCCGTGTGTCAGAATTTTGCGGATGACTTGTTGCTCACTTTCACGGCACTTTGGCGCGGCGGGAAAGCGCGCGATTTCGCCAACGAGGCTTGGCGCTCAACAAACTTCTGCGCTTGTGTTCGACTCTTGGGGTGGGCAACCACATTTGTGACGGCCTCGCGACTTTGACTCTTTGGCACTTTTCCCCATCGCTGGTGTCCACCCTCTGTGAGCCCACTGACTGACTATCATGGTCATGTTGAATATTGCTTCTTTGGTCGCACATGTGGCAGACACTGGATAGATAGCTTGATGTACGACTTATGCAAGCGCACGGTCGCCGCTTTGCCGCCGCGTACAATCTACACGTCGTCGCATGGAGAAATTCCTATACCATTGTCATTACTTCCCTCGATCACCGACAATCTCCGACAAATTTCTGAATGTCTTCAGTGTTTTGCATATATGCCGAGGAGTTCTGACAAAATCGCCTTGATGGGCTCAACGATGCGAATATGGGCATCGCGACGCACCTTCTCGTCATGCCAAATTCGCGAAACCAGGATCCAGAGCAAGCTCGTCAGACAGTCAACGCACCTCACAAACTTGGAGACTAGACTTGCATGGAACGTAAGGTCCGACACACCTGCGTCTAGTCATCACCGTCTGAGGCCATGGACAGCTCACTCTACGTCTCCCCGTCCAACTCTGAGTACTTCGACTAGCTTGTCGTCTCCGTGTTCGCGAAACTTCTCCTCATCCGCCATCGCCCTTATAACCAAAGAGAGTTACGCAGAGCTACGCAAGAACCCGGAACGCCTGGAGCAATATCTAGAGGAGCGCAGGGCAGCATATCGCCGTCAGTCTCCTGAACGCCGAGAATTCTATCTTGAAAGGCTCAAGCAGCGGTACTGGAACGACCACGAACACCGTGAAAGACTTCGGGAAGCCGCGCGACACAAAACTACCACTGGCCAAATGCGCAAAAGATTGCATCTTTGGTGCACTAGATATGCATGGTTTCGCGAGAGCGTGTCTTGGAAATCTCATCTTCCACTCCACACTGAGGACAAGGTGCGACATCATTGTGACGGTTGCGGCTATGAACGCTTCGCTGGCCTAAAACTTTGGTGGACCAAACTGGTCGACAGGAAGCCACGTTACCTGTGCCATAAATGTTACTGTACAACCAGAGGCTGGAACGATGTTATGCCAACAGGTTACGAAGACATCAAGTCATTCAAGGAGCTTAGCGTGCGCAAGAAACAGCTCGAACAGCCTGGGTCTGGAGGAACGAATTTTGCAGTGCCGACTGCTTCATCAACCTGGCAATCAACGTTCTCGCGCCCTGGGTCGGAAAAGGCGGTCAACATTGCTCTCTCCACCTCTCGCAAGTTCTCTTCCGGTCCTTTACACCGAAGAAAGACCTCATATGCTACAATGCGTTCAAATCCAGAAGCCTGGCGCGCTTACTTGGACAAAATAGCCGTATGCAAACAGAAGCGACACGACGAGGATCCTGAATTCCGCACACGCAGAAGACAGACCGAAAGACTCGGTCACGAACAGATGAAGAGCGATCCAGCATATCTCACTTGAAGGCTCATCAGTACCCTATTATCACAATAGCCATGGACTCGCAAGGGGCTTCTTTGGAAGTTATATCGTCCTATCGTTGCATCTGTGCCAGTCGAACATCATTGCGGCGAATGTGAAAAAACAAGACGTGGAGGTTCCAAGATTTGGTGGCGAACAGCCAACCAGACCGAAGATGATTTAAAAGCAAAACCTGGATTCCTCTGCCATACCTGCTTCAATCGCCAAGACGACTGGACTTGCGCGATGCTAGAGGGTTACGAAGACGTCAAAACCGTGAAAGAAGTTTCAGTCCGCAAGCAAGAACTTGTAGGGCTTGATGAGGGCGAGCGCTTGGGTCAAGAGTCGAGGATTATTACGCACGCTGCGAGTACTCTAGACATCGAGCCTTGAAGCTTTGGTGACGTTCGAGTGACGAGACAGTTTGCAATCTGTGCTACACAAAGGGGGGATTGGAACGAGATCATGCCCAAAGGATATGAGGATGTGACGACCATGAAAGAGTTACGTGCCCGGAAGAAAGAGCTTGAAGAGCAGAAATCCGTACGATGACAACGCTTCCTTGGAACAACCCTCGTCTTTTTGCTCAGAGAATCACCGCAGAGACAACAATTCAAGGCACATCATGTCATGTTGTACCAAGAGCACTACGACTGCCTCGATGGCTTTGACCTTATATTCGAGCACTAACTATTCTTGTGTTGTCTCCTCCTTCCTTGACTTCGATCCACTTTCTTGCACCTTTTGCAATCTTGTATAGATATTCAGGCATCAATTTAGCGGACTACGGGTTATCGCGTATTTTCTGTCTGTTTTGTTTTCACTATGCAAGCTTCGAATCTCTCTCTGTCAGTCAAGGTTAATGGCCCGATGTCCATCACGCACACGACTTATCCGCCGTTCCTAGTGCTTCCCCTGGATACTCATGTTTACCACAGCAGTGACACAGCGTAAACACCAACACATAAACACTGTGTCTTCCAAAAGCAACCAATGACAAAACAAACCTCGGACCCGTGATTCCACCTCCACAACACATGGCCCAAGCTTCCCTCCCCAGCGGGCCACTTCCAAATCGAGGCACAAACGTCTTCATAGCTCCTGCCCCGGATTATCAGCAGCTCCCAGCCGCACCCGCCGCGGGTCTCTTGTCCTTGCTTTGCCCTGTTCCGTTCTCTCTTCTCCTTCTCCCTTCTGTTTCCCCCTTTTCACACACCACACACGAATCACATAAAACACAATGGTTGGAACACGCAAACGCAGAGCTGAGGAGAGTGAGGAGGAGGAGCTTCAATCGCTGCCTGAGGACTCTGAGGAGGAGGAAGAGTGAGTTGACGTCATGTTTGCTAGCTACCGCGGTGCTGTCGCGTCTGTCTCATCCACGCGTGATGGCAATCGAAGCAGCGAAGTTGATACTGGGAAAAGATAAAGAATGTTTGCTAAGGAGAGCTGAAACAGGTACGACTCGTCTGAGGCAGAGGGCGATGCCGAAGAGGACGATGACGACGACGAGGTTGCTGCTAAGCCTGCTGGTATGTGTTACACTTGTCACCTACGCCCTCCGTCTCCCTTTCTCCTTTTTTCCTCCCTTCGCCCTGCCAATCAATACTCAACTAACCTCTCCTCACAGCCCCCTCAGCCTCGAAAAAGCGCAAGACAACCGCAACCACCTCCGCACCCGCCGACGATGACGAAGAAAACGACGACGAGGAGGAAATCGGCGAAGACGACGAAGAACTCGACCCCGCCGACCTCGACGATGAAGAGGAAGCCGCCGACCCCGAAGACGAGGACGCAGGCGAAGATGCCGACGACACTGCCGACAAGTCTGGTCCTGCCGCTGCTGCCAAGAAGGCCAAGGAAAGAACTATTCCTGGCGGCAAGGACAAGGCCGAGGTGGGCGATATCGAGAATGCCGAGGAGAAGGATGGCGGTCTTTGATGATGTGATGAAGCCATGTCTGGGGGTAGGGGTTGGGGTCAGGTTATCTGTATGATTGAGATGTAGTGAATGATCTTGCTAATCAGAAGAGTGTTTTCCTACGCATCACAAGTATCAATGAGTCAGGTGTTACACACAGTTCCACGTCTTGCTAGGCCTCGATCCCAGAGTTTGAGTTTCTGCGCTGCACACATTACCTTCGCTTCCAGCAGTAGCTCGTCACCATGTATAGGAGAGTGACATGCAAAGCTTCATTCTCAATCATACGGTGAAACCAATCCTCGAAAATACCAGCCAAAGAGATTGTCTCTTCTGCGTATCATAGTGCGTGTCGTATGGTTTGTGTAAGCAACACAATTTCAACGTTGTGGACGTCGATATACTTTATACCTCTCTCATCCTTGTCTACCTTACTAAGATCATAAGCTCTGTCACAGCTCACAGTAACCCTTCATGCTTTTGACATACGACTTTGCTATTAAGAAGAATATCACAGGTCCCTGCCTGATGATCACCTCTATCTCGTCTTTGTGTCTGATTTCGAGGAAGCAGAGGAGACTTCCCAAACGTAGTTTGCACATCATAGCATACGAGGAGGAGCTTTCACAATCATATCTCGAATCTCTATTCGATACAAACCTTCCACAACCATTTTTCTGACAAGCACGTTTGTTTTTCGACAGTATTCCCCAGACACGAAGATGCTTCCTAGGGGCTGATAGCATGGGTACGCCAGCCGTGAAGCCGCAGGGTAACTTACTGATTTGTATAGGCTTGTCATGAACGTTTTTGCTCTACAAGTATAACACGTCTGTAGATCATGTATGGCATTGTTGTCAAGAAGGTTTCCAAGAGCATTTTGATACATGAATGCATTTTGCTTTTCGTACTACCCAATCAATGGCCTAGAGGCAGCTCTTAGCTCACTTCTCACCTACCTCTCAGTGGTATCAACAAGATATTAGGACTGACAGTCTTGAAGGTAGACGCCTTCAAATGAGTACCGGCTCGAGCGATGCAGCACCTATTTCCAAGAGGTCACCTTGACTGCATGGTATTGCCACCAGCTCCAATGAGTTTGTAGCTCAGTGATATATGAGACCAAGATGGAATATGCTGGTACCCGTTTCGTACTCCCTCCATCGATAGTCCCGATGCTTGATGACCTGTCAGAGTTACTCTATACATGATGTGGACCAATCTGTTGGAGGATAGTAGTCACACAAAAAGTGAGGGGGTCCACCCAACACCTTGATCTAGCATACCACAATCAAATTGCTGACCACTCCTAAAGACCACCTCAGAATTACAAAAGGCAAAAGATTTTCCATGCGAACATACTTCGAGCTTGTAGTGATACTGTCATGAAACTTCAACACTACCTCCTCCTCCTCTGTTTGGTAGTTCTACCTTCATGGTTTCTTCTCTACTACTTTCTTCCCTACTTCACCATCTATTCACCCCTCCGCCGCATCCCTGGCCCCTTTCTCGCAAACTTCTCCAATATATGGCTAGCCTACCAGTCCCGGCACGCACAAAGATACCTTACTGTGCACTCTGCCCACCAACGCTATGGTACCCTCGTACGTATCGGCTACAACCACATCTCCATAGCCTCTGAACGAGCCATCAATGTGGTACATGCACATGGCAATGGCTTTCTGAAAGCAGACTTTTATGATGCGTTTGTGAGTGGCGTGCCAGGGGTATTCAGCACAAGGGATAGAGTGCAGCATGCAAGANNAAAAAGAAAGCTTGTCGCGCATGCCTCCAGTGCGAAGAAAGTCGTCGAGTTTGAAGGATATATGGCTGAGAATTTGCGAAATTGGGTTAGAAAGTTGGATGAGATTACTGCAAGAGGAGGAACAGATGGATATGCGAAGGTGGATTTGATGCCGTGGTGCACATATATCGCGTTTGATGTGATAGGCGCGCTGGCTTTTGGTGTGCCGTTTGGGATGGTGGAAAAAGGAAAAGATGAATTCGAGACCCAGTTACCAGATGGCTCTGTGCTACTCACCAAAGGAGCAGAGATCTTAAATCGACGTGGCGAGGTCTCGTCGACTTTGGGCTGGTTACCTTCTTTACGGCCATTCGCGAGATACCTTCCTGACCCCTGTTTCTCCAAGGGACTGGCTTCGATTCAGGATTTACACGGTATAGCCGCCAGAGCCGTCTCTGATCGTCTGGCCGAGATGGAAAAGCAAGAGGACAACCATCTCGATATCCTAGCCCTACTACTCAAGAGCAAAGGTCCCGGTGGCTTACCCATGCAACCCGACGAAATCACCTCAGAAGCCTTGACGCAATTGATAGCAGGCAGCGACACCGTGTCCAACACGTCTTGCGCTATAGTCTACTGGATACTAGCCGGCGAGCGCGACGCCCCTGGTACTATACTGCCTCGCCTGCATCAAGAACTCGATACCGCAATTTCTTCCTCGGCAGCCATAGCATCCTATGCCAGAGTCAAAAGTTTGCCCTTCTTGCGCCGCTGTGTAGATGAAGGAATGAGACTGCACTCGACCTCAGCAATTGGTCTACCTAGATTAGTCACTGCGGTATCTGGAGTCTGGTTTGACGAAATTCACTTTCCTTACGGAACAGTGCTAAGTGTGCCTAGCTACACTGTACACCACGACGCAAAAATCTGGGGAAACGATGTAGGGAGGTTCAATCCGGACCGTTTTCTCGCCAAGAACCTTACGAGTAGGCAGAAGATGGCGTTTAATCCTTTCAGCCACGGACCCAGGGCTTGTGTGGGACAGAATGTGGCGCTGATGGAACTATCCTTGATCGTGGCAACGCTGTTCAGACGCTACGATTTCGTGTTGGAGCAAAAAGTGTTGGAATGTACTGAAGGCTTCTCAAAAAAGCCCGTCGAATGCTGGGTTAGGATCAAACGAAGGATATGATTTTGAAGCCGAAAAACGGCAACTTCTGGTAATTCTCTGGTATTACAATTACTTTTTATGCTGTGCTGGATATGATATTATAGCCACCATTTCACCGTACAATCTCATACCTTGACAATGAGTTTACCTCCTACTTTCATGAACCTAACTACCACGAAGAAGGCAGCGGCAACAGCACAAGAAACGCCTCCGTATACCCAGAGGCCGGTCCAGTTGTTGGTGGGGCCATAGTTCTGCAAGATGGCACCGCCACCAGGTCCNNCTGCACAAAGTCAGAATCAGCAATAGCGCTTGGGAGAAAAAAAGAAAAATGTGGAAGAAAATTATCAGAAAAACACCACGAGTTTACCAAGATCCTTGACAACCCGTGGTACCAGGATTTCACTTACGCCAGCTAGAGTTCCGAAGCCAATAAAACCGAAGGCCATGCCTATTCTGCTGCCAATCTTGGACTTGTCTGCAGTCAGGGCAACGAGACAGACGGGGGGTAGAGCGATGAAAACTCCAGAGAAGAAACCAAAGAGAATGGCGAGTGTGACGATACTGCCTAGACCGTCCACGGCAATCATGCAGAAGATGAGGATCGAGCAAACAGCCGCACCAGGAAGAATGATGTTGAACGAGCCAGTTTTGTCGGAGAGAGCGTTGGGCAACGTACGACCGAACACCGAGGCTGCATTGAGGATGGGTACAATGTAGAAGGACATACTCGCATCGGTATAACCCTTGGATTGGCCGAAGAATGAGAGGTAAAACAGAACGGTGTAGAGGCCGATAAACCCAATCATTGTGCCGAGAGTGAAGAGCATGAATGGAACATCCTTGAAGACTGTTGTATCAATCAATGCACGAGCCCTTGGAGGCTTGACACGCTGTTTCATGACGAAAATGGGGATGAGCAAGGTGGCCAGAGCAAGGAAACCCAAGACCCGAACAGACCAACCAAAGCCAATCTGGTCGAGCAACCTATAGAAGACAATGGGGTAGATGATACCACCCATCGAACTACCAGAAGCCGCGAGACCAATTGCAAGACCGAGTTTAGTGTTGAAGTACGTCGGGAGAATGGCAACGGCAGGGACGAACAAGAGTCCAGATCCGATACCAATGCAAAAGCCCTGAGCCAGAAGGACTTGCCAGAAAGTGTGACAGACACTGAGGGTCATGAATCCTACCACGATGAGGAGCGAGCCAACGCAAAGCAACGGACGAAGGTATCCTCGATCAAAGATAGGACCTGAGAGGAAGCCCATGAGCAACACACAGTACGACTGGATGGCACCGACCCATGAGATGTTTGATGACGAAGCATGGATCAGAACACCAGACTCGTAGTATGTTTGGAAGACTCCGAACTAAGAGAAGCTTGGTTAGTTAAGCTTAATTGAGTGCCAAGGGTGTGTAGACCAACAGTGTTGAGAATTCCTGGATGCCGGTATTAATTTTTTGGTTCACAAATGTTGGAATAGCATGATTACTGACCCCATGTATTGAAGAATAACGCGAACCTAGAAAACTTAGCATGGTGGTCGATGGTGTCAGAGAAGGTGTGGTCAAGTTTTGGTGAAGAATCACCAAAATCGCCAAAATTTGACCACACCCCACAGTGTAGCGGGATTTCTTACCCGGCCTGTTTGACGTCAGTATGGTTGCAATGGTAAGCACATATATATAGCAGAGATTCTTACAGCGACTTGTAGCCATGCTTGAACACCTCCGTTAGGTACATTTCCGAGAAAGTTTGGTGGTGGAGCTCTTGGTGCGGCGGCCTCGACGTCCTTTTCGTTGCTGTTGACAACAACTTCGGTGTTTGGTGCAGCTTGCTCGTTGGGAACGACGGGAGGCTTCTCAGTCGGCGATGTTATTGATGGCAAACTCTCACTGGATGTTTTCAAATGCGCCATCTTGAAGGATGGGTAGGACAGAGTACAACAAAGGTATGAAAAGGGATGAGCCGTGTGAGAGGAAAAACCGGTGATGGTTGTCGGCGGGTGCGACCAAGTTATGTACCGGTAAGGGTCTAGTTTCGGACTGGAGGTTCGGTCTCCGACTCTGTACGAAAAGACCGAAGTCCTCGATTGGCTGCACTTTTTCGAAAAGACAACGACGATCGTTCGATGATTTCAAACCAGGGAAGGATCAGAAGCGGCGTCTGTATGTGGACGCCTGCGACAGCACAAACAACCAAGTATTTTTGTAGTTTGTGGTGCGCAGGGCCTGTTGTTTTTGGTGATGCGCACAAGATCTGCCGTGTTGCACACGCAAAAGCCACGCGAGATGGATGAAACCAACGGCTCTAATCTCGGAGATAAGACGCCCGCCTCAGCCGTTTCGCTTGAAATTGTCCGCTCGCGCGAGTGATGATGCTGTCAACGGACTTTGATTCTGATCGCGAGCTGGAGTTTGAATCAATCACCACCTGTTGAATTTTCTTTGTCTGTCGTTGGCTAAACGTTACTGACGGGTATCACTAGTTATGGTCGGCGCGCGTGTTATGCTGCCACACTCCCTGCATTCAGGAACATGCATCGATGTGGCTCTTACGCACTTGCGCCATGGCTAGATGTCTGCATGGTCGTTTACATACTTTCTCAGCTCGGATCGACTCTTGAGTGGATGCGTGCAGGCAACGCCCTTGTGATCTAGTGGAAGAATTTGAGATATCGTCGAGCGTGGGTGCCGTCTCGAGTGCAAGACTATGAAGTGCTCTGCTAAAGCTTGAACCTTGCACCGATTGTATAAGCACACGTTGTATGTACTTTCCTCGATATCTTTGTCGAAAGCTGAGTCCATTCTTCTATTGGAAGTGATGGGGAACCCCCTTCTATGCTTGACAGCTTTTGTTGCGACTCTAAACATGATTCGAGTCTGCGATAGGGAAAGAGAAATAGTCAGGGTGATTCGCCAATCAAACAGCCGCGACAAGACGTGACTTTTGGCCACTCGGGAAACATGCTGTGTCCCAGATGAGCTATCTTCCATCCAAGTTGTACCTCTTCACTGGGCGCCACAATGTAAGGACACAAACTCACGTGTTTACAACCGTTCATATCGCAGTATGTTGAATTGTTCTCGATCGTCGTGTCTCATGGGTATATATAGTACTCTTCAAGCTTGGTGCGATACTTCAAATAAACCTAAGCTGGCACTGATTAGACTCCTGATCTTCCGACACACGCTTAATGAAGAATTGAACCAGCCAAGCTCTCTCGCGTATGGATGTGTCCGATTCGTCGAGACATTTTCAGGCATCTTGTCACAGACATGCTGTGCAGCAGCTGTATAGCTGACCTCTTCTGGAGGAAATACGCGCTCATCGCGCCATCTCCAGGGTGCCAGTATTCTGGTCCGTGGTGGCTTGTGGAAGATCAAGCCTCAACCGGTAGTTGTACAAGGCCTTACTATCGCAGAAACCGAGGCTTATAATGAGCATCTCACACACTGTCCAAGTAACGAGATTCGTAGGCAACCGAGGAGCGTTTCGAGATGTGTTCGCGTTCCTGTATCAAATTGATTGACAGTGCACCGTGTGGCTTATATACCAATAATCGCGACCAGCAGAGAAACCGACAACAAGACTGTACCCACACTGTTCGACAGACCAGCACCAGCTCTCAGATCCGGAGCTGTCGTGCTCCCAGAGGATGAGTTGCTCGGGTTAATACAGAAATTGGTGCTATTGCCGCTTGACGCCAGACTTGTATTTGCAGGGTTGCAGACCAGAGCCAAAGCAGTTTCCGGCGATGTCAGAACTGCTGCCAAGGTACCGTTGATCATGCCTTCCTCCCAGCCAAATGGTGTACACGCTTCCACAGGTGTGCCATCGAGATCTTTGTTCTCGCATGCTGAGAGAATGCCTTGCGTGCATCGATATGTAGGTGTGAAGCCGATGTACCCCGAAGAGCCCTTGTGGATCGTGTATGTGGTGTTTTCTACTGCGCCAACTAATGTCGCGTTGAAAGAATACCCAGTCGCGTTGCTGATAAGTTGAAATGCCCAGTCCGGAGTAGAGTCCGTCAAGTTCGTGGTGCGGCGGTCGGTCACGTCTCCGCCAACCGGTACTGAGCAGTCAGAAGTACCATTGCAAACGACACCTTGGCTGACAGCGAAAGTCATAGAGGAGGGTTTCGTGTAATTGTTGGCTCCTATGATGGTGAAGTTACCACAGGTGGCTGCTGCCTTGGTTTGTCGGCAGAGGGCCAGCACTGATAGTAGCGATGCCGAGATGAATGACTTCATCGTGTAGCTGTCTGATGGTGTCGATGTAGGACAGGGATAAATCGAAAGTATTGGAAGAGGCAATATCAGTTTGTAGGATGGAGGGGGTGAGAAGATATATCAGCGCTGACGGATCCTTCGGATAGCAGATACGGAAGATGCGCAACGCTACTCCGGGTATCAAAAGGGGCCTGACACTTGGGCACACTCCAGATAGATGATGTAAACAAATCCATCATAGTAGTTTATGTCATGATGCCAAGTTCGAAAGAACGGTGGAGCGCATCATCGCCCCTTCCTCGGAAGGTTTCTTTGACCCCAGATTTTGCAAAGGAAAAATCAGCCTCATCTTTATTTCTCATTCCCGGCCCATATTCAACCATCTTCATTTCCGGCAGATCAAGAATTTTTCTGGAGCAGTGGCGAGTACAGTGAGAATCTTGGACGAATAAGTGTACTCATGAGATCTATTTGCCGAGTAGCTCAGAGGTTGCGAACCTCACTGCTCAGCATTTGGTGACAAAAAGATATCGGGACGTACGGATGCTCTCTCGATCATCGCACAGCATTGCATGTCCGAGGGAACTCTAATGAGCGACCGTTCTTCTTGAGTTTCTTGTCATGAACCATATGGAGTCATGGCCACAACTCGGTCGATAGCCCTAAGAGCCAAGTATTGATGCAGCTTCTCCATGTGCAACGGACAGATAGTCACAGCGTAGTTGCAGAAATTCGCAATGCCTTCAGTGAAAGAGCAATATTCGCGGAGAGAACGTCAGTTCTAGTTGTCTCTATGGTGACATCTCTTTTCGAAGAAATCACTGTGTGTTTCTACAGCTCATCATGACACATGCATTACTTTGGCCAAAAGGCCAGACATAGGGTCGTTACTGTCTTCTTTTCTAATTCCAACGCTTGATGTGCATGGAGACAAGAATCATAGAAACCCGTCCTTCCTGAGCTCCTCGAACGACGTGACCACATCCCTCGAATCGAACTCCTCGTTTCCTCTCGCTCTTGCAAGCAGCCAAGCACCTTCTTCTCTCCGCGCCGCGGCGATTTTNNTCTTCCTTGTTCCAGTGTGTATAGCACTATACACACTCAGATAGAATCCTTGTGCGGTATATCCTATCAGACCAGCCAGTGCGGCATTGGGCTTCCAAATCATGCCTCCGATTCCTATACCGAAACCCTTCAATGCACCCAACGCCCCCTCTTTCTTTGCGCCTTTAACAGGCTCGGTGATAAAGCCGAATAGCCCGTCATATAAGCCAGAGACGAAGCCTTTACCCGCGACAATACTACCACTCTTCCAGTCGGTGACAGGACCGAAGTTGCGCGGCTTGTCGCCGTACATGGCGGGTGCGTTCTTCAGACCTTCGGCCAAGGCGAAGGGCATGTCGACCAATCCGCCCTTGAGCATTGAGGTACCTGCTTTGCCAAAGGCTCGAGCTATAACTCTGCCGCTGCCTGAACTCTGCTTCTTATGCTCGAGCCTTTGGCCAGTCGTTGTCATGATAGATTTGTTGTCTTCATCGTCTTCATAAGCGGTGATGATAGAGAGGGTGTCATCGCGGTCGCCCTCAGATGGTCCTGAAGACTTGCTGCGACTTCCGGATCTTGGTGTCGACGTTCCAGAAACAGAGAGTTGCCCGTCTTGACTCTTTGACCGCGATCCCTTTTTGAATCCGACACCGATCGCTATACCAGATCTGTACACCGAGCCGATGGCTGCGCTGGTAGTGCCTGTGAAAGGATCCCAGCGTCGGTTTTCAATGACGAAGTTCTTTATTTCATTCATGCCCAACTTCTTGTCATCAATCTTGAGACGATCGACTAGAATTGCAGCTGCCAGCTTCGAGAGCTTGATAGTACGCTTGGAGGCAGCTTTGTATGTCCATACCGCTGGCAGATGAGGTAGGATGTCGCAGCGAAGGGTATAGCGTGGTAGATTGCGGTGGAAAGATTGAACCGCAGTCTTTACGCCGTTTTCTGCTGACATGCGCTGGGCGATCGCACGAGCGGCCAAAGCTGCTTCTGGTGTCGTAAGGAATGTGATCGCTTCGCTGAGATTTTCGATTGTGAGATTTTTGTGATGAATCGGTCTGGGTCCCGCGCCGGCTGCATGGATCATCTCGCCCCAGAACGGTTGACTGCATTGATATCAGTAAAGCTCACACATTTTTAACAGCTAGTAAAGCACTTACTCGCCAAAGAAGGGGCACACGAGAGATGGAAGACCATTCTTGAGGCCACAAGCAGCCGTACCTGCTCCTCCATGGTGTATGACAGCTAAGACGTTTTGGAAAAGCCATTCNNTGATTGCATCGTTAGTCTTCTAGAAGGCGAATGCGACAGAATTCAACCTACCGTGTGGACAGTCGCCTAACTCAAAGATGTCTGGCGAATTCGATATATTGCTCAAACCAGCCCATCCTTTGGAGAGGATACAGCGAACACCGGTGCCTTTGACAGCCTCGGCAATGATCGTAGATATTTGTTCCGGATTCTCAAGAACGATGCTGCCGAAGCCGATGTATATCGGTGTTGGTCCATCATTTAGAAAGTCTTGCAGGTCGTACGGCGGCGTGTAATCAGGCATGTCTCGAAAGAAGAATCCGCAGACGTCAATGTGTTGTCCCCAATCTTGCGGCTTGGGTACGAGAGTACCAGACCAGCAATATGTTGTAGGTATGTTTTGTGTGTATGCAAGAAAAGGTCCTTCGGTCGTGGGGACTGGCTCGAGGTGCATAGTCTCACGCCATCCATTCACTACATCAGCGAGACCCTGCCACGTCATCCACTCGACCATGGCGTATGAAAGCCGATTGACCATGCTTGGCTCTGCCTTATTGTCTTTGATGTTGGCCAAGGGATGTGGAAAGCTTTTCGTCGCTGTCCAGGGCATAGTGAACATAAGATGTACCGGGATGCAAAGAGCCTGAGCACAGTGCACATGTGCGAAACTCGGTGGATTGGCAATGATAGCATCAGCGACGAAAGGTGTACCTGTGATATCATCTGGCATGATACAGGATCTCCAACAGCCTTCGAGCATTTCTCGAATCATCTTTCGCTTTTNTGTGATCTCTCCTGCTTGCATCGTCTTCATGCTGGGAATTAAACCAGGATTCTTGACCATATAGGCCATGAGTTCGTTTGGGTCACCTCCAATAGGATAAAACTCCAGTCCAGCTTTTGTGACAAATTCGCGGAAAACACCATGTGTCGCTAGTCTGACTCTGTGGCCGGACCTTTGAAGTTCGTGTCCAAGGGCAATGAAAGGCTGCACATCTCCACGGCTACCGACGATCTGGATGACAATGTTGTGGAATGGTGGCGATTGTTCGAGATCTTGGAGTGCCGGCTCATAGTAGTCGATTGGTGGTTGTTCCGGAGGATCTTTGATGAGAACCGAGAGGGTGCGGGCAAGTCTTGAGTTGACATCAAGACGAACCCGACCATCATCTTGTAAGCGTAAGTCACCATCGCTAGCAATCGCAGTGTATAGCGGCGGCACATCGTTCCAGTTCATCTCGTCCAGAGTGTCCCGTGTTGTGTTGTGTCGCGAAGAACGCGATGTATCATTTGAAAATGTGGACTCGGAATATGACTTCTTCATCTTGATTATGAACGAAACGAATGAGTTGCAGAGGAAAATGTCACCGGCAGTAATGGGCGACACATCACTATAAGGATAAGTCTTACCAACCATCGTGTGATCTTAGATTTAGCTTTCATCTTGTTGAAAGACTATTCCGTATAGCAGCGTATCTGTAAGAGCGTATTGCGTACACAGCGTATTGCCGAGTCGTGGGCAGCTGCGCCTGACCCCCAACGTCTCAGATCGAACTTTTCCTTCTCGTCTTGACATGGCCTGGACGACAAGGCACTCCACGAAGGTAAAATGAAGGCGGCCGTAACGTCTGGCAATGCCGCATCATATTGTTCTTCACATGTCGCGAATAGTTGGACGTCAAAAGGGCGCCGGACTTGAGAGACGAAAGCTGCGCCCGAAAGCAACGTCCGACATGCGATGCTGATGTAAGCGAAATCAACTCGGACGCGGCCCCGAGCAGTGCGTGCAATCCTTCCTCTAGGAGGTACAAGGGATGCTTCATAATCAGACTCTATCATATGAGCGGGCATACAAGGAGTAGGACATTTGGTCTTGAGTATCCATTTTCCTACATAGGTATTGGACACTCTGACCCTTTTCCGGATTGGTCGAAGGATTGAGGACGTACGAGATGCAGGCGCTTATCTGTGAGCTGCTGCTTACAAAACAATTCGACTCCTACCGCAAGCTTTCTAATCAATCGAACTCGTCAGATCCTTTGTCTACAAGATATAAGGCAGCTTTGAACTACGATTGTGACTATCCATACCATCAACTCACGCTTTTACCTCCAGCGCAATGACTTACAACGTACTGATTTCCGGAGCCAACAAGGGCATTGGCTATTCCTTCGTTGAGAGATATCTCAGTCGCCCGAACACAACGGTCATAGCCACTGTCCGCAATCCCGATTCTGCAGAGGCCAAGAGCCTTCATGACCTTCACCTGGCTGAGGGCAGTAAGCTCATCATTGTGAAGATCGAAAGCACATCCGACACAGATGCTCAACAAGCTATTGCCAGCCTCGCTGACCACCAGATCACGCACATCGACCTTGTGATCGCGAACGCCGGACTATATGCCACCAACGCCTTTGTCGAAGTCTCCAAGATTCGCACCGAAGACTTGATTCAGCACTTCAACGTCAACACCGTCGGGCCTCTTCGTTTATACCAAGCCACATCGTCCTTGTTGCAGAAAGCTCAAAAGCCAATTTTCACTTATATCAGCACTGCTGTTGCATCCATATCGATGCAAGAATACTTTGACTTTCCCATGGCGACATATAGTACTTCCAAAGCTGGGATGAACCTTCTTACCTACCGTATTCATATCGAGAATCCGTGGTTGGTCGCTTTCGCGGTACACCCTGGGTAAGTTGAATCAATGTACATCTACAGATTCGTAGCCGAGCATAGGCTGACGAAACTTCATCATAGTGTTCTCGAGACGGAGAATGGTCTCAAGGCCCAAGCAGCAACAGGCATGTCAAAGGACATGGTGACACCTATGGAGACCGCTGTTGACGGTATGGTCGGAATGGTAAGTAGTCAGCGCTAAGCCTATATTGCTGAGATGCTAACGTCCATCGCAGTTNNTGACAAGGCGACTCGCGAGGAGACCTCTGGCAAGTTTTTGTCTTTCGACAACACGCCCCTGACCTGGTGATGTGCCTCCCAGAAAAGGTCGAGTCCAATGCCAGCAGGAAGAAGGGAACAGGAAGCAGGAAGGAGAGTTCGACAATTTACCGTATGGAATTGCAGCTGTGTTCCTTCAATGCATAATTTCAACTTCTCAAAACGCTTCGGTGTGATACCGTATTTGTGTGAAGCGTATTTCGTATCGCACGAGTCGTGTGCGTCGCATCTTGGCCTTTGACACGTCTGGCTGTGTACTTGAGCAATTTCAAAAGATACCATGTCTCATGGTGAGATGAACTATTCCCAGAGCTCAGGTCCCTGGCTGCTTTGTTTAAAATGACACGGTATGCCCACACCTTGGTGAAAGATTATCGTAGCTCGAGTCTCGCCAAGACGAGTCTTTCTGAAGCGTCCAGCAAGGCTTCTCTTCCTCGTTCGCTCGCTGTCCATGGTACAGCAAGTAGCAACTATCATTACGAGAACGCTTCTCAGCGATTCAAACAGGAATTATCGCTCGGCATGACCACAACAATTTACCCTTGAAATGTGTCAAGACACATATTCTGAGCCTTGAACGCGTCGGAATCTCTAGTCGACGCTCTTTACTCCATTCGACGAGATAAATCTCAGCTCCATGGTTCGGGTAAAAAGTTTCCAGCAGCTCTTCTTCGGACACCCGCCAGTATTATGGACCATGGATGAAAGGTGTTCGAGAAGGGCACAGAAATGGAGCTCCCCACTGACAAGCTATGATGTAATCAAACATCACCTTCATTCGCCGTGATCACCGAAAAGAAAGAGCAAACCCCGATCCTGCCTCCTCTCTAACGAAACTTCTACTCGCGAAACACAGCATACCAGCCTTATCACGGCCGAAGAGAATTGTTCACCGGGCTCAGTCGAAACACGCCGCCATGAGTCTCTCCCGCGACGAACAGATCGCCGAATATGGCTGGACAGCTCTCCCCTGCGATCCCAAAGAATGGGGCGGCGGTAAGAAAAACAACAAAGATCCTGTTCCTCAGCTATGTAGTCAGGTACCTTTGCCTGATACACCCTTGGTCAAAGCCGCCGTGGAGCATGTGAAAAACGAGCTTCCAGAGCACACCTTCAACCACAGCATGCGAGTCTTCTTCTACGGTAATCTCAAACTGTATCCTTACAGCATACGCACAAAGGCTGAGTGGAGGATACANGGTATGGCAATAGCCACCCAGCAATTCCCTTCTTGGAAGTTCAGCCCAGAGACATGGTTACTGACCTGCCTATTCCACGACATCGGGACTGCGGACAAACACACCCACGGCACATTAATGTCTTTTGAGTTCTACGGAGGCTACCTTGCCATGGAAACGCTCAAGAAGCTCGACTCTCCAGCTGCACAAGCAGAATCAGTCGCTGAAGCTATAATCCGTCACCAAGATCCAGTGGAAACTGGTACCATCACGACCATTGGCTTGCTGATTCAACTGGCCACTCAGTTTGATAACATGGGATATCGTCCTGATTACGTCCATCCAGACACCATTAAGGATGTCGTGGAGAACTATCCTCGTCGTGGTTGGTCTGGCTGCTTTTCGAAGAAGATCAGAGAGGAGGTTGCAGTCAAGCCTTGGTGTCATACCACGGCGTCCACCGAGAAGTTTCCTCGTGATGTGGAGCATAACGAGCTGATGGCGCCTTATGATGACAAGTTTTAGGTTGCATGTGCATCCTCGAGACATGACTGTTATATTGGACTTCGTACTTACCTGCCTCTTTCTTATCAGAACTGTATCTTTGGGCGTCCCGTCTTGTGCTTTTGGGTTGTGCTTATGAGAGATTTTCTGCCATAGCCGCATTCATGGGATCCGTACGAGCTTTCTCCCTCTTCTCCTTAACTCCTCTTCTTGCTCTGGCAAACTCTTCCTCTGCTTCCTCATTTCGTACTGGCCACTCCACCAGCTTTTTGACACAGTAGAAGACAACATTGTCGCCCTCGACATATATTGGCAACTGTTGGTGTTCAGGCAGCACGGGCACGCCTTGTTTGCTTTCCCCGTTCCCTGTCCACCACGAAATAGCGGAGTTGATGGCATGCCTCAACACAGCTGTGATGGCAGAACTTTCCTGTTGCTGTTCTTAAGTCTCCCAAAAGCTCGCATATCTCCATCAAGAGATTTTGCGACCGATCGGAAGCGTAGCCTCGTAGATGCCACCGGCCTCGAAACTGTGAGCGACCATGTAAAGACGTATGTCGAAGCTGCCCTCACCCTGCCTTTGCTTGGACCCATTGAACGGAATGTCAGAATTCATTGGGATGTTGGGCTCAAGGTAAAGACTCGATCTCGAGCACAAGACCCTGGTTGGTCCTGAGCCGTCCATGACCCCGGTACAAGAACGGTGGCATCAGATCAGTGGACAGTCTGAATCTTTATCCAAACTGTCTACTTTCCACTCACAATCTCTCAAAACCAACTCTTTCTGCGACTCATCTTCTCGTAAGCCACCCTCATAGGACTCAACGGGCTCAATCCGCCGACTCCCAACCCATGATGCCCCTGCAAGCCCCTCACATCCTCATCACCCACCTCCCTACCATCGACCTTATTCTCCATGAACAAATGCTCGCCCGCCGCATTAACAAACCAACGTCCCCTATACTGTTCTCNCCTGGGTCCACCCCCACAAGCCCCCGCCATCAAATCACTCGGCGGCGAATTGACCGCCAACGAAAACAAATTCAACGGTTCCGAGAAATCAGTGACGAGTCCGTTTTGTGAGATAAAGTATACAAGGCAAATAATATTGATGACGAAAATGGCAAACAGCACGACGAAAAAGCCGTGAGGTGCTTGTTGGCCATTACCGCCGGAAGCATATTCCTGGGCTCGCAGAGTGGCGTTGAAGTATTGATATTGCCCGGGTGACAAGGATACTGAAGAGTAATTCCAGAATTGGGTGAAGGGGGCGTCTTGCCAGGACATGAGTAAAGTGGAGGAAGCAAGTACTGCCAGAGCTTCAGCAATCGAAGGGCGATCCAGAGGTAATGAGGGGCCAGAAACAATGAGCTCGGTGAGTAAACGTGCATTGGCGGCTTGACCATCCAAGATGCCGTCGTTAAGAGACAGAGAGTTTGACCATTCGGTGCCGATGCTGGGCCAATCTAAACTGATGGTGTCGTTTCCCGAGGTAGCGTTTGTTATACTGTCAATGAATCGCATTGGGGTTGTCAGTGCTGCGTCTTTCTCATTCGAGCATTTCGCTTCGAGACTTGCTCCCACCACTGAGGCATTGTATTCGGTGGAGCAAAAGGGCGTCTGGAATACTTTAAGAGAGCAGAGGGCATAGTTGTCTGTTGCATCTCTCCCCAACAGATAGATAGCTTTCCTTCCATACACGCCCGTGTGATTCATTATGGTGTTGTAGCTTATAGGCAGTTTGGCGAATACAGGAGGGGATGTCTGATATCGCTCTCCCCATTCGAAGATGTCGTCGACGACCGTTTTGTTGAGATAGGTGCCATTGGGTACATTACCTGGTTGGTAGAAAGCCAATTGTGCTCCCGTGGGCCATTGTGTAGTGTTCAGAGTATTGTTGTTCCATTCTGTGTATACAATTGGCGAGAGCTCTTCTTTCGTCATTTGTGCACACAGAACGTTGACCGCTGGAGATGGGACAGAAGCTTGGAGCTGATACACGCCCTGGCCATCCAAATCCTACATCAGTGTTAGCTAGAACCTCTATCGAAAGTCTCCAATACACACCTCTGGCTGTAAAATATTGTTGACCGAGTCCCATGCTGCTCCAGGTACACCAGAATGCGGCAAAGCCAGCGTCACATTGTTGACGATCCTCTGATGTTTCTTCGAATTTGCTGCGACATCGCTGAACTCCAAGTCAACCCAAGGAGCCGTAACCGTAGTGTTTTCAAATATCATCGCAAAGCCCTTGGGTCGATGGATAGGATCGCTTGACCCATTACCATTTCTCGAGATAGTCGACCAGTCAGAGATGTAGCGTTGATAGTTGTAGTAGCTGTGCGCAGCATATTGAATCTGAAGACAGGTACTACCCGCAAGCTCATCCTGTGTGGCTGAAATCGGTGTTGCACAATTTATTCCCAGATATTTTGGATTAGCGAAGATGGTTTTGACCAGTCCTTGCATCGAACCTCGTTCCCAGGGGCCGTAGCGAAGATATGGCTGTACCAGAGATTCGGACGCTGTGGTGTAAAGCATAGCCACCACGGCAGCAACCAGCGAGAGCACACCAAGGAAAGATAGGATACTAGACTTGAGGGCTTCGAAGTGCGTGATCATGGTCCCGGGCTGCATGACCCAGCTTCGCATATCCATCTCAGCAAGCGTGATGCCACGGCCTTGGTTCTTCATGAACGCTCTACGTGAGAGCACTTGTCCGAGAAACGAAACAAACACTGTCGCAAACGACAACTCGATAGTTTTGGCAAATAACGCTGTGAGTAGATCTGCAATGTACGGTGTCATATTACCGCCTTTGCGAATCCAATTGTATCGCGGTCCACGAATAGCCAGGATGAGAAAGATGCCGGACATGACTGTAGAGTAGAAAGCCAGAACCAGTATCGTCACTGAAAGCCAATTCCTGCGGTTGTGGTGAAAGTGTTGGTGAGCTGCACATGTATCCGTCGGTCCAAAATCTATCTTTCAGTCAGTCACTGTGAACTCTTTCCAGTCAACCACAAAGTCGCAATCTCACCATCATAGACGGCCTTCAACGACTCTGCAAAGCTGCGACGGTTGCGCAGACGCTGTATGTCAGGCTCATACGCCGTACCCTGCGGAAAGCTACTCTGCGAACTGAATGCCGAGGCCTTGACCGCAGACCTGGGACTCCACATTGGTAACTCATGCTCCCCAACAGCAGGACCCTTCTTCATATCAGCCCCCATCTTCAAGTCCACTTCAGAATCTCTGTCGACATTGATGCCTAGACCATGTAACTTGGAAGCGTTATAGTCGTCATTGTAAGGCGACGCATCTGTGATGTCGTCCTCGTGGTTCTTGATCACTGTGTATTGTCCATCATCCACAGAAGCCGGTCGGGCAAAGGTTGCTCGTTGGCGTGGAGGTCGCGGTGTGGAGTCAAAGACGGTGGATGTCTGCGATAATGCAGGCGAGGGTGTTATGATGGCTTGAGGCGGTGAGTGCAGAGGCTGTGTCTGTTCATTGTCCATGGCTGACTGCAAGGATTGTTTGTTGGTTTCTGCGTCCCTCTATTCCCAGAATACAGAGGATGTTGGAAAGAGTGCTTAGAGGATGTTGCTGCAAGCCTCTTTAGTCCTCCTGCACGAAGTGGGTGGGAGTTGGTGAAACACAACTGATCTGTTTGAGGAAAGGATTACCTGCGGGCCTGCGGCTTTATGTCAGTGTTTCTGCTTCGACCGGAGCCCGTGTACGTTTATTAATCAGGGCTGGCATGCTGCAGAGTGTCGCAATGTGCTTCACTGTTACTACTTGTGGCCACGAAAGCTGCGGCCTTGGGAGCATTTCCCGGCCGCCTTGTCTCGCTCGTACCATGCGGCTGAGTGTCTATTCCTCAAGTACTCACCAAAAATCCAAAGCTGGAGTAACACATTTACTTTTCGCGGATGGAGTACGCAACTTGTCAGACCCATAAGTGAACAATGGTCCAGGAGCAGTGTCTTCCGGGTGTGCCCAATACGTACCTGTCAGCACTACAAACAGCGACCTTGCAGTCAACCTTAGTCAGTTACGAGCAACAGCGTGCCGTTCTAGATCCATCGCGCACTCAACATATGATCCTACCAATATAAAAGCCAACAGAGATCCTGCGAAAAGGTCGAGGCGTCCCATGTGCAAAAAGAACGAGGCATGGAGACGTAAACCCCCAACAGACGTCCCTACCTCTTTCCTTTGGACTCTCAAGTTGTAAAGACAAGATGTGTATGCCGCATTCTAACACTCCTCCAAGTCGCCATATCTGAGTGATACACAGCAGAAACCTTGAAAACCAGAAGCCAAAACAGGTGATGAGGTGCTGCAAAAAGACCGCAAAGGCTGAGCTGCAGGCGTCCGCAAGCCACAAGCCCCTAAAGTACATGCTCGCTACACTGCAGATCAGGCGATCCTCATCACTCTGTTCGGGTACAGAGATACTCAGATTGCCTACTCATCTCGAAACTACGGACATCAAAACCAACGAAAACCAACGAAGTGTGTCAGTGTTGATGTGAAGTGATGAAGAATAATAAAGAAGGTCTGGTTGTTGTTTGTGAGGGCTTTCGGATGTCGCGATAGTTGTAGACTTCATCCGAGCCCGCGTAGGGTTCAGCACAAGCACGAGCAAATTGCGCCCTCGGCGCTCGGATCTGTCAAGGATCTCCCGGTCACGACATCCTTCCGCCCCTTGGCCCAACCTTGACAACGAACCTATATTTATAGCGGCGAGACAAGAGTCTTCGAGATCAGCATCGAATTTGCGACATGTCTAGCCGTAGCCTCTGACACACTGGTAAGTACAGCTAGCTGTGATGTCCCTTCACAACAGAAATCTGCAACTAGACTCGCGTGGATCGAAGCATCTTCAAGGAGCATGCCAGATCGACTGACTCTCTGAGATAGAAACTGCCCTGGTGTAGGACCCGCAAGTCTGTTGTACACTCTTGCCAAGATGTCAAACTGGCTGGGTCACGTACCGAGTGTACGTATCGTGGCTGGCTGACCGCTCCTGCTGGAACGCATGTGCAACTCTGATGAATCCGATGATTGAAAATATGTTTCATGTTTCCTCGTGATGGAGGAAAACATCAGATACCTATCGCTGTAGGAAATTGCGCATCTCCAGACAATTAGAAGAAGCTAAAAGGCAAACCTCAAAAGATAGATCTCAACTCAAGCCACTGTGTAGCATATAAAACTCTTCCTGAAAAGTGTCGATGAAGAAAGAAAAGCAAAAAATGAAACGATTCAAGCGACTGGTCTAGTATCCATTACTCTCCTGCTCAGCACCTCCATTAGCCTGTTGTTCTTCTGATTTCCCATCTCTAGGTTTGAGGTTGACGACTAGTCCCTCCTGGATAACGAAAAAGCTGTATCGAAAACAGGTCAGCAAGAATTCTCTCTTCGCCACATATTGCATCTTCCTTGGAAGCAGGATGATGGGACAGACACTTACAANATTCTTCTCTGTCAACGGCCTCTGCGGATCCGTCAACTCAACATCGAAATGTCTCAAAAACGTCGGCACCATCTTGGTCATCTCCATAAACGCGATGTTCTTGCCAAAACACATGCGAGAGGCGCCGCCGAACGTGAGGAAATATCGCTGCATTTCGGCCTTGTTGCCTTTGATCCAGCGATGCGGGTTAAAGTCTACAGCATCGTGGCCAAAGACTGTGGTATTGCGGTTAATGACCCAAGCAGATGCGCCAACGACATGGTCAGCGGGGATATAGCGATTGGCGATTATGCAGCCGCCGTGGGGAACGCGACGGGGCAAGAGACCTCCGATGGCCGGGTGGACGCGGAGGCCTTCGAGGATGGTGGCTTGGAGGAAGGGGAGGCGGTCTGCTTCTTCCATGGTCACTGGATCGCTTAATCTGTGTTCCCTTTNTGCTTGTTCGAGTTCCTCGCGCAGAGTCGCAAGATGCTGGGGGTTCTGCAAGAGATGATAGATGATGCTGCGCAACGATATCGCCGTGGTGTCAGAGCCAGCGGTAATGTTAGCCGCAGCCATACTGATAACAGCCATATCAGTAACTTGATCCGGCTTCTCCCTCTGCAGACGGAAGAACTTCTCGAGAATATCGTTGCGGTCAGTGCCGCGTACTTTTCTTTCTTCCACTTCTTTGAGCGCGCGTTGCATAAGACTGCCCGTGCGGTTGGTGACGCCTAGCCAATTCCCGATGTACGGCTTCAGGTAATCATGGGTCCAAAACACCCACGGCACATGACCCAACCAAGACGCAGAAGCCAAAGTACTCTCCACAGACTTCAGACTCCCATCGTCATGTTCAGTATCCATGAATCCGAAGCGCTTAGAAAATGTGATTTCGCCAATGACATCGAAAGCAAACAATTGGAACCATTTGCCGAGGTCGATTTGCGATGTCATCTTTTCGCGCATGCGGGTGATGAAATGGTAGATTGTCGAGTCGACATATGGCTCGAGATCCTTGAGTGTCTCCATGGCGTAAGGACGAATGACTAGTTTCTTTTGGGCGGCGTGGACGTGAGGATCTTGTTCGGCAAATGGGTCAAAGGTGCGGCGACCTTTGAGGACGGAGTACCAGTCTGACTTGTGGAACTGAGAACCAGCACCATATATCATTTTGACGCCATCAAGATCTGCTATGCTCCTGGTCGGATAGAGAAAGTCAGCTCATGGTGAATTATAGGCGACGAGATGACCGGACGGGAGATATGCAGGGAAGGATATGTTAGGCTTGAGAGAGGGTGAATGTTCTCGAACGTAAGTGTGAGAGGGTTGCAAGAACTATCGTGTCCCATTGGAACCTCAGTCTTTCTTTGGGGCATGCGACAATGACAAGGAAAGAAGACATGATTCAGCACTCACAATTCTTTGGGAGCAACCCTCACCAACGGTCCATGCAACTCATGCAACCGTATCAATTCTCTATGTAGGTCTCCCTTCTTCGCCCTTGCAATCAACCATCCTTTTCCTAGACTCGCCCAGAAAGGTCCGGGCACTCCAGCCAAAGGTGCAAAGGAGCGCTGATATACTACATATCCAAGAGCAAAGGTGAGGAAGATTGTGATAAGGTAATGAGAGACCAGTGTGGTGGCGACAGAATCCAGAGACGGCAGGGATGATGACATGGATGGAAAAGCTGTGGTTGCCATAGTTGGAAAATGCAAGAGCCAAAGGGCAGAAACCACAGACAGACAGGTCCCGAAGAAACGGTTCTCGGTGTCAAGCTTGTAACCTGCGGCGTGCAGTCTGGGTTTTGTTTATCACCTGGGATCTGGTTTCCAGCAGGCGGGGTATCCAGATATCCAAGAAAGACGTTTTGTACGAACCGACCAGACAGAGATCCAACAAACAAGGAGGTGAAACTCAGGCGAAGCGCCGAAAAGGAGGGATCACTTGCTAAAAGTAATGCATTGGTTAGCGGGGCCTTTCCTCGGGTAGAATGTTGGTTGACAACTGGCTCGGTTCAAGATTTTCACCACCATTGCAAACTATCATATCAACTCATATGGGCCACGCCTCTTCCCGTCTTGATCAATATGCTTCCCGGCTTGGGACAAGAGGTGCAGCCCTAGTGGATTGAAGCAAGAGTGGAACCATGTCACCAATTCGTCGGGATCTGGAAGGACAAGCATTCCACCATCCAGGCCAAACCGTCAGAAACAGGTGTCAGCGATCAGAAAGACCCCTCTGTCTCTCCACCCCGGAGGCACGCTATCGTATGCAGGCTGCGAGCGAAGGGTTTATTGTTGTGTTGAATGGCGCTAAGGCCTCGCTTGCCATTGGCTGCGAAGCCGGATGCACGTTCCCTAGCGAACATATATTAATTTTAATATGGCAAGCTTGCGACTGTGCATATGCTTGCACCCTCTGGGAGCTGCTGGTGTGGAGAAGTAAACTAGTGCACCATCGCTCGCCATCAGGAGTCAGGACAGAAAAGAGGGCGTGGCATGAGGGGGATCCGAAGAGACCGAGCCGCCGCACGCGCTGCTGGTGGCTCTACTGCATCGTGGCGTATAACAGTGTTATCTGCCGACTTTGACGATCATGTTTTCAGTCTCGCTTACAGCGGCAAGGGGTGATATCGTGTCTTGCTTGTGTATAAAAGAAATAGGGCCTCGATCATCTCGCATGAGATTTGACTCGCGGATGGTGCGGAGACGCGGACGTTGCGGCATCCGCGCATATTCCTCTGCTATCCTGTCCAACATTTTTTATGAACCCTTGAGGTGTTTCAGACGCATAACGGTCATGTCATGGGGACTAGCAGCCGTTCGCAGCGTTTCTCCATGTCTCACTGAGAGTCAGTGCTAAAACGCAACGCTTATACATACGAGCTGGCTCCTCATAGATTGGACCTCGAGCCCCTCGGTCGGGCCTTTATAGCGAGAGGCGTAAGATAGGAGTGTCGGGAGTTCGCATACGGACGCATCATCCGACCGATCATCTGCCATCATCTGAGCCCTGAGCTTCTTCGGGGACAGTCATCAGAGACTGCTGTCGGACAGCTGACTGACGCGTTGACGCTCCAGAATGCGTCTTGATAGATGCGGTGCCGTAGAACTTGAGAATGCGATAGGAAGCGTATGTCTGAATGTCTAATCAGTACGTACAAGCAGCGATGCACGACCCCATTGGTCAGATAACCACAACCACGTGGGGGATGCGGCATAGAGGAATGGTATAAATCTCTGAAGACAAGGTCGCGTTAGAAAGAGGGACTGCAGCATGTCAGACAGCGAAATCACGGCATCCTGCTATGCTGTGCTGCTCGACGACCTGCTCGCGAACACTGCGATAACATGAATCAACATGATTGTATTTCGAGGACATCTGTCATTAATATATTCCGTCCTTGCATTTGCAGCTCGGCTGTGGCACGTTGCTCGCTACCAACATTTGCCGACATGTCATGCTGCATGGTAACTCACATGAATTTTCCTTTCTGAGACGAGCATCTGACTGCATTTGGTATGTCATGTATTGAGATGCGTGCAAATAAGCGTCGAGATTTTGTTGTGCTGCCATGAATTCTAGCGGCTTGATGTGCTGCTTCCTTGTCCATTCCGAGATAACGAAAATGCTGCAAGACGCGTTGATAAACAAAGGGTATCCTCATCGTAAAACCTCAAGCCTCGCTCCCGCTACTTCTGAAAGCCGCACATAGACCGGCATATTGATGCGTCAAATCCAAGATATGTTGGGGAAGGGAGGTCGCTTGGATGATACTCCTGACCTTGACGGCGCCTTCTTCTTCGATCAGCTTTCTGATAACATGGACCAGAGAGGGCGAAANACTGAACAGCAATGTTAGCATGCTACAACAGACAAGGATTGAACATGTCCTTACCTCCGAGTACCACTTGTACTGCCAAGCGATGAGTCTGATCAGGGCGCCCAATTCTCCCCGCACGTCGCCGTACCTCTCGTATGCAGAGAGAATCCCGCGCATGCCCTTTGGCGAGAAGCGCATGTTGAGGCATGCTTCCCAAGCTTCGGCTGCATCATCGGGTCTGTGTAGGCGGTCTGCAAGCTCGCCAAGAATCTCCCACTCGTCGGCGGACTTCTTGTAAGCGAGCTGTTGCGACTTGTACTGCTGTGCCTCCGTTCTCCAGATTGTGTAGATGCGCAAGTCCTCATACAAGACCATGAAAAGATTGTCAAGCCAACGCTCGCAAAGACGCTTGTGCTGGAACTGGGTGTATTGCAGATGTTGCGGGTCAGCAGCCGGGGGCTGAGGGTCCGGAGTCTCCATTGATGGCACCGCCGTGACGGTGTGTTGTGGCTTGGACACATCATCTCCCAGAGCAGCAGAAGCGGGTGGTGTGTCGCCGTTGGTGAATACCGAACCAGCAGTCGATGGCCGGTCGTCGGTAATGGCAGGGCTTCGCAAAGCAGTGGTGCTAGCGCTGCGTGAGTGAGCTTCCTGCTGCACGACAGCCTGTCTCTCGTGGCGGTACTCTTCCTCCATGACAAAAACCTGACTACGGATTTTGAGGAGGTGGTCCCAGCCAATGCGCTTTGTCACCTCAGTCAACAAAGAGTATGCTTTCTGGAAGGTGCCCTTGTAGTTTGCAGCGCTCAATCTGCGTAGATTGGGGTGGACGAGCTCTTCCCCCACAGTATTAGAGTCATCAATCTCATCACACATGGCTTCTGGCGCGAGCGGGAGAGAGACACGGGCGGGCTCGGGCATGCGTGGGGAGTCCTTGTCCTGGTAGGTGAACATGGGACACGAGTTGAGGGTCAAAAGAGCCATGTCCCACTGTTCGAGACTGATGTATACTTCGGCCAGTCTTGCCCAGGTCGCAAATTCGCTGGGAGCCGAGATGACGCTTCGCTTTGCGATCTCCAGGGCCAAATCACTTCTGCCTTTGGACAAACAATATTCAGCCTGGCAGTCAAGCAATGGGTAGTCCATGGGCATCTGGTGGATGGCTTCGCGCAGCAACTGGACAGCCTTGACCTCTTCGTCTCCCATGATGTAGACACGGGCGAGTAGAGATGATATCTCGGGGTCGCGCGTGCGTAGCTTCTCGAAGAGGTTGATTCCTGACGTGTAGCGGCCGGTAGTTCGGATGTAGTTTAGCAGGCCGGTTGTGAGATGGTTCGACACGAGGTTGGGTACTTGAATCTCGGGGTCGGAGCCCAGCTGCCAGCCTGCAACGATTTAGTACATGGTAGAGGGAACTGTGAGTAGTACAGACTCACCGGCAAAGAANNAAAGACGCTCTGCGGCATCCAGGAACTTGTGCTCGGCCTCTGTGTTTGTGATGGGGTTGAAGCGACGGACGCCGACAATCTTCTTGATGGTGTCGCCCGAGCCGTCATCGGCGTACGAGTAGGCGCGCAGGACGCTGCACAGATATGTCTCTAGCCAGTGTTCTTCGGAAGCTTCGAGCTTGTCACCACGCTCGTTGACGCAGTAGCTCTCGACTGTGCCAGGGATCTGGACTTGGACGCGCATGTCGAGGCGGGAAAAAGCATTGTAGCAGCAGTAGAGACCGGAAGTGACCTTGTTGGTCTTGTCGTGTGGAGAGTAGACGAGAGTGTTGATGTAGGCGGCGAGACTGGCAGACGAAGAGGCATCGGTACCGGTGACATGGTGATAGAGTCCGANCCTATTGGAAGAGCAGGGTCAGACACGGCGGGCTTCAGGAGGCTTCGGCGCATTGTGTTGTACCTGCTTGCTGGTCGACTTGACGGGCTGCTTGAAGAGGTGCACGAGATCAGGCGGGCCCAATTCTCGCAGAGCCTGCAAGTTCTCGGTTCGAATGTCTACGACTGAAGTTGAGTCATCCTCGAAGATCCTGGTTGTTATTGTCAGTCGACCAGGTTCTGTGACTTGAAGGAGGTGATTACGAACTCGGGGACAGCTGTTTGGATCATTGTCGCTTGTGTTGGTGACTTGCGTGAACCATGTGCCGACCGAAAAAACGAAAACAACAGCAAACTGGATTGCTCCTTCCAAACCGAGCGCCTTCCTTTTCTTGGGTCGCAAGTGGCAGGTCGCTGTTGCTGTTGCTGTTGTTCAATGGACGCGCGCGCCGTCATGGCCCTCTTGGCGTCCCCGCGGGCAGCAGCAGCCCCATCTGGCCCTGACGCTCCTTCCGCAACAAGCACCTTGATTTCTGTCTCGCGATTCTTGTCTGCGCGCCTTCCTTTTCCACACACCACATCGCATGCCGGACCGTCGGACATTCATAGCAGTCGCGCGGCCATCCGGGCCTGCCATTATCCATCATGGCCACCTTCAAAGCCCTCAACCTCGAATCCGACGATGAAGAAGACATCGAGATCGACGACACCAAGGAAATCCAGATCGAAGAAGCCCTCAAGCTATACCAAACTGCCCTGAAGTTCCACTCGGACGGTCCTCCTTCCTATGCACAAGCCGCCGATGCATATCGCGCCCTGTTTGAATCCGACATCTTCAAATACCCAGAGTCACAACAAGAACTGAACCGTCTAGAGCTTTATGGTCCACAACCAGAGGCAGACGATTATTTCGATCACCACCAAGAACACGTTGTACCGACTGGAGAAAATGCGCCCAGCACGCTGCCTCAGATCATCCATCTCGCCTACAAGAACCACGGCCAGTTCTTGCTGGAGTCTCTACAACACCAACTGTTGCATTCGACCCAAGATGTCCAGCTCAACACCAAACACATCCTCAAGGCGTCTGCCGCTGCTCTTGAATGCTTCGTCGAGGCCATAGACAAGGATGATACGGACCTGGACCTGTGGAGACGCTCTGCCGCTGTTGGAGAGATGCTGGGCAGCCATCGCATCGCCCGCTTCTGCCTCGAGGCCGTATTGGACGACGACGCCCAAGGTCTGGACTCTGTGCTATCACTACCTGGCATCTCAGAAACACTGGCTGGTCAGCAACTCCGAGAGCTTGTCGCCAAATTGCAAGACGAACTTTCCGTACTGCAAGCCCCATTGTCAACCATGAAGCGCCGCCAACTGTCTAGCATGCTTAAGCAGAAGCTGGCCAACTATTCAGTCATCCACAACTATCAAAAGGAACATGCTACACTGGCCGTCTCGTCACACCAAGCCCTCCGTTGTGTGCTCAGCGCGCCCAAGTCGTGGCATGATCTGGGCGACATCCTGCTACGCCACTATCTCGCTGAGCAGGCAGGCACTACATCAGCTCTACCTGGCCTCGGTATCTCGTTCAACGCCGATGCCCAGTCTCCGGACGTTGAGCTTATCGAACCTGATCAGCCATCACCTCGTCAAACCTCGGTTCAACCACCCGAGATGTCTTCGTTGGTTGAAGCTCAGTTCCCTGACACTGATGGAGGTCAGCCGAATGTTCCCCCACCTGCTTTCAAGGACTCTGATAGCACAGAGAGTGCGCCCCAAGCTCCATCCGTGACAGTTTTGCCGACTCGCAAACGCTCAAGCGACGCTGCTGGCCTAATTGACAGCAACTCTGCTGAGGGTGCACGATCAAAAAGCAAGCGTCTGCGTGCCAGAGAGTCAATCGTCGATCAGAGCCAGCTAGAAGACGATACCACGATGGACCCTGCTCAAGCTGATGATGCTTTGGCAGACTTGGACTATGTCGACAATCAATTATTCGAATCACTCGACGAGCTGTTCGAGAAAGTTCATCTACCGAAGTTTGTAATTTCTCCCAATGCTCGTAAGGATTTACGCGAAGCTACGACCAACACGAATGTGGAACTCCAAGGTGTGGATCTTGCCTGTCTGGACATGTACACCTTCCTCAACGACTACTCGGACGAACGAGCACGGGTCTTGCTTAACGCTAACAGCGATCTTGACACAACTTCCGATGCTCATGTCAAGCCGAGTGGTCGATTCTCTGCCGCCCCTAGTACTCAGTCCCGTAGTGTCGACAAGCCCGATCTTGACCCTCGTGCAGAGCTCGACCGTTTCACTTCTCAGACGAACTCGGATTTCCTTCACATCAACGACGTTCTCTACGAATGGGTCATACAATTTCTACATCCTGATCATGGCATGCTCGTACGCCCAGAATTGCCCACCAACACCTCGAGCTACATAGGTCACACATGGCCGCAAGAGTTCAAGGCGCTTCTGGTTCGTGTCCTTGTCACGATGGATGCCTTCATTTTTGAGACCCTGTCCGACTTTGTCTTGAAGTGGGATAAGGTCCTGCTTTCAGATCCAAACATTGAGCAGTCAGATGATGCCCTTGCATTCATCGAGGTCATCCAAACCCTCTTCGAGCTACATGTGGACGTCTACTCATTGGTCAAGGAACCTAATAGTGGCGTCGATGCTGACACTGTAGACCTGCAAGAAGACCGTGCCGAGCGCTGGAGTAATCTTGCACGCGATGCAATGAACCTGCGTACTAGCCTACTACGGACACCGAGCTTGAAAGACCAGCTCAACTTGCGCTACTTGTGGACTGTCACTCATCATATCAGTGTGTCAAACAATATCTCTCAGGAGCAAGTTATTGCTTGTTGGTCCGAACTGAGGTTGATCTTCGAGGCCGTCGGAGGAGCCGTGCTTGATCTTCCCAATAACTCCGTCATGCCGCAGATGTCGGTCGAAGCTATTGATAGAGAACTCTCTAGGCTTACGACACAGGACTTCTTCACCAAGGTTTTTGATCCTACACAAAATGATCCCACCGTGGTTATTGAAGGCCTCGAACCTCTTCTAGAGACTTTGCACCGGGACATGCATAGTGACAGCATGCCCAGCTCTGATGGAGATCTCGAACCTGCAAATCCTGCCTCAACCCCATCTGAACTTTTGAACTTTCTGAAAAACAGCAACATCGGCATGCAAGTCTCTCTCTGGCAACGACTTCGCGAGGCATACGAAACGATTGAGTACCAACCCATGGTCGTATGCTGCTATTTCCGCGTTATTGAGCTTCTCCTTACGGACCTCAAGTCATCTACTTACTCTGACAAATCTGTGAACGAGCGTCAGACTGTATTGCTGAAGTATGTGCGTCTCATCAACGATCTTGTCGGAAAGATCAGTGCCTTGATCATCTCCAATTCTGATGCTTTGGATTGTATGGATGACGAACGACTCCAAAACGCGACAGGCTGCTTGATCGATCTGCAGAAAGTGTTGCATGCCTCGACAATGCTACAAGACGAGATCAAGGTTGGAGCAAAGCAGACACCCTCTTCTAGCAATGGCGCACCACTCAAGTCGTTCACCACTGTCACAAAGGTCCTTCAAGAAATGCAGTTACAATCTTGGACTTTGATGTACAAATTCTATCGAGAAAGCATAGCTCAGAACAGTGAGAAGGTTGACAAACCGCATGAGTCCTTGTTCGAATATCTAAGAGCTGTTCACCAAGTGCTGGGAGCTCGAAGCATATGCGGCGGATCAGAACGGATTTTCCTCAAACTCGCAAAGTCAGAAGTGCTTCGCTTCCGGAGCGAGTCAGAAGAGCAGAACGATGACTTTGACCTCGAGTTCGCTCAAATTCTCTATGATATGTTTGGTCTCAAATGTTTCCTCAACCCAAGTTATGCGCTTAAGGAGCACAATTGCGTCCATGATGCTTTTGTTGACAAGACATCGGGCATGCAAGCCGTCGATCTGTTACTCAACTTGGCTTCCAGGATCAAGATGACGGAGCTACCGAAGCATTCTCTCAAAGACACGATCGAGAAGGTACATGGCATCATCGGGCGCAAGAAGCCATCAGAGGCAATTCTCCGCAATCGTGATGTCTATCGAGGCTTTCTCAAATCACACATCAACCCTGTCGATTTGTACAAATGTTTGAGGGGAGAAGGTGAACTTGCTCTGGCGCCAGTACCTGCTGAGCACGCCATTCTAGCGGCCAAAGGCTGGTANTTTTTGATGGGCCATATCTCACTGAGCAAGTTCAGAGCTCAGAAACGCATTGGACCCACGGCGACCGAGGACCTCAACATTGCTGTAGCATTCTTCATGCAAGCCCTTGAGTACAGTATGGATGACTGGGAGCTGTGGTTCCGTTTGGCTCAAGCATACGACTCCAAAATCGAAGAAGCTGTCTCGTGGACTGCGGAGAAGCTCAACGGCGACATGACAGAGCTGATCGCATGGCAACGAGCTGCTATTCACTGCTATACCATGGCCGTTGCATTAGCAATGCGCTTTGCCGAACCAGGCGCAGACACTCAAGCAAAGTTTGGTGAGATGTATGCCGACTTTGCAATGAGGATTTACTCTTCATCCAGGGAGCCGTTCGGCATGAAGGCTTTTGCGGTTGATGATCTTGAGAGATTCCTCAGTCGGGCGACAATCACGAAAGTGCCTCCTTTTAAGGCCTTGACTCCTTTCTCTGCCTTCAAGCTTGCTAGAGAGCTCTTTCGTCGTGCTATTCGCATCAACCCAAACAAATGGAAGCTACACTTTTATCTCGGCAAATGTCTCTGGAAGATGTACTGCAACGCGACAAAGGAAACCGAACGACCGAGTATTGATGCCATCATCAACGAATTCTGCGAGTCTATCAACTTATTACCACGAAAGAAGGACTCTAAGCGCGAGCCGATCTTGGAACCCCACTACAAGCTAGTCACCGTGGTGCACAAGATGGTGACAAGACGTTTTGTCGATGCCGCTGAAGGTTGTATCATCCTCACTGCTACGCCGTACGCTGTAAAAGTTGATCCCGTCTCCGATTTTGACTCATGGGAACCTTACATCCTCAAAGTCCTCAAAAGTCTGCGCGCAGCAGACAAAGTTCATTGGCACCATCGCATGATCTACAGAACGGCTGCCATTCTTTTCCATGATGGTACCAAAGAGTCATATTGCTTGGCAGCGAAACATGAGCTTATGCAGCAAATGTTCACGAAGACCATGATGATGACTGTCTGGAAACCTGAGAACGAGCGCCCTGGTCGTCACTTTGTCTACACCGCACGGTACGCAGACATGTTCATCAAGATTCTCGAGGTTTTGGAAGACCGTTCGTTGCTCGACGCTCTTGCGCGTCGAGTCCGAAAGAAGACAGGAGAATTCTTTGAGCATGGCAACCTCTGGCAGTATCTTTGCACTGCCTATCTCAAAGTACTTCGTCGTCATGGTCAGATTCCTGTCGCACAGGAAACCGCAATCTTCAGTGGCATCAACCATGAGGACTTCCTTAGGCGCAAGGATCATCTAGAGAAATGGTGTCAAGAGCCTGCAAACGCTAACAATCCTGTGCTGGAAACCATGCAAGAGGTTATCGAACTCAAGAGGATCAATGGAGGTCTGATGAAGGCGGCATCCATCGATGACCTAATTGGTGATGCTTATGCTTATCTTTACGACACTGTCGGACGCAGGCTCTGGACTATGGCAGAAGCCAAAGATGAGGCTATCAGGCAGGAGACAATTGCAAAAGAACAAGCCGCTACTCCCTCTGTGGAACGCAATCCCATGATGAATTTATCGCACCTCATGAACGTGGACGGCGGACACGACGTAGCTGTAAAGATGCCTGGTCTTTCTGCCGCCGTTTCGGTGCCAGATGGAACTGCGACACCACCTACGGGAGATCAAGCACCAGCTTCACGCCGCAAGATTGGTGTGGGCAGACGCGAAGTTCGTCTGTGTGCTGATGCCTGTATTGCCAAGATCGGCGCGGGTCCCTCCACACCAGCAGGCAATGAACCTCCTCGACCCCGTCAAGAAGTCTCAGTCGTGATAGAAACACGACGTCCTTCTTCTAAACTGGCTGAACAAAAGGGCACCGACACGGCCGAAGGCAGTGTCGCAGGTAGTATCCACGACTCCGCCGATGACGAGAGCGATAGCGAGCTCAGCGATGTCGATGAGAATGTTGTCAACTCACACGGCCTGGCTCTGCTCGAGGCTCGTCGCCTTGGAAAGTCTCCCCCAGTATTGTCTCCGTTATTCCCAAATCTCCTTTCTCGCTTCTCTAGCGTCAAGGACAGCGATATGATCACTGACACCGAGGAAGAACATGAGGATGGCGTCGAGGGTGCTGAGGAAGTCGAGGATTATGGCGAAGAGGGCGAAGAGGGCGACGAGGAAGAAGTCGAAGACGAGGACGGTGAAGAGGGTGAACCCGAAGCCGACACCAAAGCCCATCTCGAAGAAGGGGAACCCGAAGCAGAAGAAGCAGAGGATGTGGATATGGAAGACGAAGACGAGGAGCCAGACTCACCACCCTCAGCCGTTATGGAAGCGCGCATGGCCTAGTTTGCCAAACGATATGAGGAACACATCAAACATGTCCAGAAGATAAGAGAGCTCGCAGCAGCCGAAGTGAAAGAGCAGCAGCTGAAGCAGTTGTTGCGTGCTTTGATAGCTAGATTTGAAGCGCGAGAGAAGGAGCCTGCTGAGAAGGAGAAGCAAAGAGCGGAGGCAGAGTAAAGGCATTATCAGATACCCCCTAGTGCTTACAGAAATGGAAGAATGTTTATCAACCTAATGCTCATGTCCAATTTGTTCAGTCGATGACTAGTTGTTCGCTTGTGCTTATATGAATACTTCAACCAATCTTACTCAAGAGCATCATGTGTGAAGATGGAAGATTAACAGAGAGAATTACACAGGCCACTATCCATCATCATGGCGGTGCAAGTAGCCTAGTTCGCCAGACGAGACATGGGTGCTATAGGAAATATTTATCGGACACACCATGCGCGAGAAGTGTTTCCGGATTTACTTTCGAGATCTAAATCGCCCCTTCGGTTTCTGTTTTTGGTTTTATCGCAGCTTCCATGGACTCTTGTCTTCTTTCGCACTTGTCCAGGTTCTAGTCTCAGTTGTAGGTCGCACCTTCCCTTGTCCTCGAGAAGACCTTGCCAGAGTATTTTGTTCTCAACTTCCAAAGACTTAATCAACAACACAACTCAACTCTGAAGCCTCATCAATAGAAAAGTCCTGATTGTTTCGTTTTTGCCAATGTACACAAGATGATGGCGCAACACATGCATCGGGAAAAGCGCAGTCAAAGCCCAATAATAACGGAAGCAGCTAATGGCTAAACACAGCAATGGCAAGAGCGATGCAGCTGGTACGTAAGAAGAAGCAACGATACACTCGAAACTCGGTAGGGAAGCAGCGATTCAAACGAAACGGAAAAGGAAGGAACGATGAAAGCATTTCAGGGGAGAAAAAGGGTGGCTTATCTCCCCATGAAAAGGGAAGTGAATCATTCAAGATCCTGGTGTAGCAGTATACCGGATCTGCCTTTATCGTCAAGAAATAACCTTCTGGTCAGTGTAAGCAGCACTAGTTCCCACTGTCTTTGCCGTTTTCGTCTTGTGCACCCAGACATAGACGAAAGGATACATCGTCTCAGGAACCATGGTCAATCCAATAACCGCAATACTTGTGCTCGAACCAACATACGACCAATTCTGCGGCACGTTCATGTAACGCCAGACAAACACGCCATACGCCGTCCAACAACCAAGATACCGGGTTACCCTGCTCCAATATTAGTGACTTGGCTCACCATCTCATCCCGCCAGACATTTTGCTTACCAAATCTCCAACGAATGCCCTTTGGCATCCCAATTCTTGACAAGCAAATACAAACTTCCCCAACCGATAGGGAATTGCAAAGCCAATCCAGTCCAATAAGCAGTAACTTGTTCACGCTCATCTGGCCAAACATTTGCGACTTTCCAGAAGATTGCTAGAGAAACAAGGATACCGAGAACCATCCTTTTGACTACTGGACAGCGGGAACCAGGCGCGTAGGTGCTGAGGATAGTGACTACAGCAAAGGTGAAATCGAGAAGAAACCATATGGAAAAGCTGATGCGCTCGAATGGGGTGGTTGTCGTTGTGTAGGCGTAGAAGATTTCGTAGGCCATTGTTCCGCAGCTGGTTGCGATGGGTCAGTATATCTATGTGTCGTCAGACAAGAGTGTGTCTTACGTGAATTCGATAAAGCCTGCACACGTTTTGTCGCGGTATGTGCGAATCATGTAGAACAGGTAGCAAAGCGCATAGAGGACGCCGCAGGATATGATGAGGCCATCTTGAACGTACAGATAGCTTTCTGGTGGATCGAGTGCTAAGTCGGAAGGTTGCACCACCAGATGTGCACCTCGAAAGCTGTTCGCAAGATCAAAGGTCATGGATTGAATTTGAAAAGTAGCCAACTGTCTCGAATGAGGGTGACCCAGGTAGTAAAGTGTTCAGGTAGAATGCGGAGCCGCAGCAGTGAGACTCTTTGGATATCCTCATATCATACATGGGCGGCATACGATTTGCTTTGAAATATGCTCTCCGCAGACTTCCGGTTCAGCAACTCGGCATCCACTTCCGCTGGACAGCCGCGGAACAGTCATCGTCGAGCATGCGTGCATATTGGCATGTACGTTATCCGGACTTGTGCTGGAAAGTTGTGTCTGAATGCCAATCGAAGAGTTTCATCGAATCAGCACCAAGCCGCGCTCTTAGGAATCTCTTATTGTGGTCGATTGGAATGTGTATACCGATGACGTAGCCAAGCCGGAGAGGGCGGAATTCGAGAGTGCTTGGCGCCAACACAATCAGATGTCGATGTGACAACTAGGATCCGGAAAGGGCGCTCCCGCATCTCCTGATACATTGAAGGTGAAATGCGCGGCTTCACAGTCAGCACAACACTCGTTAGCCAAAGTGCAGAAACAATTCGCCTGCGTTGCCAATATCGAGATTGGCCTGAATTCGATTATCCCTCGCGCGATATTGTCTCCCCACATCCATTTCTTTATTGTCTGTTCAGGTTTCAAGATGATCTTGTAACGCTTGCCCTCCACGAGAGCGCTTCGATAGCGTTTGAAAAGGCAGCTGCTTTTGAAGATGACAGTGCGTACAATCTCCTCTCCAAGCTGGAGCCCAAGAACCTGGTGTCGAGCGGGTGAGGTAGCAGTCCGAGGAAATGATAAAGCTTGTAACTGTTCCGTACTCCATATTCGTGGTGCATTCCAGTAAGAAGGCGATGGTGGCAAATCAAGCTCCTCGTTAGTGTCGGCGTCTACAACGACTAGGAAGCTGTCCCAAAGATAGTCATTCGAGGTCAAGATGGTATCGAAGGTATGAACCGTAATGCTACGCATGTGAGCGTTGTTACCGTGTGTCGGTGCAGTTTCTAGTGTAAGAGTCAAGTTGAGATGCAGCTCATCAGGTACACGACAAGGTCCGTGGCCTGTATGTGTAGGTGTTAAGGATACAAAAGCAGAGATTGATGGAGGTTGGTANNATAACGGTTGGCCAGTGGAGCCATGATGCTAGGATACGATTAGCTATTCTCAGCCCATGTGATTCACAGACATCACATACCTTGGCGTCTCAGTACACAGTGTGAAATAGGTGAGAAGCATGTCCGCCGCACTACCCCAGCTACCTGCGTGCATGACTTCAAGCATTGGACCTTCCATAGCAGGATCTCTTGTGACAACCTTCGGACCTTTATGCTGCACCATATACTCATCAATGTATAGGAAAATATGTGATTGAGGTTGCTCAGGCAGACCGGCATAGCTGGTTGGTAATCTACCAGACGAAGGTCTGGTCGCCATCTCGTCGTCGTGATGCGAAAATGCTGTCGATAGATCTGGCACGATGTACACGTGAAGCTTCATAGGAATGTACTCCAGAAGCCTTTCGTTGAGCAGGTTGAAAAGTAGTTGTGGGGATTCAGGCCTTTGACCAATAACATAGAGATTGAAGGAGAAGTGTGTCTTGTCAATCGGTCTCCTGACATGATTGCAGATGACACATTCCCTTCCGATGCTGTCAATGTCTTCATCTACCTCGACGTAAGCTGTCATCAAGGACATGTATCCTTCTATATCTCTTGGCAGAGATGGTGCTGGTGGTGGTAGTTTCTCAAGATGTGCAATACTTCTTGGTATCGCGGTTTGTGGGTCGCATCGCTCGCCGTACGTGATGATGTCTTCAGATTCAAGGTAGTTGATGAACTGGTCACAATCGTCGTCCTCATCATCATCTTCGTCACTGGTCCGTGGTCTCTTCTCGCTCCGTAGGTAGCCGCGAGTGATTTTTTGAGCGGCCGGCTTGTTTGGCAGAGTATTAGAATCTAAGAGGTCAGGATCATCTGGCCAACCCAAAGCAACATTGCGCTCCATCAACGAGCTGTACGCCCACTCGTGACCTTCATCATCCCAGACAAATTGTAGAAAGCGTTCAGCAAGCTGATTAACATTAGGGTAGCGCAGCACTGTAAGGTCCTTCCGAAGCTTAGGTAGTGCGAGTTCTTCTTCATCATCTTGCCAGCTCGGATGATCGTTAACGTGATTCTCAAATTCACGCTCACTGCCATCACGTCCAAGGAATTGAGCAGTGTACTCTACCGAGAGCAGACCCTTTGTCCCCCATTCCACATCGTCCACAACAAGAAGCTCTTTCCTATTGAGCATGATCGGACCCTTACCCACCGACTTGCGGTATCGTTTCTCCTGCTCATGATGGTTGATACAATCCAGTACAGAGGCCTGAGGAAGACTGAATATTTCCAAGCGCCAATGGCAGTTCTCGTTGAACCTGATACATGCGTCGTTGGATATGATGTAACTTCTCAGCTTTTGAGGAAACTCGCTATCAGAGCAAAGACTCGCAGCGCTTGCCAGTATATACACTTGAAACGGGAAAAAGCCCAGTCCAACTCGTGATGAACCTCCAGGAATGGTGACGTTATTTCCAGTGTGATCGGTAATTATTAATGTTTTGGATCTGTTGCTTGAGAGACGTTTTCTGGGATGTTTTCCTCCTGTCGACTTTCTCGCCGTCTGCTTGGTCCTCGCCATGATGTCCGGTGTGCGTTTTTGTGGACGGATGTCAAGATTAGAAAGTCGTTCAAGCATGCCAGGAGATGCTGGACAACTGTTGCCTTGATTCATCGCAGCGCGGGGACGCGACAAGGCTGCGGCAGACTCATTCCATTCGCGTCACCTCTCCAGGTCTCGACATTGATGAATCCTTTCAAGGAGTGAATCCTCGATAGAATGTTCAATGTTCATCTCGGCCGTCATGAGGGGAGAAGTGAGTGTTCAACATGTTGTTGCCAGGGGACGGTTTTCCACTTCGTGTTTTGCGGTGAGAAACAGAACGCCAAGGAAGGCGAAAAATCCCTTGCGACGGCGAAAGAACATACGTCGCACCTGCCAAAAAGATGCGAGATAGGTCTGCGAGCTGTGACAACATTTCCTACGTGCAAAATGTACTTTCGAGTCGAGCAAAATCGCAAGAGATAGGTCGTACCCGGGATCGAACTGGGATTACCGGAATCAGAATCCGATGTGCTAACCATTACACTATACAACCAATTGTTGACAGCAAGATTGTTCGGTGTAAATATAATTCAACATATTGAGGGATCGCGCTCGAGCGAACCGCATTTCCGACTACCTCTATGCAGAAAACATCAACAACACCGCTCTCCGATATTCGCATGATTGAAAGGTAGTTTGTCTTGTCCCAGATAATTGGAAGAACGAATAAGAATCATTTGGAGTGGAAAGAAGCTCAATGGCTTGTTCATTATAGAATCCCCGCATCATATTATGCGTGGTTATCATCATCTGTAGAAGCTAAAGCGTAGAAAAATTCAAACATTGGTATCAGAAAAGAAAGAGAAGAACTTTTTAGTAAGCGGTAGGGACCTTCTCGCCCTTCTTCTCGTACTCGAGAACCTCGTTAGGGTCGGTGCCAATGACGGGGTTGTGCGAGTTGTGACCATCCTTAGTAGGGTCGTGGCCCTGCTGTGTGACGTGGTGGTCGTCGCGCTGGGAAAGGGTGTACTCCTCGTCATCGATGTGCTTAAAGAGGAACCAGAAGACGACGGTAAGAATACCGCCGGCGATGGCACAACCACCAAAGTCCCAGGTGAGGTAGGGATCTCTAATGACGGCAGAGCAAGCAAGACCGATGAGGTAGGCGATGGCGGTGGAGAAGAGGTTAATGGCGGAGACGAGACCACGCATGTTGGGAGGGGCACGCGAGTAGGCAATACCGTAGGCGGGAACGTTGATGAAGAGCTCAGAGATACCGCCGATGGCGTATGGGATGGCGACCCACCAGATGGTGATGGGGGCGACGAGGGAGATACCGTCAGAATCAACACAAGTCTCGCTGGAACCGAACTTGCCGCAAGGGCCAAGCTTGTATGCGTAAGAGTTGAGGACAGTGTAGCCAATACCACCAAGGGTAGAAAGAGCGAGACCGGTGGTCATGCGAGCAACGGGGCCGTATGAAATGCGGAAGTGGCGGAGGAGAGGGTAGAGACCATAGTTCAAAACGGGAGCCATCAGAATAATAGACAGAGAGTTGAAGTTGCTGATGACATCGTTGGGGACGCCGTTGGTGGTAAGCATGGTGGTCAGGTAAGAGGCGGCAGAACCGATACCGTTGTCGTTAAGGTACTGGATGGGGAAGAAACAGAAGATACCAGTGGCCTGGAAGGTACGGCGGACATCCTCGACGAACTGGTCATCCCAGGAGGTAGAGTAACCGGTGCCTCTGGCGGCAATGACTGATGGCTTGGCGGCCTCCCAGAAACCGTGGCGACCAATTCTCTTGATACCTCCGGCGCGGAAGCAGATGCTGAGAACCCTGAAGACGTTGGGAAGATCCGAACCGCCCGCAGGGTGGAGAACAAGACGCTTTTTGAGGTACCAGAGAAGAAGGGGGAGGGGAAGGTAGAGGATGAGAGGGATGAGGAAAGCCAACCACCAGCCGATGTACTTCTCGCAGTAAGCAGTGGCAACACCCATGAAACCTCCAATGTTGATCAGGAGGTAGAACCAGAGCATGGCACGCTCAGTTGAAGCCTCAGGGTCAACAATGACTTTCTCGCCCTTCTTGGTGGTGATGACAACGGGCACGGTCTCGGGCATCTGATCGAGCAGGAGAGNGGAAACATTAGGCTTGAAGATACCNNTGCGAGACACGTTAATACGGGAATTGCCTCCGAGACCAATCAAAATGAGCTTACCAGAACCTACGGCAAGTAGGTAGACGGAGATGAAGAAGGGTGTCTTGGCGGCACCGGTGGCAAGAAGGCCCGGGGCGGAAGCGCCGACCAGGAGAACGTGGGCAACACCGAAAAGCAGGACACCCCAGCAAATGAGGTTGAAACGGCCAGTTTTTGCGTCGGCGAGGTAACCAAATACCAAGGGAAGAGCGTAACACAGCAGGGAGAATGACTGAGAGACGGCGTTGGCCTTGACGGTACCCATACCGAGGGCACCCGCAGTTTGCTGAGTACCTTCTGCGGGTGCACCATATCCATTACCGCCAACGGGCATAGGACGGTTGACGAAGTTGCTGAACAAGGGCTGACATCCATAGTAAGAAGCGCGCTCGCAGAACTCGACAACACAGATCAGGTAAGCAACGGTAGGCAGAGAACCAGGGATACGGCGGAGAGTCTTGCGCTCCTCTTCGGTGGGCTTGCCCTCGTAGTCCTCGGTGGTGAGGCCAGGAGCATGAGCAGGCTCAGAACCCGAGGTGTAAGGGTGCTTCTCGTCGATTGAACGTTCCGGGGTTATTTGGTCGGCCATGATGAATGTGCAGGACGATGTGGAAACGGCTGAATCAAAAGACTGTCGCAGGGACGAGGGACAGGTGCATCTCATATATGTTCACTTTCCAATGCGACCCCCCGGGGCGCTTGACTTGGTGCACTGACCGTGCAGGCGAAGACCGGGTGCTACAGCATGGGCGATAGATAAGGCTATGATCATCAGAAGATCCGAGGCACGATAGAAGAGGCAATTCCTAACCAATCTCCAACAGGCAGGTCAACAGAATCGACGCCGTTCGAGCCTCGAAGCTCTTTAGGCTACGTCTCGGTCGAGTGCGGGTCCCTTCCGGTGGTCGCTCACCTGCCGCAAAAAGCTAGCACACGTTGAGACAAGTCCAGGCCTGGGCAACCCTCCACGCTTGTCAAACCAGTGTGATAAGCAAAGTGAAGAGGTCGCTAAAGCAAGCCAATTCTTGTTCCTAGGCTTGCATCGTTTCCGTCGAGCTTATCACGCGATTTGAGCACTCAACTGCCTTTATTTCGTGCTTGTAAACTTGCAGGGCAGGCGCGGACTGCAAGCACACATGCGCACAACCGGTTGACCTCTTGCCTGCTCGGCGCAATGCGATATTTCCCCTTCTTGGCCCAAAGCACGCCATTAACGCATTGATTCAAGACAGCCCTCGGCAGGTGTCCTGGTCGCGAGAACGAAGTCAGGTCGGGTTTGGAACACAGTTGCAAGGCCCACCACGGCAACTTCACGACGGATGATTGTGGAAACCATGTCGCGTGTGTCTGCCCCGAGGTGAAAGATAACCGAAGCACGCGATCACAGGGGCGGCCAGTGGACGTCGAGGAAAGGGAAACTGCTTGTCAAGAGAACTCTTTTTCCAATTCAACGCGGAGAGAATCGTGGAGTGGCCAATCGGCCACCAGCCGTCTATCTGCAGCGCGAAAGCTTGGGTAATGAATGTTAGCACACGTTATTGATCCTCGTGCGCCTCCGAGCTTGTGCTGCATCTTGGCTGCTTCGCTGCTTTTTCGAGATGCTTTCCCGATTCAACTCCAAGCAAGAGCAACCGTGGTGTTCGACATGACTGGAAGGCAAGGGCGAGCGTTGTTGTTGCTTGTACCTGATACCTGACCGCTTGGAATCGCTTACACCGAAGCTTATCATTATTGCCACATCAATCCTTCGACAAGTACTATTGGAAGATCTGCATTGCTTCACAGAAGGAAGCATCAACTCGAGAGGTGACGGGTGTATTTGCCGCTATCTGAGCACGGGGAGACCGAGTCCACCAGTCCGCTTGAGCCTCGTTGTCAGCAATGAAAGATAGCGGGGTCGTATATTGACCTGGCGTTCCTTCGATGCAACCTCCCTATCGCTCGGTCCGCCGCGGTATGCTGCCAAGGACACGCTCATGTTCATCCGGTCTGTGGGAAGTTGCGAACTGCTTTGCCGCATCCAATCCAGCTGCTTAGAATCAGCATGCACTGGACAGCCTTATCGACTCATGCGAACCATATGCAATTCCGCGCTTCAATAATGCTCTGCATACTCCAGCCCTGCACTGTGTGTTTCACGGACGACTCTCCGTTGCTCTTCGAAGCTTCCGAGTCCTTCCAAGAAACTCATGCATCAACGTCAAGCTGCAGTAATACGAGTCAAAGGAAACCAGTCACGCGGTTGCCAGCGGAACCCTTAAGATTACTCGCGTGCATGATACCCTCAAACTAAGCTGTCACCTTCGCGCGATCGTTCCGTAGACCCCTCTCGACGCCCAAAACGCTTCAGCATGGCAGACCGCAGATGGCGGAAGCTTGTGTTGAATGGACGAGAAATCTTTATCTCCTCAAACGAGCACGCAAAGCTATCAACAGAGCTATCAGCTGAGTACTATCCCAAACGATTCGTGACAACATACCAGATCCTCACGCATGTCAAGCATGCATGCCCTAGGTCCCGATCTTAGCTGTGCCGGCCTTCATGACTTATCTACCTTCCTATTCGAGTTCCCCAATCCTTCGCCAACATCAGGGCTGAAGCTTATATCGACGACCAACATCACGCTGGCGTTCGGCTTCCACGCGAAATCTGAACCAATGCTCTTTCCGAGTTGAACCGCCTCCCCTCAGTCGAGAATTCTAACTCAATCATCATGATTTTGGTTCATGGTGTCCGTTTTTATCGCATGACTATCTCTTGAGCTCTTCATCACATACAACGTGCTTCTGCTAGATGATGCTCATACCAACCACAAGCATCTCTGT